ATTAATTAAAGTTTAAAATATTTAATAAGCTTGGTAACCCATCCCTATTTTAAGGGGAAATCTTATAGCTTTTATTTATTTATATAAAATAATTTTATAGTATACCACTTTAGAACAACGCCTTTTAAATAACTATAAATATTAACTTTAACTACCACTTTTTCTTTAAAAATTGCCATATTAAGGATATAGTTTATAAAAGTATATATATTTTTATAAAAGGTTTTTAACCCGCGCTTCTTTATTAATAAATTTTTATTATTAATTTTATTAAGCTAAAAATAATTAATATTCTTTATTTTTTAATAGTATTTTCCTAGCGTAGCTTTAGCTGGCTAAGGCTTTTTTTTATAAAAAACTAGTTTTAGTTTATTAGCTAGTAAAATAAATCCACCTTTACCTTTTCCATGTTCGTGTCCCCTTTTCATATCTTTCTAGTTTTAGTAAAAAGAATTTAGGGGTTCTGGTTCTAATTTTTATTTTTAAGGTACTTACCTTTTAAAATAGGGTTTTAGCTATTAGGCCGGGCTAGAAACTTTATATATATTTTTAAAATTTTATTTATATACATTTTTTAATTCCTGCGTTTTATTAGTTTAATTATTTTTTTAAAAATTTTTAAAGTTCTTTTTTAAAGATTTTTTAAAGGCGGCTTGCCTATTATTAATAATCTTTAAATAACTATTTAATTCCTATTATAAAATTAATTTAAAGTCTTTATTTTATTAGAGATTAGGATTAAAAGGTAGCTGATTTACCTGTTAAAAACTAGGATTAAAAGGTTTAGGGTTAAAAAATTGCTAATTTACTTATTATAAGCCAGAGTTAAAAGATTACTAATTTACTTATTATAGGCTAGAGTTAAAAGGTTATTAAAAATCTAGATTTATTTATAAATTTATGTTGCGGATTTAAGAACTAATATTAATATTAATATTAATATTAACTATACTATCCTCCTTTATAATTAATAAAATAAAAAAATATTTTAATTTAATAATTAGCTTTATAAAATACCTAGGTTTAGTAATTAGCTTTACAAGGCGCCTAGGTTTAGTAATTAACTTTACTACTACTTATTTTAAATAATACTATAGGTAGTAACTAGTAATTAATTAAGTTTATTAGCTTGCTAGTTTATAAGCTGCTAAAGTATTTAGCTATTACCTAATAAATTTAGTTAAAAATATAAATAAGCTAGTAGTTTATTAAGGGGTAAATAAGCTAGGCTAAAAAGTAATAATTAAAAAAGCAAATAAATTTATAAATAGCCTGGAAAATAAAAAAATATCCGTGGTAAAAGCAAAAATTAATATAAAATATTTACTAGTATTAAAGTTAATTAGCTAGCTAGCTTTATTAGTAAGTAGTTATATAATTATTAAATTATAGTTTTTAATTATAAAGGTTTATTTTTACCTAGTTAGTTCCGGGCCGGAGGTTAGTTTTAAAATAATAATATTATTAGTACGTATTAAGTTTGCGCGTGTTTAGCCTAAAGGCTACTTTAATTTTAATAAAAATAGGTTTAAAAGTGCAGGATAAGTAATTTTCCAAGCTTTTTATTTACTAATTTATGTATTTCCTATTTTACGGCCAAGAAATAAAAAATCTTTTATAGCCTAGTAAAAAACTAACTAATTAATATCCTATACCAGGGGGTAGGTATACTAAGTAAAAAAAGGCATGGCTGTATAATAAATAACAAAATTAATAAATAATATAATCCCCTAGTTAAAATCTCTTGTATACTACTGTTTAACCTGCTAAAAAACCTTTAACTAATGTACCAGCGTTATTAAGGCGTTATTTTAATTTATTTAGGCCCCCTTTATATTATCCGGAATTATTAACTATTATTTAAGATTTAAGAAGCCAAGAAAACAAGTTTATATAAAGGTATTTATTAAAAATTAAAAAAATAAGTTATAAAAAAAAAAATTAAGGACGCAAATTTATTAAATTTATTAGTTAGTTAGAAAAAGAAAAGGTGTTAAAAAAAAAAAAAGCTGGCTGTTAGCCAGCTACTAAATATAGTTAACTTTTAGAAGTTTAGAAGTTTAATTAGCCGTTTAGCTTAATAAAAAATAACTAAATAAATAAGTAAATAATAACGTAAATAAATAAAAGTAAAGGTTTAAAAAAAGTACTACTAGGCCTTCTAAATACTAAAAATTACTTAATTAGTGTTTTTTAGCCTAATTTTAACTGGAATGCCTAATTAGGTTATTAAGTTATTTACTTAACTAGTTATATTACTTAAACATGCTACCATTATTATACTTTTAATAGTTTTTTAAAAAAAATTTATAATATAATTAATTATTCTCTAGGCCAGCTACGTTCTAATAAAAAAAAGGGGTCAGGGCGGTGCCCAACAGCAGTATTAGATGCTGTTAAGGTGGCCGACCTTAACACCTTCCTAAGCTCACGTAAGTAGGTTTTTTAGTAGTTTTTATATTAAAATTAGCCTTTTTTATATTAAACTTATAATAACTCACGCATTATAAAATTATATTTAATTATTTTTATTTTTAGCCTACTACTATTTTATTTTTACTTTTAAAAATTAACCTTATAGCAAAGGTAGTATAGTATTACCCTGCCTTAAAATTTTATTTTAGTTTTATATAATGCCCTAATTATAATACTAAAAGTTAATATATTTTTAGCTTAGTTTAATAAAATTCCTGGTGCTTTTTATATTTACCCGCGGGAGATTTTATTTTTAAATACTAAAATATAGGCTTACTAGTGTGGCCGGCTTATTAATTATTTTAATTAAAATTTTTATTTAGTATTTTTTTAGGTTTTAAAGCATGGTTATACCACGTGGCTAGCAGCCTTTAAAACCTTAAAACTTTTTTAAATTAAGTAATTAAATAGTATTATTAGCTTCTAGTATATGTGGGCTATTATAGTAATCTTATTTTTTAATAAAAAAAATATTATTATTTAGGATTATAATTCCTGCTATAATCCTACTAGCCTATACTTTAAAAACTTTATATTTAAGGCTTAATTATTTGGTTCACCGTGTTAACACAGACAAAAACACTAACAAGATCTGCATCCGGCCATGCGGCAAACTCGTCGTATATTAGGATATTGGGGGGGAGGAGGGGGGGAAGCCGAAATCCCTAACATTCTTTGCCAAAAGGGCGGCCGGGGGGTTATCACAACGTCCATTCTGGGACGGCCACAATCTCTCTTTACTTTAAAGTCTTAAAAGCCAGGGCTATAAGCACAGAAAATACTTGGTATAAATTGCAATCTACGTTCATCCAATGTAGAAATTAAGCATGTATCTTATGTGACGTCCTAAGCAGGGGGTTCATAGTTCCAGTTAGCAAGGTCCCTGGGGACCTTGTATAGTGCCTTCTGGCCGAGTAGCATTCTTAGAATAGCTGGCTAGGAACGTCACAACTCGAAGGTTGGGACCAAAGCATCATACGAAATGGCAAGCGATGAGAGAGGTCATGAAGCTGCCAGGTTTGCAATGGCATTAGTAGCCCCTGTAATATGCGTACCTCATTTCTCGGTGTTCTCCCAATCTTTACCACTATATTTGGGCCTTCGAGTGGCAATGGATATCTCCGTGCTGACGTATCTTGAGTAGGAGCCATCCATTTGGTAGGCGTCCGATCCGTAAATAGATTTCTCATCATGGGGAACCTGGGAACTGTCACAGGACTATTGGAAGCGAATATACACTGTAGTATAGCTCAAGCCTTTTGTGTCTGTCAGCACGCAAAGTGCGGCAATCCGGTCAACAAGCACCTGCACCCTTCCGACTCACTGGGTATGTAGCTTGCCATGCTGGGTTAGAATCAACGTGGCTAATGTTAGAAATACCTTGCTTAACCAACTCCTATTTTGGCTAAGCTGCCATTTCTTATACACAGTTCCCAGGCACGACATATCCCGTTACGTAGAACACCACCCCCCACAACCTTGAACCCTCAACATTATCAACGACCGCTGCGCATGACTTTTTGCCAATGGATACCGTGCACATACCAAGCGAGGATTGCAAGCCGTCGGATGACAGGCTTCCTGCTTGTGTGGCTGGTCATAAATAAGGCCTCGAGGTTGGGGCCATGCCGCATGCAGAATTGATTTTGCTGTCCGATTGTGGTATTATATATGCTCCGAGTTTTGTCTGGCAAAACTGCATTGTGAAAATGTGACCACAACCGGAGTTTAAATACAGGTTCTGCCATGAGGGGCCGGGGCCCTGCAAGGATAGGCATTAAATGACAGAATGTACCTTAGTTACACATATCAAGCACCTTGCCATAAATCAAGAACTGATTCCGCCTTGGAAACTGGCGATATAGGACTTGGAAGGATGCAGGGCCTTCCAAGGTTGCATGAGAGCCGTACCATGTTCAGACCACTGTACTACGTGGTCTTCCCTCAGGTACAAGGATCTGGATAACGACTTCAGAGTGAGTAGATCGTATCTAAACACAGGGTCTTTTGCCATGTTAGCCCGTGAACAAATTGCCCACTTTCCCTGCAAGGCTTCCACGGTATTGAGCCATCATCAGGCCACGCTGTCCAACTGTGCCCTTTTTATTATTTCGCGGTCCATGATAATACATGTATTGTTTTATTGGAGCGCACGACTTAATTTAAGCCTAATTTGGAAGAAACCCATTGACGTGATCAACGAATGGATAAAGGATGGGTTTTTGAGAATGCACCGTATAGAGGGGACGTCGACAGCTTACCCAGGTAGGTGCACATCATCTACTTCCCCGACATTTCATGCAAGTCTCATAGTAGTCTACTCCTTTAGGTCAGCTTAGACAGCTCTTTCGCCTGGGAATATACGGTGGAGAGTGCCGCCTAGAATTGGAGATTTGGAGACCCCGACTTGGCGCGTGAACCGGCAGCAATCGATATATATCGATGGTAGGACCATGGCTCCCCCCATCCGACTTCCATCACTGATGCACTGATTTTGCCCGGACCTTGACCCCCTACACCTCAACATGTCACCTTTGTCCCAAGGCGGTATCCCAACATCCACCAGCGGCTGGACCCTCGTCGGCACCGCTCCAGACGACGGCTCCGGCGCTCTAGTCTGGAACGATGAGCTCGGGCTCCCCGAGCTGGGCCCAACTGATGTTCTGGTCAAGCTGCACGCCTGGGCTCTGAACTACCCCGACATCTCAAGCAAGCATCCCCCATCCACTCACCGTCCAAACCCCATACTGACTTACCTTACCGCAGTCGCCAACGGCACCTTCCCCTGGTCCCCGGCAGACCACGGCAAAGGCTCTCTGATCCCGGGCTCCGACGGCGCAGGCGAAGTCCTAGCAGTCGGCTCCCACGTCACGCGCTTCAAGCCCACCGACCGCGTAATCGTAGTATACTATCCGAACTTCCCCGACGGCGGGGCGCCCACCTACGCACAGATGGCCGGGAGTCCCGGCAGCAACAAGGACAGCCCCGGGACGTTCCGGCACCACGGGATCTTCACCGAGCACGGTGGGCTAATCCGTATGCCCGCGAACCTGAGTTATAGCGAGGCAGTAACGCTGCCTTGCTCTGCGCTGACGGCGTGGAATGCGCTCCATGGGCTGAGGGCGCTAAAGGCTGGGGAGTATGTTCTGGCGCAGGGGACGGGCGGTGTTTCGCTGTTTGCGATTCTGTTCGCGCTGAAGGCTGGGGCGGTTGTGATTGCGACTACGTCTTCTGAGGAGAAGGCTCGCAGGCTCAGGGGGATGGGGGTGCAGCATGTTCTGAATTACCGGGAGGATCCGAACTGGGGAGAGACCGCGCGGAAGTTGACGCGGGACGGACTGGGCTGTCAGCGGGTGATTGAGGTTGGCGGGGCGCAGACGATCAAGCAGTCGTTCCAATGTGTTGCGAGGGACGGGGAGATTGATGTGATTGGGTTTTTGACGGGGCAGGGGCATGCCGAGGATGGGCCCACGTTCCTGGAGCCGCTGCTGCGGGCCTGCACGGTGAGGGGCATTGAGGTGGGCAACTGGATTCAGTTTCAGGAGATGAATCGCGCGATTGAGGCGTATGATGTCCGGCCGGTGGTCGATGGGGGGGTATTTGGGTTTGGGGAGTTGAAGGAGGCGTATCAGTATGTTTGGGGCCAGAAGCATTTTGGCAAGGTGGTGCTCTCGGATGGGCAACAGTAAAGGGAAAGCGGTCCTGTCTCTGCATTAGACGATGGTATACAGGGTGATGAAGTGGAAGTTGGGAGTGTTTTGATGTGATAAAGTATCAGGCCACGTGATCTCCACCAGGAGTGTCCTAAATGGGTTAGCCTGTCACATGACCTGTCCTGTCTCCAACAGCTCCCCGAGTAATGGACAGTAATCAATGGACTCCATCCTCCACCTACGATTGTATATCCCTGCAGTTTCCAATGCCGCCGTCTCCTGCTGCTTCCAAATGGGCTGCTCGCCAAGAAGAGCTCACCTGCAAGGTCTGTTCGCGCACATTTAGCCGCCATGAGCATCTACAGCGCCATTCTCGTACCCGTGTGTTCCATCCCTCCTATTTGGATTGCGACACTTCAGACTGATTCGCGCCAGACACAAAAGAAAAACCGTATGCCTGTTTCTGCGGCCGTTCATTTTCCAGAAAGGATCTTTTGACCCGTCACGAGCGGTTGAATCATGCTACGGCCGAGGGGGAAAACAATCCTGGTTTGTGTGCAAATCTCATTATCCGTGTTTGTTTACAGGCTTCAAGCTCATTATCTCTAGCCCCCAGAAATCAAAACTTGACGGCAGGAGCAGTTCAAGCAGAAGCTATCCCACAGAGTGTGGAACGAGGTCTCACCCATTCAGACGATCCTCAGCCACAATCAACCCTTTACACAGCACCTGGAGCAGAATCATACCTTCTTGATCCATTCTTACTGTCTTCAACTGACGGTCTCTTTCCGGAATGCGATGACCCAATGTTTGGTTTCACCAGATATTTGAGCAACGGAGACCTCGGCTTCGACTGGAACGGGATCTTCATGAACACCGACTTGGGGTTACAGAACTCCAATCCGCCCGACTACCAGACAGTGGACCAGATTGTCCCAGAGAGAGCTGACATTTCATCGCGGGTCCCAGATGCTTCGTCTGGGGATGGTGTGCTCATCTTCCAGCTTGCCGCTTGCAAATTGCTAATGAATGATCAGATGATTTTCGCGAGCTAAAACCGCTGAGCTGCCCGTGGCTTCTCTCCGAGGCACAGTACTTACAACTCAATCATGCCTTGTCTCCGTTTCATTTGATCAACCCCCGCTTTATTCTTCCATCACGAATGGCCGTTGCACGATATACCCTCGGCTACGTCCAAGGGTTCAGCGACCACCACCCAGTCATTCATATCCCCACTCTAAGACTCACCAACTACTCGCACTCGCCAGAACTGGTGCTAGCGCTGTTGGCCATTGGTGCTCAATACCGATACGAAACGAAGACCGCACGCTCGCTCTACCAAGCTGGTCGAGCGATTATACGAGAGCGCCTCCAGCGAGGGGAGTTGTTTCCGCCTCCTACCTCCGGGCCACAATTTGTGGATGCGTCATCCCCGGCGTCAAAGCATTATATGGACCGCACCAGGGCCTTGCTCTTGCTGGCGATCTATTGTTCTTGGCATATGGATCCTGATTTGACACAAGAGTTCACGGAATATCAAGGGCTTGTGGCGCGTTCCTTGCGGCATGACTGCCTTTCTGAAAGGGGCGATTACGACCGGACTAATTGGTTTCAATGGGCCGCTTATGAAACAGACCGACGTACCAAGTTCTTTGGGTGGTGCTTGTTGAATTTCCGCAGCCTGGCTTATAACGAACCTCCTCTGCTGCTCGTCCGCGAAATAGATCTCTTTCTGCCGTGCTCATGCAGGGAATGGGTAGCAAAGACCGAGGCCGACTGGCTCCTAGCCACCAGAAATGCCCCTTCAGCTGTCATGTTCAAGGCAGCCCACATGTCCCATCTCGACCGCACGGCGTCCCCCGTCACGCAAGTCTCCCCTTTCGGAAACTACGTCTTGATCCATGCTCTTATCCAGCGTATATACATGACTCACGAAGTCTCGCACGACCCGAACGGACAGATAATCTCTCCCGGATATATTAACGAATTAGAACAGTCTTTGGATGACTACAGGCATACCTGGTGCCGCTCACCAGAATCAATTCTCGATCTTCATAACTCATACGACTCACTTTCCTTTGCATCGACCGCACTTTTAGGATTGGCCCATATCCGGCTTCACTGTAATCTTGGTCGCTGGCGGGACCTTCAAAGCGGAGATCCTCGCACTGTCGCAGCGATGCTGCAAGAAGCTCCACTACCACAGCGCGGCCCGCAGCTCTTCCACGCTCTTTTACATTCAGTCCACTCCTTGAATATACCGGTGCAAGTGGGTATCTCTTACCTATCGCGCTGCAGATCATTCTCTTGGAGCGTGGACCAAGCGATATGTGCCTTGGAGAGCGCCGCGTTTCTGAGCAAGTGGCTCCAGCGGGTTTCTCTCTCACATTCAAATCCGCCACTCTCCGGTATGTCTATACTCAGCTATCCCAAGCCCTGGACCTGTGAACTAACTCCGGCCAAGGGCTTGAGCACCGCGTTGTTCGTTGGATTATGAGGGTTGTGCGAGAGGCGCTCATGTCCCAAGACGAAACAATCGATTTCGGAAACAACATCAACGATTCGCAGCTAGAGAATCCAGCAGAAACCACCAAGCTACTCAGCTACGCCGTTGTGAAGGTATGGGCCAACATGTTCAAGTCTTGCAACTGCCCCTGGCCTATGGTCGAATTTGTCGGACAGAGCCTGGATCAATATGCTGTGCTCGTGCGCTCTTCTCCCTACGAAGCATAATGCGGCAGCCGCCAACTACAGTGGAAGCTATCGTTGAACTCGGCATCAGTCGGTGAACTAATCTCGTTCTATTTGAGCTACGGTACAATCATGCACCGCGAATGTGGATAATGGACATGCTCATCCCGACTCGGAAACGTCAATCCATAATCTCGCTAGCCAGCTTGCTTTGACGTCGTATGCGCGGGCCGTACACAACCAAAACCCACGGGACAAGGGTCAGCGCAAGCCCGATTCCGCCAAGGAGACTCGACGCTGGGCCATAAGTCATGTTGTTCCACATCTGCTGGGAAACAAGCGGGAAGACGCCGCCCAGCATGTTCCGGCAAAAGCTTTGTGCTGCCAACGCGGAACTCGCGTACCGGTGATATGTGTCGGCCAGGAAATTGAAGACGGATAGGTAGATGGAAAAGATACCAACTGTTGAGATACCCACCGCGACTGTGGGCACCATCCAATGGACGTCGTAGTGTGAGGACCAACCAAAAAGGAACAGGCCGATAGGCAGAAACAGGCTTTCAACGCAGCTGAAGTACAATCGGTGCTCTGGCACCGAGTTCCAGCCTTTCCGCCGGCTCGCGAGCGACTCTTGGATTATTGAGAGGGCAAAGGCGATTGTGGTTCCAATGCAGGAGGCGGCGAACATTGCGTTGGAAGTCGACAAGGAGAAGCCATATGTAGTCTGGAAAACGAGTGGAATGACGGACAAATTGATGTATAGGACGGACCAACTGAAAGCCGCCCAGAGAGAAAAAAAGAAGACGACGGGCTCTGTGGAAAGCATGGAAAACGGTCGCACGAGCGACGTCCGAAGCAGCTGCAGTATCCCAGCACGTTCTTCATCTGCTGCTACTCTCCAGCGGAATCTCGGGGCATCGTTGTCGGCCAGGCCTTCTTTCTCGACTGCCTCGTACCACGCATTCAGCACGCGTGCCTTTTTGCGCAGGATAACCGAACCGCGAGTCTCTGGGGAAAAGAGGCAGACAGCGACGGTTATGAGTCCGCCGATGATGATTTGGAGGTAGAAGATCCATCGCCATGTGGTATACTGTGCGATAAAGCCACACACCAAGGGCCCCAAGCCAGTTCCAAAAAGTGCCGCCCAAGAAAACAGCGCCATGGGCGTGTTGCGATTGTGCGCGTGGTATATGTCGGCTATGATTCCGCCCACCATAGTGGAGAACGTCGAGCCCCCGACGCCGCAGAAAAAACGCGCAACCAACATGCTGGACAAACACGCAGATTAGTGAGAGGGCGGATACCAGTTGACTGTGTGCTACGTACCCAGGGTAGATTCTCGTCACGGCGCAGCAGACCTGACAGACAGTGAACAGGACCGCGGTTGCGACAAAGACATATTTCCTGCCGAAGATCTCGGAGAACGGCGCGAGGAACATGGGCCCTGTTGCAAAGCCACTGGTGAAGGTGGTAATGCCCACCAAAACCGCGACGTGACTCACAGACCATTCCTCGGCCATCTGCTCTGCGCCGGGGCTGTAGCAGCTAGCCGCGAAGGAGGCAAAGAGCGTGGAGATGCACGAGACGCCTGTGATGAATGCCTTGTATGCAGGGGACCAGTCGTAGGGCGATCCCAGACGGGAAAGGTCAGGCGGGGGAATCGATGTCTGTCTTGAGGGGGATGGGAGCTCGGTATCGAAGGACAGGTACTTCTGGCATACCGGCTGCTCCTCTTTTTCACTGGACATGGTTCCTGCTCAGCTGTCAGAACACCGGAATTCGCTGCTGGAAAGTTGTCGGTTCATTCATATGCTGGACGGGCCTGAAGACTTTATCAACGCGCTGCGAGTGCACCCATTGCCTGCCCAAAATTTGGCGATGACAATTCTCCAACGGGCGTGCGGAGGACGCGGTCGATGCGGGCCGCGTCTCCAACTCTTCCAGGCCCTCTTCCACTCTCCAAGTCGCCACATTCGCTTTACTATTCAACCGCCATCTCTGGCAGAATGCATGGATTATGGAACCGTCACGCACAAAGAAAGCCTGTGCCTCCTGCCGGGAGCGGAAACGTAAATGCAACGGCGATCTTCCTTGCTCTTATTGCATCCGCAATTCCCACACGTGCTTCTACGCCCCCCGCCAAAGGACTCGGGCCGGGTCGCTGTCGCTGAATGATCAAAGTTACAGTCAGACGGACGATCCAACGCAAACACAACTACAGTTGCTCGAGGCTAACTAGCCGGCCATTTTTGTGCAGCGGCTGGGGTTGGACATCGATGTCGGAGATGGTTATCCCGGTCTGCATTCCTACGCCTGGAACCTGGGTCTGGACCAGGACACCATCTTTCTCAGTGACTTGTCCGGCGTGACCGAGATCCTCAGCCTGGAGCAGATGTCGCATTTTGCGGCGGTCAGCTTCACAGAGATCGCTCCCGTGTACGACTTTCTCGATCGCCCGTCGGTTGAAAACGCCATCAAACAGCGCTGGGCCGAGTGCAAAGCCGTTCCCTACGACCCCGTCGACTCCCTCATACTTGGGGTCGCAGCCTTGGGCTGCCTCTTGGATCGCGACGGAACCTCGCCATTCGATACAGCGCGCGACCTCGAACGCCGCCTGGTGTACAGCGCCCGCGTCGCGCTCGAATACTCATCCCAACTCCCTCACCCTTCGATCTCCCACGTCATCGCCTGGCTCCTGCGCGTCATCTACCTACGCCTAACCTCCTCCCCGCATGCCACCTGGATGGCAAGCTGCACGTTGATGCACATGATTGAGACAACAAAGCTGCACTTCGATGCAGAGACTAGTTCGCCCCTGGCCAGACCCCCCGGCCGCGTCGACTGTACGCCCGAACAACGACGGAAGATCTACCATACCGCGCAGCTATTCAACACATGGATATCGCTGGACTGCGGAAAGAGCCAGGTGGAGTTGCACGGCGCCTCGACCAAGATTCCCACGGTAGGCGAGGGCGGATGGACAGGCGCGCAAGTCGGACTGTACCAGCTATCGATCTTCCTGGCGCCGCAGTACCCGCGCGAATTCACCGAGCTGGAGACCGCGCTGGTCCAACTCTCGCACCTCGACCCAAGCCATCCAATGCTGAAGCTCCTCCAATGCAACATCGCCCTGTGCATTTTCCGTCGCGCGACGGCACTCGGGCGCACACTGTCCGACTCCTCCCTTCAGACAATCGTCTCCCTGATGCGTGGCAGTCTAGCGGCCGCCACAGAGTTGGCTGCGCGGTCGTTGCCGTGGTGGCATGTTCTCAATATCCCGTTCCAGATTGTGTGCGTCGTGCTTGCGATGGAGCAGCGGGATGCGGCGGAGGTGGTGATTTTGGGGGAGGCGTTGGAGACTGTTAGGCTTGTTGCCACCAGGTACCGGACGCACATGGCGGAGGAGGCCTATGCGGTTGCGGTGGGGCTTGTGAGGAGAAGACGCGAGCGGCAGTTGGAGTTTGTTAGAGTCTTGGATCAGACTTTGGAGGGGCATGAGCGTTGAGCGTGGTGGAGGCGCCCGATTCCAGTTGGGGTCTCCAACTATCGTAGACCTCCAATTCCAGGCATGCAGCGTTTCTGTTCCTTGCCATTATTTAGAAGTCACATATGCCAGTTGCTGTATTAGGTTAAGATTGCGTATTGCTCTCTTCACATTATATTTAACCATCTCTCGCAGCTATGGCATTACTGGTGTATGATGTCCAACTCCGACCGAGAACCCGGGGCTGGCGTGGAAGTTGGGGTCCCCAACTGCTTTTCTGGCAACACACACAGACCAATCCCCTCCTCACCTTACTACCACAAAACCGCACCCCAGACCGCAACCCGTCCCTCCTGGATAAGCACCTGCAAAGAAGAATGAAGATATCCGACCTCCTCACCCCCCTCCCACTCCCCCGCGGCCCGCCCCTGAAATCCCGCATCCTCCTCGCCCCTCTAACAAACAGGCAAAGCGAACCAACCAGACGGCACAGCATCGCCCGCTGACCTGCACTGGCTGACGCGCTGCGCAGCCGGCGAGTTCGCAATGGCCATGACCTGCGCCGCGAACGTGCACCCGCTCGGCAAGACCTTCCCAGGCCAGCTGGGCATCCACGCCGACAAGCACGACAAGGGATTGAAAGACATCGCAGACGCCATTAGGAAGCACGGCGGCGTCTCAAGCGTCCAGATCCACCATGGCGGCGTGCGCGCGAATCCAGACGCCTTGCTTCCGCCGAATACCATGGTCGGACTTGGCGAGGGCGAGAGACGCCAACCCGTTGGACCCTCTGCGTTTGCGCCAACGGGCGCAAGAGCTCTCGGGCTGGACGAGGTGGCTGCCGTGCGGGACGAGCATATCGGTGCTGCGGTGCGCGCGCAGAAGGCGGGGTTCGATGGCGTGGAGGTCCACGGGGCGTTCGGGTGGCTGGTCATGCAGTTCCTCTCGCCGGTGTATAACGAGCGGACGGATTGCTATGGGGGGAGTGTGGAGAACCGCGCGCGGTTTCTCTTCGAGATCCTCGACGGGATCCGGCGGACATGTCACCGCGACTTCCAGATCGGGCTGCGGATCTCGATGGAGCGGTATGGGGTTCCGCTGGCTGATCTGAGGGCTGTTGTGGCGCGGGCTATGAGGGAAGGGAAAATCGATTACCTTGACCTGGCGATGTGGGATTATCGGAAGGTTGTGGACTCGAGTTTTGAACTTGGTCCTTCGGACATGGAGTGGAAGGGCCGCACGCTTTTGAGTCTGTTTACGGAGATTCCACGGCATGGGGTCGCGGTTGGGGCCTCGGGCCATGTGATGAGTGCCCGGCAGGCGGTTGAGGTGCTCGAGGCAGGCTGTGACTTTGTGATGCTGGGGAAGGGCGCGATCTTGGATCCGGACTTGCCCAGGAAGATTAGGGAGGAAGGGGACTGGAGGGCGCCCGGGCTGCCGGTTACTGCGGGGTGGTTGAGGGAGAATGCCCGGTTGAGTGAGAGGTTTATTGACTATATGCGGACGTGGGATGGATTTGTGAGCGATTAGAGATGCGTATCGAGTGCATGCACCTAGACAAACTCTCCGAGACGACAGGGAAAGAATATTGAAACCACTCCAAACCCTAACAAGCCCCTATGGGTCGCTGGTACTTAGTGCCATACCCGGCAAGACTTTTACACGCAACCCCAAGAGCAAAGTGAATACCTGCTTGTCCGCTCATCCATGTGCTCAGATGCCTCTCCAATATCCCTGGGTCAGTGTGATGTAATGGGAGACTCAAGAGGTGGAGTGGTTGAAAAGTGCTGATCTCCGACTGGAAGTTGGAGACCCCAATTTCGACTCTTATAACGGCCACCAAGAACTATATAAGAATCCTCAGACTTCAACCAGACTGAGTTCAGCCTCAACTCCAAGTCCCGATCAGAAAAGTCCAAAATGGCCGCCCCCGAACAGCCACACGTCGTGCGCGTCGCCGCCGTGCAAGCAGAAGGCTGCTACTTCGATCTCCCGGCCGCCATCCAGAAGACGTGCGCCCTGATCACCGAAGCCGCCGCAAAGGGCTGCCACCTCATCGCCTTCCCCGAAGTCTGGATCCCTCAATATCCAGGCTGGATCTGGTTCGTCTTCCCATCCCTCAGCCTCCTCCCTCAGTGGCACTCTCGCCCCTCAGGAATGAAGTTAACATCCCAGCCACGCCTCAAGGCAACGGCCCATCGACTTCGAAATGGTCTCCCTCTACATGCAGCACTCCCTCCGCCGCGACTCCCCCGAGTTCCGCACCATCCGCGACTGCGCCGCCGCAAACAACATCGCCGTCGTGCTCGGCTACTCCGAGAACGACAACGACTCGCTGTACCTCTCGCAATCGCACATCGGCCGCGACGGCCAGGTCAGGATGCACCGCCGCAAGATCAAGCCCACGCACGTCGAGCGCACCCTCTACGGCGAGGGGTCCGGCTCCTCGCTGCGCAATGTCGTGCAGGAGGACGGGGTCGGCAAGGTCGGCGCCCTGAGCTGCTGGGAACACTCGCAGCCCCTGCTGCGCTACCATACATACAGCCAGGGCGAGCAGATCCACGTTGCCGCGTGGCCGCCCATGAACTACCACTCTTCGTTTCCCGAGGGGAGTGCGCTTTGGTCGCAGTGTCGCGAGGGTGCGTATCAACATCCATCTCTACCATCCTCTCACTTGGAACATTGTATTCTAACATCGGAACAGGCGCGCACAACCTCTCCACAACCCACGCGATTGAAGGCAACACCTTCATCGTCCTGGCCTCGTCTTTCTACACGCAGACCGGCATCGAGCGCATGAGGCTCGGCGACGGCAAGCTGTACCATGTCGGCGGGGGTGGGTGCGCGTGCATTATTGCCCCCGACGGGCGCAAGTTGACCCAGGACCTCGGCGAGGGGGAGGAGGGCCTCGTGATTGCGGATCTGGACTTTGAGGAGATCAGGAAGGTCAAGGCGATGCTGGATGTGCATGGGCATTATAGTCGGCCTGATTTGCTTTGGTTGGGGGTTGATGCGAGGGAGAAGGGGAAGGTTAGGGCTGAGAGCTGAGCAGGCACTCCAGCTCCTTGCTTGCATGTTAGCATTACAGAAGTTAGAGCATATACTGCAATCCGGGTTGAAACTATAATGCAGAAAAGGGTCTGTTGGTTAGTATAGTATACTTAAGTATGCATAGACTATGACTTACAAAGAACATGCTTAAAATATATACTAACTACTACTAAATGGTTTGAATCTTTACACTACCAAGTACCCGGCGATAAAATATGATATAACATTAGGGACAAGCTATCCATTTTGCAAAAGCACAGTGCTGAGAAGGGCTGCAGGTGTCGCCGCTGACCTTGGAATAAAATACTCTGGACAGGTTTATTGATAAGGAAGGCAGGAATATTGTTTCGTGCGAGCTAAGGTCCACAGGCCGGGGAGTTTAAGCTACAGTGGATGTAATCTTTGTGTTCAAATGTTCTGGGCTAATATTCCAAGTAAAGGGATAGAGTCACCTCTAACTCTTGTGGTAACACACATGGCATACTAAACAGTGAAGGTAGTAATCCTTTCTTGTTTAAGTAGAAAAAAACTAGGCTTTGGATGGACGTTCTAAGGATTGCGTGATTGGCTGTAATAAAAGCATCTCATATCTAACTTAACCTCGCGTGGGATGCATTGGCCTGGGGAATGAGATACTTAATAGGGATATTAACACCTGCCTTCACCAGTTTCAATCAGGGCTCATGCATTCCACCATCTTTACTAGCAATTACCTCGGCTCGTGAAGTGCCCACGGGTGTTAGGCGCCACTTCTACGCAATGGTTCACACCGCGTACAGGCACTTGTTGATGCTATGAATGGGCAAAGGTCTATGCAAGTCAGAAGGAAACCACGGACTCCGGTGTCTTTATCATGGGGCGGATGCCACAGGGATGCAATATGCCATCATTTGATAGAGATAGTCACGGAAGCAGCCAGAAATGCAAATTGGCCACTCACTCAGACGTATAACTAAGCTACGAGTCCAGAAAGAGCCTTGGAGATATAAAGGGAGCTATACCTGGACTATAACCGTTTATGAATTGATTGATCGATCAAATGTCCACATCTATGATACCATATCTAGGTAGTACCATTATTTCTCTCGTCGCTAAGGTTAAGCTCTACAGCCTAAACGGAAAAGCCGATGGTAGAACCGGATGCGATGGTCGTTGCAGGACTATTCCTTTCTTCCACAACCTGCCAAAGACGCCTGGCTGCTGCAGCCAGTCGGTAGGAGGTTCCTGAACGCAGGTGCAATATACAACGGGGGTCTTGCTCGTCCTGGAGGGTGTTCGCCCGCTGCCATCTTCGAATGACTATGGTAGATTTATGTTAGCATCTGCGATAATTGAAGAGTGGAATGTTACAGAACATAACCCACCTTGCAGGTCTCCTGGCCCCTGGGGAGAGCCCATTCCTGTTGGGCAAACAGCACAGCAACAGCAGCCACCCGCCATCCGCCAATATCAGGGGTGAAGTGGAGAAAGCCCCGACACACAGACGCCCGCCTCTACATTACAAGGTAGGGACGGGGTCCGTTGCGCCTCTTTTACTCAGCAGTAGAAATCCCGTGGTGGAGTGCGAGGTTTCCTCAAGCGTCCATGGTACAAGGGCAGGTACGCTGCTTTTTTAAAAAAAGGCCCATGTGGTCGCATGGGCGGGCTGTACACCCTGCAGGTGGGATCTTCGACAAAGCACAACTCCGTATGGACATCCACATTGTAAAGGTAAAAGGAGACCTAGAGGGTCCGCTACAGACAAAGCGGCCTTGTCTTTTCCCCTGCTTGCGAGGTGAGTTGGGTTTGTTCATGACGTTGCTCCTTGATCGGGATAGGGCTTAGACTGGATAAACCCTAACCCTAACTACCCGGGGCCTAATGACAGCGCTGAAGGCGAGGACAACCCAGCGCCGGGCCCAAAGCTGGTGCTGCTGTCCTGCAAGTGGTCATGTCTGGAACCGATACACTCCACTCTAGGGGGTGTAGGGTACTTGGGTACCTATAGAGGATTTACTTGTCCCCTAGCATCATTTCAGTTGCGTTACACCTAAGCTTGCGTCCGTCGGCGGGAGTTGGAGCAGAGTAACCTAGCCCTTGGACTCTTAACCTACCCTACTTGTACTTGTATTTTCAAGTTTCTCTGCATGACACCCAGGTAGGTAAATCTACCGTCCAAAAAAAAAAAGCTACGTCGGGAGGGCCTCCTTCCCGCCTGATCCGGACGTTGGTTGGACATGCGTTACGGTGCATACAGCTCGTTTTTTATCAAAGAAGAGCATAATAATGAGCTTTTCTTTTGAGTTGTAATCAACTTGCTTGGTGAGCTGGTGCGTATTTCCATGATAGATGGGCATCCACCTTTGCGTTTTAAAGCCCTAGACCTGATTATATATAGCGTGACAGTCGTGCACCGTTGATGCAAAAGACAACCACATACACCCTGCCGCTTTTATATAACCGCTATAGATAGGCCCAGCGAAGGCCAGAACGGAATTCAAGGAAACAGCCCATCCGTCAAATCCGAAAGCTGATTCCAGAAATCAACACCAACCCCATTGTCCCCACCAGCACTGATCGGGACCATGAGAGCCGGGTTCGAAAGAACAACATTCGCATTGAGCCTTTCAAGATACAAGCGCTCAATGCCGCGATAAGCCTCCGCATACTCAGAGAATATCGGGAGCCCGCGAACAATCATTCTACTCCTCGGACTCCCGCCTCTGCTCGCATCCTCGAAAACTTTGCTCAGCTGCTGCAGGATGCCGGGGAGGTTATACATCGTGCGTGCGGTGTTCAGGTCCCACGCTGGGTCCTCGACACAGAGCAGGCGGGAGGCTTTGATGATGGCGAGGGCGATGTGGAGGATTGAGATCACGGTGAGGGAGGGGAAGGACTCGACGGGGACGAGGCGGAATGCGTCGTAGAGTTCGTGGGTGCTCTGTAGGCAATTCCAGATTGTTTGGGAGCGGAGATGGGTCGATCCTTGGGTTTCGCACTTATCGCCGACGCCGAATTTGAAGGGTTCGAAGAGGCGGATGCGGATTGATGCGCAGTGTGTCCGTAGAAGGTCTGTCAGCGTTAGTCGTGGTGTTAATGTTTGCGTCATGGGTACAGACGATTCCACTTCAGGCTTGGTGGCAGTTGATTCATGAAGGCGTCCAGCTCGTTCCGAATAGCGGCCACGGCGATAGAGTACACGCCCCCAGACGGTTGGTTGTTGGTGTTGCCAATCATCTCCCAGAAGGAGTTGTTCACCTTCATTGCGATTCTTCGTATGCCGACTAGACTCACCAGCAATGGATCAGTTGGATATTCTTGCTCACTCTGCAGCTGTTTACAACAGTCGTCGAAGTGTGCCGTGTACTCTAACCGGTATCGTTTACCAAGGAGGCTGCATAGTCTACATGATGGTCTTTATTAATATTAAGATACTGGGATGGCAATAAGAACACTCACGTAGACGCCGTATAATAGACTCCCATCAAGGTTCGACATTCGGCCCGGGTTTGTTTTGGCTCCTGGGGCAGCTTGTTCTGCATCTGCGCGGCATCCTCGACTATCGACTCAAAAGCCGAACCTTCTCTCCGTCGAGGCCGAGCCAGTCTCAAATCATCGATCAAACAGATTGCCAATTGCACCAGAGCTGTGTCTTTTGCTGCGGCGTAGAAATAGATATCGTTCCTAAACAGAATTATAAGTTTACAAATTCGCTGTTCGTTTAAGAGAGAACGATGTTATACTTACCAGGCAAGAAAGACAAGGATAGCTTGAACAAGCTCGAGGCTTTTGTTCATTAGAACAACTGTGTGGTGTGCAATGTGTTGTCGAAACCAGCGTTCAAAGGCAGCTGAAGGCTCAGGTGGCGGGGGCCGGCAAACCCATAGAATAGTCTTGAGGAGCAGCGGTTGATCTTTCAGCATGTCGGAGGAATTTGTGGAAGACAGTGGAACAAATGGGAATTCCGGAAGCATGGTGGTCATGTATTCTTCAAGAACTTGGTCCGCCTCGGAGAAGGAAACTTCGAATCCGGGAACGATGGAAATCGAACGGGTTTCTGGGTCTTGGTATGAAGCTTGTCTTGGGCTTGGTATGGTCGTTGGAGCAGCATCGCTGGGGAATGTAGTGCGTCCAATTGGCCGGTCCGAGTGAGGTGTATGCTCTTGCTCCCGCGTCAAAAGAGCCATGATATCGTCCAACTTCCTCTCCAACACCTTTGCATGCCTAGTCATTTCAGTCAGGTCTATTCCAGAAACCAGGAGACTTACGTCGCTCTGCCCCGGCGCTTTGTCGACACGGGACCTGACTTGGAACACGTCAGGTTATTCTTGAGACAGCTGATGATATTAGAAGTGACGGGTACTGGACTAGACGGGCACAAACCGGTGGCAGATGTCGGCGTCATTGTCGACGGGGGCGCATTTGGCCTTGGCCCGGGAGCAGTTGGAGCAAGCGCGCGGCTTCTCCCTGAGTCGGGAGTCGGACATGTCTGTGATGGATGGATGGTCCTGCATTCCACTGAGGAGACGTAGGGAGGTCGGAGCGGAAGCAAAAAGGTCTCCGGCCGAACCTGTGGGGAGCCTGTGGAGGTCTTGGCACGGTACCGAGAAGTACAACTAGGCCTTATTGGGCTTAGCGCACATCACTCATCTATACCGGGAGTCTTTTTGGAGTCCGCTCCGGGTGTCCTCTACATTGGAAGCATCATCCACTTAAATAACATGATTCGCCTCCTGATTCTTCTCTTTCTTGTCTTTCTTTCTTTACTTCCAGTCGAATTCTTACAGTCCTTACCGTTTTTACCGTCCCTGAAAAGGGTGTTCTCCTTCCTTCGCAATAATGACTGGGGCAGACAGTATGCCTCCAGACCAGGCTTCTGCCAATGCGTCAATCGATACAACCGTCAAGAAAAATGAACGAGCTCCCGGCTTCAAGGGTTACTTGGTCAGGACTCTTACTTCCGTAAATCTAACATAAGCTCACCTTTACAGCGCGTCTTCACATACGCAACATCATGGGATATCCTGGCTCTTGCTACCGGTATCCTGGCTGCAATGGGATCCGGAGTCACCCAACCGTCGATGTTTATCCTGTTTGGTTCGTCAATACCTGATCGTGCTAGATCTTCAGTTTAACAGGCATAGGAAACTTCGTCAAGGAATTCAATGGTGTTCAGACTGGGGCGGACTCCAACACCACTACGGAAACCCTCGATCGTCTATGGTATCTTCTGTCCATCATGAGCCTTGTCTTCCACTCACTCATTCCAGCCTCTTCGTCTTCGCCCTCTTCATCGCCCGCTTCGGCCTCGCCTCAATCCACAAATTCGCCTTCCGCATGACCGGCATCCGCCTCTCCGCCGCAATCCGCCTGCACTACCTCACGCACCTCCTCAACCAGAGCATGCACATGCTGGACTCCCTACCGCCAGGCCACGCCGTCGGCACAATCACAAGCAGCAGCAACACGCTCCGGCTCGGTATCTCCGAAAACCTGGCCATCTTCATCGAATACAGCACGCTCATCATCGGCTCTTTTGTCGTCGCGTTCGTGTGGAGCTGGGAGCTGTCGCTCGTCACGCTGGCAGGCTTTGTGGCCGTCGTTTTAGTCACGGGGAGTTTATTCCCGCTTACTGTGCAGGGCCAGGCGAGACAGGTGGAGGTGGAGAAGCAGGCGGCGGGTATCGCCAGTGAGTGTTTTGCGGGGATCAAGATGATTATGGCGTTTGGGGCGCAGAGGCAGAGTGTTGAGAGATATGGGGCTTTGGTTGAACGGGCGAAGCAGCTGGCGCAGTCTACCAACTTCCTCACGTCGTTTCAGTTCGCTTTGACGGTATGTCCAGTCCAACCCACCCACGGGATTTCAAGCGATTGATGTGATGAGATAGTTCTTCGGTGTCTTCGGCACCATCGCGCTGGCCTTCTGGTACGGAGCGCTTATCTTGACGAAAGACAGACTAGACAATATCGGCGTCATTGCCGTGTAAGATAACCCTGCCTCCATGGGATTTCGAAGTCGTGCAAAGCTAACGAAACTCCAGTGTTGTGCTAAGCTTAGCAACAATCTTCTTCTCCCTCGACCGCGTCTCATCGCCTCTACAAGCAATGGGGAAAGCCTCGATCGCGGCCTGCGAGTTCTTCTCCCTGATTGATGCCCCAGCCCCGGAAATAGGGACCCTCAGGGCCCCCGACGTTTCCGCAAAAGAAGACATCGTCTTTGAGAACGTCACGTTTGCGTATCCCAGCCGAGCGGACGTCAAGGTCCTCGACCAGCTCGAATTGCGCATTGAGGCGGGCAAGACGACTGCTATTGTTGGGCCCTCGGGGTCGGGGAAAAGTACCATCGTCGGCTTGATTGAGCGGTGGTATACATTGAGCCCGCAGCATGTCATAGAAAGACAGCAAGTGAAAGAAGACGCTGCTGTTGAGAAGCTTGGGGTTGACGAGGCCAGTGTGGAAGGAGCGGGAGATCGCGTTGAACTCCAGGGGACCATCAGGACGTGCGGGCATTCGCTGGACGAGATCGACGTGAAGTGGTGGCGATCACGCATTGGACTGGTACAGCAAGAGCCGTTTCTGTTCAACGACACCATCTATGGGAATATTGCCCGGGGCTTGATTGGCACGCCCTGGGATGGAGAGTCTGATGAGCGAAAGAGGGACCGTGTCGTGGAAGCGTGCCGGGAAGCCTTCGCCGATGAGTTCATTGACAAACTCCCACAGGTACGCACGCGGTTTGGTGATTAGATTTAGATATTAATCTCTTTAGGGCTACGACACGTGCGTTGGAGACGGGGGCGCCAGGCTCTCAGGGGGCCAACGCCAACGCCTCGCAATCGCTCGATCAATCATCAAAAAGCCCGATATCCTCATACTGGACGAAGCCACCAGCGCCATTGACGTCCGCGGCGAACGAATCGTCCAGGCTGCTCTTGAGAAAGCCGCGGAGAATCGAACGACCATCGTCATTGCGCATCGGCTCTCCACCATCAAAAATGCGGATCGGATTGTTGTGCTGCAGAAGGGAAAGGTCGTCGAATCGGGCAGCCACAGGAGCCTCATCTCCATCAAGGGAGGTATCTATTCCGGTCTCGTCCACGCGCAAGACCTTTCTGTCGGGCTATCAAACCGGGGACCCGAGTTGGAAAATCCATTCGAGAACGAAGGCTCCGATGCCCTCCACGCCGAACATACCAAAGAAACAACCAAGAGCACCAAAGAACCCTCTTCTCGCTGCGCTCGAAGACCAGCCCCCAGCGTCCTCGGAAGCTCCCTCCATCTCTTCCTTGAATCAAAACCCCACTGGCCCATCATGCTCCTCAGCCTCCTTCTCTCCGCAGCAGCAGGAACCGCCCAGCCCATGCACGCCTGGATGTACGCGCGCTCAATCAGTCTGTTCAAATGGCAAGACAACCACCCCAAACTCATGAAGGAGATCGACTTCATCGGGATCATGTGGACCGTCTTCGCGGCCTCCGCGGGCCTCGCCTACTTCGCCACATTCCTGTCCTCCTGCCGCGTCGCATCCTTCATCCGCGCAAGGTACCAGGTGCAGTACTTTTCCTTGCTGGTCCACCAGACAGCCGCGTATTTTGATGAAGATGGCCACTCGCACGGGACGCTGGTTGCGCGCGTGCGAGATAACCCGCGGAAACTTGAGGAGATGATGGGCATGAACCTGGCGCAGGTGTGTATCTCTGTGTTCAGCATCGTTGGCGGCGTGATCATGGCGCTCGTGTATAGCTGGAAGCTGGCGCTGGTGTCGCTGTGCGTCGTCGCGCCGATCAGTGTGCTATCTGGCTACATCCGATTCCGGTACGAGGTGCAGTTCGAGGAGATGAACGATGCGGTCTTCGAGGAGAGTTCGCAGTTTGCGGCCGAGGCAATAGGCGCATTCCGCACCGTCACGGCTCTGACTCTTGAGGACGCCATCTATGCTCGCTTTGAGAGGCTGTGTGCTGGACATGTGCGTGCTGCATGCAGGAAGGCTCGCTGGGTGAGTCTTGTCCTTGGGTTCTCGGAAAGCACGAATCTAGGCTGCCAGGCGCTGATCTTTTACTACGGCGGCTGGCTCCTCACGCGAGGCGAGATTGATAATATGGCGTTTTTTGTGTGTTTGATGGCGATTATGAATGCCGCTGAGGGGTTCGGCAAGAGTCTTAGTTTTGGGCCCAATGCGGCGCAGGCGGCGATTGCGTCGGATCGGGTTCTTGGGGCAAGGGAGTCCAGCTTGAAGGTGAAAGATGCATGCGAGGAAGAAGGTATGCATATGCAGGACGGGGGTGTTGAGATCGAGCTGCGTGGCGTCCGCTTGAGATATCCCGCTCGCGACATCCCAGTCCTAAACGGTCTGAACATGACGATCGCGAAAGGCCAGTTCGCCGCTCTGGTCGGCGCATCAGGATGCGGAAAGACGAGCATCATCTCCCTGCTTGAGCGATTCTACGACCCAGACGAGGGCCAAATCCTCTTCAACGGGAAAGACATCTCGCAAGTCAACATCTACGCCCATCGCAAACGCCTGTCTCTCGTGGCGCAAGAGCCGACCCTCTTCCAAGGTAAACCAGCCCTTCTTGAGTCTCCCATAACCCACTAACCCTCCAGGCTCCGTCCAGGATAACATCCTCCTAGGAATAGACCCCGCCACCGTAAACGACGAGGCCCTCCACGCCGCGTGCCGCGACGCCCTAATCCACGACTTCATCGCCTCTCTCCCAGAAAGCTACGACACGGACATCGGATCCCGGGGCATTGCTCTCTCCGGCGGGCAAAAGCAGCGTATCGCCATTGCGCGCGCTCTGGTTCGCGATCCGCTGCTCCTCCTCCTCGACGAGGCGACCAGCTCGCTGGACTCGGAGAGCGAGAGGTTAGTGCAAGCGGCGCTGGAGCGGGCGGCGAAAGGGCGCACGATGATTGCGGTTGCGCATCGGCTGGCGACGGTGAAGAATGCGGATGTCATCTTTGTCCTTGGGGATGGGGGCGTGTTGTTGGAGCGGGGGAGTCATGGGGAGCTTCTTGGGAAGTGGGGTGTTTATTATCAGATGGTGAGTGGATTTTTCGCGTCGGTTTTTTTATTATGCTGATTATTGACGGGGAATAGTGTCAGAATCAGGCTCTCGATTGATAGGCTCCGCTCGATGGTTACTCACTACAAGGGGTCTCCAACCGACTAAGCCACACAGCGTATGTTCTGCATAGGGTTCGGAGTATACGGTGAAGGTATGCATTGTTCATCGGGGCACAACGCTTTCCCCTGAGTATGGTGTAGAACATGACTAGAGAATAAAGCATACCCATGGTATATAGCATGGTAAAGGTATAGTTGATATTTACAGCCAGAGCATAGCACGTTCGTCCCAATCACAGAATCAAATATGCACTGTCTCGCGTCCAGCCACTGCTTACAATACCAATAGAGAAGGTCATATTTGCAGCCAAGGGAGACCACGTCTGCGAGCGTTGTAGGCCCGTAAACGTAGATATAAGGCTCTCGGGAGCCAAGGAGGTTCATTTTGGGGCCGTGGAGGATGGATTTGGGCATGGTGGCAGTAGACTGGTGTCTTGCTGAAGCTTGCGCGGGTGGAATGGTTACTTGCGGCGGAAACAGGGCAGGGCTTATCAGAGAGGGCTCGACTAGAATGGATGGGATGCCACTATTGATTGCTGCGGGCATTGAAGGAGGTTTAAGGCTTAGCCGGGACCACTCTCTTAATACCATCAAGTTATTCAGCAGCAGTATGGCCTCTGAAGAGGCCTTGGGCAGCTTCCTCCACCCTTTGGAGAAAGGGACTACGCGCACCTCCTTGTACAGATATAGATTGTTGAAGGAGACCTGGTCGAGTCTGGAACGGACCAGGGGATCTTGAGAACTTAGTCTCGGCGGGCATACTAATCTAGCTTTCTGTAAAGGTTTGAGGGGCTTACCTAGCCGGTGAAAGGCCTTTGTTTGAGTAGAGATGAAAAGAATATGTTTGACAATGGAACAGCGAATCTGTGGTTGTTCAGGAGGGGGCCAGGCACAGGGACTTCATTCAACCGCGAAGTGTCCTTGTGATGGAGCAATCAAGATTAGGGGTCAGGGTCCCTGTCTCCTTCGGTATCAAGGCGTACTTACTGGGAAAATTCTGACGGGCCGGAGTGGACTCGAAGGCATAACCCTAACCCTATACTGTCCTCTACACAGATACCTACACTTTGAGCTTATTGACCGCATGCACTCACTTGCTTTGACATGATCAGGTTGGCACTGCCACATGCCCTGGCCTTGGAACAGTCAAGCCATGGCGCGGCTAAAATCGGTACGGGCCATGACTTGAGGAGGCAGGATAAAGAAGAAGGAGATGAATGTGCAACCAGGGCACTCGGGAGGTCCCGTCAACACTGACCATCCTTCTTGTTGTGTAATCCACTTGAAGCCGTCTGCTATAACGATAACAGAAGGTGACGGGGTTTCCTGATCAAAAGCATTGAGACTTTTGGTCCAGGCAGTCTTGTCGGTTGCATCTGACGCACAACTGATCTCGTATAAAGGAAAGGGACAAAGGAAAGGGCCAAGATTGGAACCGTTGGTGCCGAAGCACATGCTTCTAGGTTCTCTCTGGGGAGGGCTGATATGCTTTGTCTTTTTCCTGGCTTTGATTCTCGAGATGGGATGTCGAGAATAAGAAGGCCTTCGATCGCCTGGTTGCAAGGCCATCGAACAACGTTCTCGACATGTCTGAAATACCACGCGGTGTCAAGCCGGCAGGTATAGCTTGTCCTCCCCCAATGTGAAGCAATGCTGATGATTGCCAGCCGATGTCGCCCAGATCCTGAACAGAGCCCAGGTGCCCAACCTTCTCTTTGGCTGGTGGGTTGTGGGTCTGTACAGTCAGGCCCAGCCCTTTCCGGTATCATCCCTTTCCCTTAGCCCTTCCTTTCCTTTACCTTCATTCAATGCTGATAGCTTCACTCAGGAAATCGACTTCATTGTCCCCGACGGCCAGGTAAGCCCCTTCTCCCATCCCCAACCCTCCACGATACCCCTGGCTCGGCTGACACTGTTCCCCCCGCCCTCCCCCCCTTCCAGTTCGAGTCCGGCATCCGCGCACTAATCGACGCAGGCTTTCAGTACTGCGATGACCCCAAGTGTCCAGAGCTCGTATACGACCGGTTCCCGCGCAAAGGAAAGATCGGAGACAAGTACCCTATAACCGAACTCCTCGCCAACCTGGCCCTGAACGGATGGCACGAGATTGCCGACGCCCACTTCCACGTCGAAACGCAGTATCGCAAACCCAAATTCACAGTTCTCTCGCTGTACAAACAATCACGTCTCCTCTGGGCCCTCCCCACGCTAACCCTTGACCCCGTGCCTGCCAATGACCCAACATTCGTGCTCACCAACGACGCTGCTCGACTGCCACCCAGGACCCCAGACTTTTACAGTAGCTCGGGTCCTTGGCTGGACGTGCCCGCCGTCAAGACGCTGACGTACGCTGCGCTTTTCGAAGCCTTCATCCGGCTGAAATGTCGGCACCTTCAGGAGCGGGGGATGGCGGAGTGGAGGACCGACATGTGGGATGAGAGGCTGTGCTACACGGTTGGGGGGACCGCGAAACCTGAGCGCTTGCGAGCCCTACGCGAGAATCTCACTCCGCAGTTTCAAGCTGTGTTCGACGCCCATACCCGTACCGCCGAGAACATTGCTAGCAGAGCGACGCCCCGGGACGCAATGAACACGCTTTATGATCAGCTGGTCGCGAAGGGGGAGTTGTAGAGCGACCAACCCTTGCCGGAGTCTGGGAATTATGGTACCGGGCCATATGGCAACCACCGGGACTGTCCCTCGTTTTCTGTTCCTGGAAGATGCTTTGGAGGCCTGGCTAGGCCTCTGGTTGGTCTTGTTCTGGCGCTGAGTTTCTTTGTTGTTGTTTGTCCTCCGTCTTGTTCACCATCTTTCTGAAAATATAACCTCATAAAGCCCATTCATCAGTATACAAAGCCTGCGCGGTACAAAGAAAACATGAGTAGTATAGAAGACCACTTACCTGTAGCCCTGGACTTTCATTTCTTCATCCTCTCCTCCTTTTCCCTACAAGCTCCAGACCGTCTATAGCCACCGTACATCCTTCTATCGCTCTCCGTTCCCTCGTCACCCGGCCCACATATAATACCCAGCCTTCCACGGCGAACAAAAACCGAAATGGCGACCGCAGCTATCGCCGGATATCAAATGACCGCCCGGAAGATTATCTCCCTCATTGCTACCGATCCAACACTTTGCAATCCGCGCGTCGCGATTGTCGGCGCTCTTGCGAGAATACAATACTGTCCCACGGCCACTGTGCCTACCGTGCGTCCCCCTTACCCAACTCCTCTCTCAACAACTGATCCAATTGACCTTCGTACCAGTGCGTCGACATTTACGTCAGCGATGACCTTAAGCAGTGTGTGGTGACCGCAATCATCTCCCGAGAAGGCCAGAATTTCGCCGCGGTTGGAGATCACAGCCTCCGTAAGCAAGCAACCAACACCCTAGTCGTTTTCCACTCCGCAGGGACTATAAGTAAAGGAGATCCAACCCGCTCGTGCCTGGCAAACCCCGAGCTAACCTGATGTCTGTTCCTTTCCAGCTTCCTTTCCCGCCGTCCACGGCCGTGCCGGCTGATCAAGTCGACCCGGACCGGATTCCCTATGCTGGGGAAGATGACCTCCTAGTTTACGCCTTCCATGCGTGTGCGGCTTACATAGAAACCAACCCCTATCAAGCCTGGTTTGAATATCGTATCTTCAGGAGGATTTTGTTCCATATGCAAGCAGATCCTGTGTCCGGCATCCAACGTAATGATTTTTACATCGGTCTGACAGATACGCAATTGAGGCATTTGACGCTTGCGTTGCAACAGTTACGGCGATGGGTTTCGATCGTCCGTCAGAGGACGACTGGCGATATGCCTTTATGCACCGATAGATGGAAGAGCCCCAGCGTCCCCGCCCTTTCTTTTTCCCATATGTGTCAGCAGGCAGATGATTCTTTTGTTGCAGGAAACGAGCCGTTGGTGCATGACTTGTCGGTTAGTTTCTAGAGCACCGCGGCATCAGCCATGGCGAAGTGATTGTATGGCAGTACCATTTGTTTTGTTTTCGCTGATGCAGCTGGGAGGTGTCATATACCTAAGGGTTAGATTCATCGGCAACGTTGGAGGAAGATAGACTGGACCAGACAGCCAGGGCAAGCAATGCACTTTAGGGACAATTCAGCTCCCACTTGCTATGATACTCTGAATCTGAACGCAGACGTAGACGTATGCATCATCTTTGACGTCCCGTCCCTCGGACCTCTCGGGATAAAGGTGACGACATCCAGCCAATTAGGTTAGATAGTTGCTGCTGGGGTTGGCGCCGTAGCATTTATGTTTCTCGCTCAGACTTAATTTGAACTTGTTGCCGTGGATGCCGGTTCCATGACTTGCTTCTTGTTAGCCTGAACACTGTTCTCTAGGAGAGAGGGATTCTTCGCATCTTTGCCCCAAGGCAGGGCCGAAAAGCCTAAGCTCAGCGTATAGATGAGTTGTAAATCGCTCCGGGTATTGTTCAGTTGCAAGATGCAGTTCATGCAGGGGAATACCTGGGCGCACCATACCACGGACCTACGTCGCACAACCTGGATGCACGACTGGAATACCCAGGTACAAGACCTACCTAGAGAAAAAGGCACGTTCAGGAGCGAGGTAAGCGCGAGCTCGAGAAAAGCAAGCCCAAGACCGAAGAGATGTAGGAAGAACGAAGAAAGAACACCCAGGCGGGAATTCAAGCTACTGTTTATACCCCGAGCCAGGGGAGCGGAAGGGTAGCTAAGTAGAATAGGTAGTAAATCCGGCTATGAAGGCCGAACTGGAGTGTCAGTTTTAGCCAGCGGGTTTGTGACATGCCTTGTAACTTCACTCTCACCATTCAGAGACCTGGCGACAAAGTGCGCAAGGGCCTCACCATCAAGAGGAATTGGTTAGTCTCTCCTATCCCGGTCAGGAATCTTCCTATGTGTACCCTCTTCCGAAATGCTAGGCAGCATCTGGTAAGGAGGCGCTCGTCGCGCCAAAGTGCGTTTGTTTCGGGGCGTGCGGCGAGCGGGACCCTCAAGAATTAATCAAACAGTGGCAGTCATCTGACATTGAAGTCTCCATCGTCATTTCTCTCTGTACGGTAACAGTAACGGGGCGATCATTCATTCATCCCATCATTCACTCAACCCTGCACAACCTGGCTAACCCGGTACTCAACGACGGTCGGCTTGCCCTTCTGCACGTTGAACCGGCCCTTGCTGACGAAGACGCGGTTCTCAAGGTCCTTATAGCGCTCGTCACCGGTCTGGATCGTTTGTTAGCAGGAGTCCGTGGCAGGCAGGAAGGGCAACTAGAATGTCTGACCTCAAAGGTAAGGTGGGTGACTATAGGAGGGCCAACGATCAGCATCAAATCTGGAATGGTGAAGCACTGGGTTAAGGGTATACGAACAAGAGTTTCCCCATGGTGTGCTTCCCTCTTCTGCTGTTCCGCCGAGGACTTTCTGCTCGGCTTCGGTTATTGTGATGACACCGGTGTAGTTCACATATAGGAGCTGGTTGTGATGACAGCAATTAGTCGAGGTTATTTCCCGTCACTCTTGTTCTGGGTAGGTGAGTCATACAGCGCCATCCTGGGTCCTGTAATGCGAAGCAGGTATTAGCAGACTGTCAACGAGACATCAAGGTCGTGGGCGAGACAGACTTGAGGACTCCGTTGGCGTTCAAGCGCATGTGCTTTCCATCGGGATCGACGTGGATGTAGTCGTTGCCGGTGCCGACGACCTGCGCCTCGAATGCTGGGTCAAAGGACTCTTCGGTCTTGAAGACGCCTTTGGTGAAAGGCTGATAGCATCTTAGCTCCATCTTTTCGGACTGGCTCGGCAGTGAATACTCACGATGATTTGAAGGGAGGTCTGGCGGACGCCGGTACCTGGTCGAGGTTATTGGCACTGTTTCTTGTGAATCCATGGTTGGAAGTCGGCTTACCAACTGCGAGAGGAGCATCGAGCTCGATCTGCGCTGGATCAGTCCCAGGTCGGGATAGTGAGCAGGGCATTGCGTACCTTGATGGTGAAAGCGGGCTTGAGGGCGGGAAATTCAGCCATGATGCCGGTGTTAAGATGGAGATGTAAGACAGGGAAGATGATGACAGAGGGGAAGCTGCAGCTATTTATTTCGGCAGCCCCGCAGTGAGGGGAAGGTTGTGCTTCCTCGGGATCCAGTCATCGCCCGCCCTCTGTTCCTGACGATGTCACGATTCGGATTATCATTGACTGGATCTGCCGAGTGGGCCGCCAGCGGAGGCTAGCGGAGGTTAAGCTGCATTTAGCTGGGGAGTTTGTCAGCAAGTCCAGCGTCACTAGTGTTTGAGTGGGCAGACTAAGGTTGATGATGCTGCCCTATTCCGGCATCGGATAGCGAATGAATTCCGTATTGGTAAGTAGCGGGCTTGCGAATATAATGCAAAGGCCAGGCGACCGTATCTATCTACTCTCTTTCCCGGCCACGTCCTTGAGGCAAAGGAACCCCAATCGCATCGCCAGGCGCAGACAAGTCAGACCCATCATCGGCGAGTTTGGGATTGGTCGGTAACAGCCCGTAGGCGTGCAACGGAGGAACGACTAGAATATAGGCCTCCTCTTCATCAGCCGCAAGCCCCGAGTCCCGGACTATATCCGCCAGCCTCGAGATGACGCTGTGGCCCCATCTGGGCTCGTCCGGACGATCACCTGGTAGAGGTGGTCGACGTCGGGTGTGGCCTCGTATCTCGGTGGTTCTGCTCGCAAGCTGCAGCATGAACTCGGTGAAGATCTCCTGTGCGTACAGGCGAGCGGGCGAATGGCTCACGTATATTCCTTTTGCTCTCTCGAACTGATCCGCATGCAGCCGGCGCCCATCTGGAGCAACATGCGATAGAATCCTAGACAGAGGCTTGATTATCTCTCGAAAGCCATTGGCCTTGAGGTTGTCGTGGGTCGCGAGGTGTTTCCGGGTGCTGTTCTCCGCTTGTAGGATGGCTTCTCGTCTTACGTTCCTTGGGTCCTCGTTAGTATGACCTTTGCAACCGGCATGTCGTCCAGGACGCACCTGGATACTCCGTCAAGACTTCCTCCAAAAATGAAATCACGATTTATGGATGGCGGTACCTGAGACCACTCGAAGACTGCCGGGCTGGGTCGACGTATCCAGATACCATAGAAATCCGTTAGTTGATATTGCTCTGCTCGTCCATCATGGCCGGAGCATGTTTCTAACTCCTGTCCGATAGCTGGTTGGTGTTGTCCTAGGCCGCTTAATGCTGTTTCTGGCTCATGCGCTCCTGTGAATAGCAACCGCGTTGGGATAGGAACATCCCAGCCCCTTCCAAGGAGCCGCACCGCCTTCCCTGATTTCTCGTCGGGGTCCAAGGATTTCGCTGAGGTAAATGCCAGGAGAGACAGAATCGCAGTCAGAGACGCAACGTCCATAGTCCATCTAAACACAGACGCACTACGACCCACATCACTGCCGGATTTCTCTGGGTCGCTGTACCTCGGTCTCACGGCCTGGGCTCGAAACTGGTACTGATGTCTCTCCTCCTCGGCACTCCTGTGCCTCATCAGACTCATTCCGCACTTCCACTGAAAGCCGGCCCCGAGTGTAGTGTCTTGGCCTGGAAGGCGGTACTCGAGAAGACCAGATGCAACCTCAAAGCCCCTACTTTCAACAGCAGCGCTGAAATCGTTGGCAGTCGGATACTCTGCTAGTCCATGCCCTGAGTTTTCTTTCTTTGGCGGTTGCTTAAAGACAAGCGGAATCTTCCTGATTTCAAATGCATCATTCTCATCGGAGATGTATTGAAGCACGCCGGTGATTGCGGTTGCAAGCTGATGTGCCAAGTGACTGCAGTCATCCCCCCATGAAACCAGTTTCCCAACTTCCTTCCGCCCCTCGACCATAGCCCGGATAAGCCAGTCTGTTGGCAGGCTTCTCATATGGCCTAGGGCTGGGTTCGGCAAGTCGGAACGCGGGTCCCAAGGCTGGCTCACCAAGCCATCAACGCCCAGCCAGATCTCCGGTGTAATCTTCAGAGAGTCAATTCCGCAAGCATCCATCATGACCCAAGACAGCTCATGCCCCTCCATAAGTTTAACAACTTTTGGATTGGCGGCAAGTCCACGACGAACAAATGCCCTGGTGCACGCCATTACTAACATAGCGCCGAGCACCGTGACAGCGACGCTCCAGTGCATCGCTCTCACTACTATGGTCAGGAACGCTTATAGTGATGGCCAATGTTTGATGATTGCTTACATCCAATGAACTGCATAATATAGCCGCAAATGGACATGCTTGCTGCCACCAGAGAGAATATGCTGAAATCGGGAGGCTCGTTTATTCGCGAAGTGCGCAGGGTTCGGCTGCCCTCCTCATTCATTATTGCGTACGATCCGTATCGCTGATCACCAACTGTGCAAGCTCGCTGTATCCTGATGATCTTGGTGTTCCCTATCTTTTCCACCAGATTGAAGTCAATCTCCTCTGTGTGGGCCTCAATGACATCTTCTAGGATCAGCCAAGTAACCATCGGGAATGAAAAACTTACATGAACAAATGAAGATACCTGCAGAGAGGACCATTGTCCCTAGAGCGAAAACGGGAAAGCCGTATCTCACGATCGTGGAGCCCTGGGCAGGGACTCGCCAGTGGTATGTAACGAGCGCAGCGATCGCAAGTACACAAACCTGCACAATGATTCCAAATATCGCAAAGGCCCAAGTTATGGCAGGCGACGTCGTCGCATCCGATACGTTGAGGGTTAGGTTAGGTGCTTGCTTCATGATCCTGACCGCGTTCCGAACCATCAAGGCGTGAAGCGCTTCCCTGGATACTGTCCGGGTCCTGGAGTCGTCCAACCGGGGGTGCGAGCCGATCATTATCCCATGCTCGCAGGCTGTTTTGAGGTCAAAAATGATGTTGTGGGCTTCTCCGTCCTTCGGCCTGTCATTCGAATCTATCTTGCGGTAAATGAACTCTTTCGTTTGAGCAGCCCCTCGCTCTCGTACTGGCACTGGTCAGAAACAAGAAATCTTGAGTGGAAAAATGACAAAATCGCTGGCGTACCTATCTCAGTCCCACTCCAGAGTTCGCAGACAGCATCGCTGGTGCAGGACAAGAGCTCCATTTCCGCGGTTGCCCTAGTTTCCCGGGCCCGTCCGACAAGCGCTCTGAGCCACCGACGGCCTCCAACACGAATGGCGCTGATGACGCAAGTCAATATTCCGAGGGGTGCCATCGCGAGGAGTATATCATCTGCATAGCCCATCTAAGACCGGTAAGCTTCAATGGCTTGTAATTGTATCAGGGACGAAACTAGAGCCTGACCTACCGATTGGGAAAGAAACTGCTTTGTGACTTGTTCGCCGAACAGTGTCAGCAGTGGGGCCAGATCTGTAAAGAGATTGTTGCTAAAGTCTTCGCCATCGAACTTGTCTGCGGACGATGTAGATTGGAAAGCTCCTCGTGTTGTTGAGTTCGTAGCCTCCATAATGGTCGTAAGCGAACCGTGATCCTGAGACAATGAACATCGCCGGTATGGGAAGCGGCTCAACCCCAATCCTGCCGAGGAGAGTCCCTTCTTATGACGAGGCTGAGCAGTAGCATTGCAGGAAGGCTTAGCGGAAGAAGCAATTACATATCATCACATCTTCTCGAGGGGCTGTGTTCAGGGTGCACATCACCCGCTTCTACTGCAGGGGTAGTTGACCAATCCGGACGCCAAATGGCTTAGGCACAGAGGAAAGACAGTGGGCGGCTGAGAACAGATGGCCGGATAAATCACCACATAGCACCTACGTGGGAGATAAGGGACCGCCCAGGGAGACAGTGCTTTGAACTTTTGCATTGTTTATATCTTGATTTAATCGTACCAAATGGCATTCATGCCGAAACCCTGCTCAGGGATATCCACGCGTGCGACGCGGGAGAGGTTCTCATCACGGAACCTATAAATCTCGACGAAGCCCAGCTGATCGTCACAGAGCGCAAGCCATTCGTCGCTCCAATCGCATGGGCTCACGGCGTTGGAGTGGCCGCCGCTGGTGGACGTGGGGTGGATAAAGAGCTGGCGCTCGATGTTGCCGTTGGGGCCCAGCTTGAAAGCAGTAATGTATCCGGTCACATCAAAGTGATTGCTGCGAGTAGTAGCGAAGAGATACTCGCCGCTCTTGGTAGTGAAGGTGACGTCGCCGCGGTACTTGTTGCGCGGGGGAAGGCCTAGCTGCGTTAGGACCAAATCACAGCAACATGTACATGGAGAACATACCGGGAGGAAGTAGAGGATATGTGATATGGGTAAAGACGGGCTTGTGCGTTCGCTCGTCAATGACGTAGACAGCTAAACGGTTACCGGCCTCCATCAGAGCGTAGAGGTATTTGCCGCTGGGGTGCATCTCAACCCAGCGGGGATGGTCACCAGGGTCTGGCGCCTCGAGGCAATCGATCAGAGTCAACTCGCCCGTCTCAGAGTCCTTTAGGTGGGTCCAGATCTTGTTGGCCTGCAAATCGGCAGAGTATAGGTAGGTCTCGGTGGGGTCGAACACCATGCCATGGATACCGGTGTTGGGCTCGTACTCGTAGTTCTGGATATTCTTGGCGAGACGACCATCCGACTCAACTGAGAACACATTTCCGAATCCAGCATACTTGTAGAACGGGTTTCCATAGACGTTGTAGGGAGGCTTGCGAGCGGCGAGAACGAAAATCGCACGGGTGTTTGTGTCGTCGTTGGCGGCCATAGCTGTAGACAACAGTTCAGTTAGGTACCACGGTGAGTAGAATATATGAAAACGTACGATGTCCTGCCACAGGGTGGGAGACTTGGTGAACAATGTCGGTAGGGCTGTTGACCGCGAAGCTATTCCACTTCTTCATGGCGGCGCCATAGATGGCTTTTTTGTCGTGCTAGGCTGGTTAGACATGCCGATTGAAGACCTGATGGTGAACATACTGAGAAGGTCATCCATGAGATCGGCTCAGCCTCAGGGATGTCGGTCTTCTTGACCAGCTCCAAAGTCAAGGCCTCATCATCGAAAGCAACTGTGTAGATGCGGCCCGGCTTGGTCCAGGTGCCGACCATCAAATGATGCTTCATCCTGACTGATTGAGCGGCGATTCGCAATTGACGAGGATATCGAAGGGGAGTAGTCCTCACACGCCACATCAGGAGCAGTAGCAGAAGAAGAGGGGAGGTATTCAGGATGGAGAAGTTAAGAACGGCAATCAACCACGGCAGCACGCCTGAGCAGCCTGAGGCATGCTTCCCCAGAAGCCCCGCAAACGCCGGAAGAAGACATTGCCGCGGGACATTGGCTGTCGTTCAGAGGAATCATTCGATTATTTGACGGGTGCTGGTTTCGAGGGTTTGCCGACAACGCTCTAATACTTGCGTATCGGACACGCCAGCTGGACTGCCGCCGAGTGCCGACGATGCATCCTTAGCTCGCAGGGTTGGTGGTTGAGCTTTCTGTGAATCCATCGGCAGAGTGAAGCGCCTGGATCCCCGATGGCGGTGGACAGAGGCAGAATCCCGCCTGAACCGCATCACGTGACGACGCGTCGCGTCTTTATCGCTTGTGTTAAGTGAGCTCACCTCTCTCCTCCTTCCTCTCTTCATCAGCTTTCGCATCGCCCGCTCAACCAATTTTCTGACCAGACTTCGCTTGTTTCTGCTCATGGTACGGCTACCACGGATGCTTATCGTACTCAACACTTTTTCAGCCGAAACCCGTCTTCCCTTGTCCGAATTTCCCTCCGGTGTTACCTCTCGCCTGCCAAGGCACCCTTACAGACGTACCGCCTCGAACTCCCTAATTTCGATTGAGCATGCTCAAAGCTCGAGTAGAGCGCCGACTTGCCTGACCGGAATTGGGAATCTAACCCTAAGCCACCTTCGTCGGTCCTGGAATCGCCTCGCAGTGAAGCATGGGAGTTGTTGACTAGCCGATTGATCTCGACGAAAGGCAGCTCTCCAGAGCCGAAAGGCACCTAAAAGACGGAAATACCATGCGTTTTTAAGTCCAACGCTCGGACACGCGTCGGTATCCTACGCTGGGCATTCATGCGGATCAACAGGGATGGGTTTGTCTATACCGAGACTAGAAACTGGGGATCCCCTGTGTGGACTGATCGAGCATCCTCGGATGTATTTCGCCGGTTAATATCAATGCGGACCCGAGTCACATTGGCAGAAACATTGTATATTGCCGAAACGATTTGTTCTGAACACAACAGCTGTCTTCGTCGAAGACTTGCCTACATACGGTCATGCAGTCGAGCTGTGAATAAGGAAAATCCACTTGCCGGAATCAGTCCAATCGACCGGATCCAGTTTTGCTGGCCAACGCATTGGATTGTAGCAAGGTTTTTCTGATTACTTCTTCGCAAGCATGACTCTTGGAGTTCATAACCGTCTCCAAGAACCCCCGGCCTGTTGTCACGTTCCGGTATCGATCTTTCTACCGACCCATTTTCGCTCACCCAACACTGTCTCAAGGCTAGCACACCTCAAATCACGGCACCAGCCACCGATTTGCTTCTTTCATCGAAGGTCCGATCCACTGCGTTAACCGTCTCTTTGCAAAGTAGATTGCAAATCGATCGAACGGGCTCCGACACCTATCTCTCGGGATAGACACTCAATAAGCGGTTTTTATGGATGTTCTTTGGCCGCCCTCCAGCCTTGGAGAGAAAACGAAAATCTTGTCCCCGGAGGTACTCTGTCACACGCAGGAGGTTAATTCACCATGGGTTTACGTTCGCGACATGAGAAGGTTATCGGGTCCCTCGACGCAGGAAAGGCACGACAAGTACTCCAGCCAACGCCCTCTGAAACGAACATACCGACGTCTCTTTAGAAAAGATTGCGAGAAGGATAACGATGCGATAGCATGTTCACACCCTATCAATCCAGACATCCCAACACTCTTTTTCGAAACTCAACAATTCCTTCCGCCTTTGCTTGAGTTCCTGACTCGGATACTGGAACCAACAAGTGACGGGACCTCTCTCGTGTGAGGATCAAAGTCTAGGCTTGTCTGCTGCTTGTTCGGTGAAAGTGTCTCTTGTCTGGGAATACTCATGGGCAACCGGTTGGCTTTGGTGGCTTTGGGGAAAAGAATTGGATCGTGTTCTGCTGGTATGGGCTCGTGAACGGGCCGTTTCCCCGGGGGGCGGCCCCACTTTTTTTTTATACGTCTTCCCTCTCCAATATTGGTTTGAAGTTGATATGGCTAACTACATGCAGCTTGTGAGTTTGGGGTTCTGCGACCGTAACCGATGAGCGTGGGCTAGGCGGAAATTGCTTTTATTACTAGCTGTGTCGGCCAAATGAACAAACGTATATTGCGACATGGAAGAAATGAGGTATGGAAAAAGGGGATGTGTTTAGTGAACAACTCGGGGAATTGGATCCCTACCATTAAACCCCTTTACCTGTCTCGCGCTCAATTCCGTTGACTACCCCATTTTGATCTATTATTAGTAAATTTTCTTGAATCCACGGGAGCGAGAAACACTATGTGAAAATGAAATACACCTCTGATACGGACTACATCGGCGCAATATCCAAATAGTAGCGCAACTCGTAAGCATTACTAAGGAAAATACCACTGCTTTTTTCTATATGTACCCTGAACCAAAACAGAAGCAGCAATGCTAATTGGTATACGGACCTGACATTCCAACAATCAAACCAAAGCGAGACGAAAATCAACACATCAATCACAGCATATACCCCTCCTACATGCTGAACAAGCCCCAAGTGCAAGCCAAAACAATAGTCTAAGCCTGAACCGCCTCGAAGGCCTGCTCAAGAATCCGCAGGGCAGTCTTCAGCTGATCCTCCGTCACTGTCAAAGGCGGAACGAACCGCAGGCACCCCTCACCAGCAGTAATAATGAGCATACCGCGTTCCCGAGCGGCAGTGATGATCTCACCAGCCTTGGGCGAGAAGTCCTTCGAGAGCTGGAGACCAAGGATAAGACCACGTCCGCGGATCTCAGAGATGAGGGCTGGATACTTCTGCTGCAGGGCCTGGAAGCCCGCGACGAGAATGGCGGACTTGTCTTGGACGGATTTCTGAAGCTCGGGCGAGGCGAGGCGGTGGATGATGTGGTGGGCGACGCGGCAGGCGAGAGGGTTACCGCCGAAGGTGGTGCCGTGGTCGCCGGCTTTGATGTTCTCTGCGACGGTCTTGCCGGAGACGATGGTTGCGCCGATGGGGATGCCGTTGCCGAGGGCTTTGGCGGTGGTGAGGATGTCTGGGTGTGCGGGCTCGCCGTTGGCGGGGGCGAGAGAGGGGTGGGCGTGGGCCCAGAAGCTGCCAGTGCGGGAGAGGCCGCATTGGATCTCGTCGAAGATCAGGACGGCGCCGACCTCGTCACAGCGCTTGCGGAGAGCGACGAGGAACTCGGGGGTTGCGACGTTGACGCCGCCTTCGCCTTGAATGGGCTCGACGATCACACCGCAGGTCTTGTCTGTGATGAGGTCTTGCAGTTGGGCGACGTCGTTGTAGTTGCCGTACTTGAAGCCGGGGAGCATGGGCGAGAAGGGGGTCTGGTACTTCGGGTTCGGGGTAGCGGAGAGGGCGCCCATTGTACGGCCGTGGAAGGAGCCTTGGAAAGAGACAATCTCGTGCTTTGCGCCGGAGGGGTCGCGGGCACGTCCGGTTTTGCGGGCGAACTTGATGGCGGCCTCGTTGGCTTCGGTGCCGGAGTTGGCGATGAAGACTTGGGCTGCATCGCGCATGGCGCCGGATTCGCGGGTGAGGGTGATTAGGTCTTTGCTGAGAGCGCCGACCCAGGCGTTGTGGTACAGGTTGGAGGCGTGGAGGAGGGTTTCGGCCTGGATACGCATCAGCAATGAATGGTTAAGACATAACTGCCATGCGCACCTGCTCGGCGATGATCTTCGAGATCTCGGGGTCGCAATGACCAAGCGAGTTTACTGCAATACCTGCCGTGAGATCAAGGTACCGCCTGTTTTCCATGTCCCACAGGTAACATCCCTGTCCCTTGACCATGATTGGGGCCGGACGAACGTAGGTAGGAACGAGGTACGGCGCGCGCTCATTGACGAAAGCTGCTGAGACGGAGTCGGCTCCGGGATCGGGTGTAATGACGGCGCCCTTCTCACATTAGAACACATACTCGATTTAGAACGAGAGAGCAATTGGCCTACCTGAGCTTTGGAAGTCGCAGAGACATACCGGCGCTGCAGCGGTGACTCAACCGCGGAAACCAGCCTCTTCGCCAGCGGCAATCGCCGCGACGCAGCACGAACAAATGACATTGCGATGGTAAGCCTGAAGAGTCTAGAGCTTACAGAAATTGAGGGCTTGTCGAGGTTTAAGAGAGAAAGGGGAAGTTGACAAAACGTGGGGAGAAAGAAATGCCGCATCCAAAATCGGGTTGAAATGACGGCGATATCGGCTCGGCTGATCACCTCCGCGGTCTCCGTCCGCCACTCCGCATTTTATCCTCTGCCATCCTAACCCTCTGACTCTTCCCTCCCAAACAAATGACTCACATCATCAAAACCTACACTACACACAAAATGGCCATGTCTCTTATCTCCCGCCGAGTTCTGTCCCGCGCTAGCCTGAACCTCCCAGCGCGCGCCCTCTTCTCAACCTCCCGCGCCCGCCTCGCAGACGACTCAAAACCCGTCTTCGCATTCCGTCCAGGCCCCGCGCCACCTCGTCTTCCCGAAGACGAGCAGAAAATCTTCGAGCAGCTTCAGAAACAATCTACCGGCGCATTCAGCACGCCGCAAGTCAACCAGTCGCCGGACTCGGAACCCGCGCGGGTGGAGGCCAGCGGCGATGGAGAGGAGCTTCATCCCGACGCGAAACCCGGACTCAGGCCCGAATTCGAGGGCGAGAAGAACCCGAAAACTGGCGAGATTGGAGGGCCAAAGAATGAACCGTTGCGATGGGGCTCTGGAGGAGATTGGAGCTATGGGGGGCGCGTTACGGACTTCTAGATGAGGTCTGGAGGTGGTATAAAATATGAGTGATGTGCATGTACATTAGTGGCGTTGGGATAGATTAATTCTTTGAATGATTGCTCTGCGCAGTTGTGCCGTGTAGGTTCTGACACATGTAGGTAGTTTGCTTCTTCATTCCTAGGTACTGCGAGGGTGCCGTGTATATATTTTCGCATCTCCCTCAAAGAAAAGACCTCCCCAACAACTTACCCTTTAGCCACTTATTGAAGACCAGGCGAGAGCGTCTACACTCAATGGGTTAGAGCCTTGAAACCAACAAATGGTTACGACGATATAAAACAGCTCAACTTTTACCGACGACCCATCCGCCACACCCAGAAGGAACTTTGCTAGACGGTTGGTGCGCGCTGACAGCAGCTCACAGTGCTCCTAATACAATACAGCTTGACAGCGCCCCTTGACGTCTCCAGTAACTGGACAATGAGATCACCATACCAACCATAGCTACGACTAGACTACCTCTAGTATAGGTATATTTGTGTCCCCATTGCACAACTACAACTACCCAGCTTGTATCTCCCGAGACCGCAGGGCTATGCGAAAAGAGGGGTATATAGCGAAACAATCAGGTATGGTCCGGTACAGTTCGAGTCATCTATCATCATGAGACATCGTAAGGGTCTGTTTGCCAGTATAAGACGACGACCTTACGGAGTAGCGCTTGTCAGTCTGCATGCTGTCCATGTCCAACTTTGCTCAGGACGCCAAGGGGCAAAGGTGCAGCATATGCGTATAAGTATGGAGTACCTACTCCATAGGCTTGCGACGATCCTTTACTTTGCGAGTGCTGGCCATGGAGCATGGATGGCCTTCCTTGCGGCAAGGACCGCAAACCCTCATCAGTATCACCAGACAATCTCATAGTCCGAGCCTTAAGCAGACCACATCACTTGTTGCGGGTCGGGGATCGACGGATAGTCCGATGCCTCAAGTTCAAACTAAGACATGCACACAACTGAAGAACGGTCTTGCGTTCGGGAACAGGATAAAGGCCGGGGACGCGACCTCTAAGGATCTCTTGAAGTCAGCATTTGCCACAAAAAGATATTCATAGTAGCGCGGTGTTGCCGTGCTATCATTGAGATCCGGAGGCCCTTGACATCTCAAGACAACCATTTCATAGACCATGAGGATGTGTCAGACTCAGAGCGGTGGCACGCGAACCAGAGTCCGCGAAAGCGCACAAGGTCCTCGACCAACAATCAGCAGACCCTCCCTTGGGCGACCTGGAGTCCATAGAATGGCGCACGTGGAGCCAGCGACGAAGAGGAGTGGGGGACGGCCATCGATTGCGAAGACATTTCAGAAACTCGGTGTCTAATGCTAACGAGACTGGAATCAACTCGTCTGACCAGAGCCATCAGAAATAGATTCAAGCATCAAGAGACTGAAGGATGCCAGTATAAAACGGAGAAGGCTGCCGACGTTGAACAGCATAAGGCTGGATCTCCTGAGGCTAACGGACGCTTTCCCCGATCGGGCCTTCGAGACACTGACGTAGGGCCGCCCTCATTCTTTTTTCTTTGGCAGCTTGGCTACGCGTTCCTATTTCTTGCTGCCTATGTTCGTCTCTGATTCTTTGACATCTATGCTTGATTCTACTTGATTATCAACACTCGGCCCGCTCCAACGGAGCCTATACGCCTTACAATGATTCCACCGCGCCTACTCGCGATTCTGTACGGCGTCGGACTTTTTGCCCACGCGTCCGCCGTGCCTGTCGCAGAACCAGAACAACAGGTTCTGGGTACGCTCAACAGGGAGGAAGATCAGATCGAGTCCTCGAGGCGACTCTCAGGGCGGTTCTTGCACATTACAGGTATTGTTTGCAATCCCAAGGTTCCTACGTTCTGTGTTTTTGCCGGGGAACCGGCTGACCGCTTCCAGATTTCCATTTAGACACACACTACAAAGAAGGAACTTCAGCGGAGCGAGTATGTCACCGAGATACTGGAACAGCGGGCTTTTTGGGAGCTGAGGGGACCGATTGCGACTCACCACAAGCTCTAATTGACGAAACATTCCGATGGATCGAGAGGAATCTGAAAGGCGAAATCGATTTCGTGCTTTGGACCGGAGACTCCGCTCGACATGACAACGATGAGAAAATACCTCGGACGGCTGGTGAGATAATTGAGCTGAACAAGGTCCTGGCGGCCAAGTTCATTGATGTCTTCGAAGACTCGAGTGCCGCCCGCGGTCTCTCGATACCGGTCATTCCCACGATTGGCAACAACGATATCATGCCGCATAACATCTTCAGAGAAGCCCCGAATAGATGGACGAGGAGGTTCACGGAAGTGTGGTCGAAGTTCATACCCGAGGCGCAACGTCATACTTTCGAAGAAGGCGGATGGTTCTCGGCAGAGCTGGTTCCCAACAAGCTTGCCGCAATCAGCTTGAACACGATGTACTTCTACGAGTCCAACTCTGCTGTAGACGGCTGTGCGGCGTCGTCGGAACCGGGATTTGAGCATATGGAGTGGCTTCGCGTGCAATTGGAGATTTTGCGGGAGCGCAAAATGAAAGCGATTCTCATCGGACACGTGCCACCTGCACGGTCGGGCGACAAGCGGAGCTGGGACGAGAGCTGCTGGCAAAAATACACCTTGTTCATGAATCGGTTCCGCGACGTTGTCGTCGGCAGTGTGTACGGTCATATGAATGTCGACCACTTCATGTTACAAGACAGCCGTGATGTGGACATTGTCGCAGCCACAGAAGACTCGCCAAGCGATCCTAGCTTCAGCGTGCAGTCTCGCTCAGACTACCTCTCTAGCTTAAGAGAGGATTGGGCTGAGATGCCGTCTCCGCCAGATGACAAGGCTTCCAATTTCTTTTCATCTGATGAATGGGACATGGAAGCCCTCGGGAAAAAGGAACGGCGGTTTTTGGAGAAGATTGGTGGCCCGTTCGCAGAAAGATACAGCGTCTCACTGGTTTCACCCAGCGTGGTGCCAAATTACTTTCCAACGTTGAGGGTTGTCGAGTATAACACTACCGGTCTGGATGGCGTTAAGCTGTGGGCCGACACGGCATATAGTGAAGGCTCGTTTGAGTCTCTTGACTGGGATGCAGTCAAACGCGACTCTTCAGAAGATGTCGCTGAAGCGGATGAAGCGGATGATGGCGAAGATGTCGAAGAGCAAGGGAAGAAAAAGAAGAAGAAGAAGAACAAGGACAAGAAGAAAAAGAAGAAGCCGAACTTCAAGATACCCGACCATCCCTCCAAATCCGAACTCCCTGGCCCCGCCTACTCAAATAAGCCTTTTACATGGCTGGGCCTGGCCCAGTACTACGCCAACCTCACCGAAATCTATGAGAAGCGAGCCTCATCCAAAACCCAAGAGGGTTCCCATACAGTCGAGGACGAAAACACAGCAGCTCACGTCGACCTATATCACGTCGAGTACGACACTAGAGATGACAACCTGTACAGCATGAGAGACCTCACAGTGCGCAGTTACTTCCGACTCGCCAAACGGATTGCAAAGAAGGACTCGAGCGACGAGAGCGCCCTTGCCAGTGATCCCGACTCCAGTGATGACGAAGACGAAGAAGCGCCAAATACAAAGAGGTCAAAGAAGAAGATGAAGAGGCCGCGCACGAACCAGGTGTGGCGAACATTCCTGGATAGAGCATTTGTTGGCTTTTTGGGCGATGACGAACTTGACGACATTCAGATATAGAATCTCCCTGCATTGCATCCTGTATAAGACTTTATTCCGTTCAGGATTCTTGGCTTTGGCTGTCGAGTTGATTTAGCGACTTTGGATTGAAATTCAGCATCTTGTACACCTCTTCCTGTTCTTTGCCCTAGCCCTGAACTCCATACTCATCTCGCTTTTGTTGGACTGTATGGCCTTTCATATCCAGTAGTTCCATGACATAGATGGTAAGATTGAACCGTCATCTCACCTTTCTTCATTCTTCACATTTGCCCTGGATCGCGCTCGGTGCCTGCGACGGCCAAGGTAACCCGCTCCAAGTTACCTAGAAGAAGCATCGTAGTTGGACCTGGATACTATTTCCCTTAGCACAGAGTCCATTGCCAGGCAGCCCGTGACGGCCGGGGCGAGGATGCTCCTTACTGAACGAGCGGGGTTTACACCTTGCTAGCAGCTCCATCTTCGTTCCAGAATCCAGACACATCGCAAAAGCTTGTGTATCGTCACCGGTGAATGGGAGATGAGCGCTTCGCACTCGACCTTCTATGAAGATGAGTTGATCATTAGTATTCCTGGCGGGGCTTGAGGTTGGCGATATCGTCACACATCGTCGGGAGCCGGCCGTCTGCCATGACGCCGTCAAGGTACTCCGTATCCTCGCCTCTTGCTAAATTTAACCTGGAATAGATTCACCCATTATTCAAATTATCCGACATAATTAGCTGAGCCTCAGTCCCGTGTCCGCTGAGTCAAGCTGAATCGGCACTGGCGGTCAGAGCGAGGCCTTGTCTATCTTTGACTTTGTCCGTCGCCCGTTGAGTTGCTAAGTCAACCAGGCTCCCGGGATCACAGCGCTTTTGTCAGGTCGAGATGGCGGTGACTTGATTTGCTGTTTATCCCCGATGCCACGCTGGCAACCGCCTGCCAGCTGTCAGTCTTACCCTGACGGCATTGCCTGGAGTTTCGCCCCTCGAGTCTTCGAGTCTCGCCTCGCCTCGCCTCGGGGTTAAGAAGCGCGCGGGTTGCCCCTCCACTTGAACGGCTCCGTCAGGCACAGGCCGCACAGCGTCTCGTTTTCTCATCGCAGCCGGAGCATTTCTTGCGGTCTGGCGCCCTGGGTTTTCCAATTGGAGTTAAGCTGGTCCACTCGACTGGGCTGTCGCTGGTTAGCCGCTGCAGGTCAGGCGAATTCTGCAGTTGGGCTCTGACACGTATCTGAGCTAAAAGCGTTGATGCGTTGTCCGTCTCCCGTCCCATGCGGCCATATCTGCCATCGCCACTTTCAATTGATGATGGAGATGACGATGTGACTTTCTTATGACGCCTGAGTCCTTCTGTTGAATCCATTCGCGCCCGACATCTTCGAATCTGGGGGAGAAGAAGCCTCACCAGACATCTGGCCATCTATAGGCTGGCAAGCGATCTCGTGGATCTACAAGATTCAATTCCAACGTCACCGCATACTCACGCAGCACTCAAGCTGCCCAAGCTAGCCAGGGTATTCCTTCGCGGCAGAGAATTTCGCTTGCTCTGTGATTGTCTCTTGCCTTGCGCCTTGTTCTCATACCGCGGAATCCACTTTGCGTCCATTGTGGCTGATATCCTTTCCTTTTCTCGGGGCCCAACTACTTTCACCGGCTGCTTGCTATCCTGAGCCCGCTTCTTTAATCCCCGGACTCGATAATAATAGTATTTTCATTCCTTCGCCGTTGACAGGTAGCAATTGTCGCCAATTGCCAGCCCGTTGCTGGTAGGGAAAACAGGCGACTGTTTCGCCTCGCCGCCTGCAATCTCACACAATGAATCGGCGCTTTCTTCGACCTCTGAATCGAAACCTGTCCGTCTCTAAGCTCGCTACTGTATACTTTTCGTCACTGCGCTCTCCCCGCAGCTAAGACTTGTCTGCCGTCTGCCTCATTCCGGGCCATGGTCAATGCGAGCTGATCGTCCGATAACATCCAAACCGATTTTCGAGGCCCAAGCTGCACACAGCCCAAGATCGCTGGAGAAACACTGACCATACTTGAGACATCATTTTTTCCTTTTTCTGAACAATTTTTCTGACTTCCATATTTCTTTACCTGCTGGCTATTCGCAACATTTGCGCTGTACAAAATCATCTTTCCCGGCTGTCTTTCAGGAGGCTCGATTGCTTTGGTATTACTGTAACATATCGTTGGACCTTCTGGTAGGTGTTTCAGATCAGCAGCTTCTACGCCAGTCATCATTGGTGGGGACCGGTTCGAACCAGAATCAAGAGAAGCGCACGAAGGACAGGGCAGAGCATAGACGCCACGGTATGCGGAAGTGATCTCGTCCACGAAGTACTCATCTAATCACAAGCATAAGCGAATCATCCCAATCTCACTCGCTTCTAAGCGCTGGGCACGAGTATGGAAAGCTGTATGGTTTAGAACCGGACTGCTCCTGTTTATCGAATTCTTGTGCGCGCTTACAGGTAAGCCTTTCGCGCTTTTGGCGCTGTCTTATTTGACCCGGCAAGCTGGATGGAGGTGGTGTTTGGCACGGTGTTTTTATACTCCCGACCCCATCAATCAACAAATTCCACCTTTCTTGGAGCCCGTGGTCGCAGCGTATTGCTGCGCTTTCCTTGCCTATCATGTCGCGATTGGTGACTATAGAAGCTAATGCTCTTGGACTCTGTGCCTTGATAGATCCGGCATCCCTGGTCCTTTGGATGGCTTCAGCTGAGGTAGACCAGAAGGCCTTGGGCAATTTTGCCGCGGTGACAGGCCTCGAGAACCCTTTTTTATCAGCTATGTTATATAAGATATTGGGCTTGTCGGTTATGCTATCGAACAAACTACTCCGCGCGCGACGATTACGACGATTGGACCCTACTCGCGAAACCAAGTCCCTGCAACTGTACTATCACATCATATGGCTTTCGCGCGAAGGCCTGTTGATTCTCGAAGAATTCGTACTCCCGATGGTGGAAGGCTTCGTGGAATTGAAGATCCTAGCCTATAAGCTCAGAGCGTCATTTTACCATATATTCGTGCTCTTCCATAATCAACCGGTTGCTCACTCCCCCGGCATCGGCAGCCTTTCCAGCAATGCGACTATCTCCAACGAGGCACCGGAAGCCGAGCCCTCACCGAGAGACCAGAACTCGCGATTATCCTTCCAAGTAAAGCCGGAGGTTATTTCAGTACCCAATCGGCCCTCAGATGTCGCGGAGCATACATCTCGAGGGTACCTGAAGGTCCCACAGCCCCCTCCAGGCCTTGCGCCTGTTCAACCGCCCCGGCCGATCTCGTCTTTCCTATTACCTGCCATCGACTATACTCCCACCGCCACTGCATGCTTCAACCATGCCGCCCTTCTAGCCGAGCGATTTCTCCCTGGGTCGCACCCTCTCCGCCTCTCCATAAAGCTCGAGTACGCTGCGTATCTATACGACTGCTTACAAGACGTCAGTGCAAGCCGCAAACTAGCAAAGCAGGCCATTGCGGACGTGTACAATGCCCAAGAAGGAATGGACGACGAAAGCTTCGAAGACGCGGCTGAAATCGTCGGGCTGCTGGGCAAGATGGTTAAGCGGACCGCCAAAATGAGCAGCCATGGCGGAAGCACGACTCGCAGCGTCACCCCGCGGGCTGAGAGCTCGCGCAGTGAGGGCAATCGAACGCCGACGGCTAGGAAAACGTCGCCACGGACCGCGGCCACGACGCCCATGCCGCCGTCGCCGAGGACGGTGAAGTCCGGGAGGGGCGGTTACTCGCCTGCTGCCGTGCCTAACCCGACGATGTTGAATCCGATATGATGCGTGATGCCGATTATGAAATGATGTGTATTTTAGCGGTGAATATTGCGACAGTTCTTGGTACAACAGGCCATTGATTTTTAGAGGAGTCCGACTTGGCTTCTTTTGTACTGGTTATATTTTGCGTTGTGGCCCTCGGGCACTCTATATATCCGTTGTGTTTCCTAATTTCTACTCATCTTTCTGGTGAAACTTTATACCCCGCCGGTCTCAGGTTGGCTCTGAGTCTCCCCGATCCTCATATTCCTGTATTTGACAACAAAATGTTGCCATCGATCTGCCTCCAGGGAAAACAGACTTGAATGATTCAGTGACATTCCGGCCTCAGGCAGGACATTTAGGCAGCCATCAAATGAAGCCTCAGGGTTCAGGCCAAAACGCCCAGGACACAGGTTTGGGGAGTAAGAACTCAACCGCTGCCTCCTCCGTACTACTCCCTGCATGTGCTGCTGTTTATCGAGAGCGCTAGCCAATAATCCGCTGTGTTTGCTCGAGGACTCGTAATTCTCTGTCTTGGCTCCTGCAAGCTGCAGCAGCGAGCTTATCGGACGGTTGCATCGCGAAGCTCGAGTTAACTGTTACCCAGTCGCGGTCTTTGACGTCAGTCCCTCTTCCAGCCTTTGCACGCAATCTCTGCCAATCGCCCCTCACTCCGGTCCCTCCAGGCTCCAGGGTTCCAGGGTTCTCGTTGCCAGCGCGATAGGCAGCATCGATCAAGCCACTCATATTAGAGATCCCTTCCCTGCAGCGCATCTCCCCCACTACCTTATTCTACGATCGAACGTTGCCGGGAGATTGGTATCTGTGTTTTTGTTTTGCTCACCGACGAGCCAGCCGACCGATCAGCCGCCGACCGACCGTGGCCGATCTCGACTCGGATTTCATTTTCGATTTGGCGCGCGCTATTTTGCCAATAACAACACCGGCCGAGGTTGGACCGACAGACGGAGAGCTGGGTTATATCCTGGAAGCACAATTGCGAGAAGGAAAGGACATTTCAACCGACAAAGAATCCTACGCGCTTATTCGACGCTGAACATTGCATTGAGCATCCGGCAATGAAGTGGCTTGCCCCGGAAGCTCCCCAAGCAAGTAGGATTTTCACCGCGAATTGAGGCTCTCGCAGGGGGCTTCAACTTTGGGCGACGAAGGAATCAGGACCATGCGGTCGGGGCTGCAGAAACCCGGTGCTGTCCCGTTCCTCGCCCTGCTCATTTTCTCCCTGCTCAGCTTGGTACCGACGCTCGCGAAGGAATGGGATTTTTACGGGTATAGCTACAGCGCGCATTTGGCGTACCTGGGTCTTCCCCGCGGGGACGGGCACGGTCGATGTATGTATACTTATGACAGGTTTATTGCATGGATTGCCCCTTGCTTAAGCTTTGCTAGCTATCTAGCTGTAACTCTAGCTCCATTGGTTGGAGGTGCTCGGCTGACAGGTCTGGCAGATTCCTCTCCCCGCGTCAAGAATGCTTCTAGTACGATCGAGCCTAGATCGCGGCTGGTTGGGACGGGCTACCACTGCAGGTCCTGGCTCTTTGGTGACTTTTATTCGTCGTGTATTGACAATGTGCGCGGTGCTCAGCCGCATCACTCGGCAGTCAACACGCCTCCGCGGAGCTCATTTGAGACTGGTCCCGAGACCGGACATGAAGCTGTCGCCTACTCGGCGACTAAAGGACCCTCAAGCATAACACGAGGGGTGAGCGCACTTAAAGAATTTGTCATCAAGCGCTGGGATGACCAGCAATCGGCTCAACCCCTTCCGCCCCGGCATGATTCTATTGATGAAATTTCTACTCACGCTACGCCGACTGTCGCCAATGCTTCTGTGACACCGGCGACTGCCAGTGGCCAGCAACGTCAACCTACGCCGAATAACGAACTCAATGAGACGCCAGCGGAGCGTGTTGACGAAGATGCTTGGGTATACAAATTACCTTTGTTGGTACATAGGACATGGCAGCAGGCCTGCATAACCGGCGGACAGTACCTAGGGAACTTGACGACTCAATCACTCGCGCGTCAGTTGAATCAAACCTTGAAGCCCAAATATGTGGCATCGCACTCCGTGGACGAGATAAGCCTCGAAGAACAACCCGGTTGCGCTTCGAATAGAGAGTCGCTGGACACCAATTCAAACCAGTCAGAACTACATCCGTGCCAGACAAACCCGCAATCGACTTTACCACCTAACTCACTTGAATTGACTGCTGGCCAGTCCAAGTTTGCCGGATTCCGACGCGATTCCGAACACATGTGTGGGAGCTCGATGGCCATCGTGATAGCTCTAGTGGTTGGAATCATGTGGTTCTGATATCCCTTCGGCTTTGAGACTTGACTTCCACGACGAACACGACATCTGCAGTCCCTTGGCCTGATGATTCACGCCATGCTTTCGCAGTTGGCCGTGCATGACTTACGACGACCATTAATAGACGGGAGCGCACGGCATCCCAAATCTGACCAACATTATTTGCCCAATATAATAATCGTCACCGTTAGCTCCTAGGGCGGTCGTCCAACATTGCTGTTTGGCTGGTTCGGCGTCGCTTGGCGGGTTGGTGCTTACATAGTATATGGCTGAGTAGCCGCTTTAATGTTTATGAAGCTTGGATGATGCATATAATACCAATGCTGCCTATATTCCCATCTCTTCAAGAGTACTCCGTATGTCGTGCAGTTTACCCCGGAGAGCGCCGCTACCGGAGCACAGCCTCCCTGCCAAGCGCCCTAGCCGGATCTGATAAGCAATTTCACGTGATCGTCCCTTTGAAAAAGTGTCCAAGGGCCATGAGACTGCTCCATTTCTTCCCCAGACAGGAGAACCCTTTGTTTTATGATATAGAGCTAGGCAATAGCTAGCTCACCTCAGACTCTACCATGGAAGACAGTCATTTCCGGCACAGCGCCTCGCACCACCCTTCCCCTTTCCAGTCCAGCCTTCATCGTGACCACTCCCTCACCGAGGGCACGACCACCGCCCTAGAGGAAGCAACCGTCCAACACCGCTCCAGCCCCTACGATGTCGACGAGGAGGGCCAACCGCCCCGGTACACCGAAGAAAATGATCCCTACCAGCTAGCATTGAAGCTCAAAACAGAGGAGGAAATCCAAGCCCTGCACCCGCAAGCCAACACCTCCCGCAAGCGCCATGGCCACGCCTCCGCAACCCCACAGCCAATGCGCTCAACCTCGGCGCTATCCACGGTCCCTACCCTTAAGAGCCTCAAAACGTCGATGGCGAGAAAGGAACTCCAGGGGTTCTACCAGACACAGAATGAGAACATCGAGCGCATGCTCAAGCCCGTGGAGGAGCACGTCCGGGACGCAAGGGAGCTGAACACGAACAACCAGCTGAAATACAAGATCGCAATCTACGGCAGTTTCGCTGCGAACGTAGCGCTCTCCATCCTCCAGCTCTACGGCGCCATCGCATCCTCGTCGCTCTCGCTCTTCACAACAATGGCCGACTCCGTCTTCGACCCGCTCTCAAACCTAACGCTCCTCCTCTGCAACAAAACCGTCAACCGCGTCGACCCCCGCAAGTTCCCCGCCGGCAAAGCGCGCATCGAAACAGCCGGCAACATCTGCTTCTGCTTCCTCATGACCGCCGTCTCCCTGCTCCTAATCGCCTTCTCCATCCGCGACCTGGTCAGCGGCTCCGACAGCGAAACCGGCGACTTCCACATCCCCTCCGTCATCGCCGTCGTGGTCGCCTTCTGCACCAAATTCGCCCTCTTCCTCTACTGCTTCGCGCTGCGCAACCAGGTCTCGCAGATCCGCATCCTCTGGGAAGACCACCGCAACGACCTCCTCATCAACGGCTTTGGTATCCTCACCTCCGTCGGCGGCAGCAAGCTGCGCTGGTGGATTGACCCCATGGGCGCGATTATTCTCTCTGTCCTAATCAGCTGCCTGTGGCTGCACACCGCATACCACGAGTTCCAGCTCCTCATTGGCGTTACCGCAGACACCAAGATGCAGCAGCTGATCACGTACATCTCGATGACGCACTCGCCGCTCATCACGGCGATTGATACCGTCCGCGCGTACACCTCTGGTCCGAGATTGGTGGTTGAGGTCGATATTGTCATGGACCCGATGGATTCGCTGCGCGCTACGCATGATGTTGCGGAGGAGTTGCAGACGAAGCTTGAGTCCCTGCCGGATGTGGAGAGGGCGTATGTCCATGTTGACTATGAGACGACGCATAAGCCGGAGCATTTTCTCAAAAAGGAGCTCTAGGTTCGAGGGGCTTTTGTATATCTAAGCTGCTTTTCGCGCCTTTCTTGCACCCCGCACCGTTGCATCTAGACCATATATACCACATTATATACCATATATCCCTGCATCTGGCGGGGTATAGAAAGCATGCAATCAAGGTATCGGAACACCAACTACGCACCTGGAGAGTTGATCGCCCTCGCATGACTATTTATACCTACCTTAATCTATAATAGACGTACACGTCAACGCAAGTTATCACCAATCGATCTTCTTTGCTTATTGGTGACGACAAGTCGCCGTCCCGCTCTGCTTCATAGTCCTTCTAACATCCTCTCTTTACTGGTAACATAGGCCGTGACCGCTTCACCACTGTATTATCCTTAAATATCTAAGTAGTCGAATTGGACATGGTTGTAGGCTGCGGTAGGTAGGGAGTAAATGATCTCTTTCCCTTGCGAATGTAGTGCTGCATAGATATCGCTCCTCGTGTGCCGTTTTTGCGGATTGAGAAGGGGTTCGAGGGGCTGCTGGGCGCCGTCTAGGGACTGCAGTGGGGGAAATATGCAAATGGTGAAGAAAGACTGGGTAATTAGTGTGCCCTAGTTAGTGTACCTATCTATAATATCTCTATAGACACTTTTCCTATTTCCTGGTAAGAATGAACTTGCAGAGGACTGATCATGCCCTATTCACTCGCGCAGATCATCCATGTACAGACATAACCCGGTAGCAGACGTCTAGGGCTCTACCATATCACTCCCCACGAAGTCCGACGAGCGGGATCTCCTCGCCATGGTCTACGCAGAACCTAGGCAGAATCCCCAACCACCAAGACAAAAGCAAAACAGAACAACCCGACCTAAGCATCCTAACTTACCTCCCAACCCATCTAGCTCTGGAAGGGCTCTACATCCGCCTGACACGTCGTATTCACCGGCGGCAACTGCCCCTGCAGCAGGTACGTCTGGATCCAGCCGAAGAGGCACCGCGACGCACTGGAGAACGCCGTGTGTCCGACAGCGTTCTGGGTTAGCACGACGGAGCCGGGGAAGACGGAGGACATTTTGTGGGCACTGGGATGGACAGTGTTAGGGTGCATGCTGTATGGAGTAAATAGGGCTGGAGTGGGGTGGATCAGACACGCACCCTCTTGCCGGCGAAACGGGGTCGATCGTGTTCGTTACGAAGAGGATCGGGCTTGCCGTGTGGCGGCGGGAGAGGATTGAGTCTGGTCGCGTCAGCCCATACAAGTGCACGTCTAGGTATTCAAGATTCGATCCATACCTTCGAGCATCCCCGTTTTTGGCGGCGTCACCTCAAGAGCCCTGCACAGCGCCACATTGGCATTATTCGGCCAGACCTCGCCGAAAAACTCGCTTTGCTCCGTGAGAATATCAACATAGTCCTTGAACTGGCTAATATCGTTCAACCGCTGGCCCTTCACTAACCCATCAACACATCTAATGAGCGTGTTGATATCCGGATTCAGCGTGCTCGACTCCGGGGCATAGTTGCACGGGTTCGTAGGGATTTGGCCGACGACGGCGGCTGTGTATGCGGTCGTATCGCCTCTTTCGAGACCTGCCAGGACAGTTGCAAGCTGCGGGAATAGCTCAAGCGGGCTGTATACGGCCGCCAGGACGAGCTGCTTGAGGTCGGAGTATTTGGCGAGCATTGGGAGAGGGCAGGTGGAATTGGGACCAGCGGGAATGGGAATCGGGTTGTATTTCAGGTCGTTGAGGAGGGTGTCGAGGCGCGAGCGGATATTTCCCGTCGATGGACCCCAGAATGCGCAGGATGACTTGTTGCCGGCATCGAAGCACGACTCGATGAACGAGTTAAGGGCCTTGTCTGTATCGTACAGGTTCTTTTTCCACCCGAGGTCGTAGTAGTCTTCGGGGTCTACGACTCCGTCCAGAATCATACGCCCGACGCGCTCGGGAAAAAGATGTGCGAAGGTTGCCCCAATCACGGTGCCGTAGCTTAGGCCGTAGTACCAGAGCTTCGGGTCCTCGAGCGCGGTTTGGTTCTTGATTTTAGCCCTCTGCTCCGCCTCAATGAACGAGAGCATATCGCGTGCAACAGCAGGCGTGCTCACAAACGCCGCGGAGCCATTCGTCCCGCCCACATTGGGGTTACAGGCGTCGCCGAATAGGGCGGCCGCTGAGAATTGCTGGCCTAGCGCGGTGGAGGAGGAATTCGATGAAACGGGGTAGTAGAGGGCCTCGAACTGCGCCCGTCCTGCTGGGTCTCCGGGCCAGCAGTTAACGTCCGGGCCACTGCGGCCAACGCCGCGCGGGTCGAAGCCGACGATGTTGTGCTGGCCGCCGGCAACGATTTCACCTAGGTCTGGGCCTTGCGAGAGCACGACGTCGATGCCGGAGCCTCCTGGTCTGCCTACTGGTCTTTAGTTATGGGGCCATTGAAAGGTCAGATTAGGGCATATACCTGGATTGACAAGCACGCTGCGCGTATCGGCTGTTATATTGGAAGCAGAGAGCTTCAGAAAGGCGATGGCCGTGGTTCCGCGCGAGGGATCCCCGTAGTCAAGGGGCACTTCTAGCCTAGCGCATGTATAGTTCTGGAAGCATGGGGTCCAGTGGAGATCTGGGGATGGGGGAAGGGAACTCCAGTCGTCAATGGTGATATTAGAGCGCGCTTGTACGCCTGAGGAGGCGACAATTGCTGCGAAAGAGACGGTTCTGGCCAATGTCGAGATAGTCATGATCAGAACCCGAAGTGTAGAATGCCATCGTGTATTCAAGTCTGCAACCAAGCGGGCTTAAGTATCTGTTTCTGAAGGCTCAGATGGGGATGGCTTCATAGAATGTGGTATGCCTGGACGCTGTCAGTATCATCAATCATCAAATGGTCTGAGCAGTGGGGGCTGAATTGTAGTCTCGTCGTATAGTGCCCAGCCAGGATCTAGTATGTCGCAGCCTATGAGCTCCCCACTCCAGGCTTATTACTTGACGAATCAGCAGCGGCTTCTTGCACGAGCACAGCAAGTGGAAAGGGGCTGGTCGAATTGTAGAAAATGGCATTATTGGAGGGCTCGTAAGTGCCTGAGTTAGCATGGTCTAAGCCCCAATCCCGTGGAGATGAAGCTAGAACTTGCTGCTTGAAGTGTCATCATGGCCATCGAATCTTGTTCTTGATGAGCGGGTGGCAGGCACCTCGTTCGAGCTGAGGAGCGGAAGAGAAAGGGAAGATTGAAGATTGGAGATGGATGGGGAGAGAGGATGAGAGTCGGCGCCTGAGGATTGAGGCAACCATTCCATTCACCTCTGGTGTTGAGACAACGGCCACTCTGACTCTCCCCTCTCCCAGATCCCACGGACACAGAAACTTGTCCTAGGCAGAACCCATTGCAACTCCGAAATGCTCAATCCCATTCTCAGAACTTGGCACCGCACCCTGCGCCTCACCCGCCAACCTTCAGCATCCTGGCACCGCGCCCGCATCGCCGAGGAGCTCAAGGAGCGACGTGTCGCAAGAAACCAATTGGAAAAGCTCAGTGAGACATCCGATGTGCTCTTCTCAATTAGCCGAGCCAGACATGACGGCTTTGCTATCCGGCTGCGTCCGTCGGTATTCTCGCATCCTTTGGCGTACGGCCATATGCTCGCGAAATTCACGTCTTGGTGGGGATTCTATCGAGCCGCTGCGTCGCTCTCAGGTGCCCAGTGGCCAAGGAACGTCCGGGAGGTTGTAAGTCCGGCGAGGGAGGCCAAACTTGATGAGGTTGCGGCGAGGCATGGCATCGACGCGGTGCGGTTCAACGCGGTGCGGTTCCGGAAGATCAGCAGGAGGATGCTTCGAATTTGGCCGCTTCTGCCGTGATTCGGGGAAAGATGTCTGTTGGGATGAAGTTAGAGGCAGGTGCCTTCTTTGATACACGTATTTGCAATGCTGATTCATTGTGGTTCATCTAGTTACAAGCATCATGGGCAACTGAGACAAGATTATGCCAGGGATCAACTGTTTATTGAAGAGATAGATGGGCAAGCGTTACTCCTGGAAGCTTACACCAACACTCGAAGCGTCCTGCCCTGTAACAGCGCCTTCTCCTTCATGCCAGCTCCGCCCACAGCTGGAGAGGTCATGATCTCCGAATGGCTTCATCTTAGCTAGATCACCGGTCGTCCATTCAGTCATTCATGGCCTTTCATCGAGACCTTCACCTCTTCATCAACCTCCTAGAAGACTCGTGTTGCTTCAAAATCTGTCTCTAGGTCAGGCGGGGTTGGGCATCCAGGCGGTACCTATCGCAAGCACGACTGTCAGCCGGTAGACTTGGGCTCCCCTGCAAAGACGATTAGCCTTCTTGTTGGTAGGTGAGCAGTGCCCAGAATGCAGTTCCAGTGAGGGAAGATTCTCATTTTCAGTTCTTTGGAGCCGCAACGATGATCGCCTGCCCGTTTGAGTCGTAAGGGAAGATATTCAGGATTTCCAATTCAGCTGCCTCAAGCACGCCCTCCCACCGTGCTCGAGTGCGCTCCATTCCAGCAAGGGTGGCAGTAATCCCAATACTCCGCCACGCCATCTGCCAAGTGGCGCCAGGAGCAGGGACAACCAACTCATCAATCAGAATGCGAGACTCAGGGCCCATCGCAGGGATGATGGACTTCAAGGCTTCAACGCACTTATCATCCTGCCAAAGATGCAAGACATAGCGCAGGTAATAGAACTTTGCGCCTCGAATCGGGTGTGGCGAGAAGCAGTCGTATTCCATGAACTCGATGCCATCGATTGCGTTGGCGTGCTCCAGAGTCTCGGGGATGTCTTGCACGATGACCCGTCCGGTGATGTGAGGGAGTCTCTGTCTGAAAATCGCTGCTTGGGGTCCTGTGCCGCCGCCCACGTCAACCAAGAGCACCCTCTCTGCGTCGTTGCTCATAAACGAGCCAATTTCGTCTACAATCGGGAATGCGTCTACCCAGTCATGGTTTGAGCATAGAGCAAGAGTCTTGAACAGGCCTCCGTAATGCTCTGGGTGCTGTTTCATCCATTCGTACACCGAGAGTGGAGCGTTGAATGCCTTTTGGAAAATAGTGTCCTGGCGGATGTCACGGCAGGATTCTCCCGTTTGGCCAGGAAGCCTGGAAGTGCAAACACAACCGGGCTTATAATATCAAAGCTACGCGCGTTGATCCCCGTGTTGTTAGTTTCTCCGCCTTGACACCTGGATGTTTCCCTGGTGCTCACATGTAGTTCACTGCGCCGGCCGCATTTGATCCAGCCAGACGCCAGCCATCCATGATGAAGGATAGGTGATCAGGAGAACAAGGGAGTCTTACCGAGCAACTCTAGTGCCAGGCCAGTCTTCTTTGCAAGCTCCAGCAAGGTGTGGGAGCGCTGATTAAGCGCCTGAAAAATACCTTGGCCCACGCCTATCTCGACAAAAGCTAAGTGGAAGGGCTGTTTGTCAAGAAGGTTAATCGGGGCAAAAAGGCCAATTGTAGAGCTCATTACTCACCCCAGCTGCCAGCCTCAAATTTGTTTTAGGGAAAGGCGCTGGTGAGTGGTCTAATTATGTACTGGATATTCTTCTTTCAAATCAGTTCTTCCCGAGGAGAGAGAGAACGGTGCCGGATTGGACTGGGGGCACATGCAGTTGATGGAAGGTGAGACTCCGTACTCTCCAATCGCAGAGGACGTGATGCAGCTGGATTTCTAACAGCACCTGCCTCATTATTGGGTTTAGCGAAACTACCCTACAGAAAGAAGACTAAAGCCATGGCTCGCAGGGGAGCCCTGGTAGCTTCTGCACCTGCTCCGACCTCTTGCAGTTGAAATCAGCAAAGGACTTCGAATTCTGCGTCCCGACATTCCCCGTGTCAACATGGACCCACAACTCATCAAACGCATTGAGCTCGAGCTTGATAGTGCCCTCCACGAAGCTCAAGTGCAGCGTAATCTGCAGAGCCTGGTTTGCCATGCCGTGGAACCCACCCAGGTCGCAGCCGCCAACCTGGACCCCGATGATCATCTCGGAGGTTTGAGTGTCGATCGAGCCATTGATCTGATGGGATGGGTTAGAATGAGGGGTCCCGGGCAGTGCTAAGAGGGTGCGTTGGTAGGGAAGGAAGACTATACATGGAATAGCCCATCGATGTCCACCTCAACAGGGCTTCGGTTCTTGCTCTGCGCGAACGAGGCGAGCGATGGACACGCCTGCGGTTCGATCTGGTGCACTTTGTATGTACCTTGGGGTTCGCGTGTCTTGGTTACGGCAATGGCTAACGAGGCTGGGTTAGTGCTCTGCTCTGAATGTGCGCGCAGTTGAACAATCATGCTTACCGGTATGATGCATGATGAGCAGTGAGAGGCTGGAGGTAAGACTTTGGAACTAGCAATTGGCCGGATGCACTTTATAGTTGTGTGAGGCATCCTTGCCTTGGCCCTTGGGTACACTAGACGCAAGGCTACTCGCTTGCAGATGGATTGGATCACCTTGGAAATCTTCGACGAAAAGGTCTGTACAACGTGTCGACACAGCCGGATGTTGAATAACTCCGCTGGATCGTGTCTCACTGCGAGCCAAGAAAGCAAGAGTGAGTTCATCTATGGCACAATGAGTACATTGATACATGGAAAATTGAATCGAGGACTGACATTAGCCCAACCGTAACGACGAGCCGGGCTGGCATGACCCAGTCTCAACACGAGCCGGGCGGACAAAAGCAACAACTACTATACAGAATTTGATTTATGTACCCTTGGCTCCGTACTCCATGAGTGAGTGAGCTCCGGAGCAACCGGGTCTGATTTGAAATACTTGAGGTTATGTCCGGAACCTTCGGGTTGACCTTACGACATACCTACGAATACGAAGGCAAGATATGCAAAGACGCATGAAGTACTCTATTTTTCAGGTACATTCGGCAATCTCCCCTACAGGTGGAAGCGGGCCCCGAATTGACCAGGCATGGGATAAAACATCAAGGCCAAACCCTGATCAGTCCAGGACTCGAGTCATCTGGGGCCATGAGAGTCGCCAGGACCGTAAGCAAAACAACCCATCTGGCTAGAGGATCGCGTGTTTTGAGCGTCTGGCATACCTATTGCCGGACCCCGGCCTGATGAAGCCCTCGGTCATCTTTGAAGTTCCGACGTGCTGCATCCACTGGGCGGGCCACGGGCCTGCCTGTACAGAGAACAGAGAACTCAACATAATGTAGCATGTGCATAGTAATACTCATGATACTCTCTAAAGACAGAGTCGTGATCTAAAACACCTCGCCGCTCCACCGATCCTTCAACAGGCGGATCTTGACAGGTCCCATCCGCCTCGCCAACATGTTATCAAACCACTCCATCTCGGCCTCCCCCGTATCGACTGTCTCCATCTCAAACCGCGAGAATAGAATCGCCAGGAAAGTATAAATCTCGTGGTATGCGAGGTTCATCCCGATGCAAGAACGGGTCCCCCTCGAGAAGGGAACGTAGTACTGCTCCAGCTCCTTCCCCTCGCTTCCCAGCCAGCGTTCCGGCCTGAAGGATTTCGGGTCGGAGAAGAGTGCCGGATTATGGTGGATCAAGTAGAGGGATACGGAGATGATTGTGCCGCCTGGAATGAAGTGACCGTCCACGGTGATTCCATTGGGGGGCACAGTGCGCGGAATGAGAGGGGGCGTTGGGGTATAGAGGCGGAGGGTTTCCTTGATCACGGCCGTCTTGGAGCAGATTCGGCGAGTTAGCTTGTGTTTTGTGTCGAAGATGAAGCGGATTTGGAAAGACATACCAGGAACGGCAGGTTTAGGATACGTTGGAGGTCAAAGTGCTGGATCGAGGGTAGAGCGTCTTCCAAATCAGTACGCAGGCGTTGCAGGGCCTGTGGGTGGGAGAGAAGGAGATACGTGGCGCCTTCCATCGTGTACCCCGTCGTGTCGCTACCACCGACGATGAAGGCACATCCTTCATCAACCAAGACACCTGGACCGGGCAGATCGTGATTCTTCTCCGGGCGCGGTGTCAGGAGGAGGTCGATTACGGTGCCCTCGCCTGGCTTGGCTGGCTGACGCTTGCCGGCGTTGTGTTCGGCAACGAGCTCCTTGACAGATGCAGTTACTTTCTGGCAGGCGTCAGCACCAATATACCACGTATAGCCCGGTGCGATTGTCTACCTCGAGCATTTGGTAGTACCCCGGCATCATCTTGTAGGCGAGAGACTCAGGGACTCGGCCGAGAATCCAGCGGTAGATGGGGAGATGCTTGCCTACGCACAAGCGCTAAGATCAGTACCAAAAGCATACGTTCCCAGTAGCCAGAGACGACAGAACATCGCTACTCACAGAGATGAAACTGCTTTGTGAAGGTCGAGAGATCACGGAGCAGCGGCGGCTCCTCGGGCGAGTCGTTGATCATCCCGAACGAACGTCCAAATGTGAACTCGGAAATCACATCAACCTGTGCGCTACATGAGAGAACGAAGAAAACCTCAAACCGCCGGGCCTCACCGTCACAGCCCGAGTGTACCGCGGCATTTCAATGACAGCGCCCAAACGAGCCCTGCACGCCATACTCTCCGCACAGAGCATGACCTGTTTCACCAAACTATCTGTGTATGAGGCAATCGCCTTGGGCGAGAAACGCGGACCCAGAATGGATCGGCGAACATGGTGTTTCTTCGGGTCGGTCATTGCGCCGATAGCTTTGGGCAGGCCGGCGGAGGAATAGAAGAACTTGGGCTTGAGGAATGGAGAGGCGATTGCGAAGACCCTAGCAAGAGCGTTAGTGGGCGTATCTCTGTTGGATATGCCCGACCAACTTACTTCTTGAACACTTCTGGGTCGTTGACATGGACCAGATTCGGGCCTACACGGACGACGGGCGACTCTAGTTGTAGTTCTGAGTTAGTGCGGGATCAAAGGAGTGCCAGAAATGCCATACTATATTCTTCATGCATTGACTCAACGCGTTTGACGTAACGCCCGTTGCGGATAACATCGTGGTAGAACTCATACCAGGTGCTCAGAGCCGCCAATGCCGGACCAGGGACGTTCGCCAACGGGTGGAACAGGAGTCGACTGATGGCCAGGTGGATTACCGCGACGACAAGGGCAATGAAGACAATGGATGCAACGGGAATCATATGAGGAGAAAGGAAATCCAGAGACTGGACTCCAGCAAATGCAAGTGTGTGCTCCCCGCCGCTGTGTGGGTGTTCTGGAATCGCTGAAGCCATTTCGCCAGGTTGAAAGGCCATGGGCTCTCTGAATGACCAGACCGGGCAGATGGGTGGGGATGGCTGCCCTCAAATTTGAGGAAGCAGTGGGAGAAGTCATGTCGGATGACTCGGAATGGATGAGAGAAAGATGGCAGAGCTCCTCCAATGAACAACATCAATTTGAGGAAGCAATGGGGGAAGTCATGTCGGATGACTCGGAATGGATGAGAGGAGGATGCCAGAGCTCCTCCAATGAACAACATCCCACAATAAGGTTCCGTGTCGTACAGGAGAGAGAATAGCATCTCGAGATGGCCGAGCAAAAAGAGAATAAGTAAAAAAAAAAAAAGAAAAGAAAACAAGGATCAAGAGTGCTGGTACACGGACATGTTGGATATCAGCGCATTATCCAGGCTGTGAGACTGAGTTGCGTCATCATCCCAAGTTGTACCGTATTGTTGCCCTCCTTGTCTTGGAACATTATCCCAATCCAATGCGTTGTTTGCAGGAAATCTACCTTTCCTTTTTTTGGGTATGTGTTCAAGCCATTGGCGAGTCAAGTCAGTCCGCATGGCTCTCCAAAGTTGGTTCTACAAAGTTGGTTACTCTGGGACCGCTACATCCATGTGAGAGGCGGCATCTTGAACCTGAGGTCATAATAGTTGTCATATCCAGAAGCGCAGTAGTAAAAAAGATAAATACAGATGCTATAACTAAACCCAGGAAGTTACCAGATCATCCGGCCTCTCACAAATCGCCACGATCCTCTCAGCCAGCTTAGCGTGCAATGCCTTCGACCTATCCAAGCTCATCACATTAGGGTTGACACACAACTGCACACTCAAGAAGGCCTCGTATGGCTCGGTAAAGATAAACAGCTCGTGTGTGGGCCTGAACAGTCCATGTAGTGCGAACTTGGTCTGTAGACCCTTCAGAGGCATCACATGGTCGAGTGGGATGTTTTGGTGCTGGACAATGGTGCTCAGATGGGACCCGGGGGCCCAGTCGGTACAGCTGTCTGTAATTTCGTCGAGCTCAATGTCATCGTGTGCCGCTGTTTTCCGATGCTGTGTCTGGACATGGCTGAGGAGGGTTTTGGCAGTCCAGTCTGGTTGGATTGTGACTCGCACAGGGATGAAGTTGAGACAGCAGCCGAGCACTTTGTCGATATTTTCGATTGGCGAGCTTCGGGCGTTGACGGTCTGGCCAAAGACTAGATCGAGGGCGTTCTGATCCTCGGCGAGAGTGAGCGCCCAGGCGGCCTTCACGACCGTGGCCATTGTAAAGCCCTTGGGAGGATTCGGTGAAGGCTGCAGGTTCCTGTTCTCCCATATTGTGGTGCCTTGAGCGAAGTCTACAGCGCTGCCAGGGGTCTCGAAGATACTTGTAACTGTAGAACCTTGTAGATAGTCCCTCCAGAATGCCAGAGACGAAGAGCGATCGCGTGCCGCGCGGTAGTAAATGACACTGGAGAGCGGCGTGGTAGCAGAGACGGCTCGCCCATGGTAGGCATCCGCAACGCTGCTGAATAGCCGGCCAACAGAGAGACCATCCCATTGCGCATGGGATATTCTGAAGACGAGCTGATGCTGCAAGGTATTGGGATTTGAGAAGACGACAAAGGCAAATTGCAGAGTGCCCAGCGGTCGAATATCTTCATAGTCAGCGTGGCGGAAACGCTCGTTTACCTTGCCTGGCTTTTCATCCAACGCAACATGATAGAAGGGAACTTGCAAATTGTCTAGAATGATTTGGAGGATCTGTCCCCGGTGGCTGATGAACACGGTCCGGAGGATATCGAACTGGGAGTAAACAAGCGCGCACGCATCATGGAGGCCGACGATATCTAGTTCTCCTTCGATATCGAAAGTGAAGTGGTGAAGGGTCGGTCGCTCCAAAAAGAAGGCCTGGCCAGCCGACGCAGGGAGGATATCGACAACGCCTGCTCCTGGGGGAATGGTTCCCCGGGAACGGAGGACCGCGCATAGTAGTTTGGTGTCCTCCAGGGGACATAATGAAAACGGTACTGGCTCAAAGCGTTGAATCTCTTTCGATCGACCCGCCCGAGCCAGGTCGGATAATTTAGGCTGGGCGAAGATGTCTGCCACAGATATGTCGAGGCCGTTTCTTCGAGCCGACGCTGCGACTTTCATGGCGATGACAGAATCCCCTCCTAACTGAAAGAAATGGGCCTCGCTTCCAATCGTCGACGGTTCCAACCCCAAAACCTCCACCCAGATCCCCTGCAAAAGGCGGGCGTCTGGTGAGGCTACGTCATCTCCGTTCGGAGCAAAGGGGCGATACAAGCGCCGCTGCTCCGCCGTCAAAGTACCCAGGAAAGCTCGGAGGCGCTTACGATTTGCCTTCCCCGAGGGGTTCAACGGCATTGTCTGCAGTGGAATAAAGTAACTGGGCACCATGTACGTTGGGAGACGGTCAAACAGCTGGCCACTGGCGGCGGCAGCCAAGGCCCGAAACTGTTCGCTGGGCATGGGAAAAGGGTCGGCATCGTTCGATCCATGCTCGATTTCGAAGCTGACGAACGCATATAAGGCCGGCCCCTCTCCCGTTCCATTGTCTGCCAGCTCAACAGCTACCTGCTTCACGCCTTCAAAAACACTGTGCACTTGGAATTCAACCTCGCCGAGCTCAATGCGCTGACCGCGTACTTTGATTTGCGAATCCTTCCGTCCAACAATGCAAAGCTGTCCGTTCGGGCGATAGCGCACGAGATCTCCTGTGCGGTATAGCCTGGTATTTGGATCCAGACGCTTCCGCATACACCTCAACCAAGACGGCGGTTGAAGAAACGCGGCTTCGGTAGCTTGGGTATTGTTAAGGTAGCCCTTCCCAACAATTGGGCCCTCAACCAATAACTCGCCGATAGCTCCTATGGGGGCTAGATGCTCAGGGTCATTCGGATCCACCACCCATGCCGCGCAACCCGCGGCACGTCCGATGTTATCTGGACGAGAGGAAGAATCAACCGATGGCTGGATAGTCGCCTCAATACTGCATTCCGCAGGGCCATATCCGTTCAGAAGGCGCACATGGCCCGCCCAGCGCTGGATATCCAGTTGAGTCATTGGTTCTCCGCCGCAGCCAAGAACCTTGAGATGTGGTAGCATTTCAGGGTTGACCATACGTGCCACCGAGGGCGTCATGAAGCAATGAGACACGCGCAATTGCGCCATGCTCTCGGAGAGAATGTCCCGGCGCTCCACCTCAGACAATATACAAGATGTTGCGCCATTCACGAGGGCCAGAAGCATCTCAAACACACTCGCGTCGAAGGCGTAGGAAGCGAACTGGAGGAACCTTGCCGAGCGAGTTACCTCCCATAGAGGTGTGGCTGCCTCGATCATAGCAGAAACTGAGCCGTGCGTCAGGATAGCACCTTTCGGCTTTCCTGTCGAGCCCGATGTAAAGACTGCACAGAGAGGGCTATCTGGACTGACGCAGGTAAGTGGGAGATGCTTCGCCGAAATGAGATGATCCCAGGGGTCATCTTCACCTCCAAGCTGGATTACCGTCTTTGCAAACTGTGCGCAGCGGTCGTGCTGCTGGGGGGACGCTAAAATCATTGAGCCCCCCAGATCCTCGCACACCGTCTGCAGTCTCTGGTCCGGATGAGTTGCGTCAAGGAGGACAAATGCACTTCCAGCCTTGATGACTGCCATTAAAGCAACCACAGTCCAAAGGCTCTTCTCGAAGCAAAGTGGTACGAATTGATTCTGTGCAATTCCGCTTTGAACCAGATGGTAGGCTAACGCATCGGACAGTGCGTCTAACTCCTTGTACGAGAGGTTGGTAGAAGAAGTGCAAACCGCCACCGCCTGAGGCTGCTCATAGACACGCTTGCGAAAAGCGTCCTGAATGCTGAGAACTGGCGTAGATGGTATATGTTCGTTCCACTTCCATAGCAGGGCCTCATGGTCTGGGGATATCATACCGATTTGGGGAGGAGTGAGGTGATCATTGGTAACAATCTGGCCCACGGCGTGAGCAAACGAGGAAGCTATGAGAGATGCATGGTCCTCAGAGACACAGGATAGCCAGTGTCGGAGATGGACAACTGTACGAGCTTCTTCCATCTCGATGTTCAACGCAATAGCATACTCGGATGGACCGTCACGTTCAACAAGTTCGAGCACTATCCCGCTTGAGCCTCGCTGTTTGGGTAAAACCCGCTGAACGGAAAGTGCCGTATTGAAGAGCCCTCCGACATCTTTGCTACCTGTTTGGTGAAGTTCTTCAGCGAGCGAGAAGGTCTGATGCACCAAGCAAGACACGTGGTCGTCGTGGAATCGTCGAACCAACTCTCCAATCGAAAGCCCAGGCTCATCAAATGCCACTCGCATTGTCATCATGTTGATGAGAGGACCACAGACGGTGTCTGCCCCATCGAAAGGCAGCTCTCGGCCTGAGCTCAGGTACCCAAAACAAACACTATCTGTACCAACGTAGGATCGCAAGACCAAGCCCCACGCAAGGCAAAACACATTGACAGCCGTCACGTCATACTCCCTGCAGTACACATGGACCTCCTCCATCTGGGGTATATCAATGGTAAAGTCGCGATTGCGATCTACGTGACCCTCTGGGCAGTCGGTGAGAGATGGAAATAGGCATGCATCGCAGTCTCTCAGATAGTCCTCCCAGAAGGCCCGACTACCTTCCTTATCCTGCTTGGCAAGGAACTCGACATAGCCCCCATACTCCGGGGCTGGAGATAGATCTTGCTGGCCGGTATAAGCGAAGGATATGCTCTTGGCAATTAATTCGAGTGAAGTCGCATCCGTCAATGCGTGGGAGATGTCAATCCGCACATAGACTCGGTGGTCCTCAGAAACAACAATAGCAAACCGACTCGGATACTGGGGGGAGAGCTGGAAGTGCCGGTCTGCATCAGCTAGCGCCTGTAGACCCTCATATTGGCTGTACGTGACAGGAATATCTGCTTGAACGGTTTTCAAAACCATTTGGTCGTAGACCCCGTGCTCGGAGGTCGTTTCAATGAAACATGTTCGGAAACAGTCGTGGCGGGCAATAACTCGATTCAGCGACTCTTCCACCCGCTCAAGCAGCACACTAGTGCCATCCAATGTCATGACTTCCCAGGTGACTGCAATGTGGTAATGATTGGGGTTCCTGGCCTGACTGAGTAGTATTCCCCGCTGAACTGGCGCGCACGGGTAGATAGTCTCAACATCTTCCAGATTGATTTGCGCGGAGGACAAGGACGACTGCAGAAGGTCCAGGCGGGGATAGTCCAGTTCCAACAAGGGAAAGTCAGTCAGGGTGTAAGATCTGGTAAGCCCGCTGAACTCGGTTGCCACAGTCCTCAAGGTGTTCTGGAAAATCGAGATCCATGGGTCAAGAACTTGGTCACGGCTACAGCCCTTCGGGACAGTAAAAGTAAGCGTGAGCCTTTCATCCTCCACAAAGCTGTTGATGTCGACCAGGGACCACCTCCTGAATTCACCAGCTGCGTCAAAGATGCTTCGCTCCCGCAGTGACTCAATCTCAAAAATGCTTCCCTGCCGGTTGAGCTGCTGGTGAAACCGCCCGCCATAGTTGAAAACGACTTCCATAGCTCCAGGTCCTGCTAAATTGTCATTGATTTTGCTATGATACCGGGTGGTGAATGCATCTAGTCCGTTCTTTGAAAGCTTGCGCCTGCAGTCTTTCACCATTCGCACAGCTTGAAACACGTCGAGTCCAGCACATAAGTCGACAGTGATCGGGGCCAATGTGGTAAACCATCCCACAGTCTGGGTGAGGTCAACCTCTGGGGTCCAGGGCTCCCGTCCATGACCTTCTAAGTTGACGGTTGGCACCGGGCGTGTAGGAAATGCTTCCGTGAATGCAAATAAAAGAGCAGCAAGGAGAAGTTCATTAGGCTTTGTTCCGAGGGGCTTGTTGGCGTCACCTAGTATCGCCTCCGTTAATTTAACATCAAGCGTTACCACGATCTCTTGGGTTTGCGCCAGTGTGTTCAATCCCTCGGAAATGCCCCAAAACGATATCGTATCCTGCGATAAAGCCCGGTCGTCCGGCTTAGGGAGGTGTTCGCCGCCCCGACTTGCAAGAAGCTTGGACCAATACTGGAAAGAAGTTGACGTTGGCGCTGGGAGATCGTTGCCCTCTATGGCGGTCTCGAGGTCGGGCAGTATAGCTGTCCAAGAGATCATGTCCACCGCGAGGTGATGGGCGAGAAGAAAGACGAACTGATCGCCATTGACCTCAAAAATATCAGCAGAGAATAAAGGACCTGAGACGATATCAAGTGCGCCCTGGCTGTCGTTGATGTGCGCCTCAACCATGGACTTGTCCGAGCAGGAGTGTGACCGACATCGAAAGGATTCCTCGATTTGACTCGGTATGACCTGCTGCCACAGACCCTCACTGACCTTTTGAAATCGTGCTCTCAGCATGGGATGCGCAGCCACAACCTTTTCAAGTGCCGTGTTGAGTCGTTCACAACTAATGGGTCGCTTAAGGCGTAGGAACAGGTTATGGCTGAACCGATTCTGCCCATCGGGGTTTGTATCAAAAAAGAGTCGTTGAATGGAGGACAGATCGAAGGGTGTATCAAACTCATCATTGCTCCTTTTGGGGATAAAATCAGCATTGTTCTGCTCTGCCCGTAGTGAAAGTTTTTGGATATTCCGCAGCCGGAACATATCATCAACCGTGATGCTTATGCGAAGTTGAGACGCTCGCGCTTCGGCGACCACAAGCATGGCCGTGATTGAGTCTCCCCCAAGACTGAAAAAGCTTTGATTGACTCCAACAGTATTGAGTGGTAGTTGTAGCACGCGCGCCCATATGGCTTGCAGTTCGCGTTCTGTATCGGTGGTCGCATCCAGGTAGCCATCACCGGACATCTCGTACTGCATAAGCTCTTCTCGTGTCCTGGACGTGATCTCTTGTTGTAAACGCCTGCGGTCCAGCTTGCCTGATGCATTGCGTGGTATTGAATAGACTGGGATGATCAATGACGGGACCATGAAGGAGGGTAGCCTCTCTTGCAGTTTCGCGCGAGCGACGGCACTTCGCTGTCTAAAACCTTGGGTCGGAGGAACAAAAAGATTGACAGGAGTAGCGGGATACGGCTGGTTTGTCTGGTGCTCCAGAACAAATCCCACCAGCATTGGGTGTTCCTCGGCCCCCTTTGGCGCCGCAATAGCTGCACCCACTGCAACTGTGCCCTGGAAATCCTGAAGCAAACGATATTCCACGTTCGCAGGGTCTATCCGTTGTCCTCTCAGCTTGAACTGATCTCCTATGCGTCCCAGAATCCGTAGCCGACCATCTTCCGTAAAGCGAACAAGGTCGCCGGTCTTGTACACCCTGGAGCATTTGCCGTTACGCAACACCTGCAGCCATTTAGGAGGCTCAAGGAAAGCTGCTGCTGTCTTGACAGAATCACCGAGGTAGCCACCGCCAATGATAGGCCCCTCAATATACAGCTCGCCTGTGACTCCGACCGGGACAAGCTTTTCGTAGTCTCGGGTATCGCACACCCAGAGCACACAGCCGCACGGATTCCCTATATCTTGCGGGTGATAGCTCGTTTCCGGATTGTAGTGCTGCACCGTAGTCACAACCGCACACTCTGCAGGGCCATAGCCATTGAGTACGCGAACCCGGTCGATCCAATCGTTAACATCCGATTCAAACACAGGCTCACCAACCAGCCAGACTGCCTTCAGCGACGGCAATTCGTGTGACTTGAGTACCCGCGAAAAGGAAGGCGGAATGACGGCATGAGTGACTTGCATCCGGTTGATAACAGAAGGAATGTCGTCCAGACGCTGCTCGTCGGACGGGACACAGACGCAACCACCAGCCATTAATGTGGCAAATATCTCAATGAAGCAAGCGTCAAACGCAAAGGACGAGAATTGCAGCACGCGGGAGCCCCTCGATATCTTGACTACAGGTGTGTAGCCCTGGGCGGACGCAATGAAGGATCCATGGTCATTCACCACGCCCTTTGGCTCACCAGTGGATCCCGAGGTGAATATTAGATAAAGGACGCTTTCGGACGGAACCGCAGGCAGAGCGTTCGTGTCAGAGCTCTTGCTCCAAATGCCTGAAGATGACTCAACGACGAGCGGCCGAACCGCCTCGGAGATATTAGTCGCGGCGTATTTTCTCGAACAGATTACCAAGTGCGAGTTTGATTGTGAAACGATTGCTCTGACCCGTTCCAAGGGGTATGAAGGATCCAGTAGAACGATACTGGCTCCCGCCCTTATGACAGCTAGCATGGCGATAACAGCAAGATAGCTTTTCTCGATGTAAATAGGGATCATCATACCTGGGCGTGCTTCCCGAGCAATGAGCTCATTCGCTAGTTGACCAGACCTCTGGTAAAGTTCTCCATAGGTGAGCTGTCCATCTGACGCACAGATAGCGAGGTTTTGAGGAGCCTCAAGCATCCGCTCCTGAAACACCTGGTGTACGGTTATCTTTGGCTTTTCAGGAACAGTTGAATTCCATTCCATCATTTTCTGGATATCACCGGAACCGATACGCATAATCTCTGATAGGTTTCGACCCGAGTCTTCCACTATTAACCAAAGGAGGGATTCCAAATGGTCTATCAGACGGTCGACACGAGCGAGGTTTAGAACCGTCGAGTCGAATGAAACCGTGACCCGCATAGGACCTTCATCCTCGGCGAGCCAGCACTCCAACGCGAGGGCGTATGTGTGGAATCCTCCCATAGAAGCTGCACCGTCTTGGTAAGTCACGGAAAAGCTCGGTGGCTTTCCGTAAACAGGCTGAATAGTGAGGTGGCTCTGAAACGCACATGCTGAGGCTGCCTGGACACCGTAACCCTGAATATTCTGCAGTCCAGCCTGCTCAAACGGAATGATGTCGGTCAGCTGTTCCTGCAAAGCACAAAGCGCGGCCTCCACAGAGTCATTTGGGTTGAGTTTGACGCGCAATGGGACGGTGGCGATTGTTGGCCCAGACAGCTCCTCAATACCGGGGATATCGGCTGATCGTCCGGTAATCGTCGAGCCAAAGACAACGTCGTCCTTGCTTGTGTTTTGTGCAAGAACAACCGCCCAAGCCAGTCTGATACGCGATGCCATAGTGATGCGGCCATTGGATAAATGATTAGGTAGCTGTAAGTCGTACGTTTTGACATTGTCGACGTTCGGGGTGTAGTCTACATGCGGAAGCTCAGGAAATGCAATTGCATTGAGGTTTTCGAACTGGTCCATCCAGAACTCCCGAAATACTGGTTTTGCGTCGATGATGTGGTGAATAAATGGCCGAAAACGTCTCTCGGACCCCGCTGCCCGGCCGGCAATGAGTGCCTCCATCTGCTCTAGGAGCAGCCGAATGGACCATCGATCACACAACCCGTGATGGAGGGTCAAAATGAACGTATGCCGCTGGTTAGATGTCGTAACGAGACAAGCCCGCACTAATCTGCTTCCAATGCCCATGGGCTCTTCTTCAACTTCCGCCTGGTAACGCTCAGCATCGTCAGCGTAATCCCACTGAAAGGCTTCGCTTGTAACGGCTTGGATTGTGCCATGGGTTGAAGCCGCAATGAATCGTGTACGCAGGATGTCATTCATACGGACGACCCGCTCCCAGGCCCCTCTCACTGCGCCCGGATCCACCCCAGGGGCCAATTCGAATATAACTCTGGCTTTGTACGCGCGGGGATCACGGACCGAGAGCGCACAAAGTCCCTCCTGCAACGGGGTGCAAGGATATGCATCAATAATTTGGTTATCAAGCAGGCCACTCTGCTCTGCAGATTCCCTAATTATTTCAGCATGGGAAACTGAACCTGACTGCAGTAATGCAAAAGGTGTTCCGCTCGTCACTGCGGCTTTGCTTTCAAAAACCATGGTCTTTGCTAGATCTGCCAGTACAGGTTTGCGAAAAACAGTAGCAACGGTTATCGAGGCACCGTTGCCGCGCAGGATTCCAACCAGCTTCATGGCGGCCACAGAGTCTCCTCCGAGCTCAAAAAAGCTGTCCAGCATACTACACTTGTCAATACCTAGTAACTCGCACACTTTGGCGCACAGAATCTGTTCACTCGGCGTCCTTGGTGATCGATGCTCTGTTCGGTGCAGTCCTGTCCATTGGTGCAGTTCTTCGATTGTCCATTGGTTCGCAACAGAGCCTAATCTCTGTCGGTCGATCTTGCCGGTGACTGTCGTCGGCAGATCGATGACGGGCAGCAGAAACTGCGGCACCATGTAGTCAGGCAAACGCTCCTGCAAGCGCTGTTTGCTCTCAGTCACGGCTTGAAGGCCGTTTGGTTCCAACGTCAGAGCTTGAATGCCTGTATCCTTTCCAACTGCTCGGATCTCCAAGGACGGAGTATCCTGGGAGAAAAGCAGGAAGGCCACCAGTATTTGTCCCTGGGCAACCCCATGAGGCTTCAAAACCATGGCAACGACGCGTTTCACTGAAGGTAATGATTCTAGCAGTTCGCATTCCACCTCGCCCAGCTCCACCCTCATCCCGCGGATCTTGACTTGGTGGTCTTTGCGCTCGATATATGAAAGCGATCCATCGGGATTGTACCGCATGATGTCGCCGGTGGTGTACACCTTACAAGATGGATCAATTCCCTCCCAATCTATGAGCCACGGAAGATGGGAGAAAAAAGCCCTGTTGGTGCGTTCTGCGTCTCCATAATAACCAGTGGCGAGCCCAGGGCCGGTAATTGCCAGCTCTCCGAGGGCACCGATCGGGGCCAGCTTGGCGGAATCATCTGGGTCGACTAGCCAGGCACGTCCATCCACTGGCGTTCCAATGGTTTTGCTTTTGTCAAGTGATGATATTCGTTCTGAGACAGCAAAGATGCCGGTCCACTCGGTAAAGCCGTATGCCTGGTAAAGGGATACCGAATGAGCCCATGTCTTGAGTTGAGACACACCAAGCGCCTCGCCTGCGATGAGGAGGTGTCGCAAGTAGGGTAGATTGCAAGGGTGCAGTGAGCCGAGCACTGTGGGTGTCATGAGGGCCCAATTGATCTTCATTTCCGTCATAGTAGCAGCTAGAGAGTTCAAACGCTGACCTGCGGATGGTATGCAGACTGTACCGCCGACGCACAGTGTACAAAAGATCTCAATGATTGACATCCCAAACGCATAAGAGGCGAATTGGAGGACGCGGGTATTTGAGTTGAGGTGCAGTGCGGCACTGTGTCTTGAGATGCTAGCAAAAGCAATATGCGAGATTTCGCAAGCTTTTGGTTTGCCAGTACTACCAGACGTGAAAAGAGCATATGCTGGCGCTTCGGGTAGGTCGGGCTTATGATAAGCCCTTGGTGAGAAAAAAGTGGAAAGACTCGGAGGTGCACGGGGAACAACTATGACCGTGAGTCCTGGAAACTCATCAAAAAGATGCGCCTGGCCCGAGTCTGTGAGAACCACGGATGCTTTCACTCTCTGGATGATTTCCTTCCGGCGCTGCATCGGGTGAGAGGGATCACAAGGCACAAATGCTCCGCCAGCTCTGTTGATTGCGAGCAGTGCAGAGATTGCCCAGCGGGTCTTGTCAAAGCAAACTGGGACAAAGACCCCGGATCTCACGCCGTGGGCCTGGAGTTCGGTGGCCAGAGTGTACGCTACATCGTCGAGTTCCTGGTAGGTGAATTGCCCATCCCAAGCATCGACGGCAACATCGGCAGGATGCTGTTGGGCCTGGGAAACCACGTATTCGAAAAGGAATGAGCGATCAGGATTCGTCAGCGGGAGACCCTGCCATGATGCCAATTGCTCTTGGTGTGACGGTGAAAATAGATCAACGTCTCGGATTTTGGGCTCTGGTGCGATGATGGCACTGAAGATGCCTTGTGTGATGGCGCTTGCTAGGGCTCTAGCCGACGTTCTTGACCAGCTTTTCAGGTCCACGTGCAAGGTAAGGGTTCTTCGTTGGTGCGCCCGGTTAAACACAAGGGCGAGATCAAGCCGCTACACGATGAACAGAAGTATCGTCAGCTAATGTGAAGCAGTCAGCCTGGGGTTGCCGACACTCACCTTGACTGAAGGAAGTTCGTCCTCGAGTCCTGCCCGGGAGCCCTGATCGGCGCTCAGAAACAAAGCCGTGTTGATGGACGAATCCTTTCCGTCATACGGCAATACTTGCCAGCTGCCGCTCTGTGCCAATGCCTTGAAATCCATCTGGCCATCGAGAAGAGCTTGATATATCACGCCCTCAGATTTTCCCGGTCCCTCTGCAAAGACAGCAAATCGTTGCTGATCACCTCCGGTATACTTACGGAGGACCAGTGCCCATACTGCCATAAGAACCATGTCTTGGGAGGCATTATACACAGAGGAACAGTGCTCGAGGTGTGATGCCGTAACGGCATCCAACTCGACGATTTCGCGTTCGTCTTTGGTGTTTCCACTGTCTCCCAAGCTAGGAACCAGACATTGAACCTCCTCCCTGTTCGAGGCCACCAAGCTAGTGTTATCACGGACCGTCATAACGTGGGGCAATCAAGAAGGTATAAAAAACTGGAGATGTTCACCATCAATGTTTTGATACTCGGTGTTTTCTGGTATATATACCTTTGTGTTGCATCTCGCGCATTCTTGCTGCGACTCATATCGGGCAAGCTCTGCCCGCCTGTCGCACCCATACCGCACGCTTACCCATTTGAAGGCCTCTTGCTTCTTCCATCTTCGCAGTTCACACGGTGACCGGCTGAGGAAAGTCCGGACCCAGTCCTCGAACAACGGCTGGACAGGATCCTTGATCACATTGGAGATCAAGGTTCGTCAGCTTTCTCGATCACCTTGAAGGTCAAGGTAGTAGAATGGGTGATCCTTGATGTGATCGACATGGAGATCGAGGATGGGAGTGAGCTCAGCTTACAGAAAAGCAACTGCTCGGGGGCCCTCGGCGGATAAGTAAAGTTCCGATGATCCGGACCCCAGCCTAGGAACCTTCGTCATTGGCCTTGATACTCCGTATGCTTATGCTCACCAATCGATCAGATCTGACAGAGGGTAGGTAGGTACATACCTAACCCGCAGCAAACACGCAGGTGATCTGCTGGCGCTAAAAAAAACATGGTGGAACTAGGTATAAAATGTGTGTTACTTTTAAGGAACCTAGCAAATCCATGGTAATACTAGTAAGGCTATGCTAGCTTGATTAACTATTTGGAATAGCAGTTCGGTACATGTCTATGGACACTTTGTAACCGGGATTAAACGTATCCCCAGCCCTACCTAGGGTAGCCTTCCCCAAGGCGGTTTTTATTCCATTTCTAGTATAAAGTTCTATTGTATTTGCTGAGATAGTTGCTCTATCAGGACTTTATTCTTTGATATTTCTACAATATACATGTTACAAAAGCCACCGTGTTTCGAAAGACCACATTCATCGCCCTTTAGCTCCATGTAGAGTAGGGACTAAGTCTGTTACAGAACTCTGCTGTTCAAGATTACATGTCACTAGCACTCATATTGCTTCTTCTGTGGGACTTCAAAAGTCGACGGAAAATATATCCTGGATGTACCGTAGGCCAGAGATTGGAACAATTCCGAGTGGCCGGCAGAAGACATATCAAGACATCTGGCACAGATATTGTGTAACTGGTTTCTATAGGTATCTTAGTTGGCTCAGAAGGAACAGCCGGATAATGCCATTACGAATCAATCTTACACAGCATAGGTTTCATTTGAAAATCCAACTTTTGGTATTCTACCGGAGTAAGGTATAATCTTCCATCAGCTGCAAGAGATAGGTTGCCAACACACTGGATAGAGAGAAGCGTGCTGTCCCAGAGTTTAAGTCTTTTCTTGTCCGGTTGTCCCTGGCTTAACTTAGTCACCAGCCAATCACCAACTGTTTCTACTCCCTTCCAAGGTTTACTGCCCAGTAGTCAGTATGCTCTCGTTCTTGCAGCTCATGCGTCTTCTATCTACTTTGATCGCTCTCATCGCGTCAGCGACCTGTTCCACAAATTCAGAAGATCCATTCAATTTCAGAGCCTTGTTTAGCCCCGGTACTACGCTTTCTAGCGAGGCCAATGTGTACCTCCCTGGGGACGCCGCATACTCGAGCACAAATGAGAGATGGTCAGAGCTGCAAAGCCCGTCGTACGCTGCTGCCATTCAACCGGCAACAGAGGAAGATGTGGCCTATATCGTGCGTGCAACCAGAGCCCCCACGGCCAGTCATCCGCTAAACTTCCCCAGGTCCGAACTGCTGTTGCAAACAACATCTCCTTCCTAGCTACGGGGTCCGCTCACAGCGTGAAGCCGGGGTACACCTCAATTAGGGACGGTATCAACATTGACCTGCGCCTTCTTAATGACCTCTCCATCGACCACACAGGTGAAACAGTAACCGTTGGTGCAGGCGTCACAAACGATCCAGTCTACAACGCCGTCTATGGCGTGCAAAAGGAAGTCCGTGAGTCTCCCACCTCACGTAACGTGGAAAGCTCTGGGTTCGCCTGATCCCGGCGCCATAATTCAAGCAGCCAAGCTAACGAAAGCCCCAGCGATCACAACCGAGAGATGCCTCAGTACCATAGGTACCATGGTCGGCGGCGGATTGGGGGTCATGCAGACCATCCACGGCTGTCTAGCTGACAGTCTTATTTCCGCGCGCGTCGTCACGGCCACCGGCGAGATTCTCACTGTCTCGCAGGCCTCTCATCCAGACCTATTCTGGGCCATCCGCGGAGCAGGCGCCAACTTTGGGATTGTCGTCTCCGCCACGTTCCAGCTGTACGACCAGACGAACGGCGGTCGCTCGCTGGATTACAGTTTTCTGTTCTCACACGACCAGGCTGGGTCTGTCTTTGAACTGATGCACTCCCTTGACGACGTCAGGGGTACCGGGGCATTCTGGTCCATTTGGGCACGATATAACCACACAACCAAGGAGGTATGTTGGCCTTTACAGCCCTTCCCTTCCCTTCCCTTGCCATGTGTCAGAACTGACCCCAGCGGAGAAACAGGCAACTCTAACCCTCCGGCTCATCGTCCTCGGCAATGAAGCCGATGCGAAGCCGCACGTTCGCAGCGCGCAAGCCCTTAATCCCCGCAGTGAGTCGGTAATCCACAGAGCATGGAATACCTACGGTGAGCCGACGGACGAGCTCTGCGGCCACGGCTGGAACGCAGAAATGTGGAATTCCGGCCTCGAACGCACGGATGTTCCCGTGCTCGTGGAGATGTGGAACGAGTATGTCGCCTTCGCAGCCGAGCGCGAGTGGTTTAACGGGTTCTGGCTTTTTGAACGCGATACCTACGAGGGACTAAATGAAGTCCCCGAGGACCGTCGTGGCGTCGGGTATCCGTGGAGAGACACCGTGGCGTACCTGTAAGTTGAGTCAAGGCTACCAGACCAAAGGTTGTTCGTGCTAACGTCCTATGTCTCCAAAAGTGGTTTCATCAACTACATTGATGATGCGCGATATGAGGATGAAGTACATGCCTTTATCCGCCCTCTACGTGAGCGCCTTCAAGAGACCATGGGCTACGAACAGCGTCGGGCGTATGTTGGTGAAGCATACGGGGATGAAGGCCCGGCTGTGTGGTATGGCGCGCATAATCTGCCACGACTTGTAGCTCTCAAGCAGCAGTGGGATCCTGAGGCGAGATTTGGGGCGGGAATGCCGGTTCCGCTGTCGTTGGACGAATGATCAACTCATCGAGCTAGAAGTGGTTGCTTCGTTTGGTATTCCCCAACGGTTACCGTCCGCATCAGGCAGGGAGAAGGCGCTCGTAGATTGATTGATTCATGTCGGAAAGAAGAAAACCTCTAGAGCGGGGCCATTCATATAGAATCTGAAGGACCATCTCGTTTGGAAAGTCTGTTTTCACAATTTTTTGTTGCAGTCAAGGTAAAATCTCTGACTGAGGATGTTCTCTACAATTCCATCTCTCCGGTTTTCAGCGAAGTTGTAGATCTCTCAGTCAACATTCTCTTCGGCGTTTTTTACTCCATCGACCTAGATTTCCTACACCTGATAAGCGAATACTAAGCATGGCATCGGCAACAACTACCTTGGGGAATATCCCTCACGCGAGCACCATTGCCACAGCTGCCTCCTCCTCCCCCTCGCTGTCGTCGTCTCCCTCCGCCGCTCCTCGCGTTGTCGGCCTATACGGCATCCCCGGGTGCGGAAAATCCTTCATGATGAACGAACTCAAGAAGGATCTTGGCCAGGTTGGCTTTGCCTTCTTTTAAGGTTCAGAGATAGTTGACTTGGTAACACCTGGCGGTCTCTCCATGTTCAAGGTCTTGGACGAAGCCACACAGACACGTTTCCGGCAGATTGCAATGCAGCGACGGGATGACACCACGAGAAGCCGGGCGACTCACTCACTGCGACACTTGCAAGTGTGACAGGAAACCGAGATCCAGGAACTGCGTGGGCTCTGCTATGCCAACAACATATTGTTCGCCAAACTTTATCCCAATATGCGTGAAAAGCTTTTGAACTTGCTCCTTGATACCCAGCGTTATGACGAAGAGCATAAGCAGTTGCTGAGGGAATGCTAGACGAATTACTCGCGCCTCATCATAACCGGTTAGAATCTGTACTCTTGATGGATGCGGATAGAACTTTGTCCGCGGAGGATACAGGAACGCTTTTCTGGGACACGGTCAACAGGCCAGACGACGAACACCCAGGCTCCGCGCCGTTGAAAGTGTTGTTTGGTAGTAATATGGGATACTCGTACGAAGCATTCCGTCAAGCGATGCTGTTATACGAAGAGTCAACCAGCGATGCCAAGTTCGAGACCATCTGTGACGAGATTGCGCAACGTGCGCCGCTGTACCCCCAGATGATAACCTTTCTGAATCGAGTGGCCGAAAACAGACATATCCGTCCAGTCATTGTTACTTGTGGACTCCGCCGCGGATAGGAAAAGATCATTGCATGGCAAGGACTCTCCAAGACGGTGCAAGTTGTGGGAGGCGGACGCCTTGCGGACGGATATGTTGTGATAGCCTCAGTCAAGAAAGCACTGGTAGCCCGTGCAAAAGATGTACATCGGGTGCTTCGGGTCATTGCCTTTGGAGATAGCTCACTGGATCTGCCGATGCTGAAGGCAGCAGACCAGGCCTTTGTGGTGGTGGGCGAAGAGGCCACCCGAAGCAAGAGCATGGACCGCGAGCTACCTTCGGCCATGGTCAATGACGGCTTGAGAGCCCAGCAGAGCCTGTTGCCGAATAGCTCCACGCCTCCCAGACTAGATACCATACAGCTCCCAATCGCTGATTTCGAAAGCACGGATTTCCTCAACTCAATCATTGCACCTTGCGCCTTGGTTAGGAGTCTACAGGTCCATCATGCCACCCATAGCACGGCGGCCAAGCTCCACGGGGAAGGACAGACATTGATAGTTGCTTTGATCCGGGGTGGAGAGCCCATGGCTTTTGGTATTAACGATGTCTTTCCCAAGGCGCAGTTTCTCCACGCAGCGAAGCCGGAGGATGTCAAACAGCATCATCTTGAAGGCAATTCGACCATCATACTTGTTGATTCGGTAATCAACAATGGCGATACGGTCGCCAAATTCATCCAGTTCATCCTCACCTCCGACACCACGATCCGTATCATCGTCGTTGCAGGCGTTGTTCAGGAGAAGGCGGTGGCATTGGGTAGCCCTCTCTGTTGCGCTGCGCCTCTCCGAGAACAAATATACCGGCCGTGGCGGAACCGACACCGGCAATCGCCTGTTTAACACGACTTATCTCCCTTAGTTTGCTTGCTCCCATAGTTAGTTTGAATAGAATCATGCATAGAATAGTGCTTTTGAGATTAAAATTGTGAGAAACTCATGAGTAGCGTCAGTTGCTGTGTTGATGGAAGTGGGAAGTTTCCGATCAGGTGACGCATTCCGGCTGCCTGCCAAACAAACGCTCCGCAGTCGTAAGCTGACTCTCGCCATCCCACCCACTCCCTCCTGTCTAGTCTCGTGTCCTTCTCTTCCTATTCCCTTTGCATCTTCTCGGCGACATGTAGCATTCCCTCACATTACTCAAATGCAACATGGTGCTCTCCTTATCCGTGCCCAGCTTCTCCCGCTCCAGCACAACCACTCCCCCACTTCGATCGCGAAATGGCAGCTCCAGCTACTCCGCAACACTCAGCGAAGCTCTCCGCAATAATCCTTTCGGCAGCTCATCCTCTCGCTCGCGACCGTCCCTAGCCTCCACCCTCGAAGACCAAAAACGAGAGCAGGAGGAGCTCAACGCCGCGCTCGAAACCCTCGTCCAGATCTTCCCCGACGTCAAAATCGAAGTCTTTCGCGAACTCCTCCTTCGATTCGACGGGACTAGCCGGCTCCCAGTCTGCGTTGAGCAGCTCCTGCGTCATAAAGAGAAATGGGTGGCAGGGCGATGGAATGTTCCGTCCACGTCTGGACCGGAAGATGCGGCAGCGGCCGCGGTTGTTGATCCCGATACGCCCGAGTCATTGGTTCCCCTCGACGAGCGGTTCCGGACGGAGGAATATAAGTTTGCAGTGAGGGGTGTTCTGATCAAGGAATTCAGCGGGCTGAGCCGAAGTACCGTGGATGCGGTGCTGGCGGAGGTGAATTTCTGCTACCTTCGTGCTCGGCCTGTCCTACAAGATCTTTCGAGGAAGACTTGGCGTGCAACGATCCATAACATTCTTCCTTCCTTCAGACGTAGGAAAGACAAGGATGACAGCCATCCTCTGATGCATTGGCAGCGCCATGCGGATGGAGAGCAGGTTCCTCGGTTGAAGGAGACTGGATGCGAAGAGCTGGATCGCGAGCTATATGAAACGCTGTTGGCGCCGTTACTTCGAGCACGGCAGGAGGAGCGAGACCGCGTGGACATGGAACTGGCTGAAGCATTGAACGAAAAGGAAGCCGAAGCGGCTAGTGCGCTCTACGAGTGCGAGTGCTGCTTTACGGATGCCACGTTCGAGCAGATATCGATATGCTCCGACGGCATGCACTTCATTTGTTTTAACTGCATTCGACACACTGTTCATCAAGCTCTCTTTGGCCAAGGATGGTCTACGTCGGTTGATGTTGAGAGGTCGACCTTGAAGTGTTTGGCGCCGTCTCCTAGCGAGCCGTGTACAGGCATTCTCAGTGCGGAGCTCGTCAGACGCGCTATTCTTCTCGACAAAGCTGGCCTTGAAACATACTCAAAGTTCGAATCCAGACTCGCCTCCGACGCTCTTCTCCGGTCCCAGTACAAGCTCATCCGCTGCCCTTTTTGTTCCTACGCCGAGGTTGATCCCGTCTACCACCCTCCGACAAACGGGATCAACTGGCGCTTCCGCCGGGACGGACTTATTTCTACCCTTTTAATGATTTTCATCTTTTTGGACACGATACCATTTCTTCTTGTCATTGCGGGCATTATTTACTTACTAGACCCCGCCGCTCTTCCTACGATTCTCAACAACGCCCTACTGAACCTCTGTCTCAAGATCCGCATGAAGAGATTCACCTGCGCCAATACCAAATGCCGACGGACCAGCTGCATAACATGCCAGAAACCGTGGCGTGACCCCCATGTCTGCCATGAACCTTTGCTACTTGATCTCCGCGCGACCGTGGAGGCCGCCCGCACCGCCGCAGTAAAGCGCACCTGCCCCCGCTGTGGCCTTTCCTTTGTCAAATCCTCCGGTTGCAACAAACTCACCTGCACCTGCGGCTACTCCATGTGCTACTTGTGCCGGAAAGCGCTCGGTCCACCACTCAAAGGCCCCCGCGACCGTCGACGCCCTCGCCGGCAGGAAAACATCAACCCCCTCGGCAACGTCGGCGAAGCAGACCCTCTAGCCAACCCCGAACCCGATCAAGAGGACGAGGATGATGAAGAGGAACACGAAGGATACCGCCACTTTTGCGAACACTTTCGCGTCAACCCTGGCGCTCGCTGCACGGCGTGCAACAAGTGCGAGCTGTATCAAGACGAAGACGAAGAAGCCGTTGCGCGTCGAGCAGGAGAGAAAGCCGAGTACGAGTGGCGCATCCGCCATCAGATGGCTGCCGGTGCCGGCGGTGCCTCGTCTGCGTCTGCAGGAGCAGGAATCCCTTCTATCAACGTCAACCACGACCTTTCGGTCAACACGACGAGAGGAGGGGCACGATACTCGACGATGTTTCTTCGACCCGCTGGGAAGAGTCTGTGGTATTGGGTTGAGGGCATGTGGAAGTCTGGACAATGGAAAGCCGAGGGCCAGGCTCTCGTCAATTGGGTCGTGGAGAGGGTTATTGTTATTGAAGACATCTGACGCGTCTCACCTACTTTTTCCTCTAAGACTGCTTCTACTCTCACCTTACCTACTTTACTTTGGATTACCTGCATGGCAAGCATGCGTTGCATGGCGTGGTCGGATTTGGAATGAAATTGCTTTGGCGTTTGGGGTTAGCTTAGGCTTAGCACCGGCTAGGTTGCACGATGTTATGAGACATGAATCCATTCTTTACCTATCATTTTCTTCCTTGATTAAGATACCTATAAAACTGGAGACCTGCGTGCGATAGCATTACGAGCGCTTAGAAGGCGAGGAGACTACTAGTAGCTTATGGGATATGGTCTATGTACTGGGAAGAAATCAATGGGTTATATGCCCGTATGTGTTTTATTGCGTAATCTACACATGCAAAGAATAACACGGGACTCGGGAGTCGGTAAAAACCCTCCATCAGGGTTCCTGATTTGCGGGGAAAAAGGCTGAAGCCTGAAATGCAGGTGGAGGGAACCTTGGAAAAGGTTTCCCGTTACCGTAATGACGATATCAATTTGTGGGCGTTTGAACCATGGTCAGGTTCAGTCGCAAGCTCCAACATATCGGAACGTAAGTCCGAAGACAGTCTCTGCTGCGTGAGTCATGGTGATGGCGCACCTGACGACCTCATACTGATCAGTCTCATAGTATCGCAGGACGTCTTCGTGCGCGGCAGAAGTGACCTCGTAAGCCCAGCCGTCTACGGTGTCAACGCCGTCAGTCAGGGCTTTGTACTTACCACCCCAGGTCCTCAATTCGCCTTGGACCGTGGCCGGGCACAGGGTAGGAGGGGCATCCAACTCCAGTTTATCGATGAGGACCTCAGGGCTCGCAAGGGTTCCGTAGAAGAAGTACCAAGCAGGATACTGGCTTTGGCCGGGCAGGAAGGTCTGGGTGTCGTCAGTAGCGCGGTGGTGGGGGAGAGTTGCGTCGTGGTTAAGGCATGGAGCTGGGCTGTTGCAGTCGAGAGCCTTCTCTGCCCGGTTGATTCGAATGAAAGTGGGCTTGAATGTACCTGCGAGGGCAGCGGTGATGGCGCTCTTCTCGGTGCCATTCACAAAGCAAAAGGAGGCGTCTCCAGCGTCTCCGGATCCGTCGACTTGCTGAGGGAGATGAAGCATCCCGGCAAGCTCTTGGACCATGGCCGGAGTGGTTAGTGGGCATTCCAATTTGACGAGGTAGGTTGACTTGAGATCTGGAACGCCCGCGGCTGCCGATGGCTGCTCGTTCGGGACGGCCATGGCCATAGGCATGGGCGCATGGAAAAGCTCGTTGAAAGAACCGTCATAGTCGTTGTTGGCATCAACGACGACGGCCAAGGTCTCGAGCTCCTGCAGAAGATCCATGTTCTTCGACCAAGGTCGAGAGGAAGAGGAAAAGAGCAGGCAGGGGAAAGATCTGGAAGAAAAAGAAAGAAGGAGCAGAATTCCGGAATCCCGGCTTTGATGCTCTTTGATTCCTGGCCACTGACGGACTCTCACTCCGGATACATGGACACTTCTTAGTATCCTCCCTCTCTTCGTCTACTCTCCCGCATTGATACCCAGAGTCTGCTCTGCTTTGTATCCTCCAATGCCGCAAACAAAGCACCAGTTTCTCCACGTACCTAGCCAATTGCCATGGCAACTGGGGACAATCTTCAAGTTATCTCATTATCGCAGGGGAAAGCTTTACGTGAGCAATCTATCCAATCATTGAATGCCATCATGGCGACCCTCGGGTATATCCCGACCCTATATCTTTGTCTTCAGGACTGTTGGAGTATGCTGTGGGTCTCAGGGTGTGTTCGGCCTTTGCATCGGGCTTTGCACCTTATCTCTTCTTGTGTCCTAAGGCCAGATGGAAGCAAGGTATATAGAGCCAATTGACGATGCATGGCTTGTATGTGAACAGGCTTGCAATCGGTCACAATGCATGTCTTTCTTTTGCTGGCGGCCTTTCCTGTTTGCGCTCTTGCCTCGAGTGTCGCCACGGTTCTCGATGTGCAATACTACATCCCCTCAAAGACCGAGGTAGGCTGACCTTTCACCTATGCGGGCTCTTTCTACAGCTCCATAAATCTAACAGTTCATGCCATTTAGCTGGCGCATGACTTCGACGCGAAAGAGCCATTCCCGGTGACTGTCATCACCTCGCCCAATGCGACCCTTACTGCATCATGTCTCAACAGCACCATTTCCGATTACTTGGCTCGAGACGATGTTCTTACCAAGGGGTTCTTGTCGGGTAAGATCATGGTTGGCTCGTTCCTCGCATACCCAACCTCGGCTGATCCTGAGATCCTCGCCAGCGTTCTACTTCCAAGGCCCTGAAGACCTCACCCTGGCCCCAGAAACAGAGTCTCTCCTCCAAACCTTCGGCACCACCAGGGTCCTCTGGGCTCCCTCGCAAGATACCGTGACGCTCGCGGACGGGCCTTACTTTGCTACGGGCTCCGGCCTGCACCGCGCCTGGCGTCTCTACGACGACCACACGAACTCGTTTGTGTTACCTACTATACCCTCTCCCACCGACGTCGACGCCTACGAGGACCTCCCTGTACGGGGCACCGGCCTATCCGGCGACATGTCGATCGCCGTGCCGTCGAGGCTGTTCTACAAGCCGACCCCCGAGAAACCCCTTGCCGGCGTTCGCATAGGCGTGAAGGACCAGTACGCCATCAAGGGTCTTATAACAACGTACGGAAGCCGTGCATACGCCAGCACTTATCCCCCGTCCAATGTGACGTCCGGGGTAATCCAGCATCTGATCGATATGGGGGCCGTTGTTGTGGGGAAGACCAAGCTGTCGGTCTTCGCGAATGCCTGGCTCAGCATTGCCGAGTGGCCTGACTATTCGTTGCCATTTGTAAGAGTTTCTTCATTTGATCAATGAATCTCCTGATGTGCATTGAGGTTGACAAGGCTACACCAGAATCCCCGCGGCGATTCGTATCTAGTCCCCGGCGCCTCGTCTGCTGGCTCAGGTGCTGCTATGGCCGCGTATGACTGGCTGGACAGTACCATTGGCGAGGATACCGGTGGCTGTATGTTGACCTTGCTACCTGCCTTACTCATGCCATGCTAACTTGACCACTCCTAGCCATGCGTTTCCCTGCCGCGCAGAACGGCGTCTACGGAATCCGCTCGACCAAGAACAGCACCAACAACACCGCAACACCATTCGGACCGTTCGATGTCGCGGGCCATTTTGCCAGGGATGTGGACTCCTTCAACAGCGTCGGTGCTGTTATGTACAGCCAGGTGGGGTACAAGAACTACACCAAGTTCCCTAGGAAGATTATCTACCCGCAGGAGTACTGGGCCAATATCAACCCGGACTACACGGCGCCGTGCGAAGAGTACGTCCAGAACCTGGAAGCATTCCTCGGCGTAAACCGTACCGTGGTCGACAGTAACGCGCTCTGGTATGAATACTCCGGCCAGAACACCAGCCTGGTGGATTATTTTGCAAATGTAAGTGTTTACCTAGGTACCCAGGTGCCCAACATATCATCTCGTAGCATCCTCTGAAATGAAGCTGAATCTCAACACTCCAGCTCGTCCCCTACGTGTCCGGAACAAACAACTTCACCCGAGCCTTCAAAAAAGACTACATCGCGAAATTCAACCGCTACCCCTACGTCGCCCTCAACAGCGCAGGGAGCGCCTCCCTGGCGCCGCAAAACAGCACCCTGGGCGAAATCGGCTTCGCTCTGCAATCCGAGTTCCAGGCCTTCTACCGCCACGCCTTCCTCCCCGCCAACGAGGAAACCTGCTCCGAAACCCTCGTCGTATTCCCCTTCAACGGCAACGGCGGGAACCCCTGGTACAGAGACGACCCCGCCACGTATACGGTTGAGGGCCGCGCGCCCGCACTGCCGGGGTACATCAGCTGGAATCTGTTGAGCGTGATGAACGAGAGCCCCGAGGTGGCGGTGCCGGTTGGGGCGGTGGAGTATACGAGTCGGGTTTCGCTTGTTGGGAAGGAGTACCCTGCGACGCTGGAGATCCAGGGGGCGGTCGGGTGTGACTTTATGCTCATGAATTTGGTGAGGGAGGTTGCGTATACCCTGGGTCTGCCGAAGGGGGTCAAGACTGGGAGGAGGATGTACTGACCAACACCAGGCTCGTTGATTATAGGGCCCGTCGATCATGCTGATGAGTATATATGACCAAGGTGTATCTACTCTGCAGCTCGCTCCATCGCGACGGTGGTGACATTTTGGAAACGCAAATCAATAGACTGATTATGAATGGAAGCCTGACCAGCAGTTCGATTCCAAATGAGCCCGCCAACAAACAACAGCGGCAAGGAAGCAGCAAATAAACACGACTCCCGCTCACGACGACGCTGAGGGTCAAGATAAAATAGAACAGAAGGAAGCCCCAGCGGTAACGCGGTCAGCCTGCCCAGAACAACCAAGGATGTCTCCAGTCTAGTACTTAAGGACTTGGTCCTGAACTTGGCACTTGCCTGTGGGTATTGTACCTAGGTAAGCGCGGCACAGCCATCGTACACCTGCAAGGAAATTCCAACTCAGTCAAACGCTGAGACGGCAGGCACCAGCGCCTGCAGCCCAACAGTAACACTCAGACACTCAATCAGGTAGGTAAACAAAGGCGATCCTGGCGCCAGAGCAGCGAATTAAAACTCGGCGTTTCTCAGACCCTCGGTCGGCACGGCGTAGGTTTGCTGCAACGACACAAGCCTCTTGGCTGCGCCGGCCGCCGGCGTTGGCTTGGTGGTTGCCGCCATTGGCTTGGTAGCGGCTGGGGGATCGCTGTAGGGATTCTCGTCTGGAATTGGCGTTGTGTTGTGTTGTGTTGCACGGGTGTGTCAGAGTGCAGATCCCAGCCCCTTGGGGTTGGGGTATAAGACAAAGCAAGACCTGTCTGTCTGTCTGTCTGTCTGTCTGTCGCTGACCTCAGGGGTTTCGTTTCCATTTCCATGCTGACGGGTCTCACTCTCAATTCCAACTCCCGCTGCCACTGCCTTCTCCGTTTGAGCCTATCCGTACCGTACATCCAGCTCAGAATCTCTCATCTACCAACATCGACATATTCCATCCTTCCACATCGCATTCGCATCCGCATTCGACTCCACGCTAGCAGCCATCCAAATCGTACACTGTACAAGTACAAGCAAAAGCAAAAGCAAAATGCATCTCACCCTCCTCACCAGCCTCCTCGGCCTAGCCCTGGCCATGTCCATGCCCACCTGCACCGCGGCCCAAAACACCAGCACAAACGCCCCCGTCGTGACCGACAACGAGCCCGTCTCCGTGCACCACGCGTCCCTCCTACCCAAGGCCAACACGACCGTCTACGGCGGAATCACCATCTCCTCGCGGCTGAGCTCGCCCGCGCTCGCGGTGGACGTGTACATCGGCGGGATCCCCGAGGGGCAGTTTCTGTGTATGTTGCTTGCGTTGCTTGCTTCGCTTGCTTCGCTTTGCTTGCTTGGCATACCCCTACAATCCACCACAGTAGTAGTAGTAGTCGAGTTGAGCTAACGCTGTTTGATTAATGGCGCAGACTACCACATCCACCGGGCGCCCGTCCCCGCAGACGGGAACTGCTACGGCACCGGCGCGCATTTGGACCCCTACGGGCGCGGCCAGCAGCCGCCCTGCAACATCACGGCGCCGAATACGTGCGAGGTTGGCGATCTGAGCGGGAAGCATGGCGTTGCGTGGGCGCCGAGCGGCGAGGTGTTCCGGGCGAGCTACAGTGAATTCTTCCTTGCGAATACGCCGGGGGCGGCGGCGTATTTCGGGGATCTGTCGTGGGTTGTTCATGCGCCGAATAGCGATCGCTTGACTTGTGGGAATTTCGAGGTGGTTGTTCCTGCTGGGGGTGCGGGGGACTATGAGGATGAGGATGATGAGGTTGTGGCGGAGTGGAGGGCATAATGGTACTTTTGTGTGGGATACCTATTTCTTGCGTTCAAGATGAAGTTAATTCAAATGAAGTATTGAATGGTTTAAGATTCATTAGATCCAGTATAACATCGTATGGGTATATGGTCATTTCAGTCAATCATGATTTTGATGAGTCCGCCGGTCCTCGACCTGCCTTTCATTCCTCCTTTCTCAGCGCATTTTCATAGAGAATATCACATCGGCTGCCCGTCGAGATTCTCAAGTCGAGTCTGCATAGCGCTTTGATCGTATTCTTCACCTTGCTCCTCCTCCTTGTACTCTTGCAAGATGACAGTCCGCATAAGCCGCCGAGGCGCACGGCATCCGGTGAAGAGCTCAAACTGGGCGAACCCCTGCTCAGGGAGGACGTCGAGTCCATCAAGCGCCGCCCAGCCCCGATGAGAAAGCGAGCGTATTTGTCGCATGAGTGGTGTGTTCAATGGTTTGTACGCGAGGTCAACGACCACGCCACCCGTCGGACTCTCGATCCATTGAGAAGGAAGCTGGAAGTTGGGTGCGGGCTGGTCGCCAATCCTGTGTGCTGGAATCCCTGAAACAACAATGGTTGGCTGTTTATAGTTAACCGGCCAAGGGTCTTGTAGCGACTTGAGAACATGGATTTTGTAAGGGGCCGGCCCGCTCCCGCCAAACGCGCGGAGGTTCAAGCGCATATAATGCTGCGCGAGTTTCTCAGCATTCGCAACGGTGCGGTTCCAGATAAAGATGTTTTGCACGCCTAAATGGATCATCGAGTATATCCCGGCGCGAGCCATTCCACCGGCACCGATAATTAGGCCTGTCGTGGTTGGACGGATGGCATTGACTGGAGACAAGCCTCGACGTATGCATATACCAATTCCAATCCAATCCGTGTTGTCTCCATGCAAGCCCTTGATTGGGCCTGCCCGGTTTTTTTCCAAGTCCAGAGCGTCGTCAGTGCTGCCTTCGAGGTTTCGAATTGGTATCAGGGTATTGACAGCTCCGATAGCGCGCGCATGGGGAGACATTGAATGCAATAGAGGAATAACTTCTGTCTTGTATGGCAAGCTGACACTGGTTCCTCCAAAATTCGGATTTTCCACCAGATCGTTAATCCCTCGCAGAGTTGGTGTCTGGTGGATTCGGTAAATATGTGGCATGCCGCGCAATTTGAACGCGGCGTTGTGCATTGCTGGGGATAAACTGTATGTCGTGTTCGCGCCGAAGACGAAGAATTGCATTGGGTCCAGGACAAATGAAGAATAAAGCGCTTGCTGCGCGTCTTTTACGGTGACGGATGGAAGCCCTCTGGTTCCTGATTGAGAGATCAGGGGCCGAGGTATCACCGGGGTCAGGATTGGGTTAAAGCAGCACGATTGTCGGCCAAGCGGCCCAGAATTATAAGCAATGACAGGCATCTGCGGTCCTGGAAGGATCTTGAGGTTATGGCGAAAGCGCTCGACGGCGAAATTGTCGTCTATTGACGTGGCGGACTGTGTAAAGCGCACCATGTCACATCCGAGCTTCTTCGCCCGTTCATAAATACCAAGGTATTCGGGATCCTCCCATCCTCGGAGAGGCGGCTTAACAGGCGAGTAGTGCCCGATAACCTTGCTTGAACCTTTCGTGTCAATAATCTGAGATAACAAACTGTCTTCAAACGATAGGTCCACCGTTACAAATTCAGGGCTTAAGCGTAACCCGTGCTGCACTAGTTCCAGGTACGCCGCGTCAGAGCGGCGGGATGGCTCCCTGTGATCCGAGAAGATATTACTCTCGACGTGATATACCACAGGTACGATGATATTCCGCCGGACCGTCGCCACAGTTCGGCTGATGCTATCCGCAAGATTCGACTCGGTGCCCAACTGAGCAGAGGGCGCCGCCGACACATCGATCTTGATCTCGAAAGCATCCGCGGTGGATTCGAGTTCTTCAATGTCAAAGTTATTCTCTAGGAGGGAGGACATTGGCACAGCCGTAGCATAGGTGAATTTGCGGGTTTCGATCGGCTGCATGTGTAGAGGAAACGGTGAAAGCTGATTCCTCAGCTCCGGCATATTGCCAGTAGCGAACGCCACGAAGCGAAGAAAATCGCGCTGTAATCGCTTGAGCATCAAAAATGGGGTCGCCGTTTGAATGCGCTGGTCCACCTCGGCGTCCCATTGCGTGTAGTGTTGGTTGTCCTTGAGGTCACTGATGCCTTTCTCAGAAGCGTTAAAGAATTCAAGGTTCGAGCATGATCGATATATCGGGCCGGACAATTCAAGGAATCGACGGACTTTGTCGGTGTCGCGGGCTTTCAAGTAAGATTGAATGCTTTCCACGTCTCGGACTATATGGATGACGGGGTGAGTTTTCGCATACTCTCGGAGGCGCATCTGCCCATTGCGCTCGACATCGCCTGGTCCGCAGACAATCACGCAATTTTCCTGGTGCTCCATGAGCAACGATTCCATAACAATGGCCTCTTGCCGACGATATTCTGGAAGTGTATGTTCTCTTTTATAAGCGCCTCGGCAGCGCCCTGTCACCTGTTGGAAATATCGATCCGCTTCGACCACGCGCCTACCGTAGCTGGCAGCGAGTATCACAGCAAGACTCGATTTCCCGGTTCCCCGTATACCGATTAAAACTATCGACGCATTTGGGGCGAACTTCCTTTGGGTTTGAAGCGAGTTTTCCATGCGCACCGGCGACCCCCGGCTGGAGGTCAATTCCCGGAACGGAGAAGCGTATCCAGAGCCATCCCCAGTCTCTGGTCGTTCGTCAAAGCGCGCATAGTCGGTAGAAGTCGCAGTGGTCCCTAAGGCGTTGCTTCCCTGGTTGAAGCCCCGTAGAACGCGTCGGTGATTCTGATCAAAATTCTCGAGGTCGTCGAGGCGGCGCTTAGGTGGCCGCACAAGGATTGACATTGCGGAGATGAAGCCGACGGATTATACGAGAATTAAGGCGCGAATCATGTCATGCTGACATGGCGAAAGGACGTAGGAACTCGAGCACTTCAGCGGTACGAAATTAAAATGTCAATTCGTCGGGAATATATGAGAGCGAGAGCAGCAGAAGCCAAGGGTCCAAGCAATAAGCGGCAGTGGATTCTGGAGATTCGGCGACTGGGATGAAGTTAGATTGCGTCGAAAGTTGGGGGTTCGCGGGGAAGTCACGCTGTGGATGCCTGGGTGCCTGAGATCTGCGGGTAAGTGCTCAGCCGGCAATCTGCCCACAGCCAGAAATTATGCATCGTCATTGCCCAAGTTGCTCAATATTTATGCTTGCTCAACATTCGAGCATCTGAGCCTCAATCTATAAGCACCTTATTTGTACGATGCGTTCATCATTCACTCATCTTCACAGGCACATCAAACGCCTTCCATCCCGAAATCTTCATAGCCCGACCTTGCGTGATTCGTCCTAGACGGCCACCTTACTCTCTATGATCCTCGCTCTTCGCACCTACTATTGCCTACCTAGACTGCGGGATTTTATTCAGATGCGGGAGAGCCATGAGCAAAGAAAGGAAGGTCATGAGCGAGGCAAATGAAACCAGACATTTTCTAGGTATGCGTGCAGCCTGGAGGCCAAGCCGAAGCTGGATGGCAAGCCCCAGGAGTTGCACGGGCAAGGGATGAAGCCAATTTGGAAAGTGGAACGCACTGTGAAAGCCCCAAGCTTCGATCTTGAGTTCGCGACGAGCAGAACAAAGTTGGAGAGCCAGGGATGGCGTGAGCTGAGGAAAGGAATGATAAGCCATGAAGTGAATGAATTGACTGACTAACTAATTATCTAAGCTAGGTGGCTATAAAACATAAAGATATTTAAAAGTGTTAAGCACCTGGGTCACGTGATTATAAATAATAATTTTTAATACCCCCCTTGCCCGGGGTAGTAAATAAATAAGGCTATTTTAGTTTTTTAAAGTAATAATATAAAGTTATTTTATAGTATAGTAAGGTGTTTTATATTAATTATTTAAATAAAATATTAATAAATTACTTTTTTAAATAGCTTTATAAGTTTATTAGCGGCCTACTTTATTATTAATATATATAAAAATTTAATATTTTTATTTAATACTTTCTGGTAAAAAAAATAATAATAAATATTAATATACTTTAAGCAGGCATAATATTTAGGGTTTTTAAATATAATAATTACTTTTTAATTATTAGTATAAATAATTATAAGCCTAGGAAAATATACATGCGTAAGGTTTAAGTATTTAATATTTAATTTAATAAAAAGTAATTAAATTTAAATAAATTTTTAAGTTATAAGCGCCTGCGCGATATACTTTAATTTAATAAAAAAAAATATTATACTAAGTTAATACTTTAATACTTAAAAAATTAGATTACTAGTAAGTTTAAAAATATATTTAAATATTAAGGTTTTTTTTATTAAATAAGGGCTAGCCTAGTTAATATTAATATAGTTTTATAGGCCACCTTTATTAAATAAATAATATAAAGTAAAAAAAAAATAATATATAAATAATAATATACATGCTTAATAATAATTAGGTATTTTTAACTTAAATTACGCGTGTATTTTATAATTTTAAAAATTATATAAGTAATATTAGGGCGTGTATAAACCATAAGCTAAATTAAGTATTTTATTATAGCTTAGTAAAGTATTATATTATTTATAAAAACCTGGTTATTATAATTTTTAAAAATCTTTTTTTTATAAAATAGCATGAGAAAAGGCTTATAGTTTTTTAAGTTAAAGTACTTAAAAATTTTAAAAATATAAAAGTATTATAATAAAAATATTTTATTTTTATTTATATTAAATAAAATATTAATACTTAAGTAATCTTTAACTTAGCTATTATTTATTACTTTAAAAAGTTTTAAGAACTCCTGCTTAAAGGCTTTATACTAAGTATTATTTTAAAAAAGTATAAAAATATTATTAATGTATATAAGAATATATAAACTATTTTTAATAAATATTAAATAATTTATATATAGGTGTTTAAATCTTAAAAAAATAAAAGTTTTAAAAAAAAATATATTATTTTTTAGGTAATTACTTAAGGCTATATATTATTTTTAATAAAAGGTTATATTTACTAGCTTACTTATAACTATTAAAAAGGTTAATATAAATTACCTTTTTAAGTTTTATATAAAAAAAATATAATAATAATATTTTAAAAATATAATTACTAACTAAAAAGTGCTACAAGCGTGATAAATACCTTAAAAAATATAGGTTTTATTATTATAATATATACTTTATAAAAATCCTTGCTATAATATTACTTAAAGCCTTTTATAATTAAGCATGCTTTATAAGTATTATTATACTTAAGTTTAAAAACCTAGTAAGTTAGTAATAATTTTATATTTTTTTTTATTAATAACACGCCAGGTGTTATTTTAAAATAATAAGTATATTTTTTATAACATGCTTTGCGCTAAAGTTTTATATTTTTATAATTAAGCGCCTTTTTATATATTTAAGGCTTAAACTTAAAAAAATTAAGATTTTTAAATAATATAATATTAGATAATTTAAATATAGCTATAATAATTAAAGCATTAATTTAATACTAAATTTACTATATAATCTTATTAGTAATTATTAAGGGTGTTATAATAAAAAAAGTAAGGAATTTATTTTTTATTTTAGGATTAATACTAAAAAACTAAATATTATTTATATTTAGCGCTTTTTTAAAATATTAAAATAATTTTATAATACGCGTAAAGTATTTAAAGGGCTTAAAATTATAAATCTTGGCTATAATATAATGCTTATATTTAATAAAAGTTAGATTATATATATTTTTTTATTAGGGACGTTTTTTACTATAAAAAAAGGGGATATTAGGAATTTAAAGAATAGTAAGTATTATTAAAATTATTTTTAGTAATAATTAAAGGTAAAATACCTATTACTTTATACTTTTTTATTTAAGTAGGGATTTTCTTTTTAAAATTATAAGCACTTTTTTAAACTATAAGCAGAGCCTTTATAAATACTTTAATAAATATTTATATAAAAATTTAAGGCATAAATAAAGTTAACTAAAATTATAATTTATTTAAATAATTATATAGTTATAAAAACTTTACAGGTGTATATTTAACCTTTTTAATATTATTAATTTATTTATACTAATATATTAAGGTGTTAAGATTATATAAGGTAGTTACTTAAGGTAACTTAATATTATTAATTTTTTTAAAAATAATATCGCGCATGTACTTAATCTTTTTTATTTTAATATTATAAACTTTATAAAAAAAGTTTAAATAATTAATAAAATAGCCTTTAGCTATATAAAAATCTAGTTTTATTTAATACTTTTTTTTAAAAATAAAATACTAGTATTTATAACCTAAAGCACGCTATTTTAAAATATTAGGTTATTTACTAGTAAGAGCTTTATAAAATAATATTTTTATATAATTATTAAAAATATAGTTTTAAAAAAATATAATTATAAGAATAAGGTACCCTTAAAAATACTTAAAAGTTTAATATACTATTATAACTATTATAAGTAGCTTTATAAAATAATAATTTTTAATTTTAAAAATATTATTAAGCTAAGAATTATATATAAGCACTAGGTCTTATATTTTATTTTTATTTTAAAAATATTTAGCAAGCGTGATATGCTTTTTAGTATTATTATTATAAACATGTTTTATATTAATATTATACTAGGTTTTAAAATAGTTTTTTAAAAAAAATATACTTTTTTAGTAATTTATTTTTATCGCGGAGTAAGAATACCTAATAAAAATAGGTTATATTATTTATAAATATTATAAAATAATGTTTTTTATTATATTTACGTATAAAAATTAGTTTATAAATATTAAAATAAATAAAATCTCCAGGTTTTATATAAATTTTATAATAATTTTTTAGTAAGAAATAGTAACTTTTACTTATTAAGTATAATTTATAAAAATACTTAAGGCCGCCCTTTTTAAGCTTTAAACCTTTAATATTTTAAGTAATTTAGTGTATCTTTTACTTGCTCGCGTGGGCTAAGTAATAGTATATTAATTTAATAAAAATTAGCTTTAAATTTACTTTAAAATTAATATTAAAAAATAGCTTTACTATAGTAGTAAGCAAGCTATTAACCTTTAATATATTAATAAGCTTTATAAAAAATTAACTAGTTATATAAAAATAATAATAATTATTTAAAATTATAATATACCCTTTAGCCTTACTATTTTATAAAAAAAAATTATTATTTTTATTTAAAAGTATTTACACGCCTGCCTTAATAAGTTAATATATTAAAATAAAATTATAAGCTAGCACAGGCGCTAGCTAAATATTTTTTAAAATAAAAGTTTTAATATATATTATTAAGTTTAAAAGTATAAAATTAATTATAATATTACTATATTTTTTAATAAAAAAAGGCGTGCCTGTAGTAGTTTTTACCTTAATAATATAGGCTATAAAAATATAAAATTATAATAAAAAAAAGTTATATAATATAATAAATTTAAGTTAAGTATTTAAAAATAAAGATTTTTTTTATTATACTATTATAAGCCGCTACATAATATTTTATATTAATATAGTTAAAAAAATAATAAATTATTATTTACTAATAGTAGCTAGTATTACTAAAAAGCGCCTTATTATTATTATTATTATTAATAAAGGTATTAATTATATATGTTACTTTAAACCTTATTAGCTTAACTATTATATAGTTATTAATTAGTATAATAAGCTCTAGAGGGATTTTAAAAGTTATTATATTTATATAAATTATATTTATTATATTTATTATACCCCCCTTGGCCGCGACCTTTAAATATACTAGGTAAATTATAATTATAATAACTTTTATGGCCTTATTTACAAGGGCTAAAATTATAAAAATAAAATATACCTTATAGGCCGCGAGAACTAGTTTACTTTATTAATTAATATTTAAAAAAAAAGTAATTACCTAAAGCGCCGTGATAATAATACTAAATAAAGTTAATATTTTTTATAAGTAAATTATTTTTAAAAATTTTATTAATAGTTAACTTTTTTTTATCCTTATTTTTATTTTTTTATTTATTATATTTATAAAAAGTGTGTTAAAAGTTACTTTAAGTAACTTTTTTTTTATTTAGCGGCGCTGCGCGTACTATAAAAAAAAATATATATATTTTTTTTATTTTATAAATTATTAAATTATAAGATATTTTTAGCTAAGTAATTTAAGCTTTATAAAACTTTGTATTTTAAATTATAATAAAAAAAAATAAATCTTTATTTAAAGGGGTAACTTAAGTTTTTAATATTTTAATTTAATAATAATATTTTTTTATTTATTTAATTAAATAATTTTACTTTATATATTTATAAGCTTTATTATAAAAAGCTTATTTTAAATATTATAAGCTATTATATAGCTATAAGGCTTATAAAAAGCCTTAAGTAAGTTAAAAGCCTTTTTTAAATTATGCATGGTGTAAAAGTTTGCCTAAATAAATAAAATATAAGTATTTTAAAAAATTATAAGTATTATAAACCTTTTTTTATTATATTTTTTTATTTTTTTATTATATGCGTTTTTTAATTTTTTATTATATATAATAATTTTTTTATGTAGGTATTTAATCTTTATTATAAAAATATTAATATTATTATTAAGTTTTATTTTTTTATAGTAAGTTTTTTTAATAAATTTATTATTTTATAAGTTATAAAGGTCTAGTTTTACAGGTATTAAGTAATTATCTTAAAAAAACTTATTAAAAAAAAAAGTTAAAGCCTTGTAGTCTAATTTTTAGTAATTTTATTTATTAAAAATAATTTTTTTTATTAAGCTTAATAATTAAGTTAGTAATTTTTACCTTATTAATAATAGTAAAAAAGCCTTTTATTATAATATTAATACTTAAAGTGTTAAACTTAAAGGCTAGGTAAAAATTTTTTATATAAAATAATATAATTACTAGGGCTAGCCTAGTAGTTATAGTTTATATATTTATAAATAAAAAAAAAAGTAATAAAACCTAGGTAAAGCAAGGGCTTATAACCTAAGAAAAGAAATAATAAGCTATAAAGTAAATAAATTAACTAATTAACTAACTATTTAAGCTAGGTGGCTATAAAACATAAAGATATTTGGGAGCGCCAAGCACCCGGGTCACGTGACCACGGGCAGTGATCCTCGACATGAGCGAGCACACATACTGCTGAATCTATAAGACCCTGGCCCTGCCTAAGGAACTGATCTCCTGCGAGTCTCGAAGAGTCTGCTTGTTTGGCTTTCCTAGAAGGACAGCCATTAGCTTCACAGTGAAAGTATCACCACTGTGATTGAAATTCCATTGGCTGAATCTGCGTGTCGACGTCTCATGACTTCCTGCTCTGAAACCCTAGTCCAAAATCGCAGCTTTTAAGGTTAGGTTTTGAGGTCAACACTCGATCAGCTCGAAATTGATGGAAACGCCGGCCTTTGGTTGGGGTTTTGGTATTTAAGTTGAATTGTTTCCTCACCATTGGTCACCAGTGACTGGGAAATGTTACCAGTGTTTGCTGAGCGCACCTTATCGTGATATGAGCCTGTTTCCGGATGATGAATTGAAATCGCCGTTGCCAGACAATTCCACGCCTAGGGTATCACCGGTTCTCACCAATCACACATATGGAGCTACCTTGGGGGTTGCTCGCCCCAGAGTACCACTTATTGAGGAGCTTTGAGGATGCCAGCCGCGTTGAGGCATGCTTTCCAGCTCGTTCGCCATTGTGTCCATTGAGCTCGTCTTATAAGCCTTGGATGCGCAATCTAGCGGGCTGACCTCCGTCGTCCTGATCTTATTTTAGGTTTCGGAGTTTAGATACCAACTGCACCGTCCTTGGTTGATGAACCCTCCACTATTCTCAAAGCCGGACAAAGCACCGTTAGATCACCTCCCTTAAATACTGGAGGCTGGCCGATCACTATTAATCCCACACAGTCACCTTCCTATTCGGCCAATCGGTCTATAAACGGCACACTCGGTTTATTTGCAGCAGGCTAATAATACACCGAGATAGGCTTCTTATCTCTTTTTATGCCCTCAACCCAGTCATGATCCCCAATCCCAGCTCAAGCATCATGGATGAGAAAGATACACCAACGCAAGCCGCGGCCGTGGCCGTGGTCGAGAGTGCCTCTGGCGCCGACACATTATCCGCCAAATCAGACAGGGCCCTCACCAACAAAATCGACCTCCGCCTCTTGCCAGTGCTCGGTCTTCTTTTCTTCATTTGTTTCCTAGATCGAACTAATATCGCAAATGCGCGAATTGCAGGACTGGAGAAGTCTCTGCATATGCCGTCTACTGGATACAATACTTGCTTGTGGATCTTCTACATCCCATTCGTCCTTGGTGGTGTCCCATGTAATATGGTTATGAGTCTGCGCTGGATGAAACCGAATTTCTGGCTGGGAGGCTTGATGTTTATGCTTGGTACGTTCTCATGATTGATATCTACCGTTGAGCGAAGAACAAGAGCACAAGCTAAGTCAGCGGGCGAAGGCGTCCTTGTCATGTGTGAGGGCCTCGCGCGTAGCTACGAAGGCTTCCTTGCGATACGCTTTTTTATGGGTATTGTCGAGACTGCGCTTCCAATTGGCGCCAACTTCCTGATTGCATCTTACTACCGCAAGAGGGAGCTTGCATTTCGATTGTCCTGTTTCTTTGCATTCGGCCAAATCGGAGCCGCTTTCAGTGGGGTATGTTCTGCTTTTCCTTTCGTTCTTTCTTTCTCTCCTTTACCGGATATGCGCTGACTCAACGTGCTTCACGTAGTTGATGGCCTATGCTATCATGGATATGGATGGAACAGGAGGTTACGAGGGCTGGAGGTGGTAAGTGGAGATATGGACATATGTTGGCGGAGCCCATACTAACCATTTCGTTAGGATCTTTATCCTTGAGGGTGTAATAACCATCGCAGTTAGCGCCGTGGTCCTCATTCTCGTGCCTGGCTTTCCCACCCAAGCCACCTGGCTAAAACCGGAGCACCGAAGCGCGCTCGTATCAAGGCTGGAAAAGGACAGGGAGCTCGAATGCAGCCAGCACGAGCCCACAAGAAGTGACTGGAAAGCCGCCTTTTCCGACCCCAAGATCTGGGTTCTTACCATGCTCTTCTTCAGCGCTGATTTCTCCGCCGGGTCTCTGAGTGCCTTCAACCCTACAATCCTCCGCCAACTCGGCTGGCAAGCACGCCGCGCCCAAGTCATGACAGTCCCCATCTGGATAGTCGGGACGGCAGTGGGCATGGTCGCTTGCCTTGCGGCAGGCAAGCTAGGGAACAGAACTGTGTTCATTCTCCCCGCGATCCTGATCTCCGTTGTCGGATGGGCGCTGCATTACTGTCAAGTCAACCCCCCTTCTGTGCGATACTTTGCACAGTTCGCTATTGCAGTTGGGACGGAGACCCAAATGCCGCTGTATGCAGGTCTTTTGCTCGCGAATTTGCGCGGGAAGGCTTCGCTCTCCATGGGGGCAGCTATCCAGTTCGGACTAGGAAATTGTGCGAACTTTGTGCTCTCGAATGTGTTCATTGATAAGCAGAAGCCGGCTTATCCAGTTGGTTTTGCCACGGGTCTCGGGATTACAATCATCGCGTTTCCTATTATGCTGGGGGTTGTTGTTTGGTTTTTGAAACATAACAGGAAGGTTAGAGATGGTGCTGGAGTGCTCTATGGCAAAGCGGCGTATAAGTATGTACTGTAGACGCACTGCTATAGTTAATGTAAGAGTGATTTTCTGACGCTATATATTTAGAGTTCTGGCAGACAGCTTGCAAACCAGGTCTACACGAATCATTACTTGCTTAATCTCCTCTCAGCGGTTCCTCTCCTTGTTCAAGCCATGCCAAAAGCTTTGACGGTGCTGTTGGCTGCTCATGAACTTCTGTTAAAGTAGGGAGTGAGCACAAAGGGCTCCATGGCTCCGCTGCACCACAATATGAGAATAGCGCCACAATCAAAGGCGCTGTTTACCTCAGGTTTACACTGGACGTCGGACGACGATGCACTGGTCATCTGTGGTGTCAGCGCTGCTGAATTCAAGCAGGCGAGGGCGCTCTGTTCAATACAAAATATAATTTCGGTCAATGGTATGTTGATGGTTTCTCCTGATGGCAACTCAAAGTCATACTCAAGGTTGCACAAATTGCGGTGATCGGGACAGCGAGAATCCAAAATTCGAGCCTGTTTGATGTAGACGTCAAGTATGCAGATGTCGTCTCTGAGGGGAGGCTTTCTCTCACCTTAGTTCAGAATGTCCATCAATTCATATCCAGTGGGAAGGTCAAGGCCCCTTGTTATCTTTATCCCTGGGAAAAGAGTGTCTGCGGAACTGGGAGCACGAATTGAGGGCAAAGAGACTCTCACTCTTTGCTTGGACAGGATTATCCAGAAAGTAACAAGCCATAGAGGCTGTACACAAAGGCACAGCAGCAATTAGCATAATCCCAGGTACCCTTAACCAGTGTTTTCCGTTGTTGTTGCTGTTCTTTTCATCACTGACCCTAGTGATTCCACTGGCTTCCATGCATTATACAACTCGTTTGCTTGAAACGCATGCCACCTCTTCGCAAGGCAGAACTTACCTCTCTTCGGCCCACGATCAGCTCTGAGCCAGCTTCAACTCAACTTCTTTGCGAACAGAAGCAACATCTTATCCATCGTCAGAATAGGAAACTGTCGAGCATATCATACTTGCGCCCACCACAAGTCCACACTCGCTTATCGAATCCTCATCCTCACAATCAAGCTCTATCATCATGGCAGAAACTGCAGACTTCTTCTCTCGTTTCCCGGGCTTCACCCCAAATCCGTCAGCGTCAATCATAGACGAATTCGAGCGCCTAGCGCGCCACAGAGGCTGGAGTCATAATTCTCGGCGGAGAAAACACCACAGTGAATGGATAGACTTCGCCGAAGCCGAATTCGACCGCTGTTTTGGCGCTGAGACGAAGCTTGAGAGCTACCAGAATCTATGCCAGATATTGATCCCTGACGAACCAGCTCCACCAAGTATCACGCAGTGTCGGAAGGTGAGCTTTCTCATCTGTCAAGTGGTTCCGGGAACAGGTTTGCTAACGGGTAAGAGAGAAGGCACTCAAGCGGGTATATGTGAATCTGATCGATTTGATTGACGCCGTGCGCATGGGGACGGAGGTTCCGAGGTTTCGCAATATCAAGGCGTTGAGGGCGAATATCAAGGAGACGGAGAGAGTCTTCCCGAGGATGGCGGCGAAAAAGGGCGTCCTGAAGGAGCTGTTGCGGGAGATTTGGTAGGAATGTTTGGCATCTTATGTGCATGTAATGTCAGTAAAAAGTCACAGACGCACTAGAGAGTGATGACAGGGCATCAAAATATGTTGTTGACAACCTTGCATCAACTGCAAATCCCAAGCCAGGCGTTTGAGTATGGCCGCCAGTAGTACCTACTATGCCGATGTGTCAAGCTTCGCCCCGGAAACTGAAAGATATCATAATTCAAGATCATAGTCATCTTCCAGGAACATGTTCAACGTTCAGCGTTCTCAGTATACATTGTCGCTGCCTTGGTGCCTTACGGTACTCGGCTAACCGCTCACCCACATACAGCAAGTGCCGATTCTCACTGCCGCCAGGTCGCCCTCCACTCCCTCACCCCAGCGGAACAGCACAGCGGAAGCCCTCGGATTTGAAGCGACAGAATACGCGAGATGTTATTGGCAGAAAATGTGTTTCCCCGCGGGGAATCTCCGACTTGCAGTTGGGGCCAGCATTTGCTAGTGGCGCCCAGTTCCACCCTCCATGTCCACGTTACCTCAACTGCTCGCCGGTGGGCAAAAGCGTTCTAGCTCTCTGGGCTAGCTTGGCTTATGAAAAGTTTGCTACAGCGTGGAGGAATCCACGTTGAACAGACGCCTAAAAGGTACTCGCTGTCATGGTAGCGGGTAAGCGATGACACCGATTTCCCCAACTTCTCTTCTCCGCTTTCTTCCATCCCACACAACATCATCGCTTTTATCCGTCTCCGTCATAATTCAATGATATTCGTTATGCATACCTGATCGGAGTATCTAAGGGTAACATTCGCGATCGCAACAGGTTGAACAATCGCCCGACACGTCCGATTTCACTACATAGGTGGCGGGGAGTGCAAGCTCAACACTCCGGGGAAGCAGTTAACCAGCCACCGGCAAAGGATTCATTTCGTCCCGCATGTCGAAGATGGGCATGTGCTCGGAACAGTCAAGCGCACCATTGTATCGACTATGAGTAGCGATATCCGCCAAACCGCCGGGGGAAACGCCAGGTCCAAACGACGATTAACCGATGCCGTTGACGAGGATAGCAGGCAGATCCCCACGGCCGACGATTCGACTTCGAACCCGAAAAGGCAGCGAGTGTCCCGAGCCTGCGACAGTTGTCGCGCAAAAAAGGTTTGTGCAGTACGAAAGCCTTAGTTCTTCATCCAGTTCTAACCTTCAGTCGCTGTCAGGACAAATGCGATGGGGCTCAACCAATATGCTCAACTTGCGCCTCGCTCTCGCGGCCATGTACATACCGAGCCAATCCAAAGAAGCGCGGCCTTCCGACCGGATACATCCGCACGCTGGAATTACTCTGGGGGCTAGTGTTCAATAAAATACAGGGCAGYGAGGAGGTTGTCCGGACATTGTTGAGAGCTGCCAACATTCCCAGCCATTTGGCCACCATGGGGAAGGAGGCAGAAGGGTCTGACACTCTGCTCTCGTCGTGGAAGAACAGCATTGTGTTGAAAGAAATTGAGCGACTCTTGACGTTCCTTGAGCAACCAGATGGAGACCAAGAAAGGAGCGCGCGAGGCGAGATGGAGTCTCCAGCGGACGTTGAAGGAAGCAGTGTCCTTTCGCCGGACACGCTTGAGTGGCAGCTTCCGGATTCGCTTGGGGCTGGTAAGGATAGCCCATTGGCCGTTGGACCATCCCCAGTGAGGCCACCTAGACCAACCCCAACACGTTTCGCCAGAGACTCGAGTACTCAAACTATTCCGATAAATGAATTCGAAGAGCTCACCATAAACGGCTCGTCTCGCAATCAATCCGAGATTACTTCCAGCTCAGCCCAAGAAGTTTACCAACTTCCCCCCAACCCTTGGCCTTTACTCGACATATACTTTTCCTACACACAATGTTGGTTTCCTATACTAGAAAAACATGACATCCTTCGAACAGCTTTTCGGCAGGCTGACGATGATCCATATAATACATCATCTGCCTCTGGAGACAACGCGGCATTGTGGGCGGTCCTTGCACTTGCATCAATTCAACAAACGTCAATATCAGCCACACGCCAATTATCGGACTTACCAGACGACCGGCCAGATCCCAACCAGTTATATGAGAAAGCAAGAAATCTCATTCCGACAGAAAGTGGGACTTATCAGCTTGGGCATGTCCAGGCACTCTTGATCCTGTCATTGATTAGGCTCGGCCAGCAGGACTGGGCAGCCGGTTGGATGCTTGTTGGGCAGGCTGTTAGAATTGCGCAAAGCCTAGGACTAAACGGTTCTCCGAATGCAGCCACCAATATGGAAGAGAAACCCGCCGGGCGGTCCAAACATGTTTTCTTGGGATGCTTTGTGCTAGAAACGCTAGTTGCTGCCCAGACAGGTCAGGTGCCTTCACTGCGCAAGAGTGACTTGACGAGGGTTGGGCTAATCAATGAAGATGGCCTGGAAGAATGGCACCCTTGGGAGGACCAGACTGGACTCCGCCCGATAGAGTCTTCCCGCTCTTTCCAGCGTGGGCCGCTTCATGCGCTCAGCACGTTTAACCGGCTGCTGTCGCTGATGTGCATCCTTAACGAATTTTGCTGTTGGAGGCAAATGCACACAAGCTCTCTATCTCATCTAGAGGCACTTGAGCGGCAGTTGCAGCTCTGGGTATCGGCGCTTCCGAGGAGCTATCGGATTGATTTGCAGACAGTTTCGACTAAGCCGGCATCGCCACACATATTTGGGCTAGAGATGATGTACGAGTCTGTTGCGACCGCCATAAGTCTACAGTTAGCTGTGCACAAAAATGATAGAAACGGGGTGCGACGTGCTTCAGAAGGCTCCAAGCGGCTAATGTCGTTACTACAAGCCTATATGGAGACTTACAGCATTTCAGCTACTTGTCCAACTTTTGGGATGGCTTTGACGTTAGGCCTCCCACATGCTGGCGCAAAGGCAACTGCACCCTGGGCTTTTGAAGCTGACCTTGTTGGGGTCAAACATAAATTACAGTCATTCTCTGCCCACCTCGCGACCGTATGGGTTCAGGATCATAGCCCCCAAGCACGGTCAAGGCCGGCCATGCGGCCAAATAACTCGAATCCGAAGAGCCCGCCAGTCCAGAACATACCCGGAAGCAATCTGCGCGTAACGAGCTTGATCGACGAATCCCGCCCTGTGAATCTTTCGTCTCCAGATTCATACCTCTCACCAACCTGGATGCGGACGTCCAACGACGAGAACGCTGTTTTGTCTCTACCAACGCCTGCATCATCTCTCAACATTGCCTCTGGCCTCGAGGCACCAAATCCTGTAAATCAGCAAATTTCGCATCAACATCGCTCTTCTGTCTCTGGAAGGCCTAATGGCGCCCCGATAGTACCTGATCTAACTAGCCCCTTTTCTGCGACTGGAACGCAGTTTCAACCGACATATAACGACGCTAGTATGAATTTCAATTCATTGCTCGACATTGACAGCGCAGGCTCACTACGGCGGCCGAGGATTGCGCCCGATCTTGATGCTTTGTTTGACGAGTTAGCGTCGCTTGATGGGACAGACAGGTAACCCAGCCTCTCCACAGCTAGTAGTATGAATGACTAACGAGAGTAGGATGGACAATCAACCTGAATTCATGCAGAACCTTGGATTCGTGCCAGAGGCGGGCATCTCGGAGCTATATCCATATACGAGCCATAACGATTCGTTTCTACTTCCGACACAACAGACACTAGCGTCACCGGAGAGCGCCCTACGACGCGAGCCGCCATTAGTGACCGATTCTCTCAATCCCAGATGAAGACATTTGAAATGAACGGAATTCATTTGATACCATAAAACACATGAGCTCATCGCAGGAATATCGTAATGCAGAACATTATTACAGAGCAGCCTTCTTTTCCAGAGGCTTGAAGTTCAGCGCAACATGCTCCACCGCGACTTTGTACCCATACACGCCCAAGCCCACAATGATTCCTGACGCCTTATCGCTGAAGTAGCTGTGATGCCTGAACGGCTCCCGCGCATGCACGTTACTCACATGGAGCTCGATGAAGGGAATATCGACGCCTAACAGCGCATCTCGAATAGCGACGGATGTATGTGTGTATGCGCCAGGGTTGATGACAATCGCGTCGGTGTTTCCGCGGGCAGCGTGAATACGGTCCACGATGGCACCTTCGTGATTTGACTGGAACGTCTGGAGGGTGGCACCGAACGAGGCGGCGTGAGCTTTGGATGATTCTTCGACGTCGGAGAGGGTGGTTGAGCCGTAGATGTGCGGCTCCCGAGTGCCCAGAAGATTGAGGTTGGGGCCGTTGATGAGGAGGATTGATTTGGCCATTGCGCGCGTAACAGTGAATTGTAGATATCTAGGGAATATCGATGGGAGATGAACTGTTATAAGTCAGTCTTTCTGGTCTATCCTAGTATGGGGTTTGCGCGGAGGTCGGTTAAGGGAAAGCCGTGGGAGAACGCTCTGCCGGCTCGGACTTCCCAGTCAACGCGCACAATCAGGGTCGCAGTATGGGGCAATCGAAACTCTCAAGGCCGTGGATGATCTTCAATCTAATTAAAGCGATGCACGTTCCAGAAACTCCATCTAATTACTATCCTCGTGGCCTATCCCCAGAGTTATGCAGGCATAGATCGTAGTATAACTGACTCGGTTATCAGCGGCCTATCTGGACGATCTCCACTCCAAGTCATCATGGACCCCTCTGACTCTTTTCTCCCCTCTCCCTTATCTCTCCTCCTCTCTTCTCTTGACCACTCTTACGACGCAACATGAACACCATAGACTGCCCCATCCCGCAAGCCGAGCTCGACGAGATCTGCGCCTTTGCAATCGACGTCGCCCGTAAAGCAGGCCAGCTCCTGCTTGAGCGCATCTACGAGCGCAACGCTGACCAGGTCTATGCGGAGAAGGAGAATGCGGTAGACTTGGTGACGCAGACTGACGAGGGTATGTCGCTTCCCAATCACGAACAGTTCTTTCGCACTTAGGGCTTGGTGATGGGTTGCGCTAATACGAGCGACGAGCAGACGTCGAGGCCCTCATCAAAACCGCTATCCAAGCCAAATATCCGACCCACAAATTCATCGGCGAGGAGAGCTACGCGAAAGGCCAGAGCAGAGAGTACCTGATCGATGCGCAGCCGACATGGTGCGTCGATCCGCTAGATGGTACGCGTGCCCTTGCCACTCCCAATCCCCTACAACGCAGTCCCTAACCCTAGTCCTACAACTACCGTACAGGAACCGTAAACTTCACCCACGCCTTCCCCATGTTCTGCGTCTCGATCGGCTTCATCGTAAACCACTACCCCGTGATCGGCGTGATCTACGCGCCAATGCTAAACCAGCTTTTTTCGTCATGCCTCAACCGCGGCGCATGGCTGAACGAAACGCAACAGCTCCCTCTCATCCGCAAGCCCTCTATCCCGCCTATGCCGGCGACCGCGCCATCGAAGTGTATTTTTGCGTGCGAGTGGGGGAAGGATCGGCGCGATATCCCGGACGGCAATCTGCAGAGGAAGATTGAGAGTTTTGTGAATCTGGCGTCGGAGCGCGGCTCGAGGGGTGGGAGGGGAGGTATGGTGCATGGGGTTCGGAGTCTGGGGAGCGCGACGATGGATCTTGCGTATACGGCTATGGGGTCTGTGGATATTTGGTGGGAGGGGGGTTGTTGGGAGTGGTGAGTCTCTATTCTTTGTTTTATCGGGGTTCAGGCTTGTAAAGACGTGGCTAACGGATGTCTAGGGATGTTGCGGCCGGCGTTGCGATCTTGCTTGAAGCTGGAGGTTTGGTTACGACGGCGAATCCGCCACAGGATATAGATGGACCGATTGCGCCGGTTAATCTGGGGAGTCGGCTGTACTTGGCTATTCGGTATGTGTCCAGTCTCTTTTCCTACCTGGATATTATCTAACTAAGTTTATTTAGGCCCGCTGGACCTTCAGATACAGAGACAGGACGAGAGACGCAGGAGCGAACAGTTCGAGAAGTCTGGCGTCGCGTCCGCCAGCTAGAATACACTAGACCAACATTACAATCATAGACCATACAGCTCTATACAATGCATTTATTCTAGATCTATATGCTTCATGATTGATTTACAAGTTTGACTTGGACCTCTCCGCAACGGTCTGCGCAACAAACGCCTTGACCTTCTCCACCAATCCAGGCTCCCCAACAATGTCCTTACCCGTCCAGAGCCTCGCCTGCTCAAGACCCTGCCAGATGAGCGCCTCCGAACCAAGAATAACCTTCCACCGCGCATCCTGCGCCATCTGCGCAATCTCCGTCCATGGAAGAGGGTGGTAGCACATCTCCAGGATGACGCCCTGATCCTTCTCATGCGTCTGCCTGTTCAACAGCACACGCAGCGTCTCGCGAGCCCTAACTTCCTCCTCCGTCTGCGGCGGGTAGTTCGGGATTCCACTGACGATAGCAACCGGTGCCTCGAGCGTCGCCGCAACAGCGGGATCTGAAACGGGGATCAACGGAGCCGAGGGGGACGGATTCCGCTGCTTGTCTTCCGCAAGAATAGCCTCGACCTCATTCGCATCTCGGTTCACGATATAGATCTTGCTCACGCCCAGCCACTTTCTCAACACATATACCGCTGTCCGGGCAGTGCCACCACCGCCAACAATAAGCGCGGGCTTTCCCTTAAAGTGCTCCGCGCCATTAGGCGAGCCCTGCAACAGCGCCTCGCGAATGCCAATACAGTCTGTGTTCGTTCCAACGTACCCGGTCTTCCCATCCTCTTCCTTACGCAGGAAAATCGTGTTGCAGGCGCCTGCTTGTCGCGCATCTTCTGTCAGGTCGTCGAGGTGCGGCATGATCGCGACCTTCCAGGGCATTGTGACGGAGGAGCCGACGAACTTAGGGTTTGAGCGGATGGAGGAGAGGAAGGTGGTGATCTCGGGAGACTTTGTGAAGGAGGCGCCATCTGCGGTTGAGAGGGGGATCTGCGTCCAGTTCAGGCCGAGCGCGTTGTAGACTGTTTGGTGGAGGGGCGGCGAGAGCGAGTTGCGCAGTGGGTGGCCGTAGAGGTAGGCGACGCCGTCGCGGTCGGAGGGGATGGTGATGGGCTCCATTGTGTTGTTGATGTGAACTGGAAAGGCAGAGTTGTCCAAAATCTTCTGGACAAGATGGGAGAGGAAAGATGGGGTATTATAATTGACGGCGAGTGTTTAACCGGCGAGGGTGGAGGGGACAGCGGCGGATGAACGCTTTCGCCAGCAGTGTGGGCCGTGGAGAAACAGTCCTGCGTCTCGCTTAATCGGAGTTGGAGGCGTGACCCCGTGGGGATCTCGGCGATTGTCCTCGTTTAATCTGCTTTAGCTCAGGTGGTAAATGCTTTCCCCACAATCCTCGAGCGTCGAGTCATGGCTGGCGAAATCCCTTCGTGGCCTTCGATTCCTTTACCCAGCATGCTCCCCTGCAGGTATATAAGGCTTCTCTCTCTTCTCCCCAGGAGTTCTTTCTTCCGCTTCATCACCACTCCTCCGCTTCTCTATTTTCTAGGATAGGACAGGCACAATGTCCATCCTCGCCTTGGTCGAAGACCGACCGACCCCCCGCGAAGTCTACAACTGGCGCGTCTACCTGCTTGCCGCAGTCGCCTCCTTCACATCATGCATGATCGGCTACGACAGCGCCTTCATCGGCACCACGCTGTCCCTACAATCCTTCAAAGATGAATTCGACTGGGAGAACCTCGACTCCGACCTCGTCAGTGCCAACATCGTCTCCCTGTACCAGGCTGGTGCTTTCTTCGGTGCACTCTTCGCCTACCCTATTGGCCACTTCTGGGGCCGCCGCTGGGGCCTTATGTCCGCTGCCCTGATCTTCTTCCTGGGTGCCGGCATGATGCTTGGTGCTAATGGGGATCGAGGACTGGGACTCATCTATGGCGGACGGGTGCTCGCAGGCATTGGTGTTGGCGCTGGGTCGAACATCTGTCCGATTTATATCGCGGAGATGGCACCCCCTGCAATTCGTGGACGTCTTGTAGGTGTTTACGAGCTTGGTTGGCAGTTGGGTGGTGTCGTTGGCTTCTGGATCAACGTACTTTTTCCCTCATACTATCTATTTGTTCTAGGTTTGCTAATGTGAACAGTATGGCGTGGACGAAACCCTAGCTCCAAGCCACAAACAATGGCTTATCCCCTTCGCCGTGCAGCTAATCCCCGCTGGTCTCCTCATCATTGGCGCGCTCTTTATCCGAGAATCTCCCAGATGGCTCTTCCTCCGCGGCCACCGCGAGAAGGGAATTGAGACTCTGGCCTGGATCCGCAACCTGTCTCCCGACCATATCTACATGCTGGAGGAAGTCAGCATGATCGACCACTCTCTCGAACAACAGCGCGCCAAGGTTGGTCTTGGCTTCTGGAAGCCCTTCAAAGCAGCTTGGACAAACAAGCGTATCCTCTACCGTCTCTTCCTGGGTTCCATGTTGTTCCTCTGGCAGAACGGCTCGGGTATCAACGCAATCAACTACTACAGTCCCACCGTGTTCAGGAGTATCGGCGTGACAGGTGGCAATACTTCTCTCCTGACAACCGGTATCTTTGGCGTCGTCAAGGCCGTTATCACCTTTGTCTGGCTGCTGTACCTGATCGACCACTTTGGAAGACGCAACTTGCTCCTCGTTGGCGCGTTGGGCGGCTCAATCTGCCTGTGGATCGTCGGCGGATACATCAAAATCGCAAAGCCAGAGAATAACCCCGAGGGCACGGAACTCGACAGCGGTGGCATCGCAGCCATTTTCTTCTTCTACCTATGGACAGCCTTCTACACACCATCCTGGAACGGCACGCCGTGGGTCATCAACTCTGTACGTCCATGTCATTCCCATCCCACCCCATTATTCCAGATTCAAGAAACCCCCACTAACAACTCCCTCTAGGAAATGTTCGACCCAACCGTCCGATCCCTCGCCCAAGCCTGCGCCGCCGCCTCAAACTGGCTCTGGAACTTCCTGATCTCCCGCTTCACGCCGCAAATGTTCACGGCGATGGGGTACGGAGTATACTTCTTCTTCGCGTCGCTGATGATCCTCTCGATCGTGTTTGTGTTCTTCCTTATACCCGAGACAAAGGGTGTGCCGCTCGAGAGCATGGAGAGTCTGTTTGACAAGAAGCCCGTTTGGCGGGCGCATGGGCTGCTTCTTAAGGAGTTGCGCGACAATGAGGAGGCGTTTCGGGCGGATATGGAGGCTGAGGGGAAGGGGGGCGTTACGAGGGAGTATGTTGAGGAGGCTTGATTGTAGTCTATGGGTATATATTGGTTGATTTATGATGTATCTACGAGGGTATGACGGGCTTGGATATATTGAACTATGGCCAAATATTGGATAATACCATCTTCACTGACACTTTGCTTCCACGTGGATATCTTATACATATTTTGGCCGCTCATCCATGATTGAGGGATCACTGGCTCCCAATCCCTACCGGCGTTGGTCTCTTTCATACAGGTATAAATGGCACTCCTCTATGACGTTACTGACTCCTTCTCTATTTCTTTAATAGATCTATCCTAATCCTAACATGTTCCTTACAGTGCTGAGTTTGTAGTCAATCGACTTGCACATCGACAGGCCCACTCCCTTCCATACTCTGCCTAACAGCCCTAACAACCCTGAGCGCCCTCACCCCATCCTCAACACTACATCCCACCTCCTCACCCACCTTCTTACCGTGCAAAATATCAACGAAATACTCCCATTGCCTATCAAACGGCCGCTCATCACCTCCCTCAACCGGCATCCTCTGCACACCAAGCTCCTGGTTCCACCCCTTCTCCTTCCCTCCCCCATCGTCAGCAGAAACATGATCATAACTCCACCTTGTCATATCAGGCACACTCAAACTCCCCCTCGTCCCAAAAATCCGATAACAATCACTCGCACTCCCAGAAGAAACAGGCGGGATAGTCGGGTTCTCGCCCGTCCCCGTCTCAAAGTTCAACGGCGACGGCGTTACATCGCAGATGAGGAACGTCCCTACAATCCCAGACTGAAAGCGCAGTGTCACCGCGCAGCCTTCCTCAGCTGTATGCTCTGGATTGTTCTCTTGACGTTGTGGCTTTGTAGGCTCAGCGTACACACGACTTATAGGTCCGAATAGGAATTGCAGAACGTCGATATCATGGATCAGGTTTATCCCTAGCACGCCGCCCTTGTTCTTATCTGCGCGCCAGGAGCCGATTGGGGGCGCGAAGTACAACGGGGGCTTTAGGAGCGTCCAGAGACCGTTGACTGCGATGATGGTGCCAAGGGAGTTCGCGTTCAACAGGGTCTTTGTGGTGCGGACGTAGGGGTTGAAGCGCCGGTGATGGCCGATGAGGATGTTGGGTTTGGCATTCTCGTTGCCATTTTCGTGCTTCTTGAGGGCGGCGAGGAGGCGTTCGGCGGAGTCAAGGTCATCACTAATCGGTTTCTCGAGGAGGATGTTTCGTATGCCGGTTTCTAGCAGTTTGATCGTGACATCGACGTGCGTGTGGTTTGGCGTAGCGACGATTGCCGCATCGGGTCTTGGGTCCTTGGAGTCCAATAACTCCGCAAGAGAAGGGTAACAGGGCACACCAAACGACTCAGCGATCGGGATAGCAGAGGGCGAAGGATCGACGAAGGCGAGCAGCTGGGTTAATGGGTGTCGTTGCACAGACTGCGCATGGCGGGGACCGATGAGGCCGGCGCCGATGATGACGATGCGGAGTTTCTGGCTCCCGACATGTTCGCTGATAGTGGAAGATGAAGTCAAGGTCATTATGCAGGTGGGCAGGGGGTTGAGATTCAGTCTGCATGGTCTCGGAGAATTTGCGGGGTGGCTGCGTTTATGTAGGCTGACCTGCGCGATCTGCGATGGGGTCATCGAGATTAGAATCCGAACGTGGGATCATTTCCAGGGTCTGTGGACACTGGATTGTGGACTTTGAATGTGGATTGCATTTGCGGGGGGATGGAGTGTGCTCGCAAACAGTATGGAGTAGGGGGATGGATGGGGGGAGMTAGAGGGCAAAACGCTCTCCCGGCAGGCCTGGGAAGCGTTTACCCGCTATACAATCCTACGACAGCCTGATATCAACATTTCCTGTAACAAGGACTTATATTATCACACCATCCGCAGATAACCGCTTTGTTTCATCCTTGGAGTCTTTAAGAGAATCTGATTGCTCATTTCCTTCCGCGATCTGTCATTTTACGCATCGCGTCGCTTCGTATTTCCTTCGCTGCACATCATCAGCCACGCAAACTACCTGTCCTACCCTACCTATAACCACCACCCTCATCATCACCAACCATACACCCATCATCCAGACTTCAGACTTCAGACTTCAGAGAAGCAACCCACACCCGCCAAAATGCCCTCCAACCTCCAAGTCGGGATCCCCACAATGTCCCTCTCAAAACCAGGCCTGCACGCTCTAGACCACAAGCTGCGCGTCGCCGCCGCCCACGGCTTCACAGGCATCGAGCTCTTCATCGACGACCTCTCCCACTTCGCCGAAACCAGATTCAACGGCTCCCTCATCCAAGCCGCACAGCACGCATCCTCCGTCGCAAAACAGCTCAACCTGACATTCATCTGTCTCCAGCCATTCGCGTTCTACGAGGGCCTGCTCGACCGCACTCAAACGAAATACCTGGTAGAGGAGAAGCTACCGCTGTGGTTCGAGCTTGCCAGGATCCTAGAGACGGATCTCATCCAGATCCCTGCGAACTTTTTGGGGAACGATGCAAAGACCAATGCGCCGCGGACAACGGGGGATCTGGATGTCATCGTCTCCGATTTACAACGAGTTGCGGATATCGGCGCAGCGCAGGGCTTCCGCTTCGTCTACGAAGCCCTTTGCTGGTCAACGCACGTCGATACCTGGGAGAGCGCCTGGAACGTAGTGAGGCTCGTCAACCGCGACAATTTCGGGATCTGTCTAGACAGTTTCAATATCGCGGGGCGCATCTACGCGGACCCTACTTCGCCCGATGGCAGGACGCCCGACGCTGCTGAAGCCGTCACGAGGTCCATGGACATACTCCGTTCAAAAGTGTCATCGGGTGAACTAGATATCAAAAAAATCTTCTATATCCAGCTCGTTGACGGCGAGCGTCTTTCTGCGCCTTTAGACGAGAAGCACCCGTTCTATGTAGCCGGCCAGCCGGCGCGCATGAACTGGAGCCGGAATGCGCGGTTGTTCCCGTGCGAGGTGGACCGGGGCGGGTATTTGCCTGTTCTGGAGATCGCGAAAGCGTTCTTTGATCTTGGGTTTGAGGGGTGGGTGAGTCTGGAGTTGTTCTCGCGGACGTGTAACGATTCCCGTCTGGAAACGGTGGGCGAGCATGCGAGGCGGGGGATGGATAGCTGGAGGAAGGTTGTTAGGGCTTTGGGGCTCGATGTGCAGGTCCCCAGTCCTGTTCCTGTTTCTGCTCATGCCAGCAGTAGAGAGAGGGAGAGAGTGGAGGTGCAGGAGGAGCTGGCTGTCCAGCATCGGCTGTAAAAATATAGGGAATGGATGTCTCATCTAGAAATAGTTATTTTGTCTAATTAGTTGGGTAATAATGATCATGCACGCTGTTGAAACCCGTTGTACAAATATTACTGTTGAAGAAATGTTTCGTTTCACGCTTCTGCCCATCGTCGCTCACGCAAGGGTTTCTCTTTTCCTTCCATTCCGTCCGTCTCAGCTCGCCATGCATAGTACTCGCCTAGTCGTGTCTCGGCGTATGAAGCGTAGTCGAAGTCGATCTGTGAGATTTGCGCTTGGATCAACGCCCAAATGCCCCTACAGCCATTAGTACTCAGTGCTTAAGGATTTATGGATGTCCGATACTCACCAATATAATCCAGGCAGTCCTCTGAAGCGGTCTACATCCTCGCATAGCTGGTCCACGATCTCTGGTTGTAATGATTGTGGGATGCCCCGACGCTCCGCATAGCTGCGCACATACTCAGTCAAGAACCCCCGGCGGACAGATCGCGTCGGCATCATGTTGTAGTCGCAGTCGAAACCGCCCCATTCGGCAAAGTGGTTCGCGATGTCAAAGGCGGCCGGTGATGGCGTGGCGTACTCGTAGTCGATAAAGTTGACTTCCTTCTCATCCTCGGGACGTCCTTCGGATGGGAGAATGATGACATTGGCGGACAACAGGTCGCAGTGCGCAAATACCAGCTGCAAAAAACATGTTAGTACAGGCCATGATGGCTCTGGCTAAGAAGTTTGGGTAGACATACGCCATCCTCTCCTAGTCCTTCACCGTTATCGAACTCACGTACAACGCGCTCCAGCTCGGTCTGCAGGCTCCGGCGTCTTTGCTTCTGCGCCTCAGTAGTAGTAGGCAATGCAAGAATCCACTTTTGTAGTACAGCCCACAGACTTGGCCCGGGCCGTCGAGGCTGAATGACCTTCAGGTCGTCCGTCTTCACAGGCAGGCCATCCGCGGCCACTTCTACAGAGTCTAAGAGCGAAGTCCCTTTCCCGGATTTTGGCATTGGGCTGGCCGCGCTAATGGGCAAAACGGCATGCCACTGCCCCAGTCTCCGCGCAACACCACGCCAGACGCTCTCGGTAACCAGATCCTCGTGGGTGGCCGGGCGGCCGCGAATAAACCGGTACAGAAGCCCATTCTTAAACCGAGCCAGGAGTGGAGGGGCTAAGCCGAATCTAGCGAGGAGCGCGTGCGAGTTTGTTTCTCCTGTGGGTGGACCATTCTACTTAGCACATGTCGCATTGGGCAGTGGAAAAGGGGCTGGCCGGTTTCGCATACTTTCGCGGTCTATGAGGATCTCTGTATGATTACCGTACGCTCTCATCAGTACTGCATCCTTGTCTATTTCCTCCTCTGTCAAACCGGACTTGCGGTTTATAGCTTTAAACAGCTGCGGCGGTTAGTCGCTTGCGAGCTTTGCTTTCGTCTGGGTAACGCACAGTGTTGGTTATTCCGTCTGTGAACCGTACGAACTCGACCTTGTTCTCTGGTCCCTCCCAGTGAGGGTTCAGCGTGAGAATGAGCCGCAGGGCAGAGGCGTGTGAGTCCGCATGGTTGTACGACTGCGCAATGTAGCGGGGGGCAAAAGCGTCCGACCCGTTGATCGAGCCCATACTGTCGAGGCAACGGTGCGTTTATTCAGCAAGAAAATATCGTACTGCAGAGTCAAATATTGTCAGTCTCATGCAAAGTGCCACAAAAAAGGAGCGAGCTCACGGCTAATGTCGCTAAAAGCGGTACGGCTCAAGAATTCAGGTACCGGCGAACAGGCACCCAAAATTTCTCTAGCACAAAATAGCCGGCAATTGAGTGTGAATAGCGGTAGGGCTTGGGCTTTTTTCGCAGAGTCGTAGTGAGTGGCCAAGGTATAGGGACAAGAGGAATAAAAGTAGGTACGGCCACAAGATAGTCTGCCACAAAGAAGGGGGAGCCAGAAGAGGAGACGATGTCGTCAAGCCTGGAGAATAATGGAGAGGTGGTCTCGTGCCTCCCTGGCTGTGATTGGAGAGCAAGAGCGCCCCTCTCGTATCCTTGTCGCTGTCACGCTATCCCGCAGTCAACTCCGCGGGTGAGATCTTAGTCCTCTATTTCGCCGAGACAGTAAGGCTGACGTTGACGCTGATATCACTTATCGCTCAGGGGTCAAGACACTAAGGAGGACCTTGTCCAGACATCTGTGGCCTTTGCCTCCGGGCTCAGGGAACAAACATCCAGCCGGAGGGAGGCAAATACGAACCAAAGTTACAAGTATGAATCTAACTCTATACAGCTAGCCACACATTTACATGTGATTCCCCTCAACTGACCGCCCGTCCAAAATTCTGCCGCTCTATTCAGTCACATGACTGTCTACTTAGCCGAGCCCTCACCGGCCACCTGGACAAGCGACACTAGCCCAATCGGTTATAGCGCCAACACAGCCATCTGCTATAAATTCTTGCACCGGCCGTCCGCCATTCCCCTTCTTTTCTTTTCTCTCCATCATCAGTAGCGGTTTACTTATCATGTAAATTCGTTAAAACCGGAGCTCCGCTACGGCGGCTCGCTGAGGGTTATCCTGTTGAGATTCTTCTGAGTCTTCTGTGGGTTTTCTTCCGTTCCCGGCTCTGGAGACCAATTTTGACCACCGCGTCCTTCTTTTTCCCTTACAATTCATGGCTGGGCTAGGTGTGCCTCTTTGGCGTGCCCATGCGCTTTGGCTGTGGAGGGGGCGCGACACGATTTTTTTTACTCCTACCTTTTGGTCCTTGGTACTTGGTGGAATTGTGGGATTGTAGTGGCTTCTCAGGGATCTCTTCTGCCTTGCTTGCTGTAAAATTCTCTCAAACTGTAGAGCTTGTCTGTCGTCTTGTCTAGCTTCGTGCAGACGACTGCAGGAGGTTGTTACAGTGTCGTTCTCGCTGCAAGGTTATTCGTACTGAAAGGTTTTCTAACCTCGTGTCGAGTCACCTAGTATCGCGCAGTCTGGCAGGTGGTTGACTCAAGACTCCATGCACAGTGCCTTGATAGCTATATGTTATCCGCTCTATGTTGGCGATAGCATGAGCCCATGCCTTTTGAAATAAATTCTACGGAATACGCGAAAATTGTGGAAGCCATACGCATGATATTTGATATTCGTGATTCATCTACTGCCATACACCCGATATCGAAGTCGAGTTAAGCCCTCGCTGCGCCACCAATCTGGATGCGCTCTCCAGTCCATCGATCGTCCTTCCGTAGCACCGGCCAGCTCGTCCCATCGCCCTTGACGAGCGTCAACTCCAGCTTCGTACCCAGCACCTTGAACTTGGACTTCTCCGGGTCAATCGGCGCAAACAGCTCGTAGCTGTCCTTGTAGCGCTTGTTATCCGTAGTCGGAAGGTCCAGCGTAAGGCCAGTGGACGTGAACTCGACCTTGGCGTTGTCCTTGTCGATCTTCTTCAAGTATAGCGAGACGTTGACGGAGGTTGCTGTTTGGTAGAAGTCATTCCTATAATCAACATGTTAGCGTTCGTAGAGATCGGCGAGGCATGAGGAAACTGACCTAACAGACTCGACCTTCTCCTCCCCAGCCGGCTTGCCCTTTCCGACGAAAAGATGCTTCTTCTTCTCCGTGCATCCCTCGATCTTCAAGAAGGCGTCGAACTCAAGTACGCGCCGCTTACAGCACGACCAACCCTTGCTGCCTTCATGGAAAACAGGCTGGCCGGGGTGGTGGACACACTTCTCCTCATCCCGCGATACATCAGGGTTATAAGTCCCACCGCACCCTCTCCTCCGGCATGTAGCATTCCCGGGAATCGCAAGCTCGGGATCATCAGACTCTGGCTCTTCGGGAGCGGGCGAAGGCGCATTCGACGGGGGAGGGATGGCAGGCGAGTGCGCTACAGGCCGGGGTACCCCGCTGTCTCTGACAGGGATCGGGGCGGCAACAGGAGGCTGAGATGCCGCAGGCTCGTCCTTCTTAGCAGGCGCAGGGGTATCGTCAACAGCGGAGTGCTTTCCAGTCGTGCAGGGAGGAATGTCCATAAACTCCTCGAAGGTGAGGACGCGGGGCTTGCAGCAGTTCCAGCCTGATTCGATGAGGTAAAGTTAGCGATGGTTGCGGAGGCCACTAACTCAGAGGGTACTTGCGAGTGACATATTCCCCCAACGCCAAATTAGACAGACCGATGGAGAAGCTCTACTTACCTTTCTGTCCTTCGTGGAATACTGGCGGGCCTGGGTGGTAAACGCAGGGCTCCTCCGGGTCGGTGAACACCTTCCCACAGCCTTTGTGGACGCACTTGGTAGCCATTGTGTTCGCGTAGATTTGCTATCTCAGCTGATCGAGACAGTCAAGGGGATTGAGACTTTTAAGAGAACAAAGAGGACTCCTTGGAGGACAAGGTGGGGGAGTGTTCTCGAAATCGTCAGAGCCCAAAGCGGTCTAGTCTGGGGAAGCTCGAAGGTTCCATTCGGGTTCCTCTCCGGCTTTCTCGGCTCGACACAACAACATCGTGTCTGTCGTTCAACCAATATCTCATTAAGAATAATTAAAAAGAATATCTATATACAATGTTCCCAACTGCGCGTCTCCTCCAAGCCCGCGTCACGCTCTTCACCCGTGCCGGTTGCGGGCTCTGCGACACGGCCAAACACACCGTGACCCAACTGCATAGACGCCGGCCATTCGACTACTCGGAGGTCGACATTATGGTGCCTGGCAATAAAGAATGGAAAGACGTATACGAATTTGATGTTCCAGTTCTGCATGTACAGCCCGACAAGGGAGCACTGTCCGATCCGAAGAAATTGTTCCATCGATGGACCGAGCAGGAGGTCGAGAAGCTTGTCGACAATGCCGAAAAGGTGCATTAATCGTCACTTCGATTACTCGGTTACGTGTTCCATATACGTTTCAACATAGTCAACGACGGCGGACAGTTTCGGTAACCCGAAAAACTCGTCGTTTGGTGTGGCAGGTTCGCCGGACGCGGGACACGAACTCTATTCAAGAGACAAGATTTATCTCCGATCTAATGCAAATCATAACCGCCGAGATGAGATATCTCATACCTTAACGTCAGGATAGCAACTGTATTTCCCATCCGTCTTATCCCACCCAATACCGTTGTGAACAGTTAGCAGGTTGGTTGGATCAACTTTGTTCTTGATCTGGAGCAGTCTGTCATAGTTCTCCTGTCCCCAGAACGAGTGTGCGGGATTAGGCTCGAAGGGATCAGCTTCATTTTGATACGCACCGCCGTTGGGCGTAAGATCCCGCAGCGGGTTAATCATCTCGTGCGTTGTCTGCCACAGATTCTTGACCACGCTCTGGTCGGTGGTTGTGCCGTCGAACTGTCGAGTAAAGAGGACGTGCCAGAGCCCGTGACGCCAGGCCGGAGTCACTGAGGATGCATCCTGGCCTCCAACCTTGTCTTCCTTGGTCATTGTCTGAGAATACAGGTACGGCGTTGTTGCGTAAAGCATCAGCGTAGACTGCGCAGGCACCTTTTGTCCCTTTGCCACAATCATTATGTCGTGCAAAGTAGAAGAGAGCTGCTGCTGGTTGTCGCCGACAAAGTATTCTTGAGGGACAAGACGCGTAGCCATGGTCCAGGCCGAGCTTGGTAGGATCTGGCTCTCTGTAGCGGCAATGATACCTCCGAGGACGTCGCTATAATCCGCAGTCGCGATACTGGCATTGCCCACTGTTCCTCCGTCAGTGGGTCTGTTGGCCAAGTCAAACAGAGGCTGCATAGACTCCTGAGCATCAGACAGGTCGAGCAACGACGTGCCCAGGGAAATCATCGAGCTTCGGCCCACGGGCATCAAAACATAGCCTCCCCAGCCTTCGGATGCCCATTTGTCGGCGTTCTCGACCAGAATTGAGATGAGCTCAGCAACAACGTCGTCATTGGTCCCGTCGATAGCAACTCGTGCAAACTGCATATCCTTCTTGGGATGGACGGAGTAACTGATCTCCGCCACAACACCGAAAGTGCCGCCGCCGCCACCGCGCAGGGCGAAGAAGATATCCTGGTTCTGACACCGATTCGCGGTGACATACTTTCCGTTTGGAAGCACGGCTTTGATCTGCTGGACATTGTCGACACCGAGACCTAGTTCAGGAGACAGCATGCTATGTCCTCCTCCGGTCAACCAGCCACCGGCCATACCAACGCCTGCATATGTACCACCCACGACTCGGTACCCGTTGGCATTGGCCCATTCGTAAACTCCGCCGAACTGCTGTCCAGCACCGACGGTGATCACATCGCCGACTGCATCTGAACATTGCTCAGGAACGAAAGCCTTGGTGAGTTCGATAGGAGGTTGAATGTTATGCGTCCTACACCATCAGTACGGCAAATAGGCAAAAGCCAGAAAGCCAACCTACCAAAGCGCAAATGAATCCGGAGCCGAGCTCCTCCCCGTATAGTCATGCCCGGTGTTCTTGACAACCAACCGCAGGTCGTTATCGCTCGCAAATTGCAGCGTCTTCTGTATGTCCTCCACGCTCTGCGCATCAACATATCTTGTCGGAACACTTCCCTGCATGCATGGTCTTGATGTTGGAGTCTCCGTATCTGGCACCGTAAGCTTCATCGCACAGTTGTCTCCAGTCTTTTGGCATCCGCCCCAGTTCGATTCCTGATAGCCGCCGAACTGGTCCGTGACGAAGAGATGGTTGGCTCGGTTCTGTTGCAGGGCGTCGCACACTTGGGAATCCACGTCCTGGTTTGTTAGCATTGCCGTTCTTCCGTCTCGTCGCTCGGAGTCATACCTGTTGCTGTCCATTGTAGTTGGTATAGCAAGGCGCAAGCATCGGCACGCCATTTTGCAACCGCCCGGAGACACTTGAGTTGAAGGCATCCCAGTCTGCATCGCTGACCGACAACACTGAGCGGCGATCAATGATACCTGCAGTCACAAACTGAGGACCTAGCGCAACAAGCGCCAATAGTGGTAGAGCGAACGCCATCCTGACTTTACTACCACCAGCAGTATTCCGGCGATAAGTATGGCCGTAAGACTTGACGGCTTTGTGCGACTACAATAATGGCAACCGTGACGGACTCTCCTTCCTTTATGTACCTCCCACCTGACACCCATATTTTTGTTTTTTACGGACTTGCCCCTCCGAACCATCGGTCAAGGTGGGTGCATATCATTGGTGATCGTACATTCAGGGTGTTGATCGGCTTTCCCCTACGGACAAACTCCCTAGTACGGCTTCGATGGAGATCTGAGTTGCGGTAATGCCAGCTCAAAAATTGGGTGCCACATAATACAAACACACGTTGGGTTGCGATCCCCTTGCGTGGTGGACAGCGAATTCCAACCCTCAGGGTGTGATCGTCTTCCGCATTTACCCTGCTGCCCTGCAGGGTGTTTCAGCTTTCAACGAGACCAAGAAACGCTTGTCAACAAAGTCAGAGAACTTGGGTATGCGGCGGTCCGTGCTGCTCCAGCCTCCCCGAAGGTACCCCAGTCGCTCAGTCGACCCCTGAACCGTGGGTCCCGACCCAAACTCGTGGTTCTGGCCCAGTGGCCCCGAGGAACCGAGGCGGCCTTGTCCCGTCACAACTCATAACTGCCAAGTCATAAACACCTCGGACAAGGGTCAATCTCCGGTCCCTGAATATCATGCACGGCCGCACTACTTAATCTGGCTCTTCAACCCTGGCTTCTGGGGACGCTGCTCGGGGCAGTTCAGGAACAGGAAGGCCCGGCTGGCCGAGTGGCAAGCCCCCGTATCCATATTCGCATCTCAAACTCGCAGTGTCTTAGATACTAAGCGATGTCCTTGAGCATGTTGGCTTCCGAGCGGTGCCGACTGTACGAGATACGGGCTACGGCTACTCGTCCTACCTACAGATGCCGAGTGCTGGCTAACAAATGTTGACTGCTAAAGCTTGCATCCGTCTAGATCGTGTTCAATGCCGCAAATAACGAGCTGGGTCTGGCTGGAGCCGTGCTTAAAAACTACGCCTCAAATCTTCTACAGGGTTGGTCACAGACCAGCAATGAACATGTACGGAGTAGTGACTCGAGTAAGCCAGGTCCAGTGGCATGCATCAGTGGTCACGCACAGTGCATACATCACACCGCACGTTGCCGCAGAACGCACTTGGACCTCACATGATATGGTCATCAGTATTATATGCGCCTAAGGCCCTAAGATGTCTTTCTTGCAAAGGCCAATACAAATATAATCCCCATTTCTCAATGCAATATATCGAAGGGTTGGACCCCTATGTACAAAAGCACGGAGTGCCGTACGTCAAGTAGAAGTCAACGGCAATCCTCTGCGGACTGATACCGTACGAAGGCTCTATCTTTAATACATTGAATAAGGCTCATAAACCTGTTTGCATTTACCACCTGGGCTCAACTCCCGTTGCTCGTACATGTCCCCATGAACGACTCCCCTAGGCCCCTACTTAAAAGCCCGACCATCTCAATAAAGATACTTTAACCTCACACACAAGCAAGAGCTTGGATGCCCTCATTGTCCAGGATTTTGGAGAGTTGGTTGTCAACTCCCATCTCTTCTTCCTTCTTACGCGTAATCCTCACGTACTACCCCCTCGCTTCAAGCCAATCCACACTCTCACGACTTTCACCATTGCCTAGATCACCCATAGCACGCGACAACATAGATATGAGCGGCGGCGGCTAAGCAAACTCCCAGGACATGGTATACACCCCTTCCCAGCCCATAAAACCTATGGTGCCAAAATCATCATCCGCAATTATATTCCCCCGTACAAGCCCGAGTGATATAGCAGAAACCGCCCACTATCACTCTCGAATCTCGAAGTCCCGGCTATGCGAGCGATTTCTTCGAGCTTGTCCGGGAATTCTCTAAGAGGCACCAAGGCCTCCTCCTTTCTCAACAGGGTCATCTTTCATCATCCCGCGGATAGGTTCCTCGGAAGTTGAAGCCTTCGATTTGGCTTGCGCAGCCCACGCCTCGAGGATCGCGGAGCCTGTTGAGAAGAGCCCACCGATACTAGGGAATGGGCCGATATTGAATGTACCGTCGGGGCGTTTGATGACTTTGCCGATCTGGGGGAGCCGGATAGATGACAGTTGCACCTGGAAGGCATTAGCATTTATAGCTTGAGACCATGACAGGTCTCCAGTACATACTGGGACAAACCTAGTGCATACCTGTATTTCCGCCAGCTGCTCAGTAAGCCGTTTCTTCTTTTCAACCGGCACCCGGTCGCCTTGAGCCTTGTATGCTTCGGTTGCATCTGTCGTCGAAGACCCCGGTATGAACTGCATCAGCGTGAACGCCGCACGGACAGGATTATCATTGATAAGCTTGTAGCCGTAGACCTCTGGACGGGGATCGTTGTCTTCGGATGAGATCCATTGCGTCTAGGGAATAGCGGAGGAGGGACTCGACTTCGGGGTCCGAGGGGTTGAGATTCACACGGGCGATTCATAGAGATTCTGTACCTGAGCTTGAATCTGGAGCTGCGTCTGTGGTTGTATCTCTAGCTGGATTCTCGAACTTCAAGAGCCGGATGGGCTGCACGCTACCGGCTGTGCTATAGGTATTCGAGAAAAGTACAAAGGTGTCCCGAGTTCTTGGATGAGACGTATTCTCGTAAGGCGTTCCAGTTGACTCGTTCGATACGGGCATCTCGTTGGTCTCTCTGGGCGGGGTATTGGTCGTAGTAGGAGTCTTCTTTCCAGTTTAGGGTGGGAAGGCTCGAGGTTGGCATTGTGGTGTATGAGAGAACTGGGGTAAGGTGTGCAGAGTGCTTGATGGTTAACTCTCTGCTTCTCCAAAGCAGGCATTGACCTACTTGCAGAATGGGAGTAAATGTAGTTTCGAGCTACGAGTTTCTTCTCGCCAGAAGACATAGTACCATCATTTTATGACGTAGTCTTGCAATGAATCTACTCTATCGTCTAGTCTAGACTCTAGACCATTATCGCCCCGCCAGTCTCCAGCTCAGGCATCCGTCTACTGAGATACCAACCCCGCCTCAACAGCCTTAATCTGTAAGGCGAGGAACTTGGAGTAGATACGACACAGAGCAAGGTTACCACCCATGTACCAGAACCCGGGGTGTCCGCTTGGCCGCCACATCTAACCGTTCGTCAGCCCGAGCCTCAATTACAGTAGAAGAGTGGCACTTACAGCATTAAGTTCTCCCTCTTCATCCAGGTCCCAAACATCACTCAGTCGATCGGCGATCTTATCACCTAGCGTCTTCCTCACAGTTGTCCGCATGTTATCATACCCCGTGGCAAGGACAACAATATCGCTCTCCAACTCCCCACCATCCTTCAGGATGAGGCCGCGCTCCGTGAAGCCCGAGATGCCATCCGGGCTACGCCGTACCTTGACCTTGCCATCTGCAATGAGCTGACTGCAGCCGACGTCAATGTAGTACCCACCACCGCGTGTCATGTACGCACGGGCGAGACCGGCACCATCAATGCCGTGGTCGAGTTCGAAGCCGGCCTTTTGCAGACCGGTCATTATATCCTTCTCAGCTTCGAATGCACGTTGTGTAAAGTGTACGTCGAGGGCAAATCGCACGGGGTAGGGCAGTGATTCGGCGATTAGATCGCATTCTTCGGTTGGGGGCCTTACATTGTTGGGTTAGTTAGGGTTGTTGGGATATTGGAGACTAGGGCATACCCATGTTCTTCATGTAATCCTTCGTGCATCATGAAGATCCCTTTATCTTGTGTGATAACGTATGTCCCCCTCCGCTGGAGCATAGTGACCTCGGCACCATTTTCCTGGAAGTTCTGGGCTATGTCGTGCCCGCTGTTTCCAGTTCCGACCACGGTCACCTTATTGCCTTTGACATCATGCTGTGAGGCGTCTTGGTGGTTGGTAGCGTGGTATATCATTCCCTTGAACTTTTCCTGATCCGGGAAAGTAGGGACCAGAGGCTCTCCTGAGTGTCCTGTGCACCAGACGAGATGGCGAGGACGCAGGACACGTTCTGATCCGTCGCCGCGAATCATTGTGACAGCCCATTCCTTCTTTTTCTCGTCGTATGATGCGCCCGTTACGCTGGTCTTCGTCCATACGTTTAGCTCCATAATGCTTGCGTATGCCTCGAACCAGTCGCCGAGCTTGTCTTTGGGTGTAAACTCGGGCCAGTTCTTCGGGAACGGGAGGTATGCCATGTGGGTGAATTCGACGGGATCATGGGTTACGAGAGTCTTGAATTGTTAGCAGGTACTGTGCTGGTTACGAGACTGAATAGGCATACCCTGTAGCGGTTCCTCCAGTTATCACCAATTCGTTCATGTCGGTCGACGATAAGGCAGGGTACACCAAGAGACTGGAGTCGAGCACCTAAATTCAGACCCGCTTGGCCTACAGGCTGTTAGCTTGCATGACTATACGAGCTATATGGCTGTAAATAAACTTACCAGCACCAACAATAAGAGCAGCAGGCTCCTCTTCGTTGAAAAGTACCTGCCGTTTCCGCCTCTCAATCCACGTCCCCCGGCTCAATCCACCAGGCATCGTCTCGGTAGTACCGTACGCCCTCCTCGAGCCAACAGGCTCCTCCATCCCCTTCAGCTCTTGCAAAGACGTATAAATTGCATATGCCTTCCATACGCCCTCCTTATCCTGAGTGAGACGAAGCACACCAGACCCACGGCCAGTGCCCGTCTCAAAGAAAAAAATCGTCGAGATCCACGTGATACCCGGTGCTGGATGTTCCAGTTTCGGCTGACACTGGCCCTCATGCTGCAGTCGGAACCCGGACAACTGAGCTTGAGGTTGGCTCTTTGTGACGAAGTCTTCAATTCCGCTGAGGCTCTGGATGGTGTGGAAGTCCCATGTCAGGCACAGCAGGTCGCGCCACCATGAGTCTTCGTGGAAGAGTTGCGGGAGTTTAGAGAAGTCGCTTGTTCGGAGAAGGACCTCGAAGTCGGTGATCCATTGTTGGGCAATTGACCGAGGTTCTGGGGCGCGGTGGAGGAGGGGAGTTTGGGGGAGCTGGATAATGTAGTGGTTTTGTGCTAAGGACATGGTCGTCATCTGTATGCCTGACGCGAAACAGTGTACTTGAGTCTCAAAGCAATAATGAGGTCAATTGAGTTAGGGACCATGCTCGCAAGCTGGGCTCTGGTCAGCGCTTGGTATAAATAATCCGGGGGAAGCTTCGGGAGTCCCCCGGGGGGGACGGTCCCCATGACCACAGGATGGGTCTGCCTGAATCATGAGTGCCACGGCTTGGAGCTCTGGATGCATAAGCTGGCCAGCACGACGTGTAAGCCTGGGGCCAGGCAAAGCAAGAGGCATCAGAAGGGAGTGGACTTGGTGGGGGTTGGCACATGCGGGGGAAGGAGTGGGCCTCGCATCGAGGGGATGGCGCACCCCAAACCAGTAATTCTCGCGGGCTGCGCGTGATTTCCCTGATTCAGCAGCAAGTGGCTCATGCTTCCTTTTTCTATCTCCATAAATCACTGCTGTCTGTTAAGAACCGCAGTCTGGACTCTCAAGTGTGTTGTCAGAGTCGTCGGAGTGAATCCGAGTCCGATTGTTGGTCCAGTCGATTGCTTCTCCATGATAGGCGTGGGTCATGGTCAGATATGTCATAGCATCTTTCCGTGCAAGTGGGAGGTGGAGGAGGATGGGCAGCCCATGGCTTATCAGTCTTGATTCCCGAGTTCGCCTCCATACGTTCTGTTCGTTCAATTGACCTTAATCTATGCTAAACGTTGTGGTTGTCAAAATCAAACGCCTTTCGCCGCCGTAAGTGCATAAATGTACAGAAACAATTCATCATATCCAGTATATGTCAGTATGGCCGTCGTCAAAACCTTCAAGGCAAGTCCATCATATCAAAGGGGCATTAGTATCATGGTTGTAATCATTCCTCTGCTTCCACTTCATCTTTTTCAACTTCGTCGGATCCCGCACCATCTGTTTCCGCTACTTCAGCTTCCACTCCGTCGTCAATGATCATTTCCACCTCTTTGACAGGGTGAAGAAGCATCGGGGGAAGGCACATGCGTCCCTCGCCTGCAAGCTCCTCTTGCTCGCCGCCGTCGTTGTCAACTTTGTAGCCCAGCCAGCGTCTCCAGAGATTTGGCGAGAAGCCAGCAGAATAGAACCAGGTCGTGCCGCGGAAGTTATGTTCGCGATCGCCAAAGATAGACGAGCGCGCTCCTCCCGAGGCTCCATTGCGTCCAGCGTTGAAGATAGACTCGAGGTATTCGGTCGGCCACTGGCGGTCAACGTAGACCGAGTGAGGTACATAGACTGCTTTGAACCCATGATGCAAGGCAGTAGTGGCTGGCCACATCTCAGAGAACATGGTGTGCCGCTTGAATGTCGTTTCCTTGTGCATGGTGTGCAACAACTTTCGTGAGAGGCGTGAGGCGCTGATAATCGCAGCTCGCCGTGGTGGGAGGCCATTCTCCCGATTGTAGCCGGTTACATCATCCTTCAGAAGCCATGTCGTTCCTTCAGGGTCGAAAAGGGGGTTGAACACGATGAGGTCAGCCTCCTCTTCGACTCCCCAATCATATTTATCTTTCTCCATAGTCGCTTGAGGGATGCCCTCGCCTTCGACTTCCAGCACGTCCTGTTCATCTGGACGCAATGGACCCCAAACAAACTTGTCACCCTGGCGTTGGGCAGGCTTTTCGCCTTTAACAAAGTCATGACTGGCACCTGCGCTCCACATGTTATTTGGGCTGTTTGTCCCAAGCTCCGTCTGCACCCGCACCATCTGTCTGAAGTCGTCCCAAGAGCCGTGGACCGAGGGCACATAGAACCGAGAATTCCTCTCCCACAGTCCCCTGCGAGGTTGCTGGCGGGCCCAGTTAACGACCTTGTCGAAAAGATGATACCAATGGCCGGTATATCTTGCATCCATCTCCCAGTTCCAGTAGTAATCATACTCTGGATGTCGGTATGCGAAGTATTGCATGGGCATAAAGGTACTGCGGTACACTCCATGAACGGACAATCCACGAGCCCATGTCTCTTCCATGCCAGCATACACAACTGACATTTGCTGTTCCGACCAAAGCGTTCCCATGCCTTGGAACTCTTCTGGCAGGGCATCTTTCAGTACGCGCTCGTACGTATCATCGTCGGCCCATATTTGGAGATTAGTGTCCTTGACATGTATCAAGAAATGAATGGTGTACTCGCCCCCGGACAGGAGGGATAGCTCAGCGATAATGGAGCGTAAATATAGGATGTCTTCAGGGGTGTAGTGGAAATCATGCCACGTCCTGATCACGAACGCTGTTCGTGGAAGGCGCTTTTGGTTGTCGTTTGGTACGGCTGAAGGCTCCTCTGATGTCGTCAGGGTGTCAGTTGACTTTTCCTGTGGTTTGAGGCCATCAACTGCCATGGAGAAAACGCGCTCTGACTGCATCTGGGGCAACTCCCCAAACCGGTGGCTATTAATAGTCATGCAGCGATTTTGCGCAGCTGCCCAGTTCACCCGACGGAAATCTACCGGCGGAAAATCCTCCCAGACGCGCTCAGAGCCGTCTCGATGGCCTTCTAAGCCCGCACCTGTGCCACCTTTCCGTACACTGTAACCGAGGCCATATGGCCCGAGGCGCCCGAAGCGATCGAAGCAGATATCATCTTGAATCTCGAGCATTTCATTGGATCCAACCACAGCATCCGGAAAGCCGCGAGGTACTCCGCGGTATGAGTGAACCAATGGAAGTCGAAGCGTCTCGTCTTGGTCCAAGAAGCATTCCCGCTTAACACCGTATTTCTCGACGTATTCCGGAGAGGTGTAGTTTGGGTATGGGTTAAATGCCGAGCTTGCGAACGGCAAGCCTTGTTTGATCTGTTCGGTGACCTGTTCGGTAGGCTCGCCACGGGCCGTAATGGTTTCGTTCATGCTGATATTCTTATCGGGGATCATGCCTTCGGGGTCTTCGTTCGGGTACTCTGCAATGTTTTCTTTACGTGCGACCAATGTGCGGATGCCCCCATGATATCGCTTTAGAAAGGGGAAGCTTTCCCAAGTCGGCGGCCTTGGTGAAGCTTTGGGTACCTCGAGCGCTGCTGGCGTACTTTGCGATGAGAGGGTAAACCGAAAGAGTGTAAGAATAAAGAGCAAGAGCGCAGAGAACAGAGCTAGGCAAAGCCATCTCATGATTCTATGAGGGACGCGATAGAAACCGATCGTAGCGCGCGTACGCCGCGCTGTAGCCGTCGTATTCAACATCGGATAGTAGGAAGCGGCCGAGGAAGAAGACGCTATTGAATCGTCGCCGCTGTCCGATTCCAACGAGCTCTGGCTTAGGTTACGGTAATGGTATTCTTTCCGAGCATATTGCTTTTCGACATCTATCGTGTCATTGCGGGATCCATACCGACCGGACGAAGCGTCATATTTCGGGGCGCGGCCCTTTGTCGTGCCAACGAACTTCATTTTGTGACAGCGATACTCATAAAGGGGTTCCAAGTCGCGTCAGTCGGGCGCAATAATCAATTGATTAACATCAACTTGTTGGGGGCTTCGTGTATGGCTCAAATCTAGACACAAGTTTCATATCAGTAACAGTCAGCTTGACAACAACAACAGACAGGCTCACATCAGAGTCCAAGAGCGCAGCACATCAGACAAAGATCGAATGGAGCAAGACGCCCCAGGTAACCATCAAGGATAGTAGCTTATGGCTTCGAAAGAACTTCCGCGATGGATGAGCGACGGAGTTACAACCAGCAGAAACAGGTCCCAGCAACCGCTATACTCAGGACCACTGTTTGTAGATCAGCGTTGCCTCGGGGATACCCAGCGCTTGTGCTCCAAAGCGGGCCTAGCCCACTTGGCCGGCCGATTGGGCATTAGGCGAATAAGACCACGATGCAACGAAGGACTGTCCGGGCAAGACATGGTGAGGCCGCGATGGAATATTCAAGGCAGAATACGGTGTTCGTTCCACGAAGCTATCAACCACACCGGGGAGACAAAGATCCATGGGACGAGGAATGCCGAAAGCTGGGGAAATCCCATGGTGTCTCCATAAAGACTAGCGGGAATACTACGCCATGCCCATCAAGGACTAGTCACCCAGGCCTTGTTCGCCTGAGGCTGCAACTTCGATTTTACCGACCACGATAGTTTTATCTACTCCGAAACGCACCCAATATTGGGGCAGTCGTAAGTTGTCTTTCCTCCAAGCCTCCTATCCCTTGACAAGCACCTATAGGAATCGGCCACACCTCTGTAAATGCTCACGAGGTCTATGACAGAAGCAATGCAGGACGAGGCATACATTCCCAGAGACCACGGGACTCAATAAAACTACCCTCCAGAGCTGGATCGTGACTGGCCTTACTGACTCTAGCTATGCCCAAGCCCTGCAAAGCCTCGATCATCAGGCCCCGTTCCGGTATCACTCTGCGCGCCTCTGGTTCCTGCGGACTGAACGCCTTCGTTTGCGCCAATGAGGTATTCGCCAGCGACAACTCCGCACCCTTGTCTCGTATCCCCCACACTCCTCCTACGTCAGCTCGCCAGCTTATCTACATTTTGTTGTCTGTTCGCATTGCCTGTGGAAGCGTCCTCTCAGTCTATACTGTCATTGATGAGGTGAAAATCCTCACGATGGGTGGCCTTGACGATGCTAACTGCACCCACATACATCATACTGACGCCTATCAACGCTTATTTCATGACCAGAGTCCGGAGATCCTCATACCCACGGCCACGTCCCAGTCCACTTCACTGGATAATGGCATGTTCCTAACTGGTCTTCATTGTGGATTGCGGTGTGATGTAACTGCAAAGGCATCCTCATCTGGTCAATTTTGCCTGATCTGCCACATCCTGATGGGTCTGGGGATCTCTATAAAGAGCCTCAGAGAACAGGTCCCTCTTGACCTGAATCCCCAGAATCCAACGGCCATAACTACTACACTCCACTACTAACAAGCTCAGATACAAGCTCAATTCAACTCCAATGGTTCGTCTCTCCCAACCCCTCCCGCAATGAACTGCCTAAGTCCCCAGACTAACAATCCACGCCCTAGGCGACCTCCAACCTTGACCTTTCGTCCCCAGACCACCGGGAGTTTCCTCTCGCCCTTTTTTCAGTCTTACGCGTCCAGCTCGTCCTCATCCTCCTCGTCCCCACAACTTTATACCTCTTTCACTCCATCCGCAAAGACTACCATGCCTTCCTCGCCCTGGGTCCCGGCGGCACCCCGTCCACACCAGCAGGATACCTGCGCATCTGCATTCTCCGCCTCTTCGCCCTCCGCAACCCCTTCGACCCGCCCTCCATTCCACAAACGCTCCACCCCAAAACCGGCTGCTTGACCCTTTCAAGCATCCCAACCCGGCGAGGGCCCCGTCCAACCGTAGCAGGAATCGCCCCGCAGCGCCAGCTAACCCAAAAGCCTGGGCCCGCAATGTACGATGCCCTAGCTTCGGAAATCCACCGTCTAGCCCTCGAACACCCTAGCAGCCTCTACACCGCAACCTCCTGCTTCGAGAAGCACAGCACAGGCATCTTCTACCGTCTCCCCACAATAACAACCACAAACTCCACCAGCAGCAAGAGCCCTAAAACATCTTCCAACACCCATAACCACCGCATCACCTGCAACGGCGAGGTCTGCCACTCTCACCCCAGTGACGGGAGCCTACACCTTACCTTACACCCGGCGGACGTGAAGGTCGTTCTTGAGCGCGGCTGGGCCCAGCGGCACCCAATAGCCAGGGATAGCTGGTGGTGGGTGACGCGGATTGTCCCAACGGGGTTCGTGATGATCTATGCGCCGAGGAATGAGGAGGAGTTGAAGGTTGTTGTGGAGATTATAAGGGCTGCTGCGTGGTGGGTTGGGGGGAAGGAGGACTTGAACTGATGCAGGATGTTTGCTGTGGTATATTGATTTGTTAAGGTAGGTCTGGAGCTGGGTCCAGGGCAAGGACGACGTTTTGCTTGATAAGTACTTGGGTTTGCTGTTGGCAGCGGAAGGTGACGACGCAGTAATCATGATTATGAGTTAAGTATAACGGTAATTTGATAGGATATTTAATCCGGTAGTTACTCTTATCTTGAATCGCGGCAAAACGTTAAACTATAATGACAATCTATTCAATAAGGATTGACGGGGCTGTACATCTCGAGTTCATAGCGGCGCACAAGACTCCGACTTCGGAGTACACATGCAAGACAACCCTCCACACTGAGCACCTCGGGTATGCACTCCTCGAAGTCATAGATAAGTATGTGTATTTAGTCGACAAAGGGAGAAGAGATGGGTTGGGACATAAAGAAGATAAAAAGAAGAGGGCGATTTTTCAAACGCAAAGGATAATCGATCGTTCGGGCCAACGCCGGGATTAGAGAGAAGAGAGAAAAAGGAAAGCTAATAGCATAGAGAAAATAAAGAGCCGTTAGGAAACATACAAGCACCACCGAGTAGCATATCACATCACTTCCCTATACGAGGTGTCTGTCGGCCCCAGTTCCCCATCCATCATCCCCAACTCCCAGTCAAAAGTTCAGGTATCTATCCATTCATCACAACCGCCGCATTTAGTCGCGGCCAGTCTTCCGCAGCGTCTCGGCAAGCCATTCGAGACCTTCGTACAGACCGTCTCCGGTGGTAGCGCAGGTGGATTGGATGTACTAGAATTTTGTTAGTGAGTGACGAGCAAAAATACTTGGTGGATCAACTCACCCAGGGACGGCGGGTAAGGCTCTGAAGACCGAGCTGCTGGGTAATCTCGGCAGGGCTCATGGCGTTCTAGTGAAAACAAAATCAGCATCTATACCCAATGCGTTATTGATCGAATGCAGGTATGCGTACGGGCAAATCTTGCTTGTTGGCGAAAACAAGAAGGAGAGCATCACGGAGCTCATCCTCGTTCAGCATGCGTTGCAGTTCCTCCCGGGCCTCGACAATACGGTCGCGATCATTGCTGTCGACAACGAAGATAATACCCTGGGTATTCTGGAAGTAGTGCCTCCACAGAGGACGGATCTTGTCCTGACCACCGACATCCCAGACGGTAAATTGAATGTTCTTGTATTCGACAGTCTCAACGTTGAAACCTATAAGCAGCCACCACTACATTAGTGTCATGCGTTATAAAGGCGAGCAGCACACGAGCAGCGGCCGGGTGACGTGGGAGGGAGAGGGCGACGACTCACCAATTGTGGGGATGGTGGTGACGATTTCACCAAGCTTGAGCTTGTACAGAATGGTGGTCTTTCCGGCAGCGTCGAGACCGACCATCAGAATTCGCATCTCCTTCTTTCCCCATAGTCTGTCGAACAACTTCGAGATGGTGAGACCCATGTTGGCGGTGGCGAAAGCAGGTCCTCAAGGTCTACAGAGACGCGAGGTTAGATCGAGCAACAAGACGAGAAAACCGATGGCAGAAAAGCGGAAGCGTGTTCGGGAATGTATCGGGTGATGAAGGAAAGTCGTTCAAGCCAGGGTCGGCGCAGATTGGGAGATGGGGGATGAAAAGGCGGACGGAGAGGCGTTAGGTGGTCACGCCGGGCGAGGGAATCAGGGGTGAACTGACACCCATCCACTCGACGGATGGCGGGGGCGAGCACTCGCGAACAAAAGTAAAGCGACAGGGCAGGACTTACCAACAATGTAGACGCTGAGGGAGAGAGTAAGAGGAGGATGAAGCGGTCGGACAGGTCAAGCACAGGACACTGTTTTGTCGAAGAGTGGAATTTTTGGGAGCGCGAGGTTGAATGCCAGGTCGAGAAATTCAGCCGCCGGCGTAGCTTCCGTCACTAGTAATCAGGATAAGGGAATGACAGACAGCAAGTCTAAGGCTGAGGCAGGGTATCGTTAAATAATGGAGTAGGATTAGATTGCGGGTTTTACTATTGCTACAAGGATTTCATTGACATTTGCTCTCTCTTTCATTTATTCACCCCTCCCAATGTCTCTGCCTATCTGGAAGAGGACACGGTGTTTCCCGCCTTGGGCGGCCAGTGGTTCACATCCCTCGAATCTGGGACCTCAGTGAATGCTCCAGCAAAAGGTCCAGATGCGTCTTTTCTGATAGGCTCCCGTTCTATCTCTTTGATTCCCCAGTCCAGCGGATCGCTTCAGTGGCTCTCTCCGAGTCTCAGGCTCTCAGCTTGTGCCCTCGATATCACATAATCAGCGTTGATTGCGTCAACGCTCGGTCCACCGCTTCGTCCCCAAGGCACTCACAAGATTCAGACAACTTTGAAGACACTCTCCATTATTGAGACGGCTAACAGATCATTGAAGGACATACACGTCTAACTCGTGATCATACATGGCCACAAAACATACTCACTCCGGGCCTTATGCAGGTAGATTTTCAAGCCATTCCACGCATCAACCAGATCATCCATCCATAAAGAAACATCAGAAAGATCTCTTATCTTGCTCTTCCCGGTTATGGAGCCTGTTCTTGGATTTTCCTAAGAACGTACGGAACATTGACCGGTATATCGGCTTCCCTTCGACAGTGTCGCTAATCCACCCAAAGAAAACGAGCAAAATCACGGACAAGACCGTAATCACTGCGAAGGCCACCCAATACTGAATTTGCGTGTATACGCCTTTGACCCCCGCAAGTTCCGTTGAAAAATATGCCGTCATCAAGCTGACAGGGAGGAACAAGATGGTGACCTTGGCCAAAAGAATCGTTATCCTCGTAAGCTTCTCGACAGCTTGCGAGTCCTTGAGGGCGATCAAGTTGAAGTTCTGTTATCAATGTTAGCTTCGGGTGATCAGGAATGGAGCGGCTGTGTCGTACGAGAAAAGTGAGCGATTCTTTCTCCGTCAAGCAGCTCTCAATCTCCGACAAGCAGTAGAGTTTGATGCGGTCCAGCAGTCTTTCGAACCTAGCGACAGCAGGTGGGCTCAAACGAATACCAACCGACGTCTCTGGAGTAGAGGCACTGAAACTGCTAGTCATCTGTCGATGAAGTTCAGTATCAAAGGTATGCCCAAACGTCACCCTGTGGTGCGTTGAGCGCGCTTCATCCTGGAGCGAACGCTGTCTCTGAAGAATACGGGTCATTATGAGCTCGTAGCTTTGATACAGCCGCTTGAGCACTGCGAGCTGTCTTCCCAGCCAGTGCAGCTCGTCTATCAACTCGACCACTGGCTTGTTAAGCATGTTGCCCCTCTGTTACGGTCAGCATTTGTTCATACGTGAGGGGGTGGTGTTAGGTACCAGACGGTCGAGGTCCACACTGTATCCATGCTCACGCTTTGCGACGAGTGAATAACTCGAGACCCAGTCATCGAAGATATAATAGAAGAGAAGGCTCGGACCGTCTTCCTGTTTGATACTGGCAAATTCCGTGCCAGGGTCGTGGAATGGTCGAACCCTAATTGTGACCAAAGAGTCGTTCTCAGAAGCCGCAGAGTGCTGCTTAGATACGCCTCGGAATATCAGCTGTACATTCCGTCGGCTGACCGCAGTTACAGCCTTGAGTTCCCTCTCTGACGAGGGCGCGGGTCCGGGATATGGATTCTCTTGGATAGAAAGGACGGTCCCTGATAATGTCAGCCCTGAAGTATCCGGAGTTGGTTCAGCATACCGTCCTCGAAAAGAATGAGCCATGACCATAATCTCTTCCCATCCGGCAGTCCTTGTCCGTTCGTCATCTTCAGCTTTGGGACAACATAAAGCGAATTGTATCCAATGCAGGTATCTACCGGCTTCGTCAGCGGACCCGCAAGAGACAGTCAGGCAATACCACGAACATTTGGGCCCGTAGTCCGTGGAACAAAAGTGCCAAATCTGATCCACTACGTGGCCAAAGGTGAGTCCCCTGAATGAAGCTGCAGCATGGACTTCTTCCGAGCTCGGCAAATCCTTCAGGGCATGGCCATCTTCAAGGTCTTCATCCACGTTCACTTGAACGGGCTTAGGACTGCTCTTTGACTGGAAGCTCTTCCTTGGATGCAGAGGCGTAGCGGCAGATTTCGATGGTCGTGTTACAGGATCAGTGCACATAAGCCCTTGCACTCGCTCGGAGACGCCATAGTGGTTGGTGATAGCCTGGCCATGTCAGCCTCGCAGCTCTCATAGTAGGTGGAACTTGATAAGCAGACCTTGATCAAATCTTTCTGCTTCTCGGGTGCCCATATGTTTCTAGAGAACGTGCTCAGCGTACCAGGATCGCTTGAACGGCTGCCATGACTTACATCCATCGCGTCCCAAAACATCTCGGCTTCTGTATTTGGGTCAGCCACGGGGTGAACAATATCAGAAGTTCTGTAATTACGTACATTATAGGTGAGCAGGGCTGTGACATCCTGTTGCTCCAGGTTTATCGCACACCAAGCGTCCTCGTTGCCGAAGTCCAGCACAAAGTTCTGGGTCTGAACATCGCGCAACGATGCCAGATACTCTCGGAAATAAGATGGGTCATCGATATCATTGAACTTCTTGTTGATATTTGGATGATTCGGAAAGCTGGAATAGTATTCCTCAGCCGTCATCAAACTCCGTACTGGCGAGACTTCGGACATGGTGGTATAGTGGGAGCCTGCACCTATAAATAGGCCTCAGCTGTGGGGTCTGCCGCAGGTGCTTGTTGACTGGACCCTCAAGTCGATGAAGGAAGCACCTATCATGGGTAAATGTCAAGAATAACTGAGGAGCTTTAAGTCGAGGGCCGAAGCTTGACGAAATGTTGAGGTTCAGCCAGCAGAAGATCAGGCGCCGTGGGAAATGACCCCGTCAGTTGAGCGCTTACGCGCCGAGGCTACGCCGTAAACATGGCATCTCTAGCCGCCAGCCTCATGCTTGTTCTTCCCTTGTCTTCCTGCACGGTCCAGTGGAATATGTCCTATGGTAGTACATTTGTGGACCATGAATTCTTTGTGAATGTCTTTGGTTGGTTCTGTGCTTGTTGTTCCTTGGCCATGCGGGAAACTATATATTCCTTCAACAGTATGTCACAGCGGCCACCATCATGATTGACTCTTTTTTAGCAATGAAGCCACCAGAACCTTCTGGAAGATTACATAGCACTTCTCAAGAAGCCTCAACCCCATCATACGCGACAAGAAATCAGGGAGCATCTACCTATAAAAACATCCAGTTGTCACGTGTCACGGCTTAAAGCGGCGTGATGACGCAGATGCATTTGGAGAAGAACGACTTCAAACAAGTCCAAACGTCATCAATACACCTAAGCAGATATCGGAAGCATCCCTGAGCAGTTGCTGCCCTAAGTAGGGCCACCAAATCCCCTGTTAGGCCAGCTACTGCATGTGCTGAGTGTCAACAACGAAAGCAGAAGCCAAGTAAGCAGTGGGACCCGACACCGAACGACACTCTTGGTACATCTTGATCTGATAATAGACAAACAAGTGCAGTCAAACATGGTCTTGCAACCTTTGTCAAGCGAGAAAGATAGCTCACGTGTGTGAGTTTGCTCCGATGAAGATTGTCAGGACAGTCAAACCGGCGGCCAGTGATAAGAAGTTCGCAGCCATCTAAGGTATCTTGTTCTCAAGCCTCTCTGTACTAATGCCATTTAATGCCTCTGCAGAGTGAAGGGGCAACTACAGGGGCCGTGTCACTACTTCGACAAGAGATCAGTCTTAGAAACTGGCATAGTACCTACGTGTTATAACGATCTTCAATCGTTTGGGTAGTTACCAGACAGTCCTAATTGACCGGATAAAGGATCTAGAGAGGTACAGGTCACATCTCTCACCTAGGCGACGTCCAAGAGCTGTGATGGACTTGCGTTTAGAAACCAGCCGTGGTCGGTATACCAAATGCTTGAATCAGTGCTGGGAACAAGCTTTGAGCACCCCTTCACGTTACACCACAACGCGGCAAAACAAGAAGTACCATGGGACCTGGTAAAGGTGGCTTAATACAGGTGCAGCAATTGTCCTCAAGAGCACAGTGGCTAAAGTATAAACGAAGATACCGTTGGTGGGAGCATGGCTTGCCCCAAGTACAACTACCCAGCGGTGCAGGAACCAGGTACTTCATGCGCTCCCCACTCAAGCCTTAGATGCTATATGCTAGGTATGCGAACATGGCTACTTGGACAAGTCATAAATAATGGCTCCTCAAGCCACAAGATCCTCCGATTCTGATGGGGGTTGAGAAGATGGCTTTAGTCCATACCGTATGGTATGTTCTCTTCGCCCGGCATTGGATCTCTCTAACTTGCCAAGGCAGATTCTCTACTTACTTCTCGGCGTTCAAGATCACTAGAAGTTGGTGTGCATACCAATCTCCCGACTTGCACTCTGAGGCTTACGACTCCTCGCCAGAAACCCCGTCGCCTATTGTTCCCATGGTCCTTCAGGGGCAGCCTGGCCTATCAATATTGAGATTATCAGATGCCATAAGCGGCATTCTATCACCAAGCCAAGCAAATGTCTAAGGAACAAGAAACAGAAAATGGTTTGAACCTTTCCTGCCCACAAAATCTATCACGATCCCTGATACCCGATGGGACAATACTGGTGCTTTCGTCAAACTGCGGCGTCCTCAGCTACATGCCATAGCCATGGGACATATGGTAATCCTGATGCCGCTAAAACAAACCCTAACAAAGCATATCGACCCAAATGGCTCCAGTATAAGATGGGCTTACGGACGACCCGATCAAGACAAGAGTCAAGTTACTCGAAGCCTGCGATTTCCTACCCAAACATATCTACCGCTCAAGGCCAAGTTCTACTTCGCACCCTTCCTCCTGTTCTATACGGCTGCCTTATGCATGACAAACCCGCAACCCCACAGCAGCGCGAAAGAATACTCGAGAGGATCTTGGAGCCCCTTCTCGAACTAGGAGCTCTCCGAGCACGCCAAAACTGGGGTGACTTGCCGGATAGGTTACACCGACAACGTTGAAGGAGGATACATATGACCAAGGTCTTGATCCTGCTAGTATGCCCGTGGATATCCCGTCTTCAGATCCACTAAATGGTTATACCGCTTGACAGATCCGTCCCAGCTAGATCTAGGTGAGTTGAGTAAGGTCTGGGATTGAGGGGATAGTGAAGTCAAATTTTCAACTACGCCATTTCGTTGTCTTTTTGTCATCTAATCCTCGATGGTCTAACGGTCATGATTTCCGCTTGTCACCTCACAGGAACAAGCGCGGGAGACCTGGGTTCGACTCCCAGTCGGGGAGATTTCTTTTTTGCTTCTTCAACTTGCTTTTGGAAGCGTTCCAGGCGTTGTCGAGGCCCGCGTTGTTGTACGGGAACGCCAAGCAGACTAATTGTGTGCCTCAGTACGGGATGACCGCCGATCACATTTCGAAGCACTTCGCAATCTAAGCAACGTCTATTAGACTATACATATGAGATTTTATAGAATCAAGATCAATACATGATGCTTCTACTTTCTGCCCATGGCGTGGAAATTTAGATCGTGAAAAGCCAACCGATGATGACCGAGAAGCCAGCAGATGAGTCATCAGAATGCGATTAGGGCAGCACTAATCCACATGGGGCTAGCGCTGGTTGCGCCCACAAGCGGAGTCCGGATTTTCAGAGCCACCATCGCGCCCGCCCTCGACTCTTTTCTTCAGCAACATTCAGGCCAGAGCCACACCAAAAAAACTTTGAAAGAGGTTCTTTTGGAAGACTGTCAGCAAGATGTCCAAGATCACAGTCGGTATGTCGATTATCTATCTATGATTTTACACAGACGGACTTGACCAGCGCCTCTAACATATTTTTTTCTCTTCTACAGCCGGAGTGCGCCAGAATGTCGAGCAGCTGCTCAACTACTCTCACAATGAGAAGAAGCGTAACTTCCTCGAGACCGTCGAGCTCCAGATCGGTCTGAAGAACTACGACCCCCAGCGTGACAAGCGTTTCTCTGGTACCATCAAGCTTCCCACCGTGCCTCGCCCTGGCATGACCATCTGGTACGTCGACCTGGACATCGAAATCCGCGGATAGAGAAACGAAAACCAAATGCGCGGACTGGAACTATATGGGCTGGAAGGCTAACAAGATCGATCACAGCATTCTTGGTGACCAGCACGATCTCGACCGTGCCAAGCACCACGGCATCGACGCCATGTCCGCTGATGACCTGAAGAAGCTCAACAAGAACAAGAAGCTCATCAAGAAGCTTGCTCGCAAGTACGATGCCTTCCTTGCTTCCGACACCCTCATCAAGCAGATCCCCCGTCTGTTGGGTCCCGGTCTTTCCAAGGGTATGTCCACCATTTCAAAATTCTCCAAAACGGGCGCATACTCACAGTTCCGCAGCTGGTAAATTCCCTACCCCCGTCTCCCACAACGAGGACATGGCCAACAAGGTCAACGACGTCAAGTCCACCATCAAGTTCCAGCTCAAGAAGGTTCTCTGCCTTGGTGTTGCCGTTGGCAACGTCGGCATGACCCAGGAGGAGCTCGTCGCCAACATCATGCTGGCTATCAACTACCTCGTCTCCCTCCTCAAGAAGGGTTGGCAGAACGTTGGGTCCCTTGTCATCAAGGCGACCATGTCTCCTCCCCACCGTGTCTACTAAGCGGCTCGTCTTCTTTTCTTCTTAACTGGAGCAAGAGAAAATAAAATTTCAAACTATTTGGGTGCGATTTGTGGGATTATGTCTGCTTTAGGTAGCTGAATATACTCACTTGTTGTTCCTAGTTTTGGTTCATTTGGTCCCGTAGTTGTAAAGACTTGTGGGGTGTTAATCAAAAGACTGCTTGAACAATCACAAAAGTTATATAGTGGTACATAGGCTATAGTGCAATTTATTGCATCCCGTGCATCAAATCCGTCTTATCCAGAATCATCCCCCTCATGCCGATGAATTCCCTTAGGCTCTCCCACTCCTCTCCCTCTTCCTCTCCCCGCATATAGATATCCTTAAATCCCCAGGCGAGTGCAACTCTATCCAGAGCAGCCCGCTCTTCTTCCCGCAGCCAGCGTTCCCGTAACGGAACCCCGGGAAGCCAGACAACCCGCTCCATCTGATCATTCGCCGTCATAATAGCCAGTACTCCGATGGACGATGTCCCACCCACGTAGGCAAGCGTGGCAGCGAAAGCAATCGCTGTGGCCGTGCTCGGGTCCATCGTGTTTTGGAAACTGGCAGCCCAAGTTGCAGCGACATAGCACCCCAGGGGCGTCGTTGCGAGCACACCAAGCGGTGCGGCAGCCTTTCGGAAGAACTTGGCTCGGCGGAATGCGGAGGTACAGAAAGTGTTATCGACGATTGCAAGGACGAGGCCGAGATTCCGTTGCTCAATTGCGATATCAAGAGCCATGTTGGCTAGGTCGACAGGGATGGCGCTGTTGATGCTTTTCGGGTTGGGTTTGAGGTACTTGATCGGTGAGCTGTTTTCCTCGGGAATTGGCTTGTTTGCGTAGAGGTGAAAGATTTCAGGGAAGTGCTCGGGTCTCTTCAGTAGGGTGTGGATTTTGACGTAGAAGGACAGAGCTTCTGGTGAGATGAAAAGTTTCTCGTCTGTTAAAAGTTCGTGGACGATGCGGCAGAGTGCGTCCGCTGAGGGCTGGGATATCTCGACATTTGGGGCTGGTTTCGATGCCTTTTTTGTGTTCTGTTCCTCGAGGTTGAGGAGGGACGAGATCTCATTGTCATTCTCCTTCGAAGAATGGTTTGGCTGCGCAATCTCTTCGGCGACAGCGAGGCACTTCTTCAGTAGCTGGATAACTGCATCGTTCGCAGGCACGGTTTGCGAATCGCGAAGTTCTTTAGAGCTGCGTTCGATCACACGCAGTACTGCTTTGAGATCAGACAAAGTGGCGGGTTTGGACTCGGTCGACTTGTATCTTCGCAGAGGTAGAAATGGCGTCAGGGGAGTCTTCAGCGCTTCCATCGGTAGACATTGCCCGCGTTGAAGCCTGCGGGTGGCCTTGCTTGCCGATGCATACGACCGGGTGGGTTGAGGGCGATAACGGAGAGCCGGTGCGGCGGATATCTGGCATAATTGGCAGATAAGTGTGTCGGGCTTCGAAGCCCTCTGGCCGTTCAGCGCAATGCCCCTCATCGCAACGATATAGCCTAAGTCTTGGAATTCAAGTCACTGATCGAGTGGAGAAGCTATTGGGCGCAGCAGCCGCCCAGAACGCGCGACAAGGCGGAACATTACTGCCGCCTACAGGCACCGCCACCCACCATCCAGGCCACCATCGTCATCTCCTTATCCTGTCGACTCTCTGTTGTCTTTCTTTTTGTCTTTTATTTATTTGACAGACCTAGGTCAGAAAAGAATCTGCGCCGGCTTAGAAAACGCTGAGCGCTCTCATGCTTTCTCTTTTCTAAGGTCTGTTGCTTGGTGACGTCCTTGGGCTGCAACATCACAGCATTCACAGCATCCCCGTTCCTATCGCTATTGTTCCCTCAAGATGCCTCCCCCTCCACCACCACCTCCCCCGCCGCCCCCTGGTGGTGGTCCTCCTCCGCCTCCGCCGCCAGCAGGGAATCTCCCAGCAAGACCCCCGGGGGGTGGGAAAGATAGGGTGAGTTTCCATAATGTGTCTAGACCTCCGCTCCGGTCCAGCCGCTAATGCCATACCAGGGCGCGCTACTCTCAGATATCTCAAAAGGCACGAAGCTGAAGAAGGCTGTTACCAATGACAGATCGGCACCGCAGCTAGCGGGTGGGGGCGTCAAATCGTCAGGGCCTCCGCTCGGGGCCGCGCCTCCTGTTCCTGGAATGGCGAAGCCTCCCGGTGGTCTTGCACCCCCGGTCCCCGGACAGGGCGCGAATCGGGCACGAAGTAGCAGTGATGTAGGGCCGGGGAGCGATAGCAGTACGGCAGCCCCAGCTGCCCCTCAACTTGCCGGACTCTTTGCGGGAGGAATGCCCAAGCTTCGCAGTCGAGGAGGTGTTGATACCGGGGCCAACCGGGATGCATCCCCATACCTGTCGGATTCAGAAACGTCGCGGGTGCCCAAGCCGCCTGTTGCCTCAGCGCCGAGAATCCCCGCCGTTCGCCCACCGCCGCCGCCTTCTACAGAAGCACCGCCAGCTCCGCCTGTCAATCCGTTGGTTGCGAATCTGAAGAGACCTCCTCCACGGCCGGGATCGAGGCCATCCTCCACGGCATCCAATATCTCGGCTAAATCAGCACCTGAAGCTCCGCCGCCACGCGCACCCCCGCCATTGCCAGGTTCATCGAAGCCACCAGTCGCATTGCGAAAACCCTCGGCTCCCGCTCCACCACCTCCTCCTCCCCCGTCCGCTAGTCCGGCTGCACCACCACCTCCTCCACCTGCAGCGGCCGCGCCTCGACCGCCTCCACCACCACCTACGCGATCCACACCACCACCTCCTCCATCTGCTCCAGCTCCGCCGCCACTTCCAAATGGAGCGCCGCCGGCATCGCTAGCTGTTCAAGCTGCGCGAAATGCTCTTGGACACAGCAATCAGACCCCCTCGGCACCTCCGCCTCCTCCACCGGTTGCCTCGGCGCCATCTGCCCCTCCCCCACCTCCTCCATCTGCTCCCCCGTCCTTGCCCCCGTCCGCACCCCCTAGCGAACCACCATCGCGGCCATATTCCTATGAAACTCACTCAAGCCATATCCCGGACCGTTCAAGTCTGGCCCCTAGCGCTTATACTCTTTCCAACGGTGGTTCAACACCGGGCTCAAGTGCCACTAGCCTAGGCGCACACGGGAGTACCCGGATCGAAGATACCCGATTCAAGTTCCAGAACGAGGGGCTACTACCGAAACCACGGCCGTTTGTGGGCGGCACCAAACGATACCGGGCCGGCAGGGGAAGCAGTGTGCCGTTGGATCTCAGCGCACTAGGCGGCTGAATGGAGTATTAGCAATTGATACTGTAACCACAATCGCATAGTCTACCCCAGAGCATAGCCAGAGCCTAGTAAGAGTGCTACCAACTGTAAATATAAAAATGCGCAGGATACATTTGTGCAGCTTGTTAATTCCGTAGTAAAGTAGTGATCAATCACGTGATTTGTGAGCTTTCAGATTCCGGCCGCGGAGAGCTTGAAGCATCAACCAACACGTCCTATACTTCTTTGCTAAATACGCCAACAATTTTGCATCCTTATGCGATCCTAGTCAAGATTAACTTGCTTCATCTCGCGGTTACTATACCTGTTCATCCCCGGGCTTGCAGAGAAACGCCGAAAACAATCGCCGACAGTTGATGAAGGAGTTCTAAACCCATTGTATACCAACACCAAAGCCGTGGTCAATATTGTGTCGCAAGATTTGAACCTTTAGGCTGTCTTTACAACTTTGTCTCACCGGTCACCTTTTTCCAATACTGTATCTTTTGCCCACTACAACCCAGCGCAATGTCGATCAACGCCTACATCAACAGTGAGTCCAGTCACAAGAATATGTTTCTCTTAGGATGTAGCTAACAAAGTTCTTCCCCGGATTAGAGAAAGTCCTAATCCTCACTGTCGACGGGCGAACACTCCTCGGAACGCTTCTTTCGACAGACCAACTCACAAATCTTGTCCTCCTGGACACGATAGAGCGAATTATCCGAACCCCCGATGACCCGGAACCCAGCTCACAGATTGAACATGGATTATATCTGATCAGGGGTGACAACGTGGTTGTATGCGGTGAAGTGGACGAGGCAATTGACCGGGACATCGACTGGGCCAAAGTAAAAGGCCAGGTGGTGCGAGGGACCAAGAATGCATGATTGCGGAGTATCATCGACGAGCGATACGATTTACTTTCCGAGAAATGGTGTCCGTACATTCTGTGCAGCCAACTGGAGCAGCGGTGTGCGATCTATGGTTGAGCAAACGGCTTCTTCGTCTTACTCCTCGTTCCGCGGGATGGCGCGCTGGCTTGTGCTTGGTCTCGCGAGAATGGAGATGCACGGATGATTGCTTCTCATTTGGCCTGGGCATAAGACCCGTACCGGGCGCCACCTTCCATACTGCGGTCGGTTCTGCAGCCATAATGTATGTGGTGCGTGTACAGATTCGCATTCGCGACTATGTGGATGGTCTTCATGCATTTGGACACAAGAGGCTTATCAGGGAATAGATTGCAGGGCGCGATAAAGACATTTTCTCCATACCTAATTTATCTTCCCCCAGCAGCAACAGTGGGATACTCTTAGAGAACATGTACAATGGGCTTAACTATGAGCAACGAGGCTTACATTCTGTTTATCGACTCTGCTGTCTTACTCCAACACTGGTTCTCGTTCTAATTAGTGCTACGCAATCGCGAGGGGCCACTAGACGGTCTAAACGGAGTAACACGGGCTAACTCGTCTTGAATCATGTCCGATAGCGAGCGTTTCATGCCGGCCAAGGCTTGTCCCATTGCACGATGAGTTGGCCCTGCACCCCGGCCCAGGGCAGCAGTCCATAAAAGGAAGCCTGCCCTCCAATTCTCGATATAGTTAACTTTTCAGATCTAGCAGATCTAAGGACCACCTGCGTTCAAGTGATCAACACCGTGACAGCTCTGGAGTCTGGCTAAGGGGCGGCCCCGCTGCGGTAGTGAGCGGCTACTGCGACAGAGTGCGGTTCCCGGAGTAGATTCCCCTGAGATTAGGCTTCAACGCTTCCAACGTCTCAACTTCCTTCCTCCCCTCCTCCAAACCCTCACGACGCTTGTTTGGCGTCTTCCTGTCTTTTACCGTCCTGCAGCTCCTCCGCTCCTCCGCTCCTTCCTCTTTCTTCGTCCTTTATTTGCTGCTTACTTTCCTTCACCTCAGTCCTCGCTTTTTCCTCCTTAATTCCGTGCCGCTGCAAGGTCGCTGGCCGATCTCCGAATAATTGCTCTCTATTTACCCCCTCTTAATTCTATTATTCGCCCCTCATACCTCTTTCCGAATCTCCTGCCACTCCCGATTTCCAGCCTCCTAGACTGATGCCCTTCATGTGTTTCTCGATCGCCTTGACTACGGATCTCTGCCTTCACGTTTCGGCACTCCTGGGTCAATCCCAAGTTGCGCTGTCGGACTACTAGATTATCTCGGCCACCGTCTCGATATACCCTGTCGCGGCTCTCCGAAAGTAGCACAACATGTGGCTCTTCCGGGGCGCGCAATCCGCCGTCTTCTATTATGTCACATGCACTCCATGTGCCGATTCCATGGGCAAGAGGAAGCGCAGGAAGGAAGCCGTCCGTGCCCGTTCGCAAAGAGAAAAGCAGCAGAGCGATGCCATCGTTACCGACCAGCCTCGGCCTTTCCAGCAGCCGACTCCGTTCAGTACGAACCCGGGGTGGATGGAGGAGATCGCTTTAGGTCCCAATGGCGCGAAAAGGAGAGGTGGTCATCGGACAAACACGACTCATCACCGGATAGACAGTTGGGATACAGGAGAGTACTCCGCCGGCTCTGGTGAAGATTATGATCGCATGGTCTCCCACGCATCACCCCAGCGGTCGAGCAAGCTTGGCTCTAGGCACCTAGGTGACCGCTGGAACCGGATGCTCCGGTATCAGCGCGAAGATGAGCCGTTATGGGGCGAAGAGGTCGAGGTCATGGGCTCTTCGGTTGGTATCTCTGGCCAGGGCAAGATGGACGCCAAAGCCCCGAGCAAATACTGCATCACCCGTGTGCCTCCGGTCAATGATCTTCACCCACCCATCGTCAGCGGACCCAAGAGTAGAGCTGAAACAAGATGGATGCTTCAACCTCCCCCTAGTGCTAGGGTCATGTCTGGAAAGGACCGGAGTCGTACAGCGGCTCCACCTCCACCCGTCGAGCACAGAAGTATGCGGATGGGTAGCGACAAATCAACCTTGCGCCGCAGCGGACATACCCACACTCTACCTCCGTTAACCACAGAGAGCAGTCTTGAGTCTCCTGAGTCTCTTTCCACCCTCCCCTCTCGTTCTCCTAAAACACCGGAGTCGGCCACGCAAGATCTTCCCCGCGCACCATCCCCCGCTTTCTATGCTTACGGTAAGGATGAATCACACTTCGTCATATCGTCATCCGTTTATTCTCCATCCGATTCTTGCTCGACCATGTCCTCTGTGCACGATTCAGACATTGAATCGCCAAGGGACTCCCTTCTTTCGCCCGCCACTCCCATCTCGCGGCCTCATTCCAAAGATCCTAGTGATCACCCTGATGTCTCACGCCCTGCCATATCAAGAGCCTTGACTTCAGTACATAAGGACAACAAAAAGGACGTCCAGATGCTACAATTTGAGCTTCCGGATCCGCATGATCTTGAAGTAGGTCAAGTGGAGCGAGTACGGCCATTCCGATGGAGTATGGACTTCTGAGTCAAAAGCCCCGCCCCCTTCCTCTCGTACCTCCTCATCATACGTTAGTGGGCAATTCTTGGGTTATGCATCGGGCGGTATAGCGTCAAAATTGGACATTGTATCCTGGTAGCGAACTTGTGCATTGCCCTTCTACCTCCTATCATCACCCAGTTTGTATGCATCCGCGGCGCACTGCGATTTCGTTCGGAACAGGATATTATACGGCCGGACCTGTATAGACCCAACCGCATCATTGGTGGGCATAATAACGTGCTCATCCTCATCCATTTTTGTTCTAAATTGACCCCGTTACATTTTTTCACTTGCACAGAGTGCGCGACCACAACGCTCCTTTTCTTTACTGTATGTCGCGTTACATTCCATTCATTACCGATTCTCATTACTTTTGCAAGCCCTTATCATTGAGCACATACATACTTGGCAGCGAATCCTCTTTGCATGTCTGGCGCTTGTTTCTGTTTTGTCTCTCCCTTCCACCCCGAGCACGTTTTGGTTGTTGCACTAGCATTTTTGTATCCTCTCTGGAATAAAAGCTAATCCAATGTTCATTTTGAAATCACTTATTTTGTCTATGTAAAAGTAGGGTAGAGCCGCGGTATTGTTAGCCTGGCAGTTCAGAAATATATATCGGGACTTAAATTGGCAATTAGCGAGTTCAGCCCCTCATAACATTGACATCTGCGCCAAAAGAGTGCTGCATATAGCATATCTGTTTTACGTCCATGTCCATGTCCAGTTTACTTTCTCTCTCGCATAAACTTAGATTGAGCTCGGTGTAAGAATAATGTACTCCGGAAATAAAACCACGTGATGAAAAGGCCCATTCGAATTCGATTAGAAACCGATGAGTGAGCGCCAGATCTGCTTTTATAAGAACTTTCCAAGAAAGATAAGTATAATTTCTTCTTTTGTAGGATTGATTTGCTTTGGCTTGTTGTTTTCATATAGTAGGTAGTGCGGCTTGAAGGAAACCCGCACTGCAGATATTTAGGAGTGTAGAAAGTCGCGTTGATAAGATTCCGAGGGAAATGATCTTGATCTCGTTCCGTTTGCCCCGTATCGTCTCGTCTTGTTCTTCCCAATGGGAATATGGGTTATGTTTTGTTCAATAGACCTTCTTCTTCTCGTCCATGCTCAGTTGGCCGGGGCCCATGTTCACCAGGAGGAGCAAACCTCCGCTATGTAAGATTAGTCTGAGTCCTGGCTCATAATTTGGAAAGAGCTAGGGTAGCTTACACAATGGACAGAATCTGGAAGAAGTCGTACTTGGCGAAGTCCTTGTGAGGATGGTGGGGGTGCAGCTAAAGCGTTATCAGTTTCTAGTCCCAGATTAAATGCGACTGAGATACATACGGTCCAGAAGTTGTTGACGAGGATGTTAAACACGCTCAGGAGCAGGACAAGGAGGATGGCGCTGAACTTGGCCTTGAAGCCGACAATGACCATGACGCAAGCGACGAAGCCAAACAGACTGACAACCACGCGCCACAGACCCCACTGGCCGGAGAAAACGAAACCAATGAAGAGGAAGATAAGCAGGACACGACCAGCGAACTGGACGTACATCTTGCGATCCTTCTCATCCAGCTGGGGCAGTCCGGCGGGGACAAACTTCTTGCGAACCCATGAGTCGGACAGAACCATGAGCAGACCACCGACAACACTCAGATTGCGCAAGAAGAAGTTGAGATCGAAGATGAGTCCGTAACCGAGGCCCTGGACAATAACGACACCGAGGAGACCGGCGACAGCTATCTCCGCGTGTTTACGGCCAATCACGAGCAAGGAGCATATCGTCATAGTTACCACGTTGAGGATGAGGAAAGCGTGAGTGAGACCCCAGGGGACTGCAATGGCAGGACGTCAGAAAACGGTCATAGTTGGGTTGATTGAAGCTTGTTGCATGGTATAGCCGTCCATGGGCAAATCTACCCGGTAGACGCGAGGGGTAGAGAAAGGGCCGTCAAGCTTACTTTTGCGGTAGTCACGCAGGTAAAGAAGCTGGTCGCTCCATTGTGTAAGAATGCGCAAGCTGTCCTCGAGGAAAGTGACGACAATCAAGAAACGACCGATGGCGGGCAGGTACCTGGGTAGAAAAGACACGTTGTCAGCTGCGCTCTGAGAAACCCCGAGGATCTGGTATACCAGCAATTGCACCGACTCGAATCTAAAAAAAATAAGGCGCCAGAGGTGACTACTTACGGCTTGATAGGATCCGAGAGGGTGTCCAGCCAATCCTCGATCTTGCTTGTGTGTTCACGGATGGTATCCAAGGGGCTTGGGTCGTTTGTTGCAGCTGCGCTGCCGGGGCCACCGAACGGGTTTTGGTGGCCAAGGTTGTAGCCTGCAGTACCTCGAATTTGCGCCATGGCAGGGGTGTAGAGGTGGTTGGTGCGCGAGAGCAGTAGTTGACAATAGCGATGGTTTCAAAGGGACTCTCGGGAGGGGAGAGAGCGGGAGCCGCTAGACAGGGTCCAAGTCCAAACAGGGAGATCAATGATGCAATTGACGGATGAGAGCAACAATGTTTCCAGCCAACCTATATAGGCAGGAAGAAGAAGGAGGGAAGAAGAGAAAGAACAAGAAAGGACGCGAGGAGAGAAGAAGTCGAAGAGTCGTTGAGATGCCAATTGATGAATAGTTGTCTCTTACTGGCACTCCGCCGAGGCCCGTGACTTTGGACTTTCAGGCCACGATACCCGGAACGTGGCGCTAGTCCGCTTTGGGATGTGGCTGCCAGACTCGGACTCCCCAGTGACGCCATTCGTCGATCCTCAATTCTTCATGCCTTCATACTTATCCGGGCAAATTATCTACGGAGTACGGAGTAGATACACAATAACAGTTCATGCAGCCTTGAAAGTGCCGACACGGGTTTCCGAACAGGCGCTCGTTGCTATTTTGGTCGTGAAATTATGGATGGCCACTTCCAAATTATGAGACACTCAGAGACAGTAGTCAAACAGCCCTGCGGCAGATTGATTGAATAGACCCCACAGCAAGGTACGCCCTGATCTTCATCCGATCTGTGATTTACCCTAGATTGTTCACAGGATGTTCATAGGAGCTCGATAATTGAATAACAAGATACCCAAGGTTAGAATCGATACTCCTAGTCATAATTCGAAATCATACACTCTCCAAGTTCGATGCAATGTCTGTTAACGGTACAAAATTTAGAATACATAAATCTGAAGAAAAGGTCCCCTTTTTCTCTGAGGATAGGCCGAAACCAGAAAATAACACTCCAATTTGGAACAAAAGTATGTGTGCGATGAAGTAGGAGAATAGGGTTCAAAACAAGGTGGTGAGAATACATGGGTCTAGTCTGAAGGTCTTTTTCGTGCCGTGCCGGTTCGTTCTTCTTGAGCTTCGGCGTAGCTTATCTAGTTGAGTCTTTGCTCTCGCTGAAGCTGTCGCTGAAGCAATCCGTGCCGCCATATACGCGGTGGATTTGGTATAATGATGCACCCAGACGCCGGAACCAAAAGTAGCAAGTACAGTCCCTGATGGAGAGTACCCCAAAAGTAGGAGTCGTGTCCGAGAATGATGGAGATTTGATCCAACTCAGAAGGGTGGCAATTAGGAGGAGGATAGGGTATTCAAGCAGCCCAGTCAGAGTCCAGAGGGTGGCCCTTTTGGTTGGATCGAAGGATATCGGGGAGGTAAGTCGGGGTCACCTTGACCTTAGGCTCAACAGGGGTAGGAGCGGCAGGGGTTGGCTGGCTTTCAGAAGCGCTGACTTCGCTCTCATCGGCCTTTCCGCTCTTCTTCTTGGGCTTCTTGGTGCCGACTGTGGTCCACGCATCATCGCCGTTACCAGCGCCGAGAATGCGCATTTGCTCCTCCTCTGAAGGAAGTCCTTGATTCCATTGCTGAGAGGTGGCAGGCGACTGGGTGGAAGTCGAGCTGGGTTCAAAGGTATCCAGTAGCTCAACCTTGGGGGCTTGCTCAGGCTTTGGGGAGGAGCGAGGAGTGCCGTTGGTAGACTTGGGAGCCCAGGCATTGGCGGCGGCGTTGGCGGCCACAGATTTAGCTTCACGTCGCTCAGCCTCGCGGGCAGTGTGGAGCTGCTTCTCAAGTAGCTTGCGTCGCTGCTCCTCGGCGGCCTGAACTTCCTGCTTACGGGCTTCGTTCTTTTGACGCTGCTGACGCTGCTTTTTGGTCTCCACCTCCTTGAACTTCTCGGCCTTGGCCTTCTTCTTCTGGGAGTTCGAGTCAACGTTGCCAGTCACGCGGAGGACGGAGGCACCGGGGGCAGGAGCCTCAAGCATGTCGGACACATAACCGGCGGCGGTAGGGTTGACCATGGGCGAGCCAGCGGAGGAGAGATCATCGTCAGCATCAGCTCCGGTAGTCGAGGAAGTCCTGGTAGAAACGCGGGAAGCAGAGCGCTCGCCATTGCTAGGCTCGAGGTTAGCGGCGGTCTTGCTCTTCTTCTTCTTCTGGCTCTTGCTTTCGCTGCTAGCGAATTGAGTAGCAGAGGTGCCATTCTTCACAGCCGCAAACCGCTTCGCCATCTCCTTGTGGTCGATTTCCTCATCGGGGACCTCATCCTCCTCGGGGGCCTTGAACTCAAAGGTGGGCTTCTCGCTAACCGCGGCGGGAGCAGTTTCGGGGGACTTCTTTGCCTTTCGTTTTTGCTTTTTCGCAGGAGCCACGGACTCTGCCTTTTCTAAAACGGCCTTTGCAGGGTTCTTGGGTTTGGTGTTTACTTCGCTATAATACCATCCTAGGCTACCTGCGACAACGAGCACAATGGCCCAGCTGATATAAGGGTTCATCATCGTTAATCTACCAGCAGGGCGACCGTCAGCTACCGTTGTCTGAAGCTTGAGAGTATACTGAGAACTTACCAATGAGTTGGAATCAATAAGAAAGTCGTGTCAATGTGTGGTGGAGCTAGTTTTTGCTGCCGGAATAATACAGCGTGCGGGAGAATGTTGCGGAGATACGGCGGAGGAATGGGACGCAAGTCAAGTCGACAAATTAGGAGCGGCAAAAGCGATCTCTCGCGAGTTCGAATCACTCTCTAGGCATCGGGTTGCCGACGTACGAGCACAGGAGTGGTTGCAGGACAAAGGGGTAAAGGCGGTTAAATCGCGCTGAAAGGCCAGATTGCCACACTGAGGTCACACACAACGGCAATGTGCAGCTGCAGCTCTCCTCTTGGGCCGAGTACACAGCAAGAAGCGTGTTCTCGAAGAATTGACCTCGGTGTCAGAGGATTGAAGCAATTGTCAGTGCTCAGAAAGAGTGCGGCCACAGTTGAGTGCGATGATTCTAGGCAACACGTTGCGGCTGGAAAGGAACCGGCGTGTCACCGCAGGAGCATCGGGAGAGCTAGCACAATCGGGATTGGATCGACGGTGGATTGTGGAGGAGGCGAAATGGAGATTGGAGAGAGAACGGATGGGATTGAGAGAAGATTGAGGTCTGGGAGTGGCCTCTGCTTCTTAATGTATGGAGTGTGGGAGAGAAAAAAAAGGAGAGGGGGCAGAGGTGAATGAGAGAAGAGGACACGGTGCGATCTGGGCGAAGACTCCAGCTCGGACTCTCCATACAGCAATTCCCGTCCCCTGGGGCTTCACTAATTAAACACGGGAGAGCCTTCCGTCACCAATCGTCTTTGATTCAGCAGCTCCACAGATTAAGGTGTTTCCTTCGACCTCACCGACTTGACCTCTCTTGTCTAAATATCACTATTTGGGCAAGCTTGTAGGGTATAGTTCTGTTGCTCGTTCTTATTTCCGAGTGCATACTCTATTGTGCAAATCCAACATCCACTGTTAACTCCGAGCATAAGAGTCTGATCATTGCCATTGACGCAGTAACCCCTGTCATCTCAAAGGTGTCCAGATCTTTAGGGTGGAATGACAGGATTTGCGGGGAAGATCTTCCACAACCACTGCTTTCAGTGCTTTGCATCCCTGTCATTCCAGATTAATTGCGTCCCTGGTTGCAATTCGGCTGAATATTTCGTCCGCGAGGAAGAACACTCCGGTCCTATTGGCTTCTCTTCCGATAATCATGACCATCCACACTGCATACAAAGACTCAGCTGTGCCTCATTACGTAGGCTATATGCCCCTCTTTGGCTACCTTCGGAGGTGGCCGATCTTTGATAGGATGGAATAATGGATGCCAGGTTATGGCTGGGTGCATACCGGTGCACGCTTCTCCATGGCGAACTCCAGATTCCTGATCACGCGCACAGTTGACTTAATGAAGCTTCCCTGTGTATCATCTGCGGGAATGACTATGAAAACAAACACAGAGACATCAAGAGTTGAAGAGATAGACTGGACGAATGCTACATGGCGATAATTAATGTGGACCTGCGATAACGCTGCCAAGACATCATGGATGGCTATCCCACCATTTCCCCTCCGACGTTTTTCAACGACTATCTTGATTTCCTACTACACTCGCAAGACCTGATATCTCCTTGGTCGTTCGTTGCGGACTCTCAAAAATGGCGCCTAAGAAGAAGATCATCATTGACACTGACCCAGTACGACAATAAACATGCAGCCCCTTTCCGTATGCGGTTAAATGTTTGCTAAGATATATTTAGGGAATCGACGATATTCTGGCTCTTCTGCTGGCCTTTGCCCAGAAATCAGAGGATGTCGAAGTTCTGCTAGTTTCTTTGACATTCGGCAATGTTGAGGTCAAGAGGTACGTTGACTGTCGTTCACGGCTATAAGCCCGCCGCCTGACGTACACAGCTGTCTGCGCAATGTTGTCTCCATGTTCCATATCCTCGAGAGAGAGATGAAGTGGCGAAAGGAGCAGGGTAAGCCTGAGGGCTTCGACACATTGCGGGCTCACCCTCCGCTTGTCGCGCTCGGAGCAGAGGACCCTCTAGACGACCAGAAGATGCTCGCAGACTACTTCCGTGAGTTTTAGCTTAAGCATCCATGGTTACGGAAGATATAGCTTACTTTCGAAGATGGAATTGATGGCCTCGGTGGTATTCATGGCAGCGTACGTGCCAAAGCTCTGATGTCCTCCTAGTTGACTGACCACTGCAGCACCCCCATCTGACTCCCCAGGACGCGTGGGAGCATCTTTTCGACCCAACTCACGAGCCTATCGAGCTGAAACCCGTACCTTCAGGCTGTGGAGCGCACCAGTCTTTTATACCCTCAAAGCGCCCCGCGCACGAGGAGATGCTTCGCGTTTTGCGCGAGAACGATCCGGACACGGTCACAATCGTGGCAGTTGGGCCTCTCACCAACCTGGCCCGGGCTTCGGCTGCTGACCCAGAGGCGTTTCTCCGTACCAAAGAAGTTGTGGTTATGGGAGGAGCCGTCCACGAACCTGGAAATGTAGGCAACGCTCATTAGTACCCCTAGTTCCCAGCACTAATCGCAGCTAGGTGACACCCGTTGCCGAGTTCAACGCTTATGCCGACGCATTCGCCGCGGCCAGGGTCTATGCCCTTAGCTCTCCTTCTCCAAAGAGCACTCTGCCTTTTTGCAAGAGTCTGCCCGATCTTCCCGCGAAGCTCAGCAGGCAACTGACAATCAAAATCTTCCCCCTGGATATCACCTCACGGCACAGTATCAACCGCGGTCAGTTCCGCAAAGCAACCACCCCTCTGGTAGAGGCTGGTTCTCCGCTTGCTGAGTGGGCCACCGCATTCATGGCGCACACTTTTGCTACTGTCGAGCGACTCCATGCGAACCAAGTCGGAGACGCTGCGGAACTCGACCTGCACGACCCCGTCTGCGTTTGGTACGCCCTCACTGCCGAGGATGAAAGGTGGAAGCCATCAGCGACCTCACCAGAGGACATTCGCATTGAGACGACCGGTCAATGGACGCGGGGAGCGTGCATTATCGACCGCCGAGACCGACACCCCATTGACGGGGACGAAGAGAGTTCGAGCGACCACGGTCTGTGGCTGAGCCAGAGAGCCGGAAACCGCATCTGGAGAATGGATAAGTCTCCAGTTGAAGGTAACTTCGGTGAGGTTTTGATAGAACAGCTCTTTACTTGAGGCCTTGGGGTGTCACATGGGTGATGTCAATAAGGGGCGTCAGTCTATTCGATGCACATAGGTTTGGTATATGAACGGTATATGAACAAATGGATGTCACCTATCTTATATAGACTTGGAGCTGATAGATGCACTGAAGAATCCGATTTTAGAAAGAATGCGTTGTTCATACCAAGGATTTCTTGAGAAAAGGGGCCCGGTGCCAAGGAAGATTCGTCTTCTTATCTTGCCAAGTCAAGGATCTCGAAAAGACACACCATAATGCGCTTCCATGGGCATGAGCTTTCAAATCATTCGTCGTCTATCTATTTTAAATGGGTATAAATCGTCTGTTGGCAGCTTCTACCCTACCTTGTATAACGCCTATCGACAACGGACACCGCCGAGATTTATACCGAAATGACCACCTACCTACCAGCAGGCTAGGATGATGTAGCGATTGAGTTTAAACTGAACTGTATAGTGGAGGATATGGTTGGTGGCCCCTGCACTTCCATCTTCGTGACCAGTGACGAAAGACTCCTGACGGTCCGGATTCTTCAGAAAAAGCAAGGCCACTGGGCGCCGACACCGCACCCCAGGGAGGAAACGGCTCACACGAGACATGGCCCCCTCCGTACTCCATATAGTGATACACAGTCCAGGGTGATAAGACGCTGGGCAAGACCTCAAGTGCCGCCCATAAGTCCCCGTTGACAAGCCACGACCCAATGGGGTGTCGAGACTCAGTATGCGTGCTCCTAGCCATGGCCAGAGACGTTACCTGCAACAAAGCTCGTCGGACGAGTTACTGACATCAGTAAGGCCATGTGAAGGAGCCAACTGACATACCAATCACCGGCAGCCCTTCCTCAGCATGCTCTTGGTGTTCCGTTTTCTCCCTGCCGCCGACACTGGGAGTAGATAACCCCCGCAGCCGACAAGAGGTTCGGAAGCAAGGGACAAGCCCAGGCCAACCCGTAAGAACAGGACACCGAAGCACGAGCAGGCAGAGCATCGACGAGTTGGCCGAGGGCAGGCGGTCTCGTGCTTCGTCTGGGCTGGCGGCGCTGGCCAATCAGGGGCGGGGCTGGTACCGCGTGGGCAGTCCCAAGCACGCGACACCAACAGACCATCTCACTTGCAAGAGCTCCCTGAATCCCACCATCATGGCCGTCGATCGCCCCAATTTTCGTCCCCCAAGGCCCGCGATCTGCTCTTATTACCATCCGCGTACCATGGCTGCTGCGCCGTTTTCCCACGACGTTGCCACACGGTTGAGCGTGCTGCCGGGAGTATAGATTGGTTCGAATGCCTGCTCGGATGCAAGGAACAATATCCTCTCTCGACTTATTTCTTTAATTTCCCGTTCTGCTCGAGCATCTCAAGGCAATATTCTACCACACGACTGAGCCCTCCCGTCTTGTCCCACCCTAGCTTTGTTCCAGTCTCTCTCCGCGCATCACTCCGCATTTAAGACCCCCCAGACGTTGTTGTCTTCACGGATCATGTCACGCTCTCGTCTACCTCCTACGCCCGGCATGTCTGGAGAGCTTATCATCAAAGACCAGATAATGATGGACAGTACAGACGTCTTTGCACTCCCCCCAGCCGCCCTCAGCCCGGCGAAGATGGATGCTGCAACTGCAAGTCGAAAGTCGGACCCATCGATGTTCTTCCCTGCATCCCCGACATCCCCACGCCTCGACCCTTCAACGAGCCGCACTACGAATCCACCACCTCAGGCGGGCCTCAAGAGGCCACTGGAGGATCTGGACCTCCCGCCGCCTCCTACTCGCACCCGCAAAATCATCCAGATGAAGCCAAAGACCGAGAGCTCACCGAAGCCCGCTACATCTTCTGCGAAATCTGCGCCGAAAGGGAACACAAAAGCTGCTGTTGCCAATGGCACTGCACAGGGGAGCTCCAAAAAGAAGCAGCCAAGTGCTACCAGCGCAGCGGGCCGCAAGATTGCAAGAAAGACGGCACACAGCTTGATTGAGCGTCGGCGAAGGTCGAAGATGAACGAAGAGTTCTCAACATTGAAGAACATGATCCCGGCCTGCCGAGGACAGGAAATGCATAAACTTGCGATTCTCCAGGTTCGTACCTCACTAGCTTTTCTTACCATACTACCCCCGAAGCGTTCTGACATTGTACCCAGGCCAGCATTGACTACGTCAACTACCTCGAGAAATGCATCCAAGACCTAAAGGTCCCCGGCGACCACAGACCCGCGCCAGCACCATTCCTCTCCACCGCTCCCCTCTCACCCACATCCCCCGAGTTCCCCGGCGACCTGCAAGGCAGCACATACTCCGCTTCAGTGTCACCCGAAGTACACCCCGAGGGCACCAGTATAGCCAGCACCTCGCCGATGTACTCACCCGGCAGCCGCATCCCCTCAACCAGCGCAGTCCCCTTGTCCGAGATCCCGCCGTCCATCCTCCCAAGTCCCGCATTGGGGCCCGTTCGCCCAAACGAACACACATGGGCTCTACCGTCTTCTACAGCCTCGCCGGCCATCCAGCCGCGCTTCTCAAATGCGTCTTCGGCGGATATGGACCATGAGGCTTCGGCTGCACTGCTCATGCTGAATCGGGATCCGAGAGGTTCCATGGACTCTGGGCGTGGTGGATCGGCGTCTACCGGGTCTTCTGTTTCTGTTTCTCGTGACGATGAGAGGTATAGGCTGCCTGAGCCGCAGAGGAAGAGAATGAGCGTGATGGACCTGTTGATTTCGTGAAGTAATGAATAATCCATGATAGACGTTGTCATTCCATCGGCAACTCAAAAGCGAGGCGTTCGGGTGGCTGCTTGTTTGGCTGTTTTCATCTCTTATCTGTGCTTGCTATGAATAATGAGTCGCGCTACCTGGTTCTATCATGTCATATGTCCTTTTGCAGGTATCTATCGGTCTATAATTAATTATCAGTACAGAGTCACTGGCATTCAGATTGATATACGTGGAACTCTTGATAAATTGTGTATCACCGTCTCTTTGAAGACACTGATCTACCACTCTGCAATAATGGCGTCAGGCTGACTTTCTCAGGGACGGCCCGTACCCGTACATTGCAACGATTGGCGAACGAAGACAGCGGCCGAAGACAGTAGCGGTTGATGCTTAGGTGCGTGCCTAGATCCATGAGCACTACCCCGTAGTAAGGCGAGTACCCCGCATCGCCGTCCCCAACGTTTTCTTCCCTTCGAGATCTGGGCAAGTCCAGCCCTTGGGACGCGTATACAGATGTGATCCCGCAGGAAGGGGGCCGGGGCACGATGGTGTCTGTGCGCGCTGTCTGGCGGAGTACATACTGACCCAGGCCCGCAGGGGGATCCAGTCAGGTCTCGTGGACATGTGAATACCTTTGACAGTAGTGTGCCGTGCGCGTAGTATAACAGCAGGAGCAGGAGCACAACCTTCGTCGCCTGGTCCAGACCAGAATTCCAACCCGAGTGACTCGGGGTCGATTTGCGATGGTATCCATGGATACCTACGGAGTAGCCCGTATAGCTATTGTGAAAGGATGGCGGACATCCCGAGCTTACTACGAAGCATAGGTACATAGTCTGGACCCTGGCACTGAAGGACGAAAAGACCCCGGCTCGATCAGTGGCGATGATCATGCCGCAACTCCGTGCTCACTGCTCGCCCCAGTGCACGGGGAGTATAACCTGCCAAGGGCTCGGGTTGCGCGCCTGGATTCCAACCTGCAGGCACTGCGGCGTGATTGGAGGAGGATTAACTGCGCTCATCGCGGCACATAGAGTTTGCCTGTAATATTGCCGGTATATGCGCACTGTCTTTATGAGCCGGTCTGAAGTTATGAGCAAGTCATGCCTCGTATTCTGTCGTGTACCACCTCAAGTCATCATTTTGTACTCCGTACTGAGGAGACCCTGCGGAGTACTCCGTAGAGAATAGGAGGCGCAGCCTGGGCGTGGGGGAAGTTGGAACTTGATCTACAGCCAAGCAAAGTGATCCACTGATGTGTTTTCTTGTTGGGAATAAGCTGGATGCGATCACTACACTCAGCTATACGAAGTAGACAGGAGTCGATGACTTTAGGTTCATGTAAGCTGATGATATCGATACTGGCGTCGATGCCGATATCCGAGGTGGTGGAAGTCCGCTCTCGGCTGTCAATGATGTCAGTCGGCGGGTCACGCTTTCTGCGATTTCTCAATCTCCTCGGGCTCTTCTTTCATAAGTATCTTCACAGTCGACACAGGCCAAAGACAAGGGGCTCGCTCAGATCGCCATCAGGAAGAGGATCACCGATCGCCAGCGTACTACACATCATGCCAAGATGGTAGTGCAACCCCCGTGTTCCTCATTCCTGATGAAGCTATTCTCGGCCAGTCCCAGTCTCTCCACCAAACGCCCCGCTCCCGCCGCTGTCGCTCCCAGTCCAGGCGCTCACCTGCCTGTCTCCAGCGGCAGCGAATCCCCTGTTCGGCGAGGTACGTATATAGACCCCTATCTGCCCCGTGTTCTCTTGATCTTTTTTCTCGCTCCCCTCTGCCGATGAATCCTTGACAACTCACCCTAATCCGACTCGTATCCATCAGCAAGTTCAGCAACCATGGCCCGCTTCCGCACGACGCAACGCAAGAAAAGCGTTCGCTCCATTGCCTCTGAGGGCCCCTGGAAAGTTGACACGCCGTTCGGTCCGCCTCGAATCACGCACCAGTACCACCTCCCGTTCCCTGGAGGTATTCGCCGGATACGAAACACCTTTGCGAAGCTGACGCCCACTGCGCGCGCCGAACGGGAGCTCCTGCGCCAGAAGAATTTGTGCAAGGTTCCCCTGACCGAGCGGAATATGGATACATTCGTCACCCACCAGGAGTTCAACGACGCTTGTTATCCGCATCGTCACAGTAATGAGGTGCAGGTTGTTGCTTGGTTAGAGCGGTTATATTGATGGGGGATCATCTGCTTGGCTGCATCCTTATCCGCGCTGCGGCGTATACTCCCCGGCCTCTTGTGACCTGACTCGTACTCCGAACCGAACCGACGAGGCGTCAACAATTCGTGGTTAGGCTCGATCCGACCGTCATGCCTTTGCTGTCGATCCTCCTGCATTCCGTACATCAGTATGTGAATCTGTGACATGGCACCTCTAAGCCCTTGCAAATTTCGATTCTCGATACGTCATGCGCTTGCGAATGCTCCTTGGCGTAAATGCTTCGTGTACGGCGTCGGCGCTCGCCAAGCATGCAAGTCAAGGCCGCCTGCAGGTGCCTGCAGTCACGGATTACCCATTCGAAATCAGCAAATGTATCTTATTCTCCGACTGCAGGTTCCCGCTGACTCTCAGCCGAGCAGTCGGCCTCCGAGTGATATCTAATGAGTGGGCTTCGCCGGATCGACCTTGACATACCTGAGAGACGCCGAACACTCGTCGAAAGGCAATCGCTCAACGCTACCTGGTTTTCGATCAATCGATTGCTATAGCACCGACGAGAATATAATCGTTCGACCCATTGAACCGTAGGAGGAGTTTATCAGCTCGAAAATAGCGGACGCAGCAACATTTGCTTGGTGGCAGCGACTTCCTGTTCACTTCTGCGAAATGTCGATCCAAACTCCTGTGGCGCAAGCTTCTGGAAATACATATGCCTTGTTGACTGCGACCATGGACAAACTGTTGCCTGCCAACGTCATCGCAGCTAGCCCCATGTCTTTGTTAGTGGATATTTCTTGTTTTTTTCTGCGCGCGAATACCCATTTGTTCATACTTGGTTCTGGCGAGGTGCTTGGAGTCTAGGATGTTTGGACTGTTGGACTGTTTAGATAGATTGTTTCCCCAACGGTGTTTGTTCATACGACTAATAAGATCTTTTTTTGGCCACACTTGACATTGTACCTGACTCATGCTACCTGACGGATCAGCGGTTGCTTAATCTATACGCTCTCAACACTACTGGGTAGCACCGGATGTATGCCCGTTTTGAACCCAGGAGACTGTCGATCACATCAACTCGCAACGCGGTGACAGCGGAGGAACCAACAACGAACTCCGTCCCTGAAGGACTATACGAAAGCGAGGTCGACGAACGCCTTAGACCGTTAGACGACTGGGCAAGCCAACCAAAGCTTGATTTTCCTGGAGATCGGCGAGGTCGACGTCTCAATTAGATTGCCCGAACATCCGATTAGCTAATGAACAGGTTGAATTACAAAGCTTCGACTGCAGCACTGTTCGCAATGCAACGCGCCTATCAGTCGAGGCAAAACTCCTCGTGGGGTACGTTGCATCCCTAAACAGTAGCCCCGGAAGCCCTGCCAGGCACACCGGGCCCTAACGCTGACACTGACAGGTCCACTTGTGGGGAACCGTTGACGCTGAAGACTGAGACGCTGGGAGTTTGACCTTGATACGCATCTACTCCACGCCACGACACCCGGAAGTCCCTGACTCGGAACATGCGAGGTGATGATTCCGACCTTGTCTATATAAGCGTCTCGACCATGCTCGAAAACTTGACTTGAACTTCACTTTCCTTCAAGCCAGACTCTCCTCAACCATGAAGTACCTCCTCCCCATCCTCGCATCAGCAGCCTATGCCACCGCGCAGTCCGTCTCCGGATCTGCTGAAGGTTTTGCTTCCGGCGTTACCGGCGGTGGCAGCGCCACCCCCGTTTACCCTGCGGACGAGGCCGAGCTCGAAGACCTTCTCTCCAGCGAGGGCGAGCAGGTGATTGTTCTCACCAAGACCTACGACTTCACCGGCACCCAGGCTACCGGCACCGCATGCTACTCGTGGGGCACTGGTGAAGGCTGCCAGCTGATCCTGCAAGACGACTGTGGCGATACCCCTAGCACTACAGTGACCTACGACGCGGCCGGCAAGACTCCTATTCCTGTGGCTTCGGACAAGACGCTGCTGGGTGTTGGGAGCGAAGGTGTCATCAAGGGCAAGGGTCTGAGCTTCACGAACGACGTCAGCAACATTATTGTTCAGAACATCAAGATCACCGACTTGAACCCTCATTACGTGTGGGGTGGAGATGCGTTGACTTTCGATGGCTCGAGCAACATCTGGATTGATCACGTTGAGGTATGCCAGTCTTCCTAATATCAAGTCTCCTATGAGGGGGTAAATGTCCGGTGTTTGACTAACGAACGCAGACCGAGCTCATCGGCCGCGTCCACTACGTCTTCGGCTACAACGCCAACAGCGCCGTCACCCTATCCAACAACTTTCTCAACGGCGAAACCACCTACTCCACCAGCTGCGACGGCTACCAATATTGGGGCATGGAGCTCGTCGGCGAAGACGACCAGATCACCTTCAAAGGTACCCCACCCTCCCCTTCACCAACCCCATCACCACCCCAACCCCACTAACCTCAACGCTAGGAAACTACCTCTACAAAACCTCCGGCCGCGCGCCCGCCCTCAGCGGCAGCACCAAGTTCCACGCCTGCAACAACGTGTGGTCCGACAACAACGGGCACGCCATCGAAGGCAACGAGCAGGGCCAGGGCCTCTTCGAAGGAAACGTCTGGCAGGACGTGACGTCCGTGATCTCGTCGTCGACCTGGGAGGCCGGCGACATGTTCCTGTCGTCTGCGGACGGGACCGGCAACGACGCCTGCGCCAGCTACATCGGCCGCAACTGTGCGTCTAGCATCTACACTAATGATGGAGGCGACTATACTAGCTACGCGGATGTTAGCTGGTTGGGGGACTGGTCTGGTTTGACGATTGCGGACTGCCAGGAGGCGAGTGAGATTGAGAGCTCGGTTCCTGGCTCTGCTGGGAATACGCTCTGAGCTGGATGTGATTTGACCATCAGGATGGAGGGGATAGGAGAGGGATGGCGGTTATTAATGCCTTAGAAACTAGCTTTATCGGGTGGCTATATCAGATCAGCCATCTCCGCGAATAACTACACCCATTCTTAACTTTATACAGTCAGTGAGCCCTGTTGCTAAGGCTCGTCGGAAGTATCCAGTGAGATCTTATGTTGAGACGTATATCTGCCGCTGGCTCGGAGGTCCGTTCAAGGAGGTGGAGGTAGGTGTTTTTCTCGAATAGAGGCGACTTTAGGGTCCCAGGTAAGACCATACCTAGATGGTATATCCAGTACTCTCGAGCCTATGTAATGGCAATCGGACATTTTAGAGCCAGTAATGGTAGGGCTCCCTTCCCGCGAGGCTGGTATTAGGCAATGATGTGCCGCACCGGATCAAGCTAGAATGGATGTGATGGGACTCGAAACGCAGGCGGTTGCCAATCATCCATGAATGCAAGGCAGCGTCCTAATCAGCGTGGGTGAGTACGGACATCCCCGACTGCGGTGCAGAGAGCATGCATGCGTGGAAGCGCCTAGTTCCGCTTGGTGAGAGCCTTGTCCTCTCTAAGCGCCCGATTTGCCTGATAACATGGCTTGCGGCGTAGACCAGTCCAAGAATATGGATTATCTCCACGCCACTACAGGGTTATTGAACTCGCCGCTGCAAGCGCTCTCCGTATTTACCCCATCTGGTCACCAGCATGAAACCAGCGCAGTGTCCATGATCTTGGACACGGTCACGCGTGATTCTCAGAGCCAACGGTTAGTTCAACATTTATCGAAGTGTACGTACCCTTCGCCTAGCCACCAATGATCCACGGCATATCGTGCACGTACCTCGAGCTGCGCTCCCAGCCTTTTGCGCCCACAGCAATCACCTGCGGGGTAAGAGGGTTGGATGTTGAGCCCAATCCAAATCAATTCAGCGAGAATGGAACCTCGAAGGTGGTTCATGTCTGCTTGTTTGAGGATATAAAGTCGTCTCAAAGCCCGCTCGCTCCACACTGCTTCTCCATCCAACAAGTCTCAGCTCTTCAGTCTGAATCAGCCCTTATCAACCCACTAATACAGTCAGCTATCTTTGCTCCTACTCAAGCTCATCTACCCGAGATGTATGTATCGCCCCAGGCAACGCTTTCTCTCAACGAGCTAGCGGTTTCTTGCTACGCAAGAGCTTACACGCAGGCAGGTGCACCACTACCACGACCACGAGAGTGGTGAACAAGCCCGATGGAACCGTGACGACGACCCAAACCACGAGGCATGCCGACTGTGGCAAGCCTCAGTGCAGAACTTCGGCGTCCTACACTGGCTAAGCCGTAAGTCTAGCTCTGAGATGTTTAGCAGACCCGACTGACGCAGTGTATGCAGAGCGGGAGTTGTCTGGATTTGAATTCTGACACTCATTCTTGCGACTAGTATTGTCAAACAGAGTGGGTGGGTTGAATTATGAGTTCTGGGGTGTGTTTCTGGATGTTGGGATCTATCGTACGGTACCCTAATTACTGTAGGCTACTTCGCTCGTTTGTGTCATATCCCACCGAGATATACCTACCTATCGCTTGCTTGTTCTTGTTCGTAGTTCAATATAAGTGCTACTAGAAACTCAGCTCTCATTATCTGCTAGAGTTAGGCATGGGTATACCTACGTCAGTAATAACTATACGTCTAGAACGGCCTGATTGAACCCCGCACAGCCCCGTTCACCCCCCACCCAATAAGCACCTCGTTCTCACCGCTACAGCAGATCTCGATACGGAGTAGATGCCTCATCATCAAACGACTGCGGCTGCTGAGGCCAGGCACAGTCCGTGGGAACAATTTAAGTCCGCCCCGGCTGCCTATGATAGGTATATAATAGCGCTCGATCCCACTTACTTCGCCCACGGATTAGTCAACCAGCGCTTTTCTTTTCTTCTTCTATTAACCAGGCTCGTGGAATCGCACTTGCTCACCAGAAGAACAACTTGGTTAAGTCCAGCCGTCGTGCTCACTGCGCTTTGTTTGCCCCATTTGCCCTATACAACCATGACTTCCAGCCCGGGGAACGACGCCGGCAATGACAAAAACACGCCACTGATAAAATCACTTCAAGACCTGACTATAATCGAGGCGATGGACTCGGAAGGAAAGCTGAAATCCACCACCTTCTACCACGTCACCGAAGAAGAGGAAGTTTACTACGGACAAACCCCGAAGAACAAGAACAAGCGGGAGACAACCATCGCAGAGTACAACGCGGCCTTGCAGCGCGTCCCAGATGAAGACATCTACCCAAGGGTTCCGGAAGACATACAATTGACGATTGCCCCGGAAACGCTGGATGCTTCCACAGTCTACGTAAAACGACCGGGCCTGCAGTGGTACGACGATATGATCGGCACCGACTTCCTCCCCAAGACGGTGCTCGATGAGACGGTGGTCATGGAAAAGATCTCGCAATCGCCCCACCCAAATATCATCCAATACTACGGCTGCCGCGTGAAACGCGGGTACATCACCTCCATTGTTCTCGAGAGGCTTGACCAGACTCTACACGACTATGTCTCGACGCCTGAATTCCAGGACCTTGACACAGACAAGTTCTGCAGGTCTATGAGGTCGGCCGTGGAGTACCTGCATTCATTGGGATTGGCGCATAACGACATCAACCCGTATAATATCATGTTGAAGAAAGAGAGTCGGGAGCCGGTGTTGATAGACTTTGACTCGTGTCAGCCGGTTGGGGAGCGGTTGCAGTCATTGGGCACGGAGGGGTGGTATGAGAAGCAGTTCTTCACTTCGGAGAAGGATCATGATGTATATGCTCTTAAGAAGCTTGGGGAGTGGCTCGGGGAACAGAATACAGGTGCTAAGTAGAAACATTTCGAAATTATTTGGGATTTCTTTCCAATCTTTTCTTCTGCTTGCATCGCTCATGGAGAGTAAAAGACTGGCTGGTCTGAACGTTGGATTGTTGGATCACGTACTGGCTTGATGCCGTGGTATAACGGATCAACTTTATAGGACTCGATGGTTTGCCTACAGCTTCATGCAGCCAGGGTATTTAATACTTGAGGATATCTACCATATCTAGAAGAACGCAAACCCCACCAGTCCGCCAACAGACCCTAATAAGTAAACCTGAACGTCGGATAATCATCCCCCAAATTCGTCCTCTCGTCCTCCTCAAGCCCAAACCGCCAATCCCTCTTCCCCCTCGCCCTCGCCCGATTCTCCCTTACCAGATACGCCAGGAACACCGCACAAGAAACCCCACAGACCCAGGTCATGCCTAAAGAGACGCCAAACCCCGTCCGAAACCCGGGCTTCTCACTATTGAAGAACACATTGCTCGCGACTAGGCCGCCGCAATTCCCAAATCCGATTTGCATTGCCGAGGCGATAGATTGCTTGTAGTGGCCGGCCATGTTGTTGCTCAGCCAGCCCATCAGTATTGGCTGGGTTAGGTATCCACCGCCTGTGATGGCGAAGAGGGCAAAGTACCGCGCGCCGACGGGGATAGAAGACTGGGATAACAGCAAAATGTACCCCGTTGTCGCAATAAGCACACCCGCAAGTGTGAAGCCATATCGATGCTTAAGCCGATCACTCAGCCACGCCGTCGAAAGCGTTATGACCATTGCAACAGCATAGATAGGGATGGACATAACCTGCGCCCGGATCGCAGTCCAACCAAGCTGCTGGAGAATCGTCGGCGTGAAGAACGAGACCGCGTAGCCCGTATTCACGATACCAAAGTACATGATCGGGCCGAGGTAGATCTTCGGGTCGGAGAACGTCCTCTTCATGGCGGTTTTATCGAACCGGCTCATCTGCGCTTCGCCTTGGTCTTCTGCTAGGCGGCGGAGGAGGCAGGATTTTTCCTCGAGGGTAAGGAATGTGGCTGATTCGGGCCAGTCGACGATGAGGAATTTGGCGAGTAGGGCGAGGAGGATTGTGGCGAGGCCTTCGAGGATGAAGATCCAGCGCCAGGCTTTGTAGCCGCCGACGTCTTCCATGTTTGCGATGGCGTAGGCGAGGAACTGCTCGCTGTATTTTAGTTTCTTGCTCCCTTTATAGAGATGGGACGTTGGATGCATACGCCGCTAACTGCCCCCGCGAAGATGCTCGCGCTGAAGAAGAAGTTCAGGCGCCATTGGAGCTCGTGGCGGCGGTAGTACATGTTAATTAGGTAGACGCTTCCTGCTCCAGTTAGCATCTTCACTTTAGGAGGCAGGAATATGAAAATGTGGCTCAGGACGAACCAGGCATGAATCCCGCCTCCAACGCCCCAATAAGCACTCTACAAGCAACAAGCCCTTCGAAACTCCCCGTCACCCCCTGACACACCGTGACGATGCCCCAGCCGGCCATGATCCCACTGAGCCACCAGCTCGGCTTGATCTTCTTGAGGATCATGTTGCTGGGTACTTCAAACAGGATATACGGGATGAAGAACACGAATAGGGCAACGTTGTACTGGTGGCCTTCCATGCCGAGATCATCTTCTAGCCCAAGCAGTCGCGCGTTTCCAATGTTGATTCGGTCGAGGAAAGCGAACAGAAATAGAACGGTCAGTATGGGAACGACGTGGAGGTCGCACTTTCGGACGACTCTGCGTTCGAGGGCTGGGTCTATAGGAAGGCTGATCTGGGTCGATGAACCGGACTTGAGATCTGAGACCATCTCGAGATGTGAGGGGATCTCCCCCTTTTCGTCGGTGGTCATTGCTTATATTTCCCTGTTAAACGAGTGTCGCTGGGCCATAAGCGAAAGAAAGAAAATGGTTATAAGCTCGGGTTTGTCTAGCATGTTCGGATAGCTTTATACTGCTCCCTATTCATTTACACTTCAAGCGCAGGGTGAAGTAGGAAGGTCCAGGCCATAACCTAGGATCGTCGGTTCCGCTGGTATAGCCGGATTCCGCGTTGAGAGGCAGATTCCCGTAGTAGGTAGGTACATGGCTGGCTGGCGTGCGGGGGCGAGGACTGATGTCGCACGAGTCAAGGCGACTGGCCAGTAGCGAGTAAGGTAATTCGAGACAAGTTGGGGTGAGCTGGAGGAAGCATAGGTGGGCCAATAGAATAATAATCCGCTGGGGCATCGGTTCTCGAAAGCAAGAACGAATGCTCTGGGCAGTGATCAGCAATGTGTGTATGGATACGGTGGTCAATTTCGCGAGCAACGTATGTTCGATCAACTGTGCAACAGCAAGGCCAGGAGGATAACTTTATATTGACCCCTAAGACTCACTATTCAGCCTCCGTGTCGTATGATGGACAAGGACCGATCCGTGGTCGAGACTCGAGATCCGTTGATGGAGCGACATAGGGCTTACCCCGGATTTCCCCGCAGCGGAGCAATTCCACTGTGGGGTCGCTGCTGTCACAGCAAGTTGATGAGGGTGCGCATTCTGTTCCGATCTGCCGCATCTCTGGGTAATATGAATGCTAGATGGCTTGGCTTCCAAGCTAAAGGATAGATTCAGGATTCTTGCTGCCGGCTATACCGCGTCGTGCGCTGAACCTCAGTTCCCTCGCGAGTAAAAAGCACATCATGGCGCCAGCTCGTGATGGAGACGCATTGGAACAGGAACTCGAAAGTGTGTTGTTCCATGCCTGACTCAGTAGAAGCCTCGGCTGTCACTAATATCTCCCCTGACTGCATTACTCTGCCAACCGGTCCGACTTGCAGCTCCAACGTCAGCTCAGCAGCGGAGTTCGGCGAAGAACCTTCGTCGACGGACCAGATGCGGATTCCACGCTGTCTTGGGGACCTGGAAGTATCGCAAAGCCGGTAAACTAGCTTGATAGTTTTTGTTGGCTCATTGTGTGCAAGCTCCTCGCAGAGATACTCCGCTTCGTAACCAGGAGATGACGGATAGCGAGGGTGATATGTTGTCTTCCCAGAAGATCTGACTTCCTCACCACCTTCAGAAGTAACGACCCTCTCGAATATCCACTGACCGTGCCACGCTCTGAAGATCGCTGCTACGGTACCCACAGATGCTCGACTGGGCTCTGGCGCAAGAGTGCTGTTCAGAGCTTTCATTGTGGTCTTCACTTCATTCCGTGCCGGGTAGCTTTTTGAGCCCTCAAAGTTTGTACCAAAATCAATCGGAGCATATCGAACAGGAACAACCGGACCCGCTGGCTGCTCACTCATATTAGACCATATTTCAAGTGGAAGCCTGGGCCTTTCCAACCGGCAAGCAAAGGCTTCCATCAACCCCACATAGTCGCCAAAGGGGAACTGACCACGAAGAGCCGTAGGTCGAAAGTTCCTGAAATCTCTGACCCGTTGCCGCTCAGCAGCCCTTTCATTCTCCTCTTTCTCTGACAGGGAAATCGGTACCTCACTTTCCAAGTCGACTGCTGCCCACGCCTGAGCAAGACTTTGTGCATGAAACTCAGCGGGACCCCAGAATGCGCCCCGGTAGAAGCCGGCGAAGCCGAGGTCTGGGATAGCGCTATGCGCACTGCTCATGCTGTCCAGTACAAGCGGTAGAAAATGATCTTCTTTGCAGTATTCGAGTGTCGAAAGGACGTCTTGAGGTAGAAAGGAGAGTGACTCGGAGGGCTTGAAGCCTGTGGCCATTACGATGGACGCAACTTCGGTTAGGCATGTCGTGCCGGCCGATGTTTCGATGTTGACTGTTCCGGATCCAGCCTCAGAAGTCACTGAGCAAGCCCTGCCTGTAGTTATATTGATAGCTCCAGACCGAACGAACTCGGCATACTGGTCTGATATTCCCACCCACGGCGGCCGGTTGTTCTCGACTCCTTGGTTATTGGTTTGGTGCACACTACCGACCTTAGCGTAATCCTCCCCAAGCATATTGCGGAAGACTATATTTCTCTTGCGAGTCTGTTCCTGCGAAATAGGGCCGAATGCGACGCCAGTCATGCCGGGTGGGCGACTATCTAAATCGTACAGTGACAAGTCAAGCGGGACGAAGGGTATCGTATCTCCTTCGAGATGTTTCGCGTATTGATGTGGCAGGTAGGTGGGCAGGACCCAGAATGGCCCTGTGGAGATATGCCACACCTCATATTCATGCTTTTGAGCAGGAGAGCGCGGGCTGACCTTTATAGACGAGAGGTGAAGAGCAAGTGACGCTGCAGCCTCAATTCCGCTCATACTTCCGCCAACAACGACTAGCTTTCCTCTTTTTGGCGGCCTCTCAAGCAGACGATATATATCTTCCGGGCCTTGAAGCTCTGAGCTATGAACAGTATGGATGGGGTACTCCAGTCTAGGCACGTGTGGGATATTCGGAGTCCCAAAATGTCCAGAGGCCACCACGAGGAAGTCAAACTCCTCTTTACGTACACTTGGACCTTCCGAGTCACTAATAAGAGGCCCTTCATCCTCACTAGGTGTTATGGATTAGCTGATACCCTCCATTCAGATCAAGAACTCTTACCCATCATCTATCCAGGTCATCTCCCATCCAGCCCAACCTTTCACCCCGGCCCCATTGGCTCTCCTCACGCTTGAAACCCTTGTTCCCAGCCTCAAGCACTCAGTCGGGATATACGTTCTGGCATATTCCTCTAGGTACTTTCGAACCTCCCACGCACACGGGAAGTCAGGAACCCCGCCGCCCAGCGCCGTCTCCCATGAAAAGTCGGAGAACGCAACGGAGAAACGACTCAGATTCGTCCGCATCCAGGGGTCCACCAAGGCCCGGCGACCATACCGACCTGCACCATCAGGCGAAGGGTCAGACGAATCAAGTGGAGTTGAATCCCAACCGATGTCCTCGCTAGCTGATGATACGCGGGGTCCCGATGGGTAGTCCACGGCCCAAAGGCCGCCAATTCGGTTCTTCTTCTCGAAAACGACCGGCTCGAATGTTCCTGAGGGGAAGTTCAGTAAAAGAGTTTTCGCTGTTACCAGGCCCGAGGGACCGGCGCCTGTGGGTTGGTCAGCGTTTAACAAGCGAGGAAAGCAGCGGCCGAACCTATGATGGCGACTCGCTTAGGTCTTGCCATGAGGCTGCAATCATCGATGTTGAGGGGCTTCAGGTGAAGTTGGAGAATTGGGTCGGCGGGGCATCGTTAATGGACAGTATACGGAGTACCTCTCCGACCAATGGGGCTTACTCTCCGCCCAGACCATGTTTACCCTTCTAGATGTTACTCTCGTTGTCCCTCCTCGTGATTAGTAGTACTTTACTGTCCCGAGTTAGAATTATTGATTGACTACCGAAAATATGATTAAGCAAACCAAGTGAGATGATTGAGTGACACCAATGGACCGGATTGACTGTCCAACGGTCTTAATAGTCTTGTCTGATTTACCCTGGTCAAGCAGCATTCACCACCGGCGTCGGCGCCGCTTGGCTGGAGCCGAAGCCGAAGCAACAGGATTGCCATTTGCTGTACCACGCGCGGTACGTTTCGCACGCGATGGACGTTGGCCTGAAACTGGCTCAGCAGGTGGTGTTGGTAAGTCCTGCTCGGCCGCTTCAACTGGCGCCGGTTGGCTATCCACTCGGGGATGTTTGCCAGGAAACAAAAGCTGCTCCTTGTGGCAGAAACTAGTTATAGCAGCAATGGCTTTATGCGCAGCCACTTGGCGTGTTTGAGTAATCAGCTGTTGCCGGGCCTCTGGGTCTTTTCCAAACAGAATCTTGAGCTGAGCAATGACTTCATCATCTTCCCATGAAGCATAGCCATAAATCGCATCTGATATGGGAGAAACGCCGCGGATTGTGGTCCAGCCTTCCCATTTTCCAACAGAGCGCCGTGTATTGAAGTCCCCCCATGGGCCCTGTTTACACGGTTCATGGGATCGATGCATTTCGGCGAGGCTTTCTGCAGCTACCTCATTTTCCACTTCTCCAGTCCGCTCATTTATAGCAACAAGAGTGGACTGCACTACCAGGCGATTGCCAAACCCGCGGTGTGCTCGTGGAACATTTGGAGACATGAACCGAACAGTTCCAACATTTAGCGGGCAAGGCCGTTCCTTGTAGCGGCCGCGTGCTCCCATAGACTCAATAAACCCTGTCACATCAATTCTGCGGTGACATGTCTGGTCCACTGGCGGGTCTTCTGCCTGGAAAATTGCCAGATAGTTCCGATATTCACGAGAATACTGGATGGAAGGGTCTCCGATGCCCACTCCATCTAGTATCCAATCGCAACAGTCATCATCCTCATCAAGGAGGGGGATGAAACATGTTAGGCTGTCCTTGAATTTATCAATATGACAATACTGGACTTGAGAGGAGTATTCTTCGCTGACATCAGGTTCACTCGAGGACGAAGAGGTATAGATGGCGGGTTGATGGTATGCCCTTAGCCTATACTTGTGATCCGGTCTTAGACACACATTCATTGCATATATCTTGGGGTCCGCCATAAGAATTTGCTGAATGACCAGGGAATGCATCGCGTATAGCTGCGGACCATTATCTAGGATGTGGTCCTTAACAAGTTCTGCTTCCCGCAATGCCTCAGAGGCTAGATTGGTACCACCTGCATTTAATAGATCCGCGACCATGCCCTCGAAGTCAATAAACCCGTGCTCGGAGAGCTCGGCACGTACATCACTGTTTGATGGGTTTAATTCATCAATCAAGCCGTCCCAATCCACTTCCTTTTCAGAGAAATGGATGTCATGCGGCTCGTATTTGTAGTGTCGCGGCTTGGATTTGTAGTGTCCGCGTGCCCCCATGTCCGCAAAGACTTGTGCTGCCGCATTTGTAAGCATTTCCGAACAAGAAGGGGTTGAGCTGGACCGGTTGGTGTTGTTGCCGAGCGCGAACGGTGTAATGGCACAGGACAGACCTGATGCGTGGCCGCTTGAAGGCCCTGGGGCACGTAAATCCGGAGAACCGGTCAGATGCCTGTCAGGAGCCGCAGCAGAAGCACCCCGGTCAGGAAGCGCGAGATTATTAAGGTCGTTGGCCTGGCTCCTCCTGGATGGAGCCTCTGAAACCGATTCGACCGTTGTTCCTCCATTTGCTCTGACACTGTTGGTCGGGGGCACCGTGCCTGAAGCAATACAGATCCCAGGGGGATTTTGGTCAGAATGTTCAACATCGATCGTCTGGGTCCGGGTCCGGTGTCTTGAGACGGGGGTATCAACCGTAGCGGGAATTAGGGTGGAGACCTTTGGACGTTTGAATGCTGCTATCTCCTGATGGTGAATGGACATGCTTCGCCCATCGCTTGCAGGAGACGACCGTTGGGATTCCTCTACCTCTGCAATCCTCCTCCTATGCCAATTGGTTGCGGCAGGGCCACCAGGTGTGTCAGGGGTGTTGGAGAAAGGGCCACCAAGTGTATCAAGGGTGTTGGAGGATGAGCCACCAGGTGTATCAGGGGTGTTGGAGGAAGAGCTACCAGGTGTATCAATGGTGTTGGAGGATGAGGCACCAGGTGTATCAGGAGTATTGGAGGAAAGACCGCCAGGTGTGTCAGGGGTGTTGGAATCTTCTTGGACCACATCCGAAGCTGGCATGTCGCTGTAAGCAACAGATTCCGTCGCTTGCTTGTCTTGTAGGGACAGTTCCGTATTATTGGAAGGTTCGCTCAAGATTGACTGCTCGAGAGCAAAATCTGCACAACCGCCAATCTGATCAACCCCGTCCGAGGAAGCGCTAAGCGCAGTTGGAGTGTAGGGAGTCGGCGCTATCTGTGCACCTCCAACTGCCAAACCGTCATTTGTGCCTTGAGGTGTCACCGCGCAGGACGGCGGTGGTGTTGATGCATAGGTCATGGGAATGCTGGTTTGGTTATACTCCAATATTCCGTCCTTGTTCAAGGTGACACCGAATTCGTTTGCTTCCTCCTGGGTGACAGGGGAGAAATCGCTCGGCAACGCTTTGGCATCATCCAGATCACTATTCTGGGGGTTCACCAGCAACTTCCTATATCCGTGGCGGGAAGAAAATGTGGTCAAACGATTCATGATGGCACGGTTTAGCCGCTTGATTACCACCTGTTCGTTATGGCGTACCTTGGCCCGAAAAGCCGACACCAACCTACCGCGGGATTGAGAGGTGGCAGCAAACTCGACAAGGCAAGGACCAAGGCGCGGCCAACATTCGACAAGGCTCTCGCGTCCGGAAATGGCACGTCTTTCGTTTTCTTTGCGATAATTGCGAGTCTGGATGTATTTTTTGCATGCGTTCAGCACCTCAACCCACTCAAGTTGGTATTCATCGGATGATTCAAACTCAGCAAACCCAGGGGCATTCCGTGCCATCTCGTGCAGTCTCACCAGTACCTTCTGAAATGTATCGTTGCGGTTCAGGGCATTCTCAAAAATAAACCTCAATATTTTCAGAATCTCTGGATCTTCCTGCACGTCCTTTCTGCCGAGTGCAAGGACAAGACTACCAAAGTCACGGTATTGTTCCCCGCGGACTTTGAATACAGTCCCAGAATATTCCATATCTTTTTCGAGGATTTCTGTCAGGTCTTTGATTCCTTTATCCCACCCGGGGAGAACCGACGACTGCGTTGATGGAGTAACTGTCTTTTCACGTGGGCGTTCAAGCGGCATCCCCGGCCCAGGGACAGGAGACCTGCTCTCATGCCGTTCCGTGGTCTGACTTCGAGTCTGAAGAGACGATTAATATCGGATTCTCACATGCTACACCGGTTTCTTACCCGCATCCCCACCCGAGTCATTGTATCGAGATTCCCAAGATCAAGTATAATATCTTCTTAAAACGTCATACGCGGTGCGCGACTCGTCTGAGCCAACAGGCCCCTCCTTTCTGCTGGGAAACCAAGGTCAACCGTCGCCGCAGGACACGAGCTGATTGTGGGCTAACAGGCCCGTCTTGTTTGTTGAGAAATCGAGGTCGATGGTCGTCGCAGGATACGAGCTGATTGGCAAACAGGACCTCTGGAGACAGTGAGCCTGGGAGAAAGGGAAAGTAAGCGTTTGCAACCTGGGAAAGAACAATCGACCCTCAGAGCACTAACGTACGGCTTTGTAGTGGTCGAACAAGCAGGAACCCCGCCGAGTCAAGAGGAGTGTGCCCGACTTCCACTTGTTGACTGATCACATCTGATCACATGACGCCCAGCATATGCAGTAACAGCACAATGCAAGAGTCTACGCTACTGTCTATTATGTAGTCAATGTCTAATGGTTTTATCTACTGTATTCACGGTAAGTGCGCCTCCGCAGTCTGCTTCAGCCTCTCATCCTCCTCCCCAACAACTCTCTCCCACACCTCCTGTACCTGCAGATACCATTAGCACATCTCACTGATAGCAGCTCACGAAGAGACGCACATCATACCCATAAACCCACCCAAACCCAGCCTCCTCCCCCCACTTTTCTCTAACCGAATGCCGAACCGCCTCATCAAACCCCAGACCCAGTGTCTCCATCCGTGCATCCGACTCCCTGAATCTATCCAGAATCCCATACAGCGCTTTGTAGTGCGGCGAGCGGACACGGTCGTAGAGGTCCAACCCTTCAGAGAGTTGAAGATCACGCGTGTATGCCCATGATAACGCGCGAGATAGGACGAAGCTGTCTTCGAAGGCGAAGGCCGCGCCTGCTCCTGTCGTTAGACAAGGTTAGGGTTAGCTGGCTTGGATACGGTGATATATAAAGTTAGGGCTAGTATGGGCTAGGGTTACCAAACGCTCCGGATAGTGCTGGTTGACCATGTTAATGCACTTCTTTAGGTGCTTTGATAAAGGTGCAAGACGTACGATGAGACGCATCCCCTATCAACGCAATAGAGCCCCTAGAAACGATCTTCTCCAACCGTGCACCAGCAAAGAGCGGAAACCGTTGGATCTCCGTTGAATGGCTGAGGACTTCCTGGACAAGAGGGCCAAAGTCCTAGTTTCCACGTTAGCTCTAGGCCTCATCTCAGTCTTTGAAATGTCAACATACCTTCCACGGCCTCATAAACTCCTCCCTCCGCACAACCTTCTCCCCCCACTCCTCACTCTCGGGCTTCGACACCCCAGCCATGCACGTAAGTTCGTACAGCCCATGTCTCAAATTACACGTATAAACCCACTCGCTCGGCCCATGCCAGAAGGTCACTGCGTCCGGAAAGCCCTCGATACCCAGGAGTTTCTCAGCGGGAATGAGGCCGCGGTAGGCTGTTTTCCCGTGTAAACAAGTCTATATTCGGGGAAAGCGAACTGCCGCACCACAGAGCGGACGCCGTCGGCGCCGATGAGCAGGTCAACGGTTGTAGTATGGCCGTTAGAGAAGTGCAGTGCTAGGGAGGGCGAGCCCGTGACAGGATTCAAAGGGGCGTCTCCATGCTGGCCCTCCGTGACCCGGAGAAGACGCGAGTCCAGGACTATTGGCACCTCCACATTCGCCAGGAGAGCCGTTTGCAAAACCGAGCGGAGGGCACGCGCGTGGAGATGGCGTGGCGGCGTACCATCTTGCCCAAGACTACACAGCAACTCCCCCGTCCGCCCATTCCGATGCTGCACGGCGTGCCCATCGCTAGTCCTAAAAATCGTGTGCGGGTTGATATTCTTCGACACATTGAGGGCGTCCAGCATGCGCCATGTATTAGGTTGGATGTTTAGACCGGTACCAATTTCGCGGAGGACAGTGGCCTGCTCGTAGATTGTTATCTCGGTGAAAGGTAGGGCTTTCTGTAGGGAGATTGCGGCGCTGAGGCCTGCGGGACCGGCGCCGATTATGGCGATGCGGAGGGGGGAGTTGGGTTCTGGCATGAGGACTGGATTGGATGGGCTGGATGGGAGCGATCTGGTGGTTGGCGAGGGACGAGATGCGAAGGGTTGGATTGGAGCTGGGAGCTGTTTGGAGTAGACGAGGAGGGAGGAGGGAGGGGTTATGGGTTGCGCAATCAACACTCAAATATGTTCAGATAGGCCATGTAGCACCCGTCTTGCGCAACATGCATATGTTGTCAGTGATGTATTATGTGATGTATTATGTGACACTTTGGTCAAAAAGGGCGATTTGCAAAAGCCGTAGCTTATTGCTTTGTCTGAAGCGCATTACTATGCCAAACCCAAGGCTTCAGGGCTCGGCTACCTATTGTGCCTAGAGCCTGGCGGTAGATTGGCAACACACTACAAAGTGGGCCACTAGGTAAACGTTTCTGCCAGCAATGCCAATTGATTAGGGTGAGGTGATGAAACTCTGTTAACCATACGGACAAAGCTAATGCGGATCACCCCACACTAGCACACTGCTCAGACCATTATTCCATCATAATCTCGCCATCTTCATCTTCATCAAACCATATATATAACCCCGAAGCCTACTCCTTGTGGGTGGCAGACACCTGCTGCTTCTCAGTGGCAATGAGCTCTTCGCCACGAGTGACGTGGTTCGCGCCACCAAACAGAGCATCGATTTCTTCCAAAGGAACCTGCTTGGTTTCGGGGATGAAGAACCAGACAAAGACTGCAAGGAGAAAGTTGATACCTGCAAACATGTAGAATGCGTAAAAGCCACAGTTGTCCAGGAAGATGGGGAAGAACTGCTGAAAGATGGCGTTGGCGACATTCTGCGTTTGAGAGGCCATGCCGACGGCTTGCGCTCGGACGTTCATGGAGAAGACCTCGGATGTCCAGATCCAGACTGTCGCACCCCAAGATGGTTTGTCTGCGAGAGTTAGTAAGTGATCGAAGGCAAGAAGCTATTCAACTTACAGAAGAAAATAAATAGGAAGAGTAAGAACACGATGGATATGCCGACAGGCGTACTCTTCGTGTCGTTCGGTGATGGTGTTTCTGTCTCGACAGCGGAGACTATGATCATGCAAATACCCATACCGATACCTCCGACGATCAGTAAGAACTTACGTCCAAACCGATCGATGATCCACACCGCGTTGAGCGTGAAGAGGATACCAAACGTCGCGTTGAGGGCGTTGATGAGGGCAATCTGGCTGGCGCTGGGAAAGACCTTTTGGTAGATCTTGGTCGAGTAGGAGTTCAAGCTCCCCTGTCCAGTGATCTGTTGACCAGCGTTGATGATCAAGGCAAGGACCATACGCTTGCGCAGAGACTTGTCCTTCCAGAGGGCCGAGTAGTTGCTGGAGATGGCTTCCTTCTCATACTCAAGGGCTTCGCGGATTCTCAGCAGCTCATCCTCCACCTCTTGGTCGGTCTCTCGCACCTTTGAAAGGGCTGCACGAGCTTTCTCGACGTTGTTTCCACGTTGAATGAACCTACTTGCGTCAGTTTGTACTAGATTGCCGCAACAAGGAGTCTCACCATCGTGGACTGCCGGGAATAGTTGGCAGCAAGATGAGAATAAGAGTCGGCATGAGAAGCTGGAAGATCACGACCATCTTCCAGTCCCACTCGCCTAAATTCTCCTTGTGGTTGGTGCAGCCATAGTTCACCCAGAAGCAGATGAAGGAGCCCACCGAGTAGAACATTTGCCAGAATGTCATAATCTTTCCCCGAATCTCTGGGGGCGCGAGTTCACCGATGTAGATTGGCCCGGACGCTGGGCGAGCATTGTCAGCTTGGGCTCGGAGAAGTCAGAGCTTAGTGGACAACTTACTCAATGCAATACCCTGGCCAATACCGATAATGGTTCGTCCCGCAATAAAGCATCCGATATTGTGCCGGGGGGCCCACGTCTGCATGAAGGTAGACGCGATAACCAGAACACAACCAATGGCCATGCCGATCTTACGGCCCAAAAAGTCTGCACATGGTCCACCCAAGAAGAAACCGCCGAAGATGGCACCCACTGTATAGGCTGTGTTCACCGCACCGATCGTGTTTGCGTCCGGGTCATCGAAATATGCGACCCAGTTGTCGGAACCCTGGACGGAATTGTATACGGAAGCATCGTAGCCGTAAAGCACCATGCACGATGCCGCGACAAGGGATATATACCTAAGTTTGCACCGTCAGCTTTGGTCGTCACAGAACGCTTCCAGACGAACCAGTTGAAAGCTCTCTTGGAGCCAAGGAGGTTGAAGCCCATCCTGATGCTTATTTGCAGCCCTCAACTGCTTGACCAGCAAATACAGAGAAAAGGCAACGTAGCCGAATGCTTGACTGTCTGCCCAGAGCGGCCCAGCAAAACCAAGAGATGAGGAGAGCGCGTGAACGGCTCGAGGATCTGGTGGCACTCAGCTGGTATATATAGAGCACGCGTACGAAGACGGGAACAGAAACCCCAGCAGTAGGATCCAGTAGTTAGATTAACCGTCTGGACCATTCGAACCATTCCACCCCCGGACAGCGATAAGAGACACCCACGGGGAAGTCTCATGGTGGGACCAACATTGCTCACACAAGCGTCTCCTAAGCCAGCTCCAAGCTCCCATCTGCCCTAGTGGCGGACTAGGCTCTCAGTGGCCAACTGGAGGCTGCATCGCGGCCTCGCTTCGCGATCCTTGCTGGGGGCCGGGGAAGTCTGGGGTTGACATTCGAGGAATTTCTCCGCGGGGCCATGTGGTGGTCTCGCGTTTCCACGAATCACCGGCAGACAGTCTAGCAGAACAATCACAATGCTCCACCAATCGAGTGCGTTGCCCAGGCAAATCAGCCCATCCATATCAGCCTGATTTTGTTGCTGACTCGGTGAGCGTTCTCCGTCTGCAGGGCCAGGTGGAGAGTCGGTCAGGAGTCAGTCAGAGACTCAGAGTGGGTTGTCTGGGGAACTCCAGCTGCGTCTGGGGGTGGACTCTTTACCTAAGCGCCAGTCACGGGACCCCGGCCTTCTCTCTCTCTGCCCTCCGGCTTCCTTCCTCCGACCCGGCGCCTAGCATGGATTCCTTGCACAGTAGTCTCAACGGTTGGACACCTTCCAGTGGTCTGACCTCGAGTGTCTGTTGGCTAACCTGACAGTATTGACAGGATTGGCCAGCAGAGCTTGAGCCTCGCTGCGCGAAATGCAATGGATCTGCGGACCTCAAGCGTACCTGCAGTCTCTCGTGAACAGCGTTAAATTGTCTCCTGGGCCGCTTCTTTCTCCATACACTCACTGTACTCGTGTCATGTATCCAATCTTGCGCCGATCACGACTCTATGGCCAGAATCCAGCTCGGACGGACACACTCCGCCTACAATCCCCCGGGAGGCCGACGTTTGGTCTCATGATAGAACAAGGAAGACCAATGGGCACGGTCAATAACCGGTTCTCCTTCGACCTTGTTGAATTAGAGGCTACGCCCCTTGCACCAGTGCAGAGACCTCCCTGTGGTTTTATTCACCCAATGCTGCTTGCCTGCAGGGGGTACTTGGCAGTTCGACTTGTCTGCCTGTAAATGGCGGACTTTCCATCAGATGCTCTCTCAGTCAATCTACAGCTTCAGGGATCGGCAACGGAGCTCTTCTGAAGCGGGATATCCGATGCCGAATCATGGGGTGCCTCCGGGAGCCCATATAAAGCTCAGCATGTCGATGCTGTCGAAGTCCTCTGAGCAAGAACAACTTCACTGGCAACAGGGTAGCAAACAGAAGCTCGTACCTCTTATCTGGTCACCATGAAGTGTTACCTAAGCTTGCTTTTTCTTTCGTGTCTGTTACTACCTGCCAATGCCCGCGAAAAATTCAACTTCAACCAGAATTGGAAAGTGCACGTCGGTGATCTTGAAGGAGCCGAAACGCCTGCCTTTGACGATAGCGACTGGAAGGATGTCACCACTCCCTACGCTTGGAACGAAGATGATGCATTCCGCGTGAGTATTGCCAACCTCTCTACCGGCATTGCGTGGTACCGGAAGCGCTTTGAACTACCGAGTACAACAAAAGGGGACAAGATCTTCCTCGAATTTGAAGGGATCCGTCATGCCGGCGAGTTCTACCTCAATGGCAAATGGATCGGCCGCAGCGAAAATGGAGTAATGGCGTTCGGGTTCGACATCACCGACACTGTGACCCACAATAGCACAAATGTACTGGCAGCACGTATTAACAACGACTGGGCTTATCGTGAGATCGGGACGGACACTCCCTACCAGTGGAATGACAGAAACTTCTATGCCAACTACGGAGGGATCAACAAAAATGTCTTCTTACATGTCACAGACCGAGTTTACCAAACCCTTCCGCTGTACTCCAACTTGAACACCACTGGAGTTTACATATACGCGCAAGATATCAACGTGCCTGGCAAGTCTGCCACCGTTACGGCCGAGGCAGAAGTGCGGAATGAGTACAAGACGCCCAAGACGTTCACCTTCCAGGTTGAGATCGGAAGCTGGGAAGGTGATCTCATCCATACTATCAAGGGCGACTCCTACACTTTGGGGGCAAACGAAACCACGGTCGTCAGTGCCTCTGCTGACCTCAGTGGACTAGAGTTCTGGAGCTGGGGCTATGGTTACATGTATAACGTCCGTACTTCCCTGATTTTCGACGGTAAAGCGATTGATACTGTCAGCACAACTACGGGCTTCCGAAAGACCGAGTTCGATCATGGCAGGTTCAGACTCAATGACCGCGCTCTGCATCTCAAGGGATATGCCCAGCGCACCACGAACGAATGGCCAGCAATAGGCTCTGCGGTTCCCCCGTGGCTGTCGGACTTCTCTAATGAGCTGGTCCTTACCAGCAACGGCAACCTGATCCGTTGGATGCATGTAACTCCTTGGAAGCAAGATGTTGAGTCGTTAGACCGCCTGGGTATCCTCCAGGCCCTGCCGGCAGGCGACTCTGAAGCGGACAGGGACGGAAGACGATGGGAGATGCGTGTTGAGCTCATGCGTGATGCAATAATTTACAACCGCAACAACCCCAGTGTCGTCTTCTACGAGGCCGGTAACGCCGAAATCTCCGAAGAGCACATGGCAGAGATGAAACAGCTCAGGGATACCTACGATCCGCACGGTGGACGAGCGGCAGGATGTCGAGAGATGCTGGCCAGCGAGATCGCCGAATACGGAGGCGAGATGCTGTATATCAACAAAGGCGCCCGCATTCCGTTTTGGCAGATGGAGTACAGTCGTGATGAGGGCTTGCGCAAGTACTGGGACAATTATTCCCCGCCTTACCATTTAAATGGGGATGGGCCGCTCTATAACGGGGACGATGCCAGCAGTTATAACCACAACCAAGATTCCCATGCCATTGAGGACGTTGAAAGGTGGTTCGACTACTACGAGCAACGACCAGGCACGGGCACTAGAGTTAATGCCGGTGGAGTGAACATTGTCTTCTCGGACTCAAACACTCACTACAGGGGTGCCGAGAACTACCGTCGCTCTGGCGAAGTCGATGCCGTTCGATTGCCAAAGGACGGATGGTACGCTCACCGAGTCATGTGGGACAATTGGGTCGATATCGAAAGGGTCTCTGGCCATATCATTGGGCACTGGAATTACAACGATACGACTGTCAAGGACGTATATGTTGTTTCAACTGCGGAGAAAGTCGAGCTTAGCCTCAACGGCAACTCCCTTGGCTGGGGCAAGCAGACCACCCGGTTCCTTTTCACCTTCTTTAACGTCACCTGGGAGGCCGGTGAGCTCAGCGCCTACGGATACTCAGGCGACGAAAAGATTCTCCTTGATGAGAAGAAAACAAGCGGTGCCCCAGCTGCTATTCGGCTTACCCCACAAACAGCACCAGATGGGTTCGTCGCCAACGGTGCAGATATTGCACTCGTCGATGTTGAGGTGGTGGATAAAGACGGTCAACGGGCCCCTATCGCCCTCAACGAGATCGACTTCACCCTTTCCGGTGAGGCAACCTGGCGTGGAGGCATTGCCCAAGGGCCAGACAATCACATTTTATCCCAGACACTCCCCGTGGAGAATGGCGTGAACCGTGTGCTGTTGCGCTCCACCACGAAAGCAGGCAAGGTCACCCTGCAAGCCAAATCCAAGGGCCTCAAGCCAGCTTCCATTACCCTCTCAACCAAGCCCATCTCGGTAGATCACGGTCTGAGCACATTTATCCCAGGGACCGACCTGCAGCCTAACCTGTCGCGGGGACCCACACCAGAAGGCGAGTCCTATGTAGTCACACGTCATGCCGTGGAAGTCCTCAACGTGACAGCCGGCTCTGCGGAAGCCAATGCAACGGCCTCGATTGACGACGACGAGGAAACGACCTGGCGGAGTGACTCCAACCAGGAGACTGCGTGGATCCAATACACCTGGACTGAGCCTGTGAATGTTTCCCAGCTGGTTATGAAGCTGCGCAGCTTTCGTTCCGAGCAATATTCTATCGTAGTTAGTGTGGATGACACCGTGGTGTTCCAGGGCACGACTCCGACATCGCTGGGTTACGTGACGCTTGATCTTAATGCGACGGTGGGTGAAAGTCTGAGAATTGCCATGGATGAAGAGGATGATTTGGGGATCGTTGAGGCGGAGATCTATACACCGGCTTGAGGCCCCGTAACTGTACGGCTTCTATAGTCAATCAAGGAACGTTGCCGCCTCTCGGTTAGTTCATTAGGAAATTCTATGCCCTCGGCGTCCTCCCTCCATCGCTCTTATTATGATTACTTACACATTACAGGCCTGAGCCGCGTCTTCTAGGCTTGCCATACTTGGTCGTGTCATGGTGAGTTTTAGGGATATCAGGTATAAGAGTATGTTGAGAGCGATCTTCGATCAGATGATTCGATGCGGATGGGTATAGGAAGGTTGAGGAGTTGAAGAAGAATCCGGGCCCAGAATCTGGGGGATTCTAGGTATATCGCCTGCGGCGTCTTTGCGCTGTTTGGGCTTTGTCTACTGATGAACGAGCTTTATCCGCCAATGAATTATTCTGGAAGCTAAAAAGAAAGACAGTGGTGAGAGATGACAGCTCCAAGCGGCAGAGAGGAAAGTAAATGTCCAAGCAAGACTCAACAACCTTATAAGGGCTGTGCATCACGCCCGAACGTCTTGCTCTCAGGCCAGGATGGTCCAGAAAAGGGCTACCCTACCCAGCGCACTGGGTTATTAATGACGACAGAACGCACGAAGAAGCAAACAAAACAGACAGACATACGACCAGGACGAATGTAAAAAAATGAACGGCAGCCCCGGTATTCCCCGTCGCGGACCACTACACTTTCCCCTTCGCGATCAGCTGAGGAAGAAGCCTCTTCAAGTATTCCGTGGGAGTTTCAGCTTTAGACTCATCCTGGTACTTGTCAATTAGGGGTTCGAACTCCGGCTTGAGAGTGTCGCGGAGTGCACGTTGTCGCTCCCCTTCGATGCTCGCCAAAAACAACCAATGAAACATTCGATGCCAATAGTTCTCGATATCATGATTCTTATAGCGCAGGCACCGAAGAACCAACCAGAGCACGGCCTCCACAAGCGCAGTATTCGTGAGGGTTTTGACGGGACTCACGTCAGTCCAGGGGCCCGAAGGGCTTTTTACACGGTCTGCTGTCAAGGGGGGAAGGCGCGCAGTGTCGTTGGTAAGGATGAACGTCGGGTCGTCAGGCGCCACGGGGTCAAGCGTCAGGGTGGGGAGAGACCACAGAACCCGGGATTGTTTAAATAGCGACACGACTGTGAATTTAGGTCCGGGAAACTGCTTTTCCTTGATGTGGAAGTGGGCGTCGGCCTTCTCATGTACGTTGTTCCAGGCACATAGCGCAGCAATATCTGTCACGGGGTAAGGGGTATTCTGCTCAAATCGCTTCCACCACCGGTGTAGCTTGAGTTCCACGCATTGGGCATCGTCACAGTAGTTGAATCCGTTGTCAATAAGTGCGCGAACAGCAGTTTCGAGCTGGGGATTGAGGTTAGCAGAGTCAACAACGATAAGGGGATACATGCGTGACTATCAGGGACAACGAAGTCAATTTCCTATAGTTGTTATCAGCATCAGGGTAATTCAACGGAAAAAAGGATCATGCTTTACTGGAAACCTTTGACAACCGCTGTATAGATTCACTGCCCACCACCCAAAGAGAATGTTGGGGACCCGAGCCGCGTTCAGGATCTTTGCAACTTCAGCTAGAAATTATCAGCATCACTTGACTATGGTAAGTTGCTAAGTCATTACCCGCAGGCAAAACACCACGCTGAAATTCAGACTCAGACATGATTGAGTGAGTGGTGAGGATGCTCGTCGACACTCTTTCGAAGAGGAAGAAGTCCCGGTCTGCTGGGAGGGGCGGAAATATAATCTTCGAGGACCGTCTGATTTGGAGCTTCAATCCGATGTAATCTTAGAGACAAAAATTCTTCTGGATGGGGGAAAAATAGTCGAACTCGAGGGTAGTCCCCAGCCGCTCCATCACTAGACCAGGACCATCTCAAAGAAAACCTAAAGCTTCCGTGGTACCAATAAGCGCACAATGCTCGTGCCTGGCAGGGTCTCAGAGATAATGGATGATGAACCGTGGTATTGGAACATGGGATATCCATATTTTGGTGGTTCACTGGTTCCCTTGCTGCAGACGCTGCGCAGGACGAGATAGCCAAAGGAAGCGAATGGGGTTCGATGGCTATTCACAACAATACGTGTATCCTCATTGACCCGACCGAGGTCCCTGGGAACAGTTCGTCACCAAGGTTCGTGACATCATCTAGGGTCAGTGGCTCTGGCTCGAGGCGCAAGGCAAAAGCCACAGGCGAAAAGCGATTCAGTCCTGCTGTTCTTTCAAAGCCGATAACGGGCGCGATATCGCTTTTAGTCTGGCTTGCCCTTGCGCTGTATTGTTCCCACAGTAGTGCCCAAGAGCGAGGCCCACTTTCATGTTCTTCTTCCTCAATGTTTCTTCCTCGAGGATATCAAGTGCTTCAAAATGACTCTTGCGTATCCGAAACGAGGCCGCAATCAGCTCTATATCCAGATCCTCGGATTACACTCACGGGTACTTTAAGTAATTGATCCTGTTCCATGGCTACGGCATCGCCGCTTTAGAAGGGACAATGGGTTCCGTACACATGGAGGTGTACCAGTACCTCCAAGGGGCTAAGTTTCAAGCGAAGAATTAGGCTCGCCGAGAAGCCTTTACGCGTGGTCGAGAGCCGATTCACAGGGCCATGAAGAAATGAATGAAATTGCAAACAACGGCCCTCTGATCACAGGGCTCGATGTTGATCCCCGCAGGTCAATTGATACGGCCTTGGTCGCAGCCAGAAGCCGGTGCGAGATCCGCTAAGCATGATGACAGCGTCTGATTTGCATCCCCGACCCGTACGGTCTGGTTTAACTCGTCTCTCACGACTCGAGGCATGCGCCAATCTCCATCGACTCGGAAGGAGTCGATATCTAGCACGAACAGCGGCACAGACGAAACCGATACCCAAGAGGTGATGGGAAGGCGGGAGGGCACAGCTTAACACGATCTGCAGCGAGGGTTGACATCACGCAGCACATCATAGTACTGGTGTACACGAGGAAATGACTTGGTGAAGCTATTTCGGCCAGGGTGGTGGGTGAGAGCCCTAGGATTGCCATGGATGAAGATGGGTGATGTCGATGAGGCGGAGGTATATACTCTGCCCACGTTTACTGCCCTTCTGATCATATTCCAATTGCTTTGCCGCTTCTTTGATACGCCGTAGTTCAGATGAGTGTTGAGACTTGCTATGCAGGAGACCGGCATTAATCTGACCACATCACGTGAGCTCGCGACCAATCGACGCGGTCCACCGCGCCTCAGTCCGGCAGTTCCAACCATCTTGATAGCATTTGTGTGAAATTCTTCCTCGACCTTCATATCTTGTCTTTTGTATCCATACACCGAACCCCTTTACATTTATCGATCAGCCTCCCCCGCCCTCATGCCCCGCACCTACGGGAAATCCAAGGGCAAGGCAAAGCAAACGCGGCTTGCCTTCGTGCCAGCAGAATTCACACTCTCGCAGCAAGATGAAGACAGCAATAGCACCACAAGTCGCAATGCGAATGTCCGCTACACGGACCCATCTCTTGGAACCCTGCGCAGCGGGAAGGCAGCGTCGAAACAAGACAAAAGTTCAGGTTCAACGCCTCAGCCGTTTGTGAGAATTGGGCGGGGGCATTCGCCGGAAGAGAACTTGCAATCGGGAGTCGCGGAGATGGCCTTGTCGTCGCAGAAGAGTGATCGGAAAGAGGGGAAGAAGAAAAAGAAGAGTATGTTTCTATCTGCTCTTGGAATTCGACCTACGTGTGTGTGTCTAATGAGAGTAAACTGAACGCTAGGCTCATCGCGAAAGTCATTGAAGATTGCTGCCGCTCCTGCACCTCTTGCGTCCCCTTCGCCCCCGCCGGCTACCCAAGATAGCGACAGTGATAGTGACTTGGAGATCGTACATAGCGCGAAGAAGAACACTCGAAGGCAGCCGAGGAAAGCCGAATATCCGGAGCCCACCCCGCCTCCTCAGGATACCGATAGCGATAGCGACGTGGAAATCATACATAGCGCGAAGAAGAATAAAAGGACTCGAAACACGGAACCCAAGGCAGCGGACCCTCCGGAGCCCATCCCACCTGCTCAAAATAGCGACAACAAATTGGACATTGTGCATAGCGCCCGGAAAAATATGACGACTCGAAGCATGAAGGAAGAGCAAATTGCCTCGCCAGACCCTGTCCCAGCTAATCAAGATAGCGACAGCGATTTAGAGATTCTACACAGTGCGCAGAAGCCTACGCGAAGCAGAGCCATAAAGCGGAAGAGGGTCGAATCTTCGGAGCCTGAGGATGCTCACGTGTCAGAGGAAAGTGACGCTGAGGACGTCGTTGCTCGACCTCGTCGCAAACTTAGGCGGGGCGGCGCTCCCCAGCCGGTTGCCATCCATAATGATTCCGAAGAAGAGCAGGAGGTCCGTGGCGGTACTTCAAAATCACCAAGTGTGCCTCATACCCCGCGCCGTGATTCGGCTCAAGATCGGATTGATATTGAGGAGGACCTTGAAGACCTACAAGATTCAGGTACTACTCGGTCTTATATATTCTTTTCTTCTTTCCCTGGTCATGTCTAATTGCATGCAGTCGTGAAAGCGTCGCGTACACGGGGAAATATTGCCAACTCGGCCAGGGCCCAGCGACAATTACACCTGGAAGCCCTGCGGCGTCGAAGGGCCGGTCAAAAGGCAGAAGACGATGGAGAGCCCCAATTATCACCCCAGCCAGAAGATTCGGAATCAGAGAACGGCGAAGATCAAGACGCAGACGATGGTGAAGAGGAGGTGCCAGTCCCGCAGCCGCAATTCCGGAACTGGGCGAACGAAAGCGGAGATAGCGATGTTGAATCCACCATTGGCGCCAACGAAGATCTAGATCGCTACGAAGATGACTTTGTTTTAGAGGACGACGACGAAAAACTTGGAGTTCCCAGCGGGCTGGAGGACATCCCCATTGAATTTTCCCGGCACGCCTACAAGCAGCTGAAGGATTACTTCCAAGATGCGGTCGAATGGATGGTACACAATCAACTTAATCCTGCATTTCCCCGTTCCGACCCTGTCTTTATGGTAGCTTTTGACAAGCTAGAAGCTGAAGTTCGTGGACGCACTGGTTCTCAGCTCGTTTCTTCTGTCTGGAACGCCGACTTTCGCAAGGCACTTTTGGCACGGCCGTACATGGAAATCACAGCGTATCCAATTGACCTCTGTCACCCCTGTGATGCATGTAACCGTTCAAAACATCCCGCTTCTTCAGACATTAAGCTATATGGCAAGGCATACTCGCTTGAAACACTAGAGCCGCTAGAAGATGCCGACAGCGACGAAGAACAGTCAAACGACGAGGAGGAAGAAGACGGGCAGGAACGAGACCGTGATGGCTACGTCTTACCTGATGAAGACAGGCGTTTCTGCCTCGGAAGGTTTGTTTTTCCCCTCGACTGTCTTCAAGTACCTGTAATCTGACCATGAACCAGACACTGCAAGAAGAACGCAGCCCTCGCCCATACGCTGACCCACTGGCGTTTCCACCTCAACGAATGGGTCGTCGAACATCTCCGTACGACGGGCTACTTTTCAGACAAAAAGATCCTCAAACGCAGTCAATACAGCCAAAAGAAAAAGAATAAACACGCCGCCAAAGCCGTGAACAAGATGATCGAGTCCGGCGAGATCAAGAAGCTCTGGCGCGATTTCCATATCAACCTTAGGACTGCAAGGGAGTCTACGGTCTGATTCATGAGACCTGAGACCCCGTCTTGATTTTACCCTTCTGTCTTCTCATACATACTGACCTTCCGGCCATCTATTGCATAATCCGCTTATTCTTGGCTAATCTGTCTCTCTCCTTTTTTCCGCGTCTCTTTCCTCACTTTCACGGACATATTTGACGCAATTATCTTGCTTTGCTTTGATACCCAAGCCACAACTCCTTCTTGCATTTTGTCATGATTTGATACCTGCGTCTTAACCCCCCTTTATCATTTATATGGGTGGTTTCCTGTCGGAAACTGCCGTTATACACTTATTTTCAGCTAGCATGAGTACAATGACCATAGTCCCGACCCAGCTTCTCTAAAAGCGCTCCGAGGCTATGCACATCGCCCATAAATGAGATGTATCTAATAGGATGTTGCATTCCAATACTCCATAAGCCTACCATTACATCACAAGCTCAGCATACAAAGCAAAGCCAGCCTGGTTGGTTATTTTACCACATCAACGCCGAAGCTCAAACACTGTATGCTTAGGGACACCAATGTTTGCTCGTTGGCATTCATCTAAAATACCGAACTTCCAGTCTTCAGACACTGGTGTCATGCTCACAGACTTGGACAGGGCGGGACTCGCACGTCGCATCCACTGCGATCGACTCAGGGCTCAACAACCTACTCACGATAACTATACCAGGGGTACCGTCCTCAATTCCTACACCGGACGGCGCGATTAGGTAGGTAAAGCTGTCCCCATGACCTTCTCAACCCAATTCCTCTCCCACCCTCTCACAAATCTCAAAAGTAGCCTTCAAAGCCGGCTCCTCAGACTTTACCCGTCCAAGCAATACACATGCACACCACCCTCGACCGCATGTGCAGGACTAACATTCATCTGCCGCCTAACATCCACACAAGACCAGCTCCCCGACCACATCGCCATCAGCCTCGTCCCATCCAGCAACGCGAACCGAGGCTCCGGGTGGTTCCACCACGTCATGGGCCATCGGGCTCGGTATGCAGTACGACGTGTGTCTTGGGTACAACTTTGCTAAGAACATGTCTAGGAGCGCTGCGTTGCTGGATATCACGCGGACGGGGCAGCAGTTGGGGGATCTTGAGAGGGTTGCGTAGTGAGTGGAGCCGCCGCGTGATAGTAGGGTTTTGTATCTGGGTCAGGAGGAGATTGGGATGTTGGAGTCACCGGTTTGGGGGTGTGCTGGGTGAGTTGAGGTGATTGAGCGGGCATTGTGCACCTAATTCTATGTTAGGTGATATAGCAATATGAAAAGTGCGGTTTGTTCCGAAAGAGCAAGTATCATTGGTGGTGGGGTTATAATCCCGTTCACAATAATAACGCACAATGATCCCATATCCTAGGAATTGGGGTTATATTGTATCAAGTTGTTGTGTCACTATGTTCAAACCACTGTATAAATGACCATCAGTAAGGATCCAGGGCTGGTTCGTGACATTGTCCCTGCAGATCTAAATGGAATGGAAGGAGTGCTTGCTGAGAAAGAGGCAAAGGCAATTGTGCAGCCCAAAGATGACAAACAGTACAAGCCCAGCAACCAGGGTAACTCAGGCTTCATATCATGGCACACCAGATAGGAAGAAAAATGGAAAAAAACACGTCTCTCTAAGTCATTCACATTCCATTATCTAAAACATAAGTCGATAAGACAGACAAGAATGGACATGAAACCACATGAGATGATGAAAATACAAGGCAAGAACAGGTAAATGGATATACAAGTACAGGGATCCCGAAGCTGGGAAAAGAGCATCGAGAAACAAAGGGAGATGGGAGAAAGGAACCCGCAGCTGTATGCAAAAGGGAAGAACCAACAATACCAGCCTCGATCCAGCGCCATACCGAGTAATGACACACAAGCACATTTGTATATATTGAGACATATTTCGTAGTTTGTACGCAGCGAGAGTCACGTTCAACGCCGTGGGAAAGGATTCCTGTCACCTTGTTTACATCCTCTGCCCCAGGCAGCTTGATGTCCACAAGGCGACCAAGAGGACGTGGCAACAGACATCACGGATAGATTGCAAGTCCAAAATCCAGTAGAGTTGATCGTTCACTCTAGACGTCTTTTGCACGCTGCGGGCTTATCGGGCGGAGTTCGTTTAGAGGGTAGGCTGGGCTTTCTGTTCCTCGGTGGAAGGAGCGCCAGGTGCGAGCATCTGTAGAGCGTATCAAGTCAGCCAAATCACGCACCCCCATAAAAAGGCCCAGCTCAAGTAGAACAGGAAACGACAGCCAGGACAGCTATTTCTTGGCACCTCCAACGCGACAAAAGAGTTTTCAATCCAAGCCACGTCGGCCACCAACGCCATCGAACAGCCAAATCAACAACCCCCTGAATAGAAGTATTCACGCGCAACCTACCTCGTTAGCCCCCTTGATCATCCCCTGCTCACGCTCCATCTGGATATACTGCTCCTCCTCAGCGTAGGCCAGAGCCCAAGGCACACCAAGCAGGAAAGCACTGGTCGACAGGATCCACAGCGCCTTGCCGCTGAACGCGATGCTGGATTTCGCGAACGAGGTTACGTAGTCGACGGTGTTGGTGGCCTGCTTGCGGGCGGAGGGGGGCACAATGTCTTTCAGCGCGGAGAGGCGCTCGTACAGCGTCTCGCCCTCGACGTCATAGTCGGATTCGACGGAGATCTCGGACTCTATTTACCAGTTTATTAGAGCTGTTTTGTGAAAGGGCTAGTGGGGGAACGAAGGTGTGTAGGAGGTGTGTAGCGTCGCGCGTACCGGTATCGGTGAAGTCGTCGTCCTCGTCGTCGGAGGCGAGCAGGACGTTGTGCTTGCTGGGTTGGGGCTTCTCCTGGGCGAAATGCTCGTCCTCGACCTCGGTGAGCTTGACCATTTTGAATGTGTGTGGTGTTTTAAGTTAAGAAAAGAGTGGGTGAAAGGCGACTAAGAGGGCGTTAGTTGGTGGTTGATGGATGAAGAGTCGAGGTTGACGGAGTCGCTGGAAGTTCGGATCCAACTTTTTTCCCGAGCTCCAAAAGCGGTAAGGAGCCACGCTGCAATACTCCAGCTGCGAACCCATCTAGTAGGTAGGGACATGGATTGTTACTTTTTGATTGCGTTTTTCATGAGAGACAGGATTTCGAGACTGAGTATATTGTACATGTGCGTATAGCTATCTAAATACATCGAGTGAAGACAGTGTCTGTATACAAGATACCGAACCAGGCATCTCTACTCTAAAGAATCCTCTCTTCCAGCTCATACAATTACAGCCTTCCCAGCTTCCACCTCGCTATCCGGTCCTGAATCTCGTCCCAGCCGAACGGGCGCAGCTTATATCCTTCCAATTCACCCTCCTGCAGCACAACAGTAGGCTTACCCGTGCCCTGTCCCTTATTATGGACCTGGCCACCAAAGACCTTACGCGCGACGCGTCGCAGATCCTCAACAGTAAGAGCCTCAATGTGCTTACACATTTCCTTGACTCCGATCTTGCGGCCGTGAACCTGCACCTGGCGGCCGAGGTCCTCGAGTTCAACCATGCGCGACTCGAGGTTCATCAGAAGCGACGATCGCAGCTGGTTCTTGGCGCGGTTGACCTCCTGCGGCTGGAGTGATGTGTACCCGGTGTCCAGGGTCAGGGCTTGGAGTTCGCGGCACATGACTTCGATCATCTGGTTGATGCGGGTCGGGCTACATGAGGCGGAGATTCCGAAGACACCGCTGTCTGTGTAGCCGTGGTTAAAGGCGATGCAGCTTTCAACCCAGCCGTGCTGGTTCAGGACGTTGGTGTAGAGGCGGGAGTACATTCCCTTTCCGGGACCGCCTGCGGAGAAGGAACCACCGCCTCCGAGGAGTGTTTGGAGGGTTGCGAGGGCGTAGATGTCGGGGTCGGAGATGGGAAGAGCCTCGAAGGCGAGGTGGATGTAGCTCAGTCGGGGGAGCATGGGGTTTGCCGGCGGGGGAATGGGGGGAAGAGAGAGGAAGCCACCGGTGTAGTGAGAAGGTTGGGTCAGATCTACAGGTGCAGAGTCTGATCCTGAAGCGGGCGTGCTCCCCCCGAATTTCTTCAGGAATGGGAGTTTTGAGAGGATACTCGAATCGGTTGTGGCGGGGGCGGATGCAACTGTTGAAGACGGCGTGAACTGAGGAGCTGCCGGGATCTGTCCTCCTGCGAGAGTTGTTTCAACACCACTGCCCGAGAGACTAGGTCCGCCGTTCGTGTTAGGACCCTTCATATCGCCGAACAACGACTCCGTCAGCTTCACTGCCTCGTGGTGCGGCACACCAGCAAATGCAACGACCATCCGCTCCGGGCGGAAGAAAGTTGCTCGGTACTTCTCTACAACCGCCTTGTTGATCTCCTCCAGTCTCTCGCGCGGGCAGAGCAGAGGGTGTCCCAATGTGTTATCCTTGTAAGCTGCCGTATGCACCAACTCCGGCAGGATGAGCTCCGGCTTCGCCCAAATCTCATTGATCTCGTACTCGGCGGTAGCGAGCTGCTGCAGAACCTCCTCTTCCGTGATTAGAGGGTCACGGATAGTCTCCGCCAGCAATCCGAGCGTTGTCGGGACAGCCGAGTTGAAGCTGGCGGACTGATACATCAGCGACTCCCGCGACGAAGCACACTGAATGTTTCCACCCAGGGACTCGAGCGTCTCATGCATCTCATCGGCGGTGCGTGTTTTCGTTGACTTAAAGGCCAGGCGATCCATGATATGGCTCACACCTCGCAAACTAGCGTCCTCGTACCGGGATCCAGCATCGACGTAAACTCCGACGCCGGCAAAGGGACCGGGGAGAGACTCGGTAGCGACGCGAATGCCATTTGGCAGGGTAGTGATTTGATCTAGCTCGGCGGGGTCCTACATTGATCGAACCCGATCCCAAGTCAGCCAGACCCATTTCCTGGGGCAAAGCGCAATGGGTTCCTTACCTTGGAACCATTTTCGTTGACGGTGCTGAAGCCTCGAGAGACTGAGCGTGACGCCCGGGAAAGGGGCTTGGTGGACTCAACAGCCCGCAATAATGAGCGACGCATCCTGGATATGTATGTGCCTCTAGAATAGAGAAATGTCTAAAGGCCTTTACTCCGGATTGCCTCGAAGGAGATTTGGCAGGATCGGAGCGGAAGAAACTCGGCTTATTAAGCACCTCCGGCGCCCACGTCATGGAGCGAGTCAACCTCAATAGACCGATAGTCTATAAGTGAACTTTTTTCTTATTTTTTGGCAAGCAATACTTAGTTTATACATGGTAGAAGTCAAATATGTTCAGAGGCCCAGGTGCGATACCAATCCAGGCACCCAGAATTCGCGACACTGGCTCCGATTTTGATGTTCAACCCGCACAGAATCTGTTTCACGGAGTTCTCGACCTTCTTGCCATTTGACGTCACCGGAATCTCCGGACAGACGTCCACGATGCCTGGGACATGGCGAGGGCTGAGTTCTTTGCGAATGGTAGCCTGGATGCGCGTTGCAAGGTCCGCCGGCAGCGTCTCGCTTGGTGAGGTTAACTTCACGAACAGAACCACTGTCTCATCTGTATCAATTCCTTCTCTTCTGCGACCAACGCAGAGAGAATCCTCGACCTCCTCGGCGAAGTGTTTTAGAAGGATGTTGTAGATCTCTGCACTGCCAAACCTGACACCGGCCGGCTTAAGGACGCCGTCGCTTCGTCCTAGCATGACAACTCCGCCTGTCTCCGGATTTACGCGGATAAAGTCACCGTGGTGCCAGATTGAAGGGCCGAAGACATCAAAATAACTTTTGCGGTACTTTTCGTCTCCAACAGGTCCAGGTGGCCAGAACATGACTGGCTGTGCCGGGAATGGCCGAGTACAGACCAGGTCACCGGGTTCTCCAGAAGAACTAATGTCGTTACCAGCATAATCATAAACAGAGACGGCCATGGCCAAACTTCGGCATTGGATTTCACCCTTGTACACGGGGAGAATTGGACATCCGGAGCAAAACAAGGAAAGAATGTCGGTACCACCAGTGATTGACCCGAGCATGATATCGGGGTGTATTGACGAGTAGACGTATTCGAATGTGGATGGTGCCAGAGGAGAGCCTGTGCTAAAGATTGCTTTGAGCGTCTGTAGGCTCACAGGACGGTGGGGATGCTTTGTAGGGTCCAGGCCAGCTTGTTCCAGCATTGAGAGATACTTCGCGGACGTCCCAAAGTGGGTTATTTTGAGTTCGTCAATCAGCCGGGGCATAGCCATTTCCCCAACTCCCCCTTCGGGATCTAATGGCCGGAAAGGCGAGCCGTCGTAGAGAACGATAGTAGCACCGCTCGCCAGGCCAGACACTAGCCAGTGCCACATCATCCAGGTGGTGGTGGTAAAGTAGAACAATCGATCTCCAGGGCGGATGTCACAGTGAAGGATATGCTCTTTCTTATGCTGCAGCAACGTTCCCAGGGATCCGTGTACGATAGGCTTGGGTGCACCAGTCGTGCCCGAGCTGTACAGAATGTATACGGGATGATCAGGTGGTAAGCTCGCAAACTCCAGTGGTGCTGAAGGGTTTCTGGCCGTCAATAGGAAGTCTGGGTATGTATATGCTTTTCCTTGGATTGGTGAGACCTCCTCCAACTGGATCTCCGAAGATGCGATAGTCGGAAATATAACGAGCGTCTCCAACTTCGGAAGCTCAGACACAATCAGGTTGGTTTTGACCTTCGCACTGTGCACCTTGCCATTGTAAAGCGAGGCATTATCAGCGAATAAAACCTTTGGTTCAATCTGCTTCAAGCGCTCGAGAACAGCATGCACCCCTGTATCCGGAGACACTCCGGTCCAGAAAGCACCAATAGACGCAGTTGCCAGCATTGCAACTACTGTATTAGCATGATTCCCCAAAAAGCCAGCGACCCGATCACCCTCCTGCAAGCCACCTCCTCTTAGCGCGTTGGCACATTGGCGTACACGCTCTCTAAGCTCTTTCCACGAGACATATTCACGGTCTAGCTCCGTGGCCGCAATAATGGCGACGTCGGTCTCATTAGGAGAGACGGCAGGATACAGCAGGTTCTCAGCAAAGTTTAGTCTTGTGCCCTCGAAGAATTGAGGCCGAGGGAAGAGAAGCGTCTCAGATCCCATAACCTGTGTGAAGTTAGCATAAGATTGCACTTGATCATGCTGACAAGCTAGCTAGCTATCTGTAGGGGTTGAACACCCTCACCTGGTTATAAGGTTTATGGGCATTGATACCCGTATACAGCCAAATATCCTCCCAGAACTTCGCAGGCTCAGAGATACTCCAGTTCCAGAGATCATTATAGTTGTCCAGTGGTATCCCATGCTTTGCCGCTGTTTTCTTCATGAAGTGGTAGATCTGTGTGGACTCGGGAGCCGAGTGCCGCCATAGCTCCTGGGGAGTTGCAGAAGAGCCATTGGCCGACATGGTTAAGGTACGTCTATTAAGCGACCACAGTCCGTGAGAAGAAAGATGTACGAAGCCCGAGGAGAAGTTGGAAAAGAAGAAACTGGGAGGTACGGAGTATGAAGAAAGAGGCGCTGCCAGGGCAGACTCATAGTTACCGGGTGCTCGCGATACCGGCCTTTCCGCTTCCGTCTAGTGGCTGATCCCCCAGAGTCCGATGCGAAGGGCCATTGGTGAGCAGCACCGCTTAATTCTTGGAGATTTCTTGTCATTAGATTCTAATGGAGTTCTTTATGACTGCTCAGCTATACTATGATCGCTCCACGATATATCTTCACGCTGTTTTCTCGTTGCTTTACGCATTCGGGCCTCTAGACCGAGGCAATCTACATCGGCGGGCCACTGCGGCCCGCTTCCCGATGCACTGAATTCTGTACAGTGGAGTGGACAACTCCAAAGACCACAGTTGTATGGTCGGACTATTATACATCGGCACACAAGGACCGCAGACCTCTATCAAGACAAATGCAGCACAAAATGTCAACGGCGCAGCGGGAACAGGACAACTAAACAAAGGGTCAGCTCAAGTCCAACGGATTTCACGCCACACTATCTTTTCTCCATCTATGTCCGCACCGGAGAGAGGTTCGCAGATCTTGTCGTCGAAAAAGGCGTCGTCATCCTCGTCATCTGTATCTGTCGTGAAGCCATCGTCATGCTCCAACATCACATCTTCACAAGGCGGCGTCAGAGAATGGATCATCAACCGCCAGAGCTTATTAATGGGAGCGTTAGGACGGTCCTCTCCATCCCTCTTGCACAGTTTCTCGACGGACTTGCAGAAAGTCACCTCGTTGAGGATCTTGACCTGATACATGCCCGTCCATGGACCAGTAGGTCCCCATGGCTTGTGAGCCGGGAGGAGAGGATCGTCCGAAAGCGTAACCCGAGGATGATCACGAGGAGGGTGGCCCAGGAAGAGAAATTCATTCTCTTTCATCCACCAAAGAAGAGAGGAAGGCTTATACTTGATGAGTAACCCGTAGTGGTGTCCGTGAAAAGTTATCGTGGTGTGTTTTCCATAGGGGTGGAAATGGAACTCGCCGACGGGGTGGTATCGATCTCGCGCGGGTCTACCGGGTATGTCGGAAAAGGCCATATGATGATCACGGTCTTCCTGGAACTCTGAGCAGTGCTTATCCAAGCAAATGTCGTGGCCGGCTTCGATTATAGCAAGGAATGTTGAGTGGATTTCCCCATCAGGGACCACGAAATCGCCTCTGGGGAAATCCTCGTTGATTCCGTAGAAACTGAGGGCTTGCCAGCCCCATAGGATGTAGGGGATTTGGGCACAATCGAGCACTCGGGCTGTTTCGGTCACGATATATGCGAGTCGAGTTGGTCCGATTGTGTCTTTGGTTATCGGCATGGCTATTGTCCAGTATTATTGATCGTTGAACAATGCGCTGTATAGTTGCTAATAAGAGGATTGCGTAGTAGGGCTGACGGTAGATTGATTGTTTTACCAGTCCTTATTCGACATAAGTGGCGTCTTTATAGCTTCTAGCGGACAGTCACCATGTTGGTTCGACACATCTTTAGAACAAAGATTTTTAGCAAAGGTGCCTGAAACATGCCTGGTAACGGAATAGCAAAGTCTACCGACACATAGAGGAAGACAAGTGATCCAAAGGCAAAAGCAGTTGCTTATTTTGTATGATTGGAGGCATAGAAGCATGCTGTACCTTATCACTCACCCCAGCTGTCATTCCACAGATGTGTAGTGAGGATATTCTGCCGTTCCTCTGTTAGGGCTTACCACTTTCATAGCAATAAGGAGGTGTATTCATCCTTTTCGGGGATGTTGTTTCCATTATCTGTTTGACCGACCTAAGGTGACTAGAGATATCCAAAACAACCTTCAGCCTGCGTCCATTGGGATGTCTGGGTAGCGCCTGGGAACTGCGTCTATTTGCGTTGGAATTCATCTTGTCTCGAATGCAGTATATAGCCCAGCGCTCCTTTATTGGGTCTTTCACCATCTGACGGGCAGGAGCTCCATTGATCACCATTGTCTTCCTTTGTTCGCCCAGTACACCTGTGACGTCCATGTGTCAAACACCAACGGTTAAACAATCTCGAGACGCTAAGCTCGAAACGAGGTGTTCCCAATGATAGCATCCATCGCCCCGTAAAAATCCCAAGGACGTTTCCCGTGGCAATTGGATGCTCGGCTTCGACGAGTTCGAGCAAGCGGCTCTCCTTGCAGAACACGGCCTGGGGAGAGTATTCTTTGTAAATGTTCCTAGTCGTTATGGCCACCATTGTATTGGAGTGAGAGGCAGTTTCCTCGGTCTGAAGGGACTGCTTATGGTTAAGACCTCTTGGGAGCCGTCAAGGAGGCCAATAAGACCCCCAGTGACGGCAGAAGCCGGCATCTTCCGCGAACAGAGAATCATTGCAGGTGCGCACCCACCCGACGATATATCCTGCAAAACGTAAGGTCTGCCATGGCTAGTGATTCAAGGGTGCTCATCGGTGACATTGTGCTGTCCGAGGCCAATGCTCATTGCGCTCTGCAACAGCTCACTCTGGTGACGGGCTTGCTAGGCGGGAGATTGCAGACATTTGCTATAAATCTCTCATGCCGTGTCCAATTCCAGCCGTACAATCCGAGTTGAGCTGATTACCGGACGGTTGTCAACTTGAAGACCCAATTGAATGTTGCTTTGTATTGAGTGACCAATGAAATGTGTGGGTTGCTGTGTTTAATGACCCTCTTTAATTTCAGGAGAATCGCCTTGCAGAGCTGCAGCCGGCTTGTGGAACGTTGTGCCTTTGCATAAATCCAGGGGTGTAATTTATCTGGTTTTGACGGTAACAATACGACTATTGGGTCGACATTCGCATGCGGCCGGCTGGCGATACCGTACCGTGGATCCGTGCACCTGAAAAAAGTCGATCAGGAGATTTCCAGGACCTTTGCCTGGTGATGCTTAGCTCTCCCACCGTCCGCCGCTGATCTCCCAGTCTGCTTCAATTTCTCTTTTCATCTTCCAGCCATCTAACCCGGTGAATTCCCATCTAACCACATTTCAATTCCTTCAAGGAGGTCGTTGGGAGGCTTCCGGAGCTTCCAGCCTCGCTGCACGTGCCAAGGTACGCTTACTGATTAATCTGCCCGGCTGGCCGGATGGAGCCGGTCTCTTCCTGGTCTCTTCAGTCACCACCACTTTCTCATCTTTGACCTTGTTCTCTAACGTACTCCTTTCTTTTCGTTTCTAGTGTGATTTAATCCGATTTACCGCCATTTATTCGACGTAACTCGGACCTAGGGGACTCGAGACCGCGAGGAGCTTGCTCGTGTGGCTACGTTGACTTCGTGCTTACTTCAGGAAAGCGCGACAGACTTCTTGCACCGTGCCCCATTGCCGGTGCTGTGACCTCGCTTGCCTTGACTCAGCCTTTTTTCTGCGATGCCGCGTCGACTGTCTAGCACATCCCCCGTCAACGACTCCCTCAACCCCTCATCTCCCTCGTCCCCTGGAAAAAGCGGCATCGCCGTCAAGGCACCCTCGAAGACCAACCGCCTGACCCAGTTCTTCTCGACCTCGCCCCGAGCCAAGGTCGAGCCGCAAACTGCGCGAGCAGCTCTTCAAACCGCTAGTGGTGCCAACCCACCGATTAGCTCGGCCTCACTGTCTCTACCGACCATCTCACTTTCGACTGCAACTGCGGACAAGTCGGATATGAATGAACCGCCAACTACACTCTTTCAACCTCCATCACCGGAAGAGGCTCGCCGTCTGGCTAAGCAACATGCCCAGTTCGGCCCCATTGGTCATCCAAGCCACCGGTATACCAGCCGGCACCCCGGTGGCCCCTTTCCGGAGCCTGTGATGGATGAGCCTCCCTATTATTATCTCATCACCACTTATATCAGCTACCTGATTCTGATTGCCTTTGGTCACGTCCGCGATTTCTTCGGAAAGCGCTTTCGCGAGGAGAATTACCGCCATCTGAAGCCCCGGAATGGCTACGCCGCCCTGAACAGTGACTTCGACAACTTTTATGTTCGCCGCCTCAAACTGCGTATCAACGACTGTTTCGAACGACCTGTCACTGGTGTCCCTGGAAGAAATATCACCTTGATTGACCGAGCAACGGATGACCACAACAAGAACTTCTACCTCACCGGTACCACAACCGACACATTGAACTTGAGCTCGTACAATTACCTCGGATTTGCGCAGTCGGAAGGCCCATGTGCAGACATTACTGAAGAATGCATTCGCAAGTACGGCATTACTCCTGTGAGCACTCGCGCGGAAGTCGGTACCCAGGACCTGCATGTCGAGCTTGAGGAGTTAGTCGCTACCTTTGTCGACAAGCAATCGTCCATGGTCTTCTCAATGGGCTTTGGTACCAATGCAAACGTCTTTCCGGCACTGGTTGGCAAGGGTGACTTGCTCATCTCTGACGAGCTAAATCACGCCTCCATCCGGTTTGGTGCGCGTCTCTCTGGAGCGTCTATTGCCATGTTCAAGCACAACGATATGCATGATTTGGAGGCCAAACTACGAGAGGCTATCAGCCAGGGTCAGCCACGCACTCATCGCCCCTGGAAGAAAATTCTTGTAGTTGTTGAAGGTCTGTACTCCATGGAGGGCTCTATGTGCAATCTCCCCGGCCTTATTGCCCTGAAGAAGCGCTACAAGTTCTATCTCTTTGTTGATGAAGCGCACTCCGTCGGCGCCATCGGTCCTCGTGGTCGGGGTGTCTGTGACTATTTCGGTATCGACACGAAGGAAGTGGATATTCTCATGGGTACTCTTACCAAGTCGTTTGGTGCCAATGGAGGTTACATTGCCGCCGATAAGGTGATGATTGACAAGCTCAAGGCGACCAATTCTGGCATGTACTATGGAGAGTCGACGTCCCCAGCTGTTATTGCGCAGATCATCTCAGCACTACGACTTATTAAGGGTGAACTGATTCCCGGTCAGGGAGAAGAACGACTACAGCGCTTGGCCTTCAACTCCCGGTACCTACGTCTTGGATTGAAGCGTCTTGGCTTTATAGTGTACGGTCACGACGATTCGCCAATTATTCCTGTTCTCCTCTTCAACCCTGCCAAGATGCCCGCCTTCTCCCATGAAATGTTGAAGCGCAAAATCTCGGTCGTCATTGTCGGATATCCCGCGACGCCTCTGGTTTCCTCGCGCGCTCGATTCTGCGTCTCGGCTGCACACACGAAAGAAGACCTTGACCGAATCCTGACAGCTTGTGACGAGATTGGAAACATCCTGCAACTCAAATTCTCCACGGGTGTCGCTGGTGGTGGCACCCCCATGAATGAAGACATGGCACCGCCCCCTGAGAAGGAAATCCAGTGGCAGCAGAAGCGGAATCTGAGAATCGTCCCGCCGCGGTGGCGCATCGAGGACGTCATTAGGCGTGGCGTCCAAGACGTCAAGTCACCGCTGTATTAGGATGCTTTCTCTGATGCCGACTTAATGACCAATGTTGCTATGTCGATTGATGCCCTCATGGTGAACTTGGCGCTGTGGTGCAAAGGGAGTTTCGCTAACAGCTCTGGCGCACTCGGTTGATGCTGGTCACGCCGCGTCGTGTCGGATGGAAAATCAATTTTGGTGTATTATAAACACAACGACATCGCAACCATCTTGCTGCCTTGGTTACCCATCATTACATCCGGATGGGAAACTTCGTTGAGCTTCCTCCTAAGACACGCACCATCCCGATGATGCCTCGTACGAACACCTACATATCACATCTTCTGTTCTTTAAGCCCGGGGTTGCCCGGTTCATTCACTGTTATTTATAGAGACCGTTTGGTTCGCGTCGGCCTACCAAGTGCTGGGGGCATGGGGCGAGCCCAAGCTGGTTACTGTTTACATATCGGGATGCTCGACTGTACCTAATGAGACTGATGCACGGGTTGGGAGTACGCGTTGGCTTCGGCATTCGTTTTCTGTTGAAGTCAGAGGTTATTATTATTAGCTAGTATATTTTTATAATTCATGTTTCATATTCGCTTCAAGTCTTCTCCTTCAAGCCTAATGCCTCGGATACCCGCATGGACATCTATACATACCCTCTACGCTGCTGCAATCCTCAGCACACCCAAGCCCCGTCCACTCGCAAGCTGTTCCCCAGCCTCTGAACCTTTCGGGACAACTGCACAGAAGCACAGTCCTACCCCTGTTCCCCCCGTCCCTGGTGCCTACTAATATAACCCAACGATTCTAGTCCCGTGGTATGGTAAACAACAACTATAATCCGCATCCCGCGTGAAGGGAGGATCCGCCTGCCTTCAGCTGTCTTTGCCCTGTTTGGCCATCCAGCCGGTAACTAGGCACGTATGTCCCTCAAGCCAGGGCCCGACAAGAATTTCTCTCCAGCTGCTACGTTGCGCCCAGGTGGCCTAGAACGCAAAGCCGATTTCCGAATAGAAGATCATTGATACCTTTAGGCTGTTCTCTGTCTAAAGTGCTTTGACTCACTCTGTGCATTGCATCTGCATAGGATATTCATGTATGGGACGGGACATATTCTATGCGCTGCTCAACGATCACCTCCTTGTGGATCATGCCGTTTGACGACTCGGTTGAGGTCGAGGTCGAGGTCGAGGGCGAGGGCTCAGTTCCGTTGTCACCATCCACGCAGTCCACCCCAGGTCCATTCCTCTCCGCCGCCGAAGCAGACGCAGACCGCAAAGTCGACGCAGAGGTGTACGTGTAGGCGGAGAGCGGCCGTTCCGCAAGCATATGCTCATGTGTCATTGTCGTTGCCTCAACGGTCGAAACCAAGTAGCCGTGAAGCTGGAACTGGAAGCTGTATGGTGTCGTGGGTGTAGGCGGTAATGAGGAGGACTCGGGTCCGTAGATTGAGCTGGGCGGTCTGTTGGTGTTGGTGTAGGTATGGGGATCTCGGGTCCAGTTGGATATGCCTAGCATTTCGTGGACTTCTTGCTCGGAGATGTAGGCGGGGTTGATGGTGCTGTCTGGGAGTGGCATTGGCGTTGTTGAGGACTCTAAGCCTGAGCTTGGTGGTGCGGTTGTGGGGTGGTTCGAGGTTGAGGGTGAGGGTGAGGTTGAGGGTGAGGTTGGCTTTGGTCTTGGTCTTGTCCAGGGAATGTATGGAGTGAGGAATGGCAGGCAGGCGCAGAGAAGGCTGGTCATCGTGGATATTCGGATGACAGGCCTGATATGTTTGCGTACGTATAGGGATGAGACCGGGCTCGAGGGCTCAATGAACTGGAGGGCACAGGTTGACAGATATGACGCAGATATAGACAGGCAGTATAGCAATGGCATGAAGCTCAGCGAACTCAGGGCGTGATTCTGCGGAGTATAAGAAGAGTAGACGGAAACGAGGACTAGGATGGCACCGATATCGAGAATAGGGCGGCTGGCGGAGAAAACAGAAGCTGATAACTACACTGCCCTTAAAAGGGAATATGTGCAGTCCTGGGGCCGGAATAGACACACGCTATTGAGTTATACTACATAGACACGGGTCGGGGTACATGGGTAGGTAAGCCTATTGGAATGGTTGGGATAGGGCAAACATCACACTGTGCAGTTTATTCCAGGCAAGCCCAGGAACGCCTGCCTGCATATACCCATGTCCCCGCAGCCCCATGACCCATGAAGCTGCGAGCAAACGAGACTATTGCTCGAGCAGGAATCCGCATGCATGAGATGTACTAGTTCCTGCACGTCTGGCAATGAAAACTCATGGCATCCGACACGGCCGAGTCATTCGGTAGTACATAGTACGTAGTCCCTATAGCCCTGACCCTCCGGCCACCACGCGGAAGGGCCATCCGGATCGCCGGGTACATGGATCGCGATCCCGCAAGGCGCCGTTCTTTGTGGTTGGCATACGGTGTAACTGATCTGCATGGAGCCCGAGTCCGGCTCTTTATCCTGGAACCGGGTTCGGGGTGAACTATTAGGGCTAGGCAGGACGGGGTATGGATCCTTTAGGACCGGCACGGAGGACGGAGTACAGGTGCAGTTCCATTTGAATGTGTAGGTAAAATGTCGTCCCCACCAAGAGTCTGGTATTCATCGTTTGTGTGCGCCCGGCCGTAGGCAGTCCGATGCACGAGACAAAGCGGATCTGGCACTGGGAAAGTCCATCACGAGGACCCCGAGTTATCCGCACAGCTAAACGCCGACCCTACGCAAACCAATCAGTCAGCATACAAGCCCTAACTGCCTCACAACGCCATCCCAACCCATCCAGGTACAGGAAATACATACCAATAACCCCACTCTCATACGCATCCACAATCTCAACAACGACGCCATACGTCGCGCCCACACAAAAGAACAGTCCCAGAAGCACAAGGCCCACATGCAGCACCCACACGACCTTCTGTCCTACATTTCCCTTCCTGTACTCGCCGTGATCATACAGCCACAGCCACCCCGGCAGACTCATGGCCAGGGGCGCAAAGCACACTGAGCCCACAAGCGCGATCAGGTAGTTGAAGATTGGAATTGCGGAAGCGAGCACGAAGGCTAGTGCGCCGAGGATCGTTGTGCAGGCGAACCAGGTGGTCCAGTGGGTTAGGGTGTTGGATTGTAGGTGGTGAGTTCTGTGCAGGAGGCGGACAAAGACGTATTTTGCGCCGACCTGTTGGTTTGCCATGTCAGAGTGGAGGGTTGTGAAGGGTGGGATGGGCATACGTGTAGATAGAGCGTACCGCTCACGATCAGACCGAGCAGCGCAACGCCGTACGAGACCATCTTGATTGTTTGTCCGGCGCTCTACGTGGTGTCAGTGATATTTACCACAGCACAAGAGGGTAAGAAAGAGGGAGGCATACCCCCAACGACGGACTAGCAACCCACATCCCACACCACCGATAGACAACCAAGCTGAACGCCAGGTACGATGCCGTCACAAGCGTCATACAAAAATACAACGGCTTCTTATACTCCCTCGGATTCCGCATCTCCGAGATCACAGGCAGGAAGGCACTCGTGCCCGCTGAGGACACGAAGATCGTGCAGGACGCCACCATTCCAGCCGCGAACCCGGGGTCGTTGATAGCGACATACCCCAGGTCATACGGTCCTTCTTGGGGCGCAGCAGCAGGTCTATCTTGCTGCGTGACTCCGATAACGACAATCAGCACGGCAACGTAGATAGATAGAAATCCGGCATAGGATAGCCAGCCGACGTGCTCGAGCTTGCGGATGGATGCTGTGGCCACGATGACCACGGTCGCTAGGAACGACCACCAGACTGTGCAGGCTGCATGGTGAGATAGCGCATTTAGAGCGGTTGAGACACCAATGATCCCACTTCCTGTTACAAGGACATATGCGATGATAAACAGCAAGCCGGTCACTTCCTTCGCGACCACGCCTCCTGCTACCTCGGCCATGTCCGCAATCGAGTGGCAGTGCGGGTGTCTGTTGCGAAAGTTGCCCAGGATCACAAAGCAGTAGCAATTGAAGGCGCCCCAGGCGACGATGCTGATTCCGCCGCCGACTGCGCCGAGGGAGTACAGGGCTGAGGGGAGCGAGAGCACGCCCGTGGCGAAGAGGATCTTGGTGAAGATCACGGTGGCATTGAACCAGCCTACCTTGCGGAAGTTGACGCCTGAGGAGGTGGCTGCAAAGACCTCGCCTTCTTCGATGGCATTTTCGGCTGCCTGGGGGCTTGTGGCCTCTGGTGAGTATGGGGTTTTTTCTTTATCCTGCATCGTGGTGGACGAGATGTTGATGATGATGAGGACGTGTAGGACAAGTCAGAGTCAGTAGAGGTGGGAGAGTTATATACGTGACGATAACAGGCATCGATATGGCATACCATGCCATGCCGTTGCGTAGCCAAACATGGGGGGTAGCTCAGATCATTGTCGCTATCAGTATCAGCATCTTAGCCTATGAGGCGACCATCCCTCCCTGTCCATCCTGCCGCTTGCCTAGAGCCTAGTCCATGCAGCTCATGCACTAACGCATCTCCCCGCGCTTCATAATGACGTTCTATGCCATCAGTGACGGTATCGACCAGGAAGATGCATTAAACCTCTAGGAGGAGACATACTGGAATCTTGTTGTCCATAAGTCCCAGAATGTCCCACTCCCGAAACCCTCAAACTTCACATGGGCAGATCGGCGTTCCAATTAGAGTCAGCATCCCTGATATGCCGAGAAACGATACTCGCCGTCGGTTTGAGATAAGAATTGGAGTCTTGGGGTCTCTCGGGGTTGACCAGTTGATAACGGGTGGGCCGTGAAGATAATCTCCCAGCGCTATCTGTGCCCTAAAGAGGTAAGCCATTGCCACGTTCCTGCATTCTTATTTGTGCATTGCAGGGATCGACTCGTACCTTGGAGAACAGACGGAGAAACTCGTACGAGTCTGCGATAAGATTGTCCTTCTATCGTCGGTCGATACGTATACTTCCTGGGACAGCAGGCATCGTCTATGCCGTGCCCCTCATTCTACCCCTCGATGTAGTTTCCCTATAATACTCGCCTCCCCCTGTCTCTGTGTCAACGACTATCATTCCCCCTATCTCATCCTACTTTAACCCTCATACACAATGCCCAACCAAGACGGCTACCGGCTAGGAGCCGACGTAGGCGGCACATTCACCGATGTCTACGCTTTCACCCCCGACAACCAAGTGGCGCGCGCCAAAGTGCCAACAACAGTCGAAGACCAGAGTATCGGAATCAAGAACGGCATCCGAAAGGTGCAGCAGGCCCTCAAGGAGCGCTTCGCCTGGGATGGCAAGTTCCAGTTCATCCACCACGGCACCACGGTCGCCACGAATGCCGTGCTTGAGGGGAAGGGCGCGAAAACTGGTCTCATCGTCACGGCCGGACACAAGGACATCCTTGCTGTGCGGCGGTCGCAGATCCCGGGAGGCCTGGGGGCTTGGCTGCACTACACACCGCCGGATCCGATCGTGCCGCTAGAAAGAGTGATACAGTGTCAGGAGCGGATGAGTGTGGATGGGGAGGGTGTTGTTGGAGTTGATGTTGATGCGTTGAGAAAGGATTTGAAGAGTTGGGTTGGTGACGAACGACCTGATGCTGTGGCGATCTCGTTGCTCAACTCGCACTGTAACAGTGAGCATGAGGTCTTGGTAGCGGGGATTGTGAGAGAAGTGCTTGGTGACGGTGTGACGATTATTTCGTCGAGTGATGTGCTAAGGGAGGTGGGCGAGTATGAGCGGACGCTGACGACCTGCACCAATGCGCTTGTCAAGCCTGTTGTTCAGACCTACCTCAGTAACCTGCAAGACCTACTTGCCGAAGACGGGAACACCATCCGCATTCTCAAGTCGGACGGTGGCTTGACGAGCTTAGGGCTGGCAGGGGAGCTGCCGGTGAACATCCTTATGTCTGGTCCTGCGGGAGGCGTGCAGGGAGTTGCGGATGTCGTCACGCGAAATACGCCGTACAAGAACTTGATTACCTTCGACATGGGCGGAACTTCAACAGACGTTGCAATCATCCACCAGGGCAAGCCCCAGCTCCGGCGTGAGACAGTCGTAGGCTCGCTGACCGTCCGCTCGCCGGCCGTCGACATTCGAACTGTCGGTGCAGGAGGTGGTTCCATCGCCAAGTACATGAGCATCACAGAGACCATGAGAGTCGGTCCGGAGAGTGCAGGCGCCACTCCGGGTCCTGCTTGTTACAACAAAGGTGGAAAGGAGCCCACTGTATCAGACGCCAATCTCGTGCTCGGATACCTGCCGGAGAACCTGCTTGGGGGCGAATTCAACCTGAACACAGAAGCTGCAATGGCCGCTGTAGGGGATATTGCGGAACAGATGAAGCTGTCGGTAACCCAAACCGCCGAGGACATTGTCAACTTGGTCAACGAGACCATGTATGGAGCTCTGCGCCTGGTCTCTGTCGAACAGGGCTATGACCCGAAGGAGTTTGCTCTTGTTGCCTTCGGAGGTGCAGGTCCCCTCCATGCCAACGCCGTCGGCAAGCTACTCGGAGCCTGGCCGGTCATTGTTCCCCCGTCGCCAGGAACCCTGTGTGCCCTAGGTGATGCCACTACAAGGCTGAGCCACTCCCAGTCACTGTCTTTCATCCGCCTCCTCTCGGCTACAACCGCGAAGCAGGTCAAAGAGCGGTTCGACGAGCTAGAGGCAACCTGCAAGGATACCATGACAAGCTCAAACGGCGGCCAGACCATGCCGCTCAACATCAGCTACCATCTTGATCTGCGATACCGCGGCCAAGCATTGAACTTGACCGTCGAGCTAGAGGCTCAAGACCTACTGCTGACAGACGGGCCGTGGAGAGAGCTCCTACAAGCGAAATTCGACCAGCTCCACGAGCAGCAGTTCAAGTACTGCCTCCCCAACTTCGAGCTTGAGCTGATGCGTCTGGAAGTTGTTTCGTCCGACGCTTCCCCTGGCATTGACATTCCTCAACTGGCCAAGGCCGAGTCCACTGAACCCCCTGCCGATGCACTGGTTTCGAAGAAGCAGATCGTTGTGAAGGGGCAAACAATGGAAGCCACGCTGTGGGATCGTGAGAAGATCAGTCGCCAAGGCGTGCGGGTGGAGGGTCCCTGTATCATCACTGAAATGGACAGCAACACCCTGATCCTTCCCGGGTGCTATGGTGAGATCGACTCGATTGGCAACATCCTCATCCGTCCCTCTGAAGAGACACCTAAAGAGCAATCAAAAGATGAGACTGCAGAGGCGGCCCTTGAGATTGTGCAGTCGACTCCGCTGATACCTACTCTGGTCGCTTCTGCCCTAGCCTCCATCCGCAGCGAGATGGACACTCTCATGCTGCGCTGCAGTATGTCCCCTGCCATCCGTGAACAGCAGGACGAATTCAATGTTATCACCACCGCCGAGGGCAAGATGCTTGTTGGCCAATTTGGCAGCTTCATCACTCAGTTCCTTCGAGCGTGGAAAGGAACGATTGAAGAAGGCGATGTATTTATCACCAACGACACGTACATGATCGAAGGAGCCGTGACCCACTTGAACGACGTGATTGTCCTCTTGCCCATCTTTTACGAGCACAGGTTGATTGGCTGGGCTTCGCAATTCGGACACTTGACCGACGTGGGTGGAATCGTCCCAGGCAGCATGTCCATCAACGCCTCGTCCATCTTCGACGACGGCGTCCAGATTCCCTGTATCAAGCTCTACGCAAAGGGCGCCATGAACACGGACGTGGTCGACCTGCTGTGCCGCAACTCCCGACAGCCCGACTGGTACAGATCCGACCTGATGGCCATCATTGCCGCATGCCGAACAGCTTCCAGCCGTGTCTGCGAGCTCGTGGTCAGATTCGGATGCGAGATCTACATTGCCGCCTGCAACGAGCTCCTCTTACGCAACCGCACCGCAATGGTCAAGATCATCGAATCGGACTTTGGCGACGAGCCAAGCACATTCACCGACTTCGTCGACGACGACGGCCACGGGGTCGGACCCTGGGCGTTGACCTGCACAATGACCAAGATCGAAGGCAACCGCCTGCTGTTCGACTGGAGCGGGACCTCGCCGCAAAGCGACCACAGCATCAACTTCTACCTGTCCGAGACCATGTTCCGCATGTTCATCGGCTACTACATGATCGCCTCTGCAGCACCCGGCACAGTCATCAACGACGGCTTCCACGACCTGATCGACATCCACATCCCACAGGGCACGATCCTGAAACCCGTTCGGCCTGCGCCCATCTCATGCCGTACGCACATGATGGGTCGAACGATGGACGTCATGCAAGCCCTCATTGGCATGAAGAACAAAGACTACGCCGCCGCCGCGGGTTTCAGCGACTCCCCTCATTTCTTCTACTCCGGCTACAAGCCAGACGGAGAATGGTACCAGCTGTACCAGATTGGGTTCGGTGGTGTCCCTGCACGCAATGCAGGCGATGGTCTTGACTGCCACTGTCTCTTCCCGGCCATCAAGTCGATTCCCACGGAGATCATCGAGCTGAACTACCCGCTCCGCATCGAAGCCAACGAGAGTGTACCGGACAGCGGTGGTGCAGGCTTCTACCGCGGTGGCAACGCACAGCGCACAAACTACCGCTTCCTAGCCCGCGGTGAGTTTAGCATCCACGATGACCGGTGGTTCACGAAGCCGTGGGGTATCCGTGGCGGAAAGCCAGGTGCCCGGTCTCGGAAAATCCTGTATCGATACTCCAAGTCGCAGGATGCTCCGCCGGTCGAGGTGCTGCCCTCCAAGTGTGACCACATCCGCGTTGACCCCGGTGATCTGCTCGAGTGGATTACTTGGGGAGGCGGTGGTCTTGGAGATCCGTTGACCAGACCTGCGGAGAAGGTGGCGCTGGAGGTTCGGCGGCGCTTGGTGACAATCCAGGGTGCTCGTGACAACTACGGTGTGGTGGTCAATCCTGAGAGTCTTGCTGCTGATGAAGCAGAGACTGAAGCCTTGAGGAAGCGCATCATGGCTGCTCGGGGCAAGGTGGACCAGGGGTATGATCGGGGCGGCAGCCTGGAGGAACTGGCAGAGTCGTGCCTGAAGGAGACGGGGCTTGCTCCCCCCAGTCCGCAGTGGGAGCAGGAGCTGTATGGGCCGCACGTGGCCCTTCCCTATGTCCAGGACTGGTATTCGCTCATGAAGAAGGTCAAAGGGTGGGGGCTGTAGAGGGTAAATGTATGTTAGTGACGATAGCAAGCTGATTTGTAGAGAGCTATGTTGATGACCTTGTTTTTACCAGAGCAAAAGTGAATCCTGTCTTGTCTTGTCTTGGATAAATGAGAAAGAGGCCTTGTGCAACATCACAGAATGACCAGAGTGAGAGTGACTCAAGTGTGAAGGTGAAAGTGCGGCTGACAAAGTCATCAGACCAGCGCCGTCAGTAGCAAACAACCCAAGAAATATAATCTCCCTTCAGCCTCTCTTCTTCTCATCTTATTCCAATCTTCTCCAACTCTCTGCAAGTTCCCGCAAATCTCTCAGCTTCAAGGTCACCATGTCGGACCCTTACCACCAGACCTACGCGCCACTGCAAGACCACGGCTACCCACCTGCGGAGAATCAACCTCATTACCAAGGGCCAGCGTACGGTTATGAGCCGCATCCAGCGCCTAATCCGCCGCCCGAGGGGTACCATAACGCGTACAATCAGCAGCCATACTCCGAGTACGCCCCATCAGCCCACGGCCAGGAGTACAGCCAGAGCCCCGCCATCTACCATCCGGCCCCCGAGCCACAACATGAGTACCTGAGCCATGCGCCGGCTGTGGGTAGCACAGACTCCTACGCAAATGGACATGGATATAACGACGCCCATCTAAGCCCGCACTACGAACCTCGGGCGCGAGGAAGTAATGCGGAATATTAGTACGGCTGCCTAACCCTCTCACCTCCCTTCTTGTGCAACTCTGTCGTCACTAGCTTACCAATTTCAGCGAATCTCATCCGCATGACGACTCTCACCACTCATCAGCGATGGACTCTTCATCCTCAGTCAACCGCGACCGCGACCGCGACCACGACGAACCAGATGCCGAGGCAGGGGGAGACAGAGAGCGGGGAATAGGCGGTGCGCTTGTCGGCGGTGCGACGGGGTATTACCTGGGACACAAGAAGAGCCACGGGTTGCTGGGCGCTGTGGGCGGTGCCCTTTTAGGGAATTTCTTGGAGAATAAGCTCGAGGAGCGCAGGGGTGATGGGGGTTCGCATGGGCAAGGGTCGCACAGTGGCCGGCGACGCCGCACTCGTCATCATCGTCATCACGGGGGCAGCCATCGGTCCAGCTCGAGACATAGCCGTCGGAGTAGCAGTAGCAGTTCGAGATCGTCGTCGTCCTCTGGATAGATGGGTAGATCTGGATAGATGCCTTTACAGGAATGAGTGGTGAATAAACGCTTGACTAAAGCGCCGAATTATCGGCCTTGGCTTGACGCTGCTGCCTGGTTGATGCCTGACTTTTAGCGGCAGCCAATCAGGGGCAGGCGATAATCAGGGCTCAGAGTTTCCCGACGGAGCGAGAGATCGGACCTGCTTATCGGCCAGTCAGCCCCAGATGCTCGCTCGTGACCCCCAGAGGGCGGATGACTCGACTGCAACGCTGCCCATCACCAGGTCTCCCTCCCTCCCTATCTCCCGACTCCTCGTCTTCTTGTCTTTATCATCTTTGTCTTTCCCTCTTACTTCGTCTTTCTTGCGCCGCTTTGTCCTCGTCTTTCATCCTAGACTTTGAATCAGCTCTCCGACATTTTTACCCCGTGTTTATCGTCTCCGCGTCTCCGCAGTCTACTTGTCTTATCGCCCACCACCTCGTCATCCCTCCCTCCCACCATTAGAGGATTTGAATACACCGAATACACCGGATACACTTCGATATGCCTCCTCCCTTAATAGATTTTGTCGCCCCGTCCCTCCCGCAACACTGCGAACCCACCTCGCCGTTCCTCGCGACGCTCTCTTCCTACATCCACATCTGCCTTCCCACCCCACTCGCCCTGCTCTCGTCTACACTCGGCACTCTCAGCATCATATCATGGCTATTCGCCCAGCTTCCGCAGATCTACAAGAACTTCCAGCTGCAGTCGACATCGGGGCTGTCTATATTCTTCCTGATCATATGGTGTCTTGGTGACATGGGCAATCTTCTCGGCGCCCTTTTCACTCGGCAGGCCGGTTGGCAGGTCATTATCGCGGGCTACTATGTTTGCGTGGATGTGGCTCTGGTGTTCCAGTTCTTCTGGTACACTCATTACAAGGGCCGTCGGGATGATGACTTTGCCACGCTCTCTCGTTATGATGACGACACTGCACACCCGAGGGTCATAGAGGGTATCTCGTTCTCTGACGACAGCTCGTCGGTAATCGGTCCTTCTCCACGGGCTTCCGCGGGGTCAGACTCGAAGGACGTTCCCGACATCAAGGATCGATTGGCGGGTGTCGTGAACACTGCATCATCTTCATACTCTAATGAGAAGATGAGTTCTTCGCGGCGGTCTATCGCTAGGTCTGGCAGTAACTCGGGTATGCAAAACACCGCTGCGCGCACTATGCTGTTGGCGTCAATGCTCTGCGCCGTCGCCGCCAATGCAGCCCCTACAGAAGCTGATCCAGTCCCGCCCTCCTCGGGTCTGACCCTTGAGTTCTTCGGAACCATCTTCTCTTGGATGTCCACAGTTCTCTATCTCGGCTCCCGACCTCCTCAGCTGTACAAGAACTACCGCCGGAAGAGCACCGCAGGCCTATCCCCTCTACTGTTCATGGCAGCATTCTGCGGCAATTTCTTTTACTCGTCCTCCCTTCTCACAAACCCGAATGCTTGGTACGACTTCGCACCGTACGGCGGCGGCGGATGGGCAGACGCAGACGGCAACAACCGGGTAGACTGGGTGAAGCGCGCCATCCCTTTCTTCCTCGGGGCCTTTGGTGTCCTCTTCCTGGACGGTTCTATGGGCGTCCAGTTCCTCATGTACGGCTCCGACGACGATTCCGTCATTGAGGTTGAGGATCCCAAGCGCGGACGGAGTCGCTGGAAGCGCGTGCACGGCTGGATGCGAGGCTGGATTCCTTCTCCTTCGCGGAAGCAAACCGACACCAGCCCCGAGGGCCAGTCTTTACTCGAGGGGGACCGACAACGATACGGTGCGGTTTGAGTTTGACACCCATCAACATCACTGCATACATTCTTACGACGTGACGACTATATTGCTATCTTTTCGGTTTCAAGGTGCTTCATTGCTTACTGGCATCTTCTTTTATTTTCGGCAGGGCATTGTTCATTGCGTGCAAGGTGGACGGGGCGGAGCATAGATTCTTAAATCATCCCCATTACCTACTATATCAGGCTGTTACATCATACATTACACATATCAACATACACCGGCGTTATTTTTTAGATGAACCATTTTGTCTTTTTTTTTTTTCAGTGGATCTGGGATTAGATCTGGGAGTTAAGTTAGGACATAGTACGCTGCACATGCACGTTAGTCTTCAGGGCACCAATACATCTACATTCTATACTTCGAAAGTATGTTGCTTTCGTCCGTACATCACAATATATATCTAGGACTAATATTGTAATAGTAGAGCTAGTAAGCCCTAGACCAAAGGGCAGGGATTCGCTGATTCGCCCACGACTTGCCTGCATAATAACCGGCCCGGGGCAGTCCCCTCTACAGTTCTTCATGCTGTGACTTCGTATTCCTCGTTCTATTAGGTCGGTAAGCAGGTTGTGTGCCAAGTGCCTCTACCCAGGCCTGTACGACGCCCACTACCCCGAACGGTATGGATGTCTCAATTGTGGTTACACGGCTCCAAGAAAAGAAAAGAAAGTAATCAAACCAAGAGCGCGAGGCAGCCAACTCAGCCATGCAGCGGGCGAAGAAAGGGGAAGGCACAGTCACAGTCACACTTGACTCGCGCTCTCGAGTCTCAAGCCGTCAGTCCTTGATCTTCTGCCCGAACCCTCCACGCGACCATGCCACGCTGTCCATGGATGTTCGCCCTCCTCGTTCCACTTTTCCCGACCCTATCAAGAACCCAGAGACTCAACGATCCAGTCAATGTTTCGTTCTGCGACTGGGGGCTCGCGAGAGGTGATTCCGTTCTTGTTCTCAGGTGCTGTCGGCCGGCTTCTGGTTCTGATTCTGTGTGCTGCAGTCAATGCCGTTCGCGATCGGGTCTATATCGATGGAGGGGAACTTACGTGGGAGCAGTACGGACGAGTCTCTTCATAGAGACAATAAACAGTGCTAAGCAGATTGTGCAGACGCAACGAGGATGGCTCTGTTGAGGTCGACAGCGACGGTAAGGGCATACCGAATCTCTCAATCGAGTCTCGTAGCTGACCACTAATGCCGTCTCAGAGGAGGATGCAAGCTTCGTCTACTACATGAACCTTTCATCCTCTTTCAACGCGCCGACGATGAACTTTACGGCCATCTTTGGGAGTGTGCCCAAGCCCGGGGCCGGCTCTGAGTCGGCGCTTGCTGCTCTGGACGGGTACATGTTTGCCAACGACGCTACGTTTTGGCTTTACGGGTATGCATTGCCTTTTTATGTCCGTATCGAAACGATTTCTGATTCTGGTATCTATGCCGGTGCAGCGGGATTGAGGATCCTTTTGGCGCAGCCAGTCAAACCTCTGCAGACGCGGTGCTCGCCTACGAACCATCCAAAGATGGCGATGCCACATCCGAGGACCAATTTACTACTGCCAACATGGGTACCGTTACGCGCTATATCACCCACGGCGCTGGGGTCTCTATTCCTAGTGAGAACCTGGGCTTCTATGTCAGCGGCGCGCGCGCTCCGGACTGGGGCCCAATATGGGATAATACAACAGCCTTCAACCTCTCTCGGCAGATGGTCAAGGTCAATATGTCAGAGCGCCCGGCGGATGCTATTTGGTCGAATGTTTCATTACCTGAACATATACCGCCCCGCGTCCAAGCAGAGGCTGTCTGGGTTCCTGTATCTGAGGCCGGCGCTGTGGTGCTTATTGGAGGGGTGACTATGGTCGAGTCCCTCATCGATGAAGATAGCTTGAGTGAAGCACAACAGGCCGAGAGCGAGCGTATTAGTCCCAGCTTCATGACGACCGTTTCTATCTACGACATTGCCAGAGATACTTGGTAAGAAGCTGTCATTTCCACTTAAGTGGATTGGGCACTAATCAGATGCAGGTATAACCAGAACACTACAGGCGATGCTCCTCCAATGCTTGCCGGATTCTGTGCAGTATATGCAAGCGCCCCAGACAACTCCTCCCACAACATCTACGTCTATGGAGGATATGACGGCATCAACTACCTTAACCCGCCGGTAGACACTGCTTACGTCCTGTCACTGCCATCGTTTGAGTGGATTCGTCTCTACACAGGTGACAGCCGCCGCCTCGAAGGCCGAAGATATCATAACTGCGTCAAGCCATACCCCGACAGGATGCTAGTGATTGGCGGGACAATCCTCGGTGGTGAACGATCTTGCATAGACGGCGCAATCAGAGTCTTCAACCTGAACAGCGGGGAGTTCCAGAACACATACGATCCAGCAATATGGAGCGAATACGAAGTGCCTTCTCTGGTGTCAGAACAAATAGGCGGAAAGTATGTTCCATTAGCCTAGAGTAGACGACGATCCATCTACAAATACAAGCGAGACTAACTCATCCATGCTCCAGCTCCTCCGGCTTTGCAACCCGCACTTCCCCCGCAACCTGGACAAACGAATCCCTCAGCCAGCTCTTCGCCACACCCTACACCAAGCCCATCGCCACCTGGTATCCTTATGCATCCGATAGCTCCACAGCCACCCAGGACTCAGACGGTTCCTCCGGGTTCCCCGCCTGGGCAGGCGGGCTTATCGGCGGCCTTCTAGGTCTCCTGGCGTTATGTGGCATAGCCGGCGCAGCATGGTGGCTTCGGCGCCGACGCCGACGCAGGCGGCCGGGGCACCAGGGTACTCCTAAGGAGAAAAAAGCGTCCGACTTGGCTGGACTACCTGAGGGCGGGGGCTGGCAGCAGCCAGCACATGAGGCTGGAAGTGGGATTGTCCATGAGATTCAAGGTATGAGTCAATGGGCGCAATATACTACTCAACAAGAAGGCGATCCATAATGACTAACGCATCTACATAGGTACGGAGACTAATCCAGGACTGAACCATGCCGCCGTTGAGCTTCCTGCTTCGAGGACTGCGAGTCCTCTGGCAAGACCGCTTCCGATACCGAAGGCTTCGCCATAGGTAGGGCTGGGTCTGGGGATATCTAGCAGGTGCAAGGTGTCATCTATTACTATGATAGGACGATGAAATGGGAGGCAAAACCAAAGGCAGCCGGTGATTGAGTCGGATCTATAACTTGATATCTTCTTTCGAAACATAGCATCCTCATTCCCCTTTCCTTCTTCTTGGAATATGTGTTACGGTCACTCATGTCGATATAAGCATACCTGGAGTGCATAAGTTGCAGGATGTTACAGCAAATGTTTCAATGGGGCCGCAATGCCAGCAGCACCTAGACGCGCAAGTCAAGTAAAAGAACATGGTATTCGTGAATAATATATAACAGGAGAAAAGAAAAGAAACAAGGGCGAAAGTCCACAGAAATATATCTAACCCTATCCCTATCCCAATCCAGAAATACATGCGTCCAGCACATCATAGCGCCCGGCTAGTCATAACATAAGATAAATATAAAAAAATAAAATCCACCAGCCACCCTTAGCCAGCCAGTCAGAGTAGCTTACTGACTCGTCGCCGTCGACCTGCGCACCCTGCGCTTAACCCAATCCGACAACAGCGAGTCCAACTGGCTATTCATCTCGCGCAGCCTCTTGCTCTCGTCCTTGAACAGGTTCCCCGTAATCGGATGCTCGGGGCCAGCAGGCGGGATATTCGAGTTGTCGTAGACGATGACGTAGAGGTCGCGCAGCTCGTTCTCGTCCTCCAGGTACGAGCGCAGGCTGGCGTCGCTCCATGTGGGAGTTGGTGCTTCGAAGGGTGTGGCGGGGGCGTCGACGTCGGCGCGTCTGCTGTCCGTTGTGTCGGCTGGGGAGAGGGGCGGCGAGTCCGGCGAGTATTGGCTGTCTTCGGCGGGTGGGAGGTCGGTGGTTAGACCTGGGATGCTGGGCGTGCGCTGGCGGTCCAGGGGCGAGGATACGCTGACGGGCGAATCGACAAAGCGGAATTGCTCTGTTGGTTGGCTTGGAGCGAACTTTTGCGGCGGTGATGTTACGGAGTGCGAATAGGGCGCTGGGCCTTGGTTTGGTGGGAGCTGCCGGTTGGGACCGCCAATGGGTGACATTGGTGAGATTGGAGACGTTGGTGAGGTTGGCGACATTGGCTTCTTTTGAGGGCTCGGTATACTGACCGTCGGCGCGCTCTGTTCTGGCTCGTACGGCTTGAAACGAGAGGGTCCAGAGATCTCTTCCACTTCGTCGAGTACTACTTGACGTATCGTCTGATCTCTTTGGGTCTCCCTCGGGGCTCTTTCCTTTTGTTCGAAGGATTCCTTTGGCTGAGCTGCCTCTGGTTGTTGCTTTTGAAGCTTGCTAGTTTGCCTCGCCGGTCCGGCGTGTTTCGTTGGACGTGCTTCGGGGGAGGAAACGGATTCCATGGATGCCTTCGGCGATGGCGATGAGCGAGCCAGTTCGCCCGAATGCTTCTCCGTGCTTTCTTCATCATCACCGGACTTGGATTTCTTGTCCTTTCTTTTGAACAGACCGCTAAGCATTCCAGATTTTTTGTCTTTTTTCTTCTTGTCATCTTTCTTTTCGTCCGGTTGGAGTTTATCAAGTGCTTCTAGGCTGATACGAGTCTACAATGAGTCAGCATCATCTGCTAAATATATCATAGAATTGAGGGGTGCATACCTCTCTTGGCTCGCCGGACGCGGCCTCGTCTCGCAGCAGGTTCGGAGTGAGAGAAATCTTCTTGGTCTCCGCAGTGTCGTCCTTGAAGAATGAGTCGGTATTTCTAAGCGTGCCATTCCTTGACCGGCTAACGTTAAGTTCAGATGTAGGGGAAATAGGGTCTTCTTGCTCAAAAATCTCCTGGCTTGATCGCTGCTTTTCCGGGCTGGCAGCAGTAGGTTCTTTCTCCGCGTTTTGCGACTCTTCAACACCTTTAGACTTTGGACGCAGCGGTTCGACAACAATATCCTCGTTCTGCTCTTCTTGCTGTTCATATTCTTGCTGTGCATATTCGTCGGTAAAAGAGACGTCGTCATCGTCATCCTCCTCCTCGGTCGAGTAATCATTGTCAGAAGCTTCAATGTACGTTGGGCTGGTGAAGGTGACAGTCTTTGCATTTCGTCGGCGCATTGCCTTTTTCAGTGGGTTCTTGGATTTCTCCAAATTATCCCCAAGCATTGACGCGGAGAGCTTATTTGTCAGTCAAAGTCGATATTTGGGCGCAGAACACCTACATCCACATTTCGGTGCTTGTTTAACCGTGCCAATCTCTCCGTGGGTGTTTCAATATGTTCAGCGGGCAGATACCCTACGTCAATTAGCTTGACCCTTGACCCTCGGGTTTGCACCCACCAATACTTCCATCCTTCACAATTCGGACCAACCACCAATAGCTATTGCTGTCATCTAACAGCACCATGTTGTCTCCCTTTGACGCGTTTGCCTGTCCGTCGACGGTGGCAACAAAGTTATGTAGCGCATATACAAACTCAAAGTTGATATCATCTATCCAAGCCAGTCAGTTATCGGACAGGTCAGAACCTACCCCCCGCGCAAGGTAGAAGCATACCGTCGTCAATGGAGGGAGAGCTCGAGATTTTGTCCATGAGGTCATCATCCAACAAATCGTCATCCTCCCCCTCGCTATGGTCACCGTCTTCATGGTCGCCAACATCGCCCTCATCCCGATGCACACCAAGCCCAATATGGATATCGTCTGTGCCATCGTAGATATCAACCCCGTCGCGGCCATCGGGCCCGTGCATGATTTCAGCTTTGGAATCGTGGCCGGCATGACGGAGTTCCTTCTCTTGGTGCGGAGCTAGGCCGGTCTCTTCATTTGTGTGGATGGCGTGTGTATGGTCCTTCGCGGAGGGAGCATCGTGGTCTTGGAGGTCGAGCGTATCTAAGCACCAATTCGATTCAGCCACATCGATTCTGCGCCAAGCATGTATTTGCCCGACATAACATACCAGCTCGCACAATTCTAGGTCTAGTCATATTTGCGTATACTGTTGGGCGGGTTGTTCAAGAATGAGAATTCAGATGATCAGGAACATCGGAAGGAGTGTAGTTCGGCAGCGTCGACGCTTCGAAGTAGAATCGCAGGTAGCGAGCGTGAACTGGCAAGTATCAATCAACGGTGATTGATCGCGAAACGAACCGGTTAACGGTAGAAACGAAGGAATGCCACGACCAGCGGCGGGGATTGGGAACGATGGGATCGGAGGACGACAGGAGTTTCGAGCCACAGGCCCACGAAGTCAGTGTTTCCGAGAAAAAGAAAGGCAAAAGACGGATCAGCAAATGAAAAAGCAATAAAAAAGGAAAAGGACGTAGAGCCGTTAGCAAACAAAGCTCAATGAGTTCCCCAGACTCTGAGACATTAGGAAAGGAGAGTTTAAGATCACAAAAGACTCTCAAAGACTCCCCGACGGTCAACCGTCCTGCGCGCTTATCCACTCCCCGTGCCTGGGGCGGCTTGTTGCTCCTGGCTAGCCGCTTCGGGACTAGTGCGACCCAGGTTCACTTTAGATGCGGCCCTGGCACATGATCTATTTCATCTCTGAACAGCTCTCGAATACTCCGTACAGTCTACGCATACAGAATGGTGGGACGATGCTCATTGAAATGTTGAGTTCTGTATATTGTCTTCATGGACTTCAGCCATCGACCGGGCAGATACACGGGTCACCGACGATCACCCCGCTCTGGCCACGAACCACAATAACCACCGACACAGCCCCTTGCCCGCAACCGCGTCTCATCCTCCAAGATCCAGGTACTGAGATTCCTTATGGCCTGTCGTTGCACTGCAGAAATCTCTGGCTTTGAGGGCAGGAAAAGTACAGGCCTGAAACATCACACAAATCTGCATTCTGCAGTGCAACGATGGGCGCTGGATTTTCATACGCCCCAAGAAGAGTGATCTTGAAGATTAGTACTAACTAGAAACGCAGCAGCTGAAGGGTATCTAATAAGAGCATGGCCTGAAGACACGATGAAACTTTTGAATCCCGACAATAAAAAAGTCCTGGCGAGATGAAAACTACTATTTCGTTGGAAGTGGCCTGCTAAGGAGAAAGCAAGAAAAGAAGTTCAACAGATCTTCATCCTTTCTTTCCAAGCTATACAGCTTCGACTGGCGTATATCGATGCGTGTACCATCGTCCATGCAGGCATAGTAAATACGTCCATGCTGAGGCCCAACTATGGATACCATGAGAACCTAGTGCACCAGATTAGCCCGTGATTTATAAAGATTTTGTCGTTGGAAGAGACCTACGGGATATCTCCTTTCACTTCTAAACCGCAGTTCCCTTTCCGGTACCCTAGATCCTTGTCCCTCGTCAAGTACATCACCGGCATCGTCCTGTGCCAGTGTCAGAGGCTGATCGGCGCGGTTTCTCATAGCTGTTATAATGGCAGCAAGCTCGCCTTGCATGATTGATCCCTCATGTCCGTTACAGGAATGATGCGTAATGAGGATGACGTGTGGAAAGTCAGTTTGCTCAAGCATGTGGCCACATTCATATATTCTCGACTCCCATTCGTTCGTTACGGGCCAACTGCGGTGGAAACCACGCGAATCAGGATATATTGGATGAGGCACACTAGTCATAGTTAGATATATGCACGAAACATAGGGAGGAGTAAATATCACTTACCCAACCCATTGGATGTCACAGTTTGTCGCCATGTCTACGACTCCTGGGGGCAGTCGGCGGGGAAACCCATTTAGAGCCCATTTTTCAAGATATTTGGTAGCAGATACAGTGCGTTTCGTCGGGCACCAGCGAGTATGATAGATATTTATAACACCGGCAGGCGGAGCGACGTAATTAGGGTACTTCAGAGCCTTGTCACCGACAGGACAGTTCTCATCAAAATCCTGCGGGTTGATGGGCGTCTCGCGCATCAAACGAGGCGCGCGGGAACAGAACAGGATGGGTGGGTTGTAGCTCGAGTTTGTCTCGTAGTCGGCAGTAAATGTATGCCGGGAAAGCCGAATATTATGGGCCTTGAGAAGAGAATCTGGAATGACATTGTCTTGTTCGAGCTGTTCATCCGTAGCTGAGGACAACACAACCTTCCACAGGGTATCCAGGCGATTGCGGATCTGTTCAGTAGTAGTGGAGGACATCCTGCCGATTCTCTGTTGAATGTCTGAGAAAGTAAATTAGTGAAAGTTATGAAGTTGGGGAATGGGTTTCGGAATAAAAGCCCAGGAGACAAAATTCAGAGAGAAGGAGTCACAGGAAATGGTTGGTCAGGAAAACCAGGAAACAAAGCTGACTGCAGTTTGGTTTGGTGTTACTGTAAGGTTCTTGCATATTCAAAGCAGTTGAGAGGTCATCTTCTAGCATGGTGTCGCTTGGTATCATGTTATTTGACTCTCGTGGCACTCCACCAAATCATCCGCATGTTCGAGTCTCCCCATGATGCATCGAGATTCTGCCGGAGGAGATCCTCCATCTCCAACCGTGCTTCCACCTTCCATTGGGTACTGGTCGCCTGTCCGACGTCATGCCACAATCCCTTCAATGACTCCAAGTTATGGCGATACTGCGTTCCATCGTTGAAACCAGTGAGAGGATACTCGCCCGCAAACAGACTGCCAAGCTGGCGACCAACGACCATGACGCCGACTTGGTCACGAAGAAGCCGCACCAACTGCGTTGTCGCCTTTAGCTGTTCTGCATAGTTCCAGAGGTGGAGGAGAGAGCTTGCAAACACGATATCGATCTTGCCGCCGAGCGTCTGTGCCAATGCCTCACTATCATTGTCCTCTGTAAGATCCCCCAACGTGAAGGTGGCTTCTAGTCGGTCTTTGTCTTGGAACAATCGGTACCCAAGGTCGATAAATGTCTTCTCGATGTCAAGGCCGAACAGCTGATGGCCAGGGATGCCCTGGTGGGCTAAAAAGCGGATCTCTTGTCCAACGCAGCAGCCGGCGTCGAGAAGCCCGGCCGTCGGGTTGTTGCGGAGATATTCCAGGACACGGCCGTAGGCAGGATGGCGTGCGAGATGAAAGGAGAGAAAGCGCATTTGACCTATACAGGGATAAGGGCAGACCTTGAATGCTTCATCCCGCTGGCAGAGTCAGCAGAAGTACAGCAGGAACGGTAAGGGCACGAACCAGCTCTAAGACATGGGGAACAACGTCTTCCGCTCGGAGGCCACTATAGTTTTCCAGTAACTTCTGCGCATCTGAGTTGATGCTTCTGACATTCGCCTGGTACCAGCTGGGCTTCGTGTTGTTTTCCGTCGTCATGGCGTGAGCTTAATGACCTATATCGCACGGGGATGATGACAGTCAGCCACGGTGGCATGGCCGTTGTGTTTAAGTACACTTTGACTGTGGGTCTGTCGATATTAATACTAAGCATCGAGCAAAAGGTTGGTCTCCCCTTCGACGACGCCTGATTGAGCAGGCTGCAACTACTGCCAACAGTAACTGGTCATGGTGTGGACATGGAGGGGTTATGTGGGGATAAGGTTCAGCTCAAAAACGATCAAGCCTTTAAGAATGCAGCCTGCTCGTGATGCTAGAGCCGCTTGGCCCGACCTGGACAAACTAGCGCCAAAGCTAAGTGACAAACTGGACAGTTACTCAGCTGGTTGGAGTACTGTAGAGTGCGGCAACCGGAAGCACCCCAAGTCCATAGGACGACGATACACAGTAGCGGCCAAAACCCGCCCACTGAAGCGCCTTCAACTTATGCGAGCGGAAGACATCCAGAACACTAGAATCGCATGTCCGATGACGCCGGGCATATGTCTGAATCTGCCCACTAACAGTGGGTACTTGCCCTGCTAACAGGGTGATTGAATTCATGAGTATGGGTATCCAAGGCGTCAGCCTAGCAAATGGAGGACATCGATCCCGGTTCCATAGCGCTTTTACGCACTGCACCAGCGTCTATCCCATGGCCGAAGAGATTGGAAAGGAAATAATATGCACCGACTGGATAATCCGAAGGCTAAGACTGGACGCATTTCTTCTCACGATCGAGATAGACAATCGAGGATTCAGGAGATATGTGCACCAGCTTCGGACGGTATGAGAACAGGTTGCTTTGAATCTTCAATTGCCATCTTTTGAGGAGGGTGCCAGTCCTTACCTTGCATAAAGCTTGCATATCAGGCTGGGAATCGCTTTGGGTCAATCAGTCAATCAGTGAGCTTGACATGTTCGTCCAGGTGATGCCAATGAGTTTCTCAGACAGCACTTGCCACGATTACCATTGAGATCCCCGAAGTCTCAGGGGCCTTGAGGTACAAGAGGTACAAAAGACCTGAATAAGAACATCCGGAGATAGTCCGAGGTTGGTACTGCTCGTTATCAGAAGAGAGGATTGGATATCTCCAGCGGCGCAGAATGAATTTCTTAGAGCCGAGATAGGCGCAACCATTTACCTTCCCTTCGTTTCTATTGGACCACCGTAGACAGGGGTTGTACTTGAAATTCTTAGAAGGCCAAAGCTCCTGGGCAGCAAGGAGTACTTTGAAGTATACTCTGCATCTCACACAGCTTCGTGCGTCATCCCCAGCTTTGGGATGCCAACCCAGGTATGATGAAAGACCAGTCCCTAAATAAAGACGTCAATGTAGCCGCGTAAGGGACGCCGATCCTGGAGAAGTGAGTCACTAATAATATCGACTATAGCTGTTGATTAGTCGAGCTGCTGCAGATGACCAGCATCCGGTTGGGTCAGCACAGCCAGGGAGGGCGTCAAGCATCGTAACAGTGTTTTTCGAGAACGATTAAGACCCTTCGATGACGTCGTCATACATAAGGGATCTCGAAGGATTCAACTTGTGAATAGCATACATAATAGCTTCGAGTAATGCGTTGCAGTACTCCGTATGCTTTGTAAATGCCGTGAACGCAGAGGCAAAGAGCAGACACACCGGAATGACTAATGAGGAATGACCTGATGCTCTTTATAACTCGCTGCTCCGACTTCTCCCGATGCCTTCTCTTGTTGCACGACTCGCCCTCGTCAAATCTTCTTTTATCTTTCCTCGTCTCCAAAATCCTCCAAAGACTCCTTCAGCTATCTTGCACTGGTTGAATTCCTTTTATAACTACGCGCCGCAGCCGATCGCTGTTTGTGGTTTAGTTTCTCTTTATCAGAGTCGATGACTCGATAAGATACTCCACATCTCATCCACATTACATCTTCCATCCCCCGATCCAAAGTGCGGAGTACCTTTCTTCCTCTTTTGCCTCTCTACCACCTACGGGCGTCAACACATCAAGCCTAGTGGTTTACACTTCATGAACTTTATCCTTCCACTCCGACCTTCTTTGTGCTCTCCATGAGGGCATGGCCACTGCACAGAGAAGCAACAAGTCGTCCGGTTTGAGGATTGAGACTTCCTTCCAGCGCGGGTCAGGAAACCGCTGGCGGAATGGCGGGCACGACGGGGAGCGGAGGGGTGCTGATTATCGAGCTGGTAACGAGGGCGACCGTACCAACACACCTCACGATTATGACGCACACCGTTGCGGTACTGATGAAGAAAGCAGTGTTCTGAGTAGCCTTCACTCCTCGACACCTCCCATCTCAGTCCCGCGCCATGATGACAGTCCGAATCATGATGAGATTCCTCACAATCCAGAGGATATTGACGCCTCCTCGCCTTTCGACTCGTTTCTTCAGCAGGATAAGTCGTCACCCGGTTTCGACCCTGCCCTCATCACTCCGGGGAACCTGCAGCCTTCTGAAAGACAGCTGTCGCAAAGCGAGAGGCTGAGCCGGGCTCGAAAATTCCAGCCGCAGAGGACATCGAGCCTCCGGAACATACTTCCGCAGGATGATGACGAGTTGGCGAGCGGTATCAGCCAGTTGGGTTTTAGTCCCGATTCCAGACGGTCTCAAGTCCGGCGAGCGGTTCCGACAGGATTCTCACGCGAAGGTTTTCCTACGAGCCCGAACGGCGACCATCCCACCTCTCTCACAACCATCTCAACCATGTCCCCTATTATGGACGAAGTACAGACCCCTCCGGAAACCTCTCGGGGTATGCTTTCACCACTTTGCATGTCGTCGCCTACGCAGGCGTATCACTCTCCCGAGGAAGATCGCAGCGCCTCCTGGTCCGGAGGATCTGCAGCCATTTTTGGCAGCAAACCAAGCCGCTGGCGAAGCGGTACAACTACACGCTCGCGCCGCTCGACAAACTCCAGTGGAAAGTCTCCTGCGAGCGCCTTTCTCTCCATGTGGAGTACGAGGGAGGAAGCACCGCCAAAGCCTGACGATGAGGGTCAAATGGTTGGAACCGAATATGTTCTTGGGAAGATAATCGGATCTGGCGGTTTCAGCGTCGTCAAGGAAGCTTACAAGGTTGAAGAAAGTGGCGAGACGAGACGACTGGCCGTGAAGATCGTGAAAAAGCAAGTTGCCGACAAAACTGAGAGGGAAAACGATGCGGTCCAGGCGGAGTTCGATCACGAAGTTCGTGTTTGGCGGTACCTCAATCACGAGCATGTCTTATCTCTCGATGCGGTCTATGAGACAGATTACGCCACGTTTTGCTTCACGAAGCTTCACATTGGTGGCACTCTATTCGATCTCATCCGCCAGAATCGTCATAACCATCGCAGTATCGAAATGGGCCTTGCGAAGAAATACACCTACCAACTTGCGCTCGCCCTGCGATACCTGCACGAAGACGCTCGGGTGGTTCACAGGGATATAAAACTGGAGAACTGTCTTTTGGACCCAGTCGAGCTGCCCGACGGCACAAAAACTTCGAATCTCGTTTTATGCGATTTTGGAATGGCGGAATGGATCAATGTCGACAACGATGCCTCATCTGAGCCGTACGAAGATGCGGGGGACCGACCACCACTACGAACCATTGGTCCCTCTGATTCTAGCACGAGCATCGCAGGCAGCCTCGAATACGCCTCGCCGGAACTACTCGACTCTTCCTCTGGAATCATCCACCCGTCCGTTGACATCTGGGCATTTGGAGTCATCCTCTTCACGCTCATTGTTGGGTCTCGACCTTTCCAGAGCTCTTTTCAGCCCCGTCTGATATCTAACATCCGCGATGGTGTGTGGAACAGGAAGGCAGTGCTGGGTGATGGGAGCGACTTCGAAGCACGACGCGATGCACTCGACCTCATTACTCACTGCCTAGAAATGGACTATCGCAAACGTTGGACGGTCCGCGACATCCTTTCTTCCCGCTTCGTGAGGGAATTCGTCGCCGAAAGCCCATCGGACAACGTCTGGAAACTTTGATGCTTACCACACAACAACATTTACTACGACACGCATTTGATGTGTAAAACAAAATCAAAATACGACCTCACGACCTTTCCTAACTCTCGAGCGCTGGTGTTTGGGTTTATGATTTCGCGATACCCTGCTCTTTTTTGTTTCTCTTTGAATTTCGCAACTCAGCTCATTTTGCCCTTCATTCTGGGATTCCCAAAAATGGTTACAGCGGGTCGGACTGTCTTAGTTTTATTTTGATCAGCAAGGCGTCGGACTTCGTTTCGTTTCATGTACTGTACTTATATACCAGGATGTTCTATACCTACGGTTGTCTCCTTCCCTGGTCTTCGTTCGGATTGTGCATTTTGATGGGCATTGCTAGAGACTGGGAGTCCTGAGACTGGGTGCGATTCCACAAAATGATTTGTGTTCGTTAATACCTAATGAATAATCCTGACTTTACTCGCTTTCCATCTCTGCGTAGTTTGTAGACAGTAGATATCCTTCGCTCTGCCCATGCGTACAGACATGGACATATTGCGATATCAGATACGGCGGCCCAATCCTGGACATTGGCTCCAATACAGAGCACAACTGGACTATTCAAAGCTCGCTACTTCCTTCTATGCCTGACGGGCAATTCCATGAATGATCTGTCGGTGTTTGATGGGTGGAACTACCCTAGTCAAGCACGCCCTTTCTCGCGGCGGGTACAGCGACTACGGGAAAATATATATCGGCACGCCAAAACTTCCACCCGCCAACTGGACTACCTTACCCCTGGCATCTCCCAAGTGAGAGTTAACCAAGTCTTTTACGCACGTCTCTCCTCACTTAGTTAACTGAGTCTAGCTTAATGGTTGTATTTCAACACGAGTAGAAAAGAGAGTCCATGCGACTACGTTCATTTGCACACAACCCTCAGGTAGAAGGACGGTACGGAGCTCCAGCTCCAGGGGTAGATCGTATACACAAGGCAGGAGCAAGTAAACAGCGAGACTCCCGCGCCTATCTCTATACGGAGTACGTAGCGAGATCACTATGCGCCAGGAATCCAAGAATCCATCCCAACCTCAACACAATCCTCCTCGTATCATCCATGACTCGAAAGAACGATAACAATAGTACTCCTTCTGAAGGAACGGAAGGAGCAGGGAGCATATACTCTGCAAGCGCAGTCTGCAGTTGCAGGATCCAGCGGCCAGCCACCTGGCCAGAGCGCAGTTTATGATAAATTGGCCTGTTGGTAGTTTTACGGACTCTATCCCGTACCACTAGCCAAGCAAGCTCGATCCTGCAGGCATCCAGATTCCAACAGGTCCGGCTCCAGTTCCAGGTTGCAGGTTCTTTCTTGATTTCTTAGCAGTCCGGACCCCGTAGTCTACTTACTTTTACTACTACTATAGCCCACTAGTCAATATACATACGATTACGGAGTCAGCCGAGGTCGGAAGAGAGTCCGTTTTCGTCAGTGCCACTGCCACGGCCATGGCAACGGCAAAGCGTGCTAATTTGCCGCTTATTTGTCTTAGTCCTACGGTCTTACTCCGTCTCTTTTAAGTTCTTCCATGTGGGAGAAGAGAAATGCTGAGGATGACGTCGGTGTAGGTTCTGTCTTACTTTGCTAAATTTGTTCGGGTTGTCGCTGACTCGCTGCAGGCGATGAGCTACGGGGACGTCGGGGAGGGTATAACTCACTGGCAACTGCGCACTGCACTCCACTTTACCTGGCCACTGCCCCGGGGCCGTACTCCACCCAATTTGTGCTCGGTTCGACGGTCCAACCGTCCAAGATGCTGACAGCGACAGGCCAGAGGCCCAATGCAACGCCGACGAAGTGGCGGTGATAAGGATAAGCGACTAGAAGGCCACGGTGCTGGTGCTTAGCGCCGACTCGCTGATGGTAGGCGAACGAACACCTAGTCGAGTGTGCTGATTCCTCAAAGAACGCTGCAGCCATGGCGCATACTGTAGACTGACTGGTTGTATCGAAGTACGGCAGCTCTCGGCTGGAATGTCCCGCCTGACACAGTCACAAAAGTCAGACAAAGTACCAAGGGTGGTACTTCCACCAGATATTGTGATCTGAACGGTGCCGAAAGCTGTCCAACACTCTCGGCTGAGTGGGAGTACCGAGCATGTTGTGCAGTGTGCAAGGTAACATAATAATATATGAAGATTAATGAAACGGCCCCGTTGGTAATATCCATATCTATATGTAAGACGACAGCCTCGGTGTCTGAGTTTGGTCTGGATGGAGTCTGGAGTCGTACCTTGCCAGGGCCTAGCATGAATACGACCTCGCAGTCTCACTTTCGGCGCACATGCTCTGGCCAAACTCTGAAAGAGTGGTTATAAATCTACAATTCCTGGTGGGGTAGTGGGCTGGCATTAGTTAGTACTTTGTGGCTTCGTCACCAAGGTCATTAATGCGAAAGCGCCCATGGGTAAGCCGCGGAAGTAAACAGGGAGTCCAGAGTGAGCACTGCCCTGGGCGCCAACGCGCTCCATGCATAAAGGAAGCAGCCCCTGAAGTTGTACGATCCTCCTCTAGCGGAGCTATGCTTCCTCGCTGGACTTCTTTCTACGCCGTCAAACCCTGTCGTTATCAACAATATCCCGTATGAGCAGATCAGTTGACAGGGAGAGGCATGCCATTCTTTGGTTCGCACCCCTGCTTTGTCGCATTGAAAGACCCAATCTGGTCTAGCCCAGAAGGTCGCCCGGCGATATAGCTTCATCGTTACGAACCTTTCTCGGACAGCGGGATAAGCATGCCTGCGAAGCGCCCTTGCGGTAATGCTTCTAGAACATGGCGCCCTGGGGGCGTCAAGCAGGTTCGATCCTTGCGGTTGTTGAAATTGAGGTCATCCCTGACATGCGAGGTCAGGCCTCGTTTTTCATAGGATATCGATGACCTGAGCATAGATGCCTGTAGCGAGGACATTCGAGCTCGGTCATTCAGCGGAAACCCCGGCAAGGACTTGGCTAACTGTGAACCGACGGTGAAAACTTTTGTCTGACCATATGTATATCGCTCCATGAGCGCAAGAAGCGAGGCTCGAGAGAATTTGCCTGCAGGGATCTGATCGATGCAAGGAGCGTAAAAGGCCGCAAGGTGGACACAACTCGTATAACCGAGCATGCTTGTCCACTCGTAAGTTGAATGTCAGTGTTGTCCGTTAATACGGGATTGATGTGCTCGAGGCGTCAACCATCATTCTCCACGTAAAACGCAGGCCGATCAGGACGCAAAAGCAGGGTAAGAAATTTTGCTAATGGTCGTCGTTGCCCAGGCAGAAAGGCATCGGTAATGGTAGAGGCCGATTGACGGACCAAATGCAGTAAGCTTAGCGGGCAGGAATGCAATAGATCAGGTCGACATTGAATTCGACAATAAGCAATGTTCGTTAATGCCGTGTTGCAAGAAGCAGCGAAGAAATTGCACCATGGATAACCATCAACAGTGGTGGGCGCTAAGCCTGGACTCGGAGGCCGTCATCAACAAAGGCCGCCATGATGTTGTTGGCACCGTCCAAGTGGTCGGCAGATGATCCATACAGACGACGAGGAGCTTCTCACCCAAGGATGTCGTGTCGATCGGTTACCTGCAAGCGGCTCGAAAGGCACACACACCCTTTTCACGGACGGTGTCGTTAACCATTCAAGGTTCAACTGCCGAATGAGCGGACGGGCGGGAGGGCGTAGTGTCTCGGACACAGGAGGATGAGACGATCAGAAGACTGACGCTGCATCGTGGCTCAGGCTCCGACAAGGAGCATATAACCCCTGTCTGGGAGTGTTCACAAGCGGAGTCGGGGTCACTGGAAGCGAACGCACGAGGGTGAGAAGGTTAAGATCAGCGAAACAGACATCCGGGAAACCCTCGAGATTCGACAACGGGGAGAAAGGCGGGATTGGGATGGCATCCACGTCTATCGGTCTATCCACCGTGATATGAAGGTGACGACTGCGACTGCCGACGGGCGACGTGGTGCTCCGTAAATTGAATTCGCACTGAACGCGTCGCCGGTCGCTGGGGCGCGTCACAAAGTCTAAACTCCAAGTCGCAGCCGGCCGTGCGCGCTGAGTAAGCAACCTTGCCGAGTCTCCAGTCGTGGCGGTGACCGATTTGGAAATGGGGTCGGCGACCAACGCATGCTGTGGCGAGTAGCATCCGTCGTTTGACGGACTGAGCTTGTGGTCAGCAAATTTGGGGCTTGTCGAAATTAACGGTGTTTCCTATTAGTTGGACTAGCGGACGAGAAAAAAAAGCAAATATCCATCCAGTGCTCCGAGCCACTGGGGTTATCAACATGGAGTCATGGATGGAAGTATACTCCGTAGCTTCGGTATAGTACGGGCGGCCTACCAATCGCATCGCAGCTGCACGGAGTCGAGACTGAAGGATTGTGTGCGGGACAGTAGCAGCAGACTATTCCGTAATAATTACATATAAAACAATGGGAAGAGGGGAAGAAAGGAGTATAGCGGAAGGTTGAAACTGAACACGGCGCCGGAGATTGCCTGGAGAGTTGAGGCTGACTGGAAGATCTCCATATCACAACTTACAAGTCGAAAAAGCAACGACTGCGATAATCGAGGACGAGCGGACGTTTGACCGGTTGGCTTTGGGCGTTTTGATGGATGGATCATGGCTGCTGCGAGCCTGCGACCATGCGAGAGCTGGAAACAATACTCCGCAAGCCATGCCCAATATCACCATCACCGCGTCTTGTCTCTAACTCTCTACTCCGTATCCAACTCCAGATCGGCATGGACGCAGGACGCCTGGGCGACGAGTCTCCATTTCATTATTATTGTGCCGCCCGCTGCTGCGCCTTGAAGCGATCCAAGCGATCAAGCGAGAGAAAAAGAGCCCAGCCAAGGTTCCAGATAAAAGTCTGTCTGATGATGACGATGATCTTTGATGATAGTGATACGCACTCATGAATAGATTGACGATAATGTATCTCGAGCGTCTCGGCCAATTGGCGATGAGTGGCACTCGCGCTCCACAGCCT